TAAGGGTATCCCTATAGTAATTAGTAAAAGATCCTTAGCTTAGGCTATAGTAAAAACAGTAAGTAAAGTTAAGTAACTACTATAACAATCAGCAGATAATTGTAAATTAATAAAGATAGGTAGAGGCAACCTAATTAATTTAAAAGAAAAATTAATATAGGCCTAGGCTTATAACCTATAGGAGCACAAGAGCAACAAAGTAAGGCACAATAGCAATAGTATTATAGTAATCTATAGTAGTGTGTGTAGTAAGAAGGAAAATCCTCCTCTCAAGGCTATAGGCAGAGGCTAGATAAAGGTAAGGGGCCTAGGAGGTCACGTGACCTCCCAGCACACAGGCCCCCTCACAACAAGATAAGATAAGGCATAAGGGATCACTATCCTTATTATTTTAAAACTATTAGTTCCTAGTAAGTCACTAGCTTATAGGCTATTAGCCTTTAATAAATTATTTAAACTATTATTAGCTCTAATTACCTTAAGTAAGTTACTAGCTTATAGGCTATAAGCTATTAATAAATTAATTAATAGGCTATTAGCTATTAATTTAGGTATTTACCTATTATTTATTTTACTATTAGTAAGTATTTAGCTATTAGCTGTTAGATTAATTAATTTAGAACTATTAGTTCTTATTTTACTACCCCTTATATTAATATCTATAAAGGCTATAAAAAAGGCGCCTAGTAGTAATAGTAGTAAAGTAAAGTAAAGTATAAACTTTACTTACTTATATAGATATTTTAGTATATTACTTAATTATAAAGTGCCTAGTAAAGTAATATTAGTATACTTAATTACTTTATCTATTACTTTATTAGTTTCTTTATATAAAAAGGATTAATTACTAGCTACTATTAGCTAGTTAATTTAATATTAAATTACTATAAGGTTAGTTTCTTAAAGCTTATTAAGTAATTTATTTATTAATTTGTTAAAGAGTTATTTTATATTAAATATTATATTATATATAGTAAAGACCTTATTCTATACTAAATACTAGATGTAATATTAATTACTAAATATATATCTAGTAAGGAATCTTAATCTATATATAAGTAGTAAGCTTTTACTAGTAGTTTTATAATAGTTATATATTTACTATTAGTATATACACTTAATATCTATAGGCTTATAAATATAAAAAATCTAGCTTTACTATTAGTAAAGGCTTAATATACTTATTAAGTATAAAATATAAGTAAAGTATTTAATATAAGGATTTCTACCTTTAAGCTACTAATAGCGTTTAATTATAAAGGTATATAGCTATAGTTATAATTTTAAGCTATAGGACTTTAGGTAATTTTATATTAATCTATATATATTACGCCTTAAGTTTAATAATTATAGTAATTTACTTAGCACTACTATTTTAAGCCTAGGTATTTACTACTAATAGCTTAATAGAGATCTTATAATTAAAGAGTGTATTTATAAGTTACTTAAGGTGTAGGATTTCTTAGTTAGCCTTAATAACTTTTAGTATAATTAAATATTTAGTTTTTAGTATTATAAAGAAGCCCTTTATTATTAATTTAATAGTATCTTAGTAGTAGCTATATAGGTAGAAATCCTACGCTAGGCCTATTACCTAATCTAAGATTATTATTACTAAGTAGTATTTTATATAGCCTTATTTAAGATTATAAAAGTCTAGCGCTAGGTAATTACCTAACGCTATATTTATAATAGATTTATAAGGCTAGTAGTAAATCTACTGCCTTATCTTACTAAGACTATATAAATTATAGTCTTATATTATTATAGTGTTAACTTAGGTTAGACGTACTTTACAGGTAGTATTTATAATCCTTTATAGAGCCTTAGCACCTAGGTAGCTAAGACGCTTATACTATATTATTATATTACTATAAAGCAGTTATTACTATATTAACGTTATATATTTATTTCTTACTTATAGGGTTAGTAGTAAATTATTAGCAGAGTGTATAGTAAAAGCGCCTTTACTTTCTTAGCTGCAGCTACGTTACCTATAATATTTAAGCACTTATTAGTTAGCTTATTCCTTAATATAGCCTATAAGGCTATAATCTATACGCCTTAGGTAATTATTACCTAGGCTTATATCTTACTATATACCTTACTAGTATAACCTTATAAAGGAAATAAGTAATATAGTAAATACGCTATAATATATTACGTTATATATATAAAGCTTTATTAGTAAGCTATTAGCGCCCTTTAAAGTAATCTCTATAGTACTATATCCTTTAATTACTACTTAGGTAGTACTAGCCTAGATATAGTTACTAATTAAGGCTACTACTAATATAATAAACTATAATATATAGTTAAATATATAGTTAGTAGTGCCTAAATTAAGTAAGGCTAAATTACCTAGCTTATAGCCTTATAAAGTAGTATAGAAGGCTACTTTTATATAGTATCTACTATATAGTTAATATAACTTAGCTTTAATTCTCTATACTTATTTAGTAAGGTTAGGATTACTTATAATATACTTATTAATCTATTACTAACGTTATATATTTACCTACTAATTATTAGGCCTTTATAACTTATTTATAAAGTAGTAAAGTTATAATAAATAGGCACTAAAGTATATAAGGTATTTTACTTTTTTACTTATACTTTATTAGTAGTAATACCTCTTATTATTAAATTTATTATCCTTTACTACGCCTTTAGCGTATATTAGGCTATTATTATTATTACCTCTAGTTAGGCTAAATACGCTATAGCCTACTTAACTATAATATAGTAAGTTATTAGTAAGGGCTTTAACCCTCTCTAGCGCTATCTTATAAAAAGACTACTAGTTAAGATTATTTTAATTACCTATTATTTTACTTATTACTATATATAAATCTAGCTAGGCGCTAAGCAAACTATTTTATAAAGTAGTAGTAAGGTTATTAAACTAGATTAATAGCTATTAGTAGTTAGGTAAATTAACTTATACTAATTTACTATAGGCTATATTCTATTTATTAAGCTATATAGTAAGATCTTTTTTAGTAGTTAGGGCCTTTTACTAGGCTTTTACTAACACTTTACTATATTTATTATAAGCGTACTTTATACGCTTTTTTTTAGTTATTCCTACTACTACGCTAAGCTTATTAAGCTATTTAGCTAGTAATTTATTAAATTTATAATATCTTTCTTAAAGATCTATAGATATAGTAGATTTAACTATATTAGCTACGTCTTTAACGTCTTTTTACTAAGTAGTATACTTATATACTTCCTTATAATAGTAGCTTATCTAGCTATTTAAGTATATAAGATTATATAGGTTAAGATTATCTAGCGTTATTACTTATTTAGTTTTATATATAAGCCTATTAGGTATAGTTATAATAGCTTTACTTCTTACTATATATAGCTGCGTAGTTACTTACTAGGATATCCTAGTAATTACTATAGCTATAGTAACCTCTTAGTAAGCAGTAAGCTTATCCTTAGTTAAGGTGTGTAGATATTACGTTATAAGCAGCTTAGTTAGTTTTTTTAAATATATCTTAAGGATTAACTAGTCTGCTGCTATAACCTTTAGGTTAATATACTCCTAGAGATTATAACGCTTTACTTTTACTTAGATAGCGTTAAGCTACGTAAACTAGTTACTATATAATTATAAGATAGTTACCTTATTATTATAGTTCTTATTAATTATTATAATAGTATTTAATTAGTAGATAAGTATATTAGTTATTATAGACGTATATATTAGACTATTAATTATTAAATAGTAAGGATTATAATAGTTACTTAATTCTGTTATATATTATATATTGATAGTAAATTACTATAGAAATAGGGAAAACCCCCTATTTCTTAGTTAGGAAATCCCTAGCTAATCCTGGCGATATTATTAGTAGACTTGCTACTAGAAGTGGGGCTAATTTACTGCCTATTCCCTAACAATTCGCTATAGGGCAACCGTGCATTCGCTAGCTAATTCACGTGTAATTCCGCTACATTTAACAGTAGTTCCCTCTTAATCTTAATCTATATAATAGATAGGAATTTATAGTAATAAAAAATAAATAGACTACTAATAATACTACTATTAAATAGTTAGAAAAAGTCTTCCTCTTTTAGACTAAGCCCTTTTAGCCTAATTAGGCTAGACTACTTATCCTAAATAAGTATAAAAGCTATATAATAATAAAGTTTATATAGCTATACTATATTAATAACGTTTATTTATTATTTTTACTTTTATATACCTCTTATATTCTCTAGCTACTTAACTAGTTAGTCTTTAGCTTTATTAAGGTAGTATATAAAAAAAAGCTAGGATATTTAAGTTAGTAAATTAACTTTACTATTATAAGTAAAAAGAACTTTATTTCTTACTATTATAAGGCTTACCTAGCTAGATTAACTATAAGTAATATTAAAAGTAGCTAGAAATATATTAGGTTATAGCCTATTAGTATAGTAAAGTTACTTATAAATAGGCTACTAGTTTAAAAAGTAATAATAACACTATTAATACTATTAATACTACTTAATCTAGCTACTAAAAATATCTATAAGGCCTAAGATACTAATAGTATAAATAGTTAGCTATTTAGTATAAAGTAGTCTACACTAAGAAAAGTAAAAAACCTTAAGAATTAACTTTAACTATTTAGCTAACTAAAGTAAAATATTACTATATAACGCTAGCTTTTTAGAAAAGTTAAAAAAGGCTTCTAAAAGTAGTTATATACACTAGCTACTACCTAGTAAAAAATAAGCCTTCTAGAAGCCTAAGTTACTAATAGTATAACTAGAAAACAGAAGGCTATTACACTAGATCTAAATACAAAGTTTGTAACAATTAAGGAGGTGTAGTAAGCCTAGATTACGGCTAGCGATACTAAAAGTGAGCTAGATAAATCTAGCGCATTAGAATTACCTAGTAAGGCTAAAAGCTATATTATTATAGTATTAAGAGGTTATTAATAGTTAATTAAATAAAGTAGTAGTGTTATAATAGTATCGTTTTTAGGGTGGGCCAAATGCAGGGGGGGGCCATAAGTGGGTGCTTTGACTTACTGACAAAGGCTGAGCAAATACAACTCAGTGCTGCTAAGAACACAGGGGACATCAACAAACTTCTCCAGTCGGCTTTGGAGGGAAGAGACTATCTGGACATGGTCGAAGAGTCCAAGAAGAAGGAAATCTTGGCAGATCTGAGGAGACAGGTGGATGGAAGTTTCCTCTGGGCAACTCTGATGCTGGAAATCTTCAAGGAAGCATTGAGATTCGCAGATGTAGAGGAAATGGTGGCCAAGGGCATACCGCACGACTTTGAGACGTATTTGGAAAGACTGGTCCGGAGATTCCCACCAACACAACACAAGTTCATCAGGTTCGTACACACAAGGGTTGAAACTCCATTTTGCTGACTGTCCATCACACAGTGACTCTTTATCCTGTATCGTTTATGCAAAACGGCCTCTCTCTCTGGACGAACTCTGTGAAGCTATCGAAATCCACGAAAGCTCGCCAGGAGACAACATCCATCCCACATGTCTTTTGATGCGCGACCGGCTAATAGACGCCTGCGGGCCCCTGGTCCGCGTGGAAGAACCCAAAGAAGCTATGGGAAGACAGATCTGTACATTGTCACATGGTGCAGTGAGGACCTTTTTGGTTGAGCACCCACATGCTGTATCGGGCAAAGATGACTTCTGCATATCACCCGAGGTACTTGGCACAGGATGCCTCAAGTACTTGCAACAAAAGCGGTATAAAGACCTTTTGGAACGAGGAAATATGACCTTCGAAACATCATGCGGAAGCGACATCAAGGAGCACGCACTGCTCAATTACGCCGCCAAGTACTGGCATAGGCATCTGGATGACGTCCCTTACACATCCGACCTCTGTGACACAGTAGCTCAATTCGTTCAATCGTCAAATTTCATGACCTGCCTTCAGGTTCAATCCTTGTTCGTCGGAGGTAATAAGATGCATGCGTTTCTCATGGTGGCCTTTTCTAACTTTGGCTATCTAGGACATTTCAACTTCTGGTACTACTCAAACGATGTACTTCAACGGAGAAGCCTGGTCAGGGCATTCCCAAAATGGTTTGTCAAGAAACATCACTGCGGCGCCCGTCTCCAGAAAGAGTATCATCAGGCAATTGGAGAGTGGAACCACTTCCTAGCTACTCAGTCAACTTATGCCGGCAAATTAAGGGGCGAGATCAAGCGATGTCTATGGGGTTGCCTGGGGCAGTCGAACTTTCTCCACAAGGTTCCGAGCACGACCAAAAGCTTCATCTTGGAGGACGTCGGTGTTGAGCCACCAGCTAGGACAGTGATGTTCTACGACCGCGTTAGCCCGGGAGGCTCTGAAATTGATTTCTTCAAACTGACGGTGAAGTAAGAATACAAGAACGAGGTTCTTTCGAGGCCGCTGTACTGACCATCATTTGTCTTTAGTGAGACGGAATCCCATTTGGCAGTTGAGAGATGGGCCCTGAGTCGCGGAAGAAGCCCCAAGTTGAAAGTAACACAGCAGATCACCTTGCCGCCAGGATGCCTTCGCCTGTATCAGCACGAGCTGAAAAAAGGTGTTGCCGAGAAAGCACCACTGTTGGAAGTCACAAGCGACGGAAATGTTCTGAGGGTCGGTTCACAGTTATACTCGGGCAACCCGGGGACCAAGCCAGCGGCCAAAACGCTCTACGAACCCTTGCTACCTCCCGATGGCCCCCAAAGCTACATACAAGCTATATCATGCAACAGCAGATACTTTGCAGTGGCTCGGCGTGATCGTATATCGGAGAATGACGTTAAAATCCAAGTCGACCCTGCTGACGCCGCTGACGGGGACAGAAATAGCTCAACAGACACTCTGTTGAACAGCAGCAGCAGCAGTAGTAGTCACAGCAGCCAAAGCAGCACTGGGAGCAGCAGTTACGATGGAAGCACCGATAGCGACAGTGATTCGGAGGACGCGACACCGGCCGTGGAAACGTCCAAGGAGGACAAGCCAGACGTCTCGGCCTCTGGGAAACAAACTGCGAATTCTGTCGCAGATTCCTTGGAAGTAAAGTCCGAGTTCTCTGATAGATGTGGATACAATGTTTTGGACTGGACTGAAACGTCTTCCTTTGCGTCCAACTCTGCCAGAGAGTCTTGGAGCGAGGGATCAACCTCCGCAAGGTCTGATGAAATCGGAGAAGATCGGATCTTGGGAGATTTCGACACCGAATCCAGCTTGCAAGTCAAAGAGGACGGCCTTCCTGCGTCTGACCTAGGCGGAAGCAGCGACAGCGGCCGTGGCGTCCACTTCGAGAACACGCCATCTCAAGCCTCATCCCTATCCTCGGCGAAAACCTTGGACATGTTCGTCGACAGGAGCTCAGATGAGCATTCTTCGAGTGAAAGTGAAGACGAGGCTCCTTCCTCAATCGACGATTCTGTATATGACTACAGCTCGTCAAATCAGTCGGATGATGACAACGAGGAAACTCAGGCAGCCATAGCGAAGCTCGAGGGTCTGCTCGAAAGCCGTCGGAAAAAGCAAGAGGGGACGTTGTGCGAGGTGCAGGTCTACCATCTCGAGAAAGAAGACGGCCGTCAGCAGACGAAGGTCTTCAGCTTTCGCCAAAGATCTCGAACCAGGCTGTACGCGTCGCCTCCAGCGTTCCATCCCACATCGGATCTGCTCGTGTGGCCTCTGGGAGACAACGAAATCCTCTTCGCCAACTTCACCGAGAACGCGTACTTCATCCGGACGGGCACCAAGTCGCAACCCCAAAGCTGCCAGGTCTCGGTCCAGTGCCATTTCTCAGAGTGCGGGATGTACCTTCATATGGCGTCGTTCGAGGGGATCAAGATGCGGTACACCGACGGCGAAGTCCGACTTGGCTTCAAAATCCTCGTCACCACCCACCGGCTTTCGCGGAGAAAGACGGCAAGAAGCCCGCCACATCTAATCTACCGCACGTCCGTCAACCTGGTGAGTGATCTCGCTGAGGGAGAAAAGCTGGATGTGATGAACCTCCCTTTCTCCTTGTCATGGGCCAAGGATCACTTGTTTGTGACTGAGAAATCCCTTCGGCTTCTTGTTCATCGTCTGCCACTGTTTCGAGATGTTGAGAAGAAGGACGTCACTCAATTTGCCCCGAGGGGTGTCCTTTACAACTTGGGAGACATCTTCCTACCCACGTCGTCATTGACTCGCAAAATCCACTTTTTTGCTTCAGAAGATTTGCCAAAGCCCGAAGATTCCGCACAGAGCAAAATCAAGAGTTCTAGGAAGAAGAAGTCTGCGGAGAGGTCCAGGGACAAATATGTAGCTCATGTCCTCCTCGGTTCGCTGAATGAAACATCTGGGCCACAATCCGCGGAAGGTGCGTCAAACGACTTTTCGTACGCAAGGACGGCGCCGCAAGGATTCCATCTTACTCAGGAACAACTGGGAGACTGGGATGGGGAACAGAGCCACGTGTTAAAGCAGAGGTCGCAAACGTGGAGGGGTGGTGAGCTCATGGCCAAGTTGGAAAAGTTTGACATGTCGGAAGATTGTGACATTGTGCCATATTTACACTATTAAATGGTGTCAAGGGCAATGGAGGCGGTTAGCAAACGCCTATCTAGTCTTGAATCAAGTCAGTGTCAATGCAGCCTTCATGGAATCTGGGAGCTTGTCTGAAGCTGCCTGGGATAATGTTCCAAATCTAGAATCAAGCTATAAAAAAATCCAGCTTATCGGAACGCCTTGAACGTCTCGTCACTCACATGTCCAACCATGGTCTTCAGCCCAACCCTCGCTGCGTCCAGGCAATCCCGCGCCAACACCTCTCTTCCCAACGCAGCATACGCCTCGGCCGAGAGCTTCAGCGCCTTGACGACCTCGAACGTCGTGACCGCCCGCGTGTCCTTGTATACCCACAGACGGCCCTCCCGCACCGGCTCCGCAAAGCCAAAGTTGCGGAAGACCTCGTTCGCCCACCGGACGACCTTACCCCACTGCTTCCGGGAGTGCGAGGCCTCGACAAGCCACATGGTCGGCCAGACGAGCATCAGCCGCGGGAGGCCTGGGCCGTCGTAGACTTCGGCCTCGTGCAGCGCCGAGAGTCTGTTGGCCAGCCTCTCGACCTGGCGGATCGTAGCGTCTGGTTGAAAGCGCGCCGGCGGCTTCTGCCTGACCATCGCTTCGAACTCGGCCAGCGCCGCGTTGCGCTTCTTGTGCTGCTCGGTAGGTGACCGGCCCTCGCCCTCGCAGAGCGCGCAGCTGCACACGAACCCCCAGCTGTGCCGGAACTGCGACATGCGGAGCAGGTATGCAGCCTTGGGCGGGAGGTAGATGTGCGTGATCTCCGTGCCGGCGGGGATGTCGACCGTGGCCGTGGCGATGAGCATGTCGCCGATGAAGGACCTGTTGGTGTTGGGAAGACAAGCGTGGTTGGCGTAGGCGGCGTGCACCCACAGCCCGCGGGACATGCCCTGCTTCCAAATGTCCCAGCCCGGCTTTGCGGCCTGCGCCGTGACCAGGTCGCCGCTGAAGCAGTTCTTGCGGCGGATGGACTCCAGAAGGAAGACGTCGACGACGGGTTTGCCGTCGACGATGGTTCCCTCGTGTCCCGAGCGTCTGTACGTCCCGCCGTATAGGTCGAGAACCCTCTTGTGGACGGTCGGATTGTCCGCGCACAGCTCGATGAGCTGGGCGTAGGCGGCGGCGGCGTTGTGGTTCGGGTTGAACTCGTTGGGCACGCTGGCAGCCCTCTCGGCGAAGACCATCTCGCCCGCCCTGATGTCCTCCGTTGCAAAAAGGCCGCGGCCATGATGGGGCGAGTCTCTGACTTCGGTCCTTGAGAGGAAGCTCGCCCTGTCGATGTGGATGTTCTTGGCGGACACGTCCAGCGTCATGGTAGCGAGATCGTAGTCTCCCCTTTCCTCTTGGAGTCTTGACAGGCAGCGCTCATAGTCTTTTTGGACGTTGGCTTCTCCAGGCTTCAGTTCCAGAGCTGAGTCAAAGTACTGCTTGCTGATCTGGAAATTTCTGAGTTCATACGCGGCTTTGGCGGCGATGAAGTAGGCTTTCCAGTCGGTCGGTCCGCCACTCCTTGATGCGAGAGCATCGGCGATTGCACTGTCCAGGAGCTTGGTTGCTAATTGGATGCCCGCACGTTTTAATAGCAAGTCAGCTCTGAAGACCTTGTCGTCCATTACTGCAAGCTCCAGGGCCCTTGTATAGCTGGGATAACATTGTAAGTCTTCGATCAACAAAACTGGGCAACGTCGGTCTCGGGGCTTACTTGACTACAGCCAACGGCAGGTTCTTTGATATGAATGCCACATCCCCCGCATCTCGCCATTCCGATGCTACCTGGGATCCGGGAGCTTGCCTGAAGCTGCCCGGGATAAGTGAGTTGTCGGGGCCATGTCGAAGTAAAACTACATCTGAAGGGTGATCAACGCAAAGCATAAAGTCATCATCGCCGTTGAACTTGTAGTACGGTTCTTTGAGAAGGATCACAGACCCTTCCGGAACAGCCTGCAGGATGGTCGAGCTACCCTGGTTGTACAGCGCCAACTTGTCGGTATTGCCATTCTCATCTTCGACGATTGTGATAGTACCGGCTCCTTTGTGTGGTGGGCAGATTGTTCTGAGAACAAGATACTTGTCCTCGTGGTGATTCTCAACCAAGAGGTCGTCCAGGTGCATCTACAGATATCAATATGGTCCGCACGTGTTCTCGGGATGGAAATTTGACCTACCGGCGACAATTCTACGACAGATTTTACACAAGGCGGGTAAGAGAGCGCAAGGACAACCTTCTTCACAATTCGCGGGGCGTTCTGCTGCTCAGGAGCCTGCTGCTGCTCCACGTAGCGGTTGTGCGTGCTCACCAGCGTCTCTCGTGGCACGCGCGTCGGCGGCGGCTTGCCCGCGTGGGCTTCGGCCTTTTTCAGGTAATCGAGCGAGATGTCAGGGTCCACATCGGCGAGGATCTCCTCGAAGCCAATTTGAAGGCCAAAGTCGACATTGTTAAGTGTCGGGTGCGTGGCAATTGGCGCTTCTGCGTCTATGCCCGTGTCTGGAATGCCGTCTTGCTCGAGCCCCATGATGACACTGGCTTACGCCACTCTGCTTGCGCTTCAATCACAAATGTTGCATGAAATGCCGCTTTTCGGCTTCTCCCTTTCTTTTCTTGAATGAATATCTGACGGCGAGGCTCTCTTACGGTTGGATCGCACGAGAGAAACAGTAAGGATAACCAGGGGACTTCTTCAAAACCGGAGCCGGTTGATGCATCCCAGGAGATGGCCCAAGTTCAGTTGGACGAGGCCTATCAGACACAAAGAACAGCGCTGCTCTTATAATGACAATGCACTTTTCTGGACCGTGTCATTTTGTTTAGCTCCGCCGGTTCCTTGCCGCTTTGAGGGTAGCACGGCGATACAGGACAGGTGTCTTGGGCGGGCGGTTCCGATTCAGGCTGTTTCCTATTATGGCACGAATGGTGGACAGCTCCGAGACCTCCGCACCGGGGCTCCGCACCGATTTGACCTGGTCTTCGGAGTGTGTCCGTCCGCATTGCTAGAACGACACAGCTGGGTCTAAGCACAGCATGCATGATCCCGCTTGCATCCGCGCTCGCCTCATTGGGCATCGGGAGGACAAATGCGGGGGCAGTACCGACCGGGCTGTATCTTCACAGTAACTCCATCGGGATGAAGCAAACGGATATAATTGATTTGATACAACGTTGTCCCGGTTGCTAAATGCCAGTGTAATAGGCGGGAGCCTTGCCTGTCTTCCAGTCTAGTGTCATGCTCGGACTATCTTCTATCTTATCCCGACCCTCTAACATGTGTGAGATTACCCTTGGATGCCAACAGTCGCTAGAAGCAACTGTTTCTTCATCGAGCCCGAAATTTTCTCCGTGGCTAAATCGGCAGGTCGTCGCCTTGGTTAAAAAGCAATCATCCGATGCGGGTCGACAATTCTCTGGACGTTGCGCTGGACGGATTCAAAACGCATGAAACCGCAAGATTCGCTCTCCAAGTGGTTGATGACGCTGGCGAGGGTTTTGTATTCGCGACCACAGTTACGGTTGGGACAGTGATAGAGGGCCTGCGTGTGCGCTGTCGAGTTCAGGTGGAAGTTGAGGCTCTGCAGAGCGCCAAAGTGTCGGTGACAGAGGTAGCACTCATAGGCGCGGGCATTCGGGTTATAGGCCCGCTCAGTGGCTTGGTACGTCGAAGAGGCGTGCCAATCCAAAAGCTTCTTTGATATGAGGCCATTCGGGTCACGCCGACGGACGGCTTGGTAGAGCTTGTCGCGATCGAGAGGTGCATTAGGGCATGCGCCCCGTTCGAGATGATGGACGAGGCCGGTGGCCGTATTGCACGACTTCCTGCAGAACTGACACTCAATGGTGCCGCCGCGATGGGTCCTGGAATTAAGATGCTATAACTGTCAGTGGTGCGAAGTCCAGTGTCGAGAATTAGTCAATTAATTGCCTACCTGGCTAATGTTGTTATAGCTGTGGAAGTAGCGGTCGCACGGATCACAGTAATAGTGATACTGAACCTTGTGTTCACGTAGGTCGTCCTCATCGGAGAAGCAGTCGGAACAATTATCACACTCGAATTCAGGGTCGTCGTTGTAGTTGTGGTAGACGTTCTCAGCCCAATGGCCGAGGGCGTTCATGTGTTGCTCGACGGCTTGGCTGCTGCCGAAGAATCTATCGCAGGTGTCGCATTCGTAGGATGGAACCTGGTGGCCGGTCGCATTGAGATGCTGCTCACGCGAGTGCCAACCGGCCGGGAACTCACGCCAGCACGTGCCGCAGGTGAAGGTCATGTTGACGACGGTTACCGGGTTGAGGAGACGAGAACGGATAAGTAGAAGGGAGAAGAGAAGTCTCTAGTATTGTGGTAACAGCTTCGATGTTCCAAGGGAGGCAGAAGTGGCAGCAGGAGGACAGGACAGCATAAGTTGCCCGAATGAACGACGAGGTAGATGAACAAAGACAAGTGCAGCTCCTCCAGAGAAACGGGAAGAAGATGGTGTTCTTCTGCTGTTCTTGGATGAAATGGAAGAATAGTTGAGAGAGGGAGGTGGAGGACGAGCAGAAACTCGGTGGGTTGACTGCGGGAGGAAAGGGCGAGGAGAAGGGGCAGGAGAGGGAGGAAGGCACGGCTACAAACGCGTCAAACCCTTGGGAAGGCGCCAAGATGCAGGAAGGACTCCTGCAGTTCTCCACCTCACCCAAACGCACCTTCCTTCACGCTTCTCACGAGACCTCAGGCTGTAATGTTACGGTCGGTTTTCCTAGCAGAGGGGTTTCTGCTACAAGGTGGCTGAGTTTGGTACTCGGTAACAGTAATTTAGTCCAGCTCATGGTCTAGTGATCTGTTGCTCTGTTGATCACCTAGTGATCTGTCGTTTGTTCAATAGTCATAGAGTAGCTTCTATAGCTCCTCTTGAAAGTGAATCGCGATGTACAAGTTTGAAAGATATTGACCCGATGCGGGTGAACGCATCGCGCGGCCACGTACAGGATAGCTCTGGGGCCGGATAAACTATTATGCCGGTTCATCAGCCCCACTTGGTCCGACACTCTTAGATACGTATTCCTTCCAGCCGGATCACACAATCCTACACGTACATAATTACCCCCTTTTCCTATGCTCTTTCCTACCCGAAAAGTGCCTCTACAACACATTATGAAAGGGTGCCAAGGGTAGTAGAGATAGTTCACAAAAGTCTACTCAGTCTTGCATCAAGTCAGTCAGTGTGTCTGTGGTGGACAAAGTGCCAAACAATAATATCCGAATTTGATGCATTGCATATGCGCATACCTAGGTTTAATGATTTAGTCGGTTCTGTCACTCTGCGACCTCTAAGTAGTAGATCGTGGTGTTACCGATTGAGAGGGACGTTAATACTCTATAAACTTTGGACCAATTCTGTCGATAGACCTTGATGATCTCGGAGAAAAATCGACATCTTATAATAATAGAATGACGCCCCCCCCCCCGCCAAAGAAACAAACCGTTTCTTCTACTTCTTCTTATTCTTCCTCACTCATTCATACGCGACACAACCATACATGTAACCTCTCGTTTTTCGATAACACAGTCACCCTACACTGTTACCGTGTATATCACAAGGGCATCCCGTCACCATGGCCTCATGTGTGAGCACGAAGATTTTAATTCTCTCAGACACCCATGGTTTGAATTTTCCCGCAGTTTTCTGCGAGCCAGTCGACGTGGTGATGCATTGTGGCGATCTCACAGAAAGATCTTCAATGCCGGAATACGAATACACGCTGCAACTCCTTAGGAAGATCAATGCCCCACTCAAATTGTTCATCGCTGGCAACCACGACTTATCCCTTGGCCCTCCAGCGTTGCGGAAGAAGGTTGAAGAAGCAGAACGAGCCGGCAAAGAATCCTTCGCCGGCCTGATCGATAAAGAGCTCCTCAATATCAAAACCTGGATCAACGAAGCAAAAGCTGAGAATATTCTCTACCTTGACGAAGGCATACATGAGTTTGTGCTTGGCAACGGTGCCCTGATGAAAGTGTACGCCAGTGCCTACACTCCTAGCACCGAGGGATGGGCGTTTGAGTACTCTACCCATGATTTCAATATCGATATGGGCACAGATGTTGTTATCACTCATGGCCCACCTCGCGGCGTTTTGGACATCTCAGGCGGCAAGCGCATCGGGTGCCCCCAACTGTTCCGGGCAGTTGCACAATCGCAGCCCAAAATCCATTGCTTTGGGCACGTTCATCAGGGATGGGGAGCCAGGCTTGTCGCTTGGAAGCAGCACCTTTCCAAAGCTCCTACCCATCTCGAAGATATCGACAATTCCAATTCCTCGGTATTGGAACATCTTGGCACCCGCCATGAATCATACAATGTTGCAGAAGCAAGGAAAGAGAGACTGGCCCGATATAAAGCACAAGGGGACTGTCGAACAAGCCACTGTGCTGATGACGTGGAACCTTTGAAAGACGGTCGGACCCTATTCATCAATGCGGCAATCAAAGGCAGTGACGAGTTGTATCAGGCACCATGGCTCGCTGAGATTGACTTGGAGAGTGCTGAATCGCCAAAGCCGGAGGCCTCAATTTCCACATCGTCAGCAGAATGTGGAGAGACAAAATCAAGGAAGCGGAACAGGAAAGCAGAATTTTCTGAAGCGAATGAATCTAAGAGGACTCGAACTTGACTTCAATAAATCTGTCCCGTGTCTTGGCAACAATCAATGTTTTTTTCTTTCTTCCCAAATGCTGGCATCACAGAGTGATACCCTAACTTGAAGTAACGATGAATAATACAGGTAAAAAGTGATCTCTCTGGTGCATCAGGGAGGTAAATAAACCACAAAGACAAGTAGAGCTAGCCTGTACTAAATACGTAGTTATCACAATTCAATTGGGCACAAAACTAGGCACAATCAAGTGATGTGTATCGGTATAAGTGCCTAAACAAAAAGGGTGCAGAAGGGTGGCTGAGATGTAGCATCATAAATTATCGCGGGAGGCTCATGTCTGTGTAGCAGATACTATTAGCTACACTACATGCTATGTTATATAGACAAGCTTAAGGGCCCCCTTTATATAGGCCCTCTACCTATAGGATTCTTCTTCCTATAATACAAGCCTTTTCTTTATTTATTTATGTAACCCTATCTGCTGTGTGCCCTAGCTTGTAAGATAAATACATAACTAAGTACTAAAAGCGCTAAGGCCTGGATCTTCTCGCTAGCATCTACCTACTACTAATTGCCCTGCTGATGTCAGCTGTACATAAAAGTGCCTAGAAACCCTTCCGAATGCTTTTCCGGGCCGCCATGCCTCTTTTGGCTGTACTATTGCTGCCGGATCCGTTTGCTTTTTAGAGCTAGAATTGTTCAATGTTCCTTTCTGAATCAGTGGCTGAGACAAGCCGGATTAGGTATAACCCATGTTTACTACCAGCATTCTGCCATACATCCTGGCATCCTAGAAACCTCTGCCAGTCACTAGAATCTGTTGCCAGAAGACTTGAACACTGTAATCTGGAGTGTTGTTGACCGTTACGCTACAGCCTATTGCGGCAGTACATTGACCTCTAGCTTGGTGGCTCTGCTAGTGGCAAAGTCCCCTCCTGGCATCAATAACTGGCACTGGCGACGAGGAGATCGGGGCCTAACATCACGAACTATTCTGCTAGATACACCATTTACATACTAACCTATTTAAGCACAACACAGGCATAGTAGAGCTGGTATGAGAACCGTGATAATGGGCCAGAAGCAAATTTATAATTGCAGTGTGATAACTGCGGCGATATACTGTTATTACAGCATTTTGTTAAATCAGTCAAAGATTGCCGTGAGATCCCATGATATACAAAACAGAATTCAAGTGAGATTATCTAAAAACTTTCCATTAGGGGCCCAACCAAAGCCGGAAGGGCTTGGTCCATATGTCTTTTTTTCTCTATCTTGGCCAAGGATAAACAAGAGGTAGTTCCTTTGTCGATGAGGCATACCAGCAGAGCTGCCAGAGCATTTGCTATTGACTGGTTTTGCCACATATTTCCATCATTTGCATGGAATAGCCCATTCTGGATGCGTCTGGTCTCTGCCTAAAAGAGGCGCTTGATCGCACCCGGACCGCAAACAACAAAGAGAGATTGGCGATGGCAAGAACTGATGGCCTGACCTGATGTTCACGAAATTCTGGTCGGAGAACCATGGATTACTAACGGCCAATAAACAATTTTCTGTTTTATTTGCCTTGCCACCAATCTCTTATCAACCTGCTGAAGACTTCTTTCACACTGCAAGATGTGCCGCCACTGTCCCCACGTTTGTAAAGCCAGAGCCCTACAACAGGCATATCTGCCCACCGGTGCTCTGCCGACTAGAACAAAGGACCCGAAAAATAATGATCCGATGCAAATTCGCATACTTTTCATAAACAAGTTCTGAAATCGAAGTCAAGTGGATTTCTGGGCGTCTATTGCGGATCGAGGGATGGCGCGCATTATTGCCGCTGCATCCCTAAATTCGATCACCCATGAGACCCATCTTACACCGAATCCGTCATTGAACATTCCGAAGATCACCTTCAGTCGTAGCCAATAAGCATAAATCTCTAGCCAAGTCGGGCTAGGCTTGAGGTGCTTAAAGCCCATTTGCCTTCTTGCCTGCTTATTCCAGTGCATTGAGATGAAAGCCGGTCGGTAATAGCTGCATTGTTAGCTGAGACACAGTAAGACTAGCGAGTCTAGCCTTCACCTGTCATGTATTACCTGCTTCCGTCGCTAATAATCCCCGATTTCCCTTTAATTATTGTGTCCTCGCCCCTCCTGCTACTTGGCCTTTGCACTATTTGTCAAGCGTAGCCCTGTACCCGGTTCGTTGTAACACCAAGGTGCAACACTTACGCCAAGTGTCACGCCAAGCTTCGACAACAAACTTCGACAACAAACTTCATTCCCAGGAAGCGAGATGTTGGCACCACGCGTGCTTGGTCTCCTTGTATGCAGCTACTATGGGTTTGTTTCAGCAGCGACTCCGCTGAGCCTAGAGGGCATCCCAAGCTGCGCTGTATGACCCCTCACTGAGGAGGCTTCCGATGGGATCTGACTTGCTAACTATACGCTTTCTACAGATCAATTGTATGCTTCAGTCGATTCCACAGTCAAACTGCTCGGCGATAGACCAGGCTTGCCTTTGTGCAGACACAAAGTTCAGTGCCGCCGTTGAGCCTTGCATACGATCGTCATGTAGCATCAGAGAGACTTTGGGTGGGTGGAAGGAATTCTTCGAATATGGGGAATGGGCTGCTGACAGGAGTACAGCGACCACGAACGCAAGCTATACTCAGTGCGGGAGAACTTCACGTGACGAAACGAGAAAGATCCGCTGGGTCAGCGGTGTCGCCGTCGCTTTCGCATGCGTATTTATGGCAATGAGACTTACGACCAAGGCCGCGAAGATGTCAGTCTGGGGGCACGATGATACAACAGCGCTCGTGGCATTTGTAGGAAAATATCTTCACGACCGAGAGCCTCCAGACCATGGACTGACATGAGAGAAAAAGGTCTTGATCCTTGTCGTGTTTGTCCAATCGTTTTACCGTGAGTGAGGTCGCGATTGGTCATTGAGGCAGGTACTGGTTGCTAATGCGTCGAAACACAGTCATTGATATAGGATTTGGAAGAGAAGTTTGGACGCTACATGATTATGAGATTACCGCTTTTCTCAAGGTATTCTATGCAAACCTCTTGGTTGTCGACTTTACTGACTTTTTCACAGCATTTTCTCGTCCTCCGGTTCATCTACCTTGCTGGGTTGGCCCTGATCAAGGCATCAATCCTGTTCCTCTTCCTGAAGATCTTCCCCGGAAGACGCTTCCGCCAATGTCTCTGGGCTGTACAAATTTTCAACCTGCTTGTTTGCATGACATTCTTCTTTGTCTGCTTTTTCCAATGCCGTCCCTTTTCATATTTCTGGACAGGCTGGGATGGCGAGCATGAAGGGGTTTGTATCGACGTGGACAAGTCTGGTCTCATTCACGTCGCTCTCAACATTACACTCGACATAATAATGCTCGTCCTGCCTGTCACTCAGATCTATAAGCTGCAAATGAATAAGCGGAAAAAGATTGGCGTAATAGCCATGTTTCAAGCCGGTATCTTGTAAGTGTTTTTAGGACATACAGGCAACGCACAATTGTCAAGCTAATCTTTGTTTCGCCAGCCTTACCATTGTAAGCATCTTACGAATCAAATCTCTGAGTAGCTTTGCAATATCTATAGACCTTACCGGTAAGCACACGAAACGCACCTGAAATTTCGATAGTGTTCGTAGGGGTCGTTCTAAATTTGTTTGTAGCCGACTCTGTTCCCGTTAGTCTATGGGCATACGTCGAGTTGGGAGTGGGTCTCGCTGTCGCATGCATGCCTAGTGCCTGGCAGTTGCTGAAGATGATCACATCCAAGGTGACGCAGCTAACGACCACGGTGGCAACGAATATTACTTCATCCAAAACTCGTAAGAGTCCCAGCTCAATGGAATTTCCTGACAAGTCGGTCAAGATGTCAATCGTGGAAACCCAGTCGTACCGCTCCAATTCGATAGCGGTGGCTTCAGCGTCGAGCCCTAAACGTCACAGCGACCATGATGAGTGGAAGGTTGGGCAGGCATTATGATATAGCAGCAATCCCTAGATAAACTTAACTGTTCACACTGCGCCACGGCCTTATTCTTAACGCCTCGTGCTTCGTTGTAAATAATGTGAGATTCGCATTACAATCAGATTTGTCGACGTTATAATTGTTGTTGTTGTTGTAATATTTAACGTCTGTGGCGTTCCTGAAAAGGACAAAGGACGCCTAGGGTAGCTAACTTACATAAGCCCACCGTGCCTAGGAAATTCAAACTGGTAATACAGTTAGTGCTAGAAAGTGCCTAAACAGCTCAATTAGCTTATTCCTTCCTTCTAGATATCCTTTGTAATAGGCAGAAGCCTATTAATCTAAGATATCCTCTACCTAGCTAGATTCCTACTTCTTCTTAAAAAGTACTAATAAGTATTTAATACTAATTACTTTAGTTTGTCTTTATTTTAGGACTACTTTAAGGAAAACTATAAAGAAATAAAAACCTAAGGTAGCTAGTTATAGCTATATAAGGCTATATAAAGTATATATTATTTATACTAGCTTAAACTCTTTAGAAGTAGCCTTTACTTAGTTACTTAATATAGTATATATCTAATTAATAGTATATTATATTATAAAGGAAAGAGGTCTTAAAGTAGTAGTGTTAAAGATACATATATTAAGGGATTTTAGAAATATACGCCCTATTAGGGGTATAAGGCACCTTTTATATGTTTTTCTAACACAGGGGTCTGTGCACATATGGGTTGAAAAATAAATAGAAGGGAGAGTTGGTTGACGTTATAATGCTGCTGTCACTTGATGTGAACATTGTCGCACGTTGCATCTATAATAGGCCAAGAACAGCCTTGGCTATCTATCGGATATCGACGCATGCGTTGTCCCTTTGTATTCCGATCAGTCAAACTTTCATGACGAGGTTCAAGATCAATTGCCCAATCAATATACTCTATTAGTAGTCAGGCTGTTCTTCGTGTTCAAAATCTGCCCAATATGGATACATATTAGGGACAAGGGAGTCATCGCAGGGCAGCTTTGCGCCAAGGGTCAGGTTTGAAGCCTGCAGGAAACCCAATTGATCGCCAGGGGCTCCCCATGCTATGAGTCAGTCAGTCGCATTAGGATGGTGCAGCCGGCGAAAATGTGCATGGAATGGAATAAGCCAGTTATTTGCAGAGGAGAGAAACTAACTGGGAGGTTCATTAGCCTGTCCATTATGAATCATCCAATGCGGGTGCCCTTCTGTTACAGTGTCTGGTTTCACTCACTCGCACACACAAGACCTTGAGACCAGCACTTGCGATGCTCATGCTTGAGGTCTTATTATCATTCGCCCCAGAACACGGTTGATACTACCGATTCGCCCATGTTACGAGCACGAGCTTCCCTCCTCACACTCAAGACCCCATGACGTTGGATCAGGCGTCTGCTGGGTGCCTCTTAACGGTATAGCCGAATACAGAACCGGGCAAACATGAATGGATGACAGCAGACCACTTACCCTGTAAGCCTGGCAGGTAACACAGCACGCGCTGCGCCTCCATCATGGCCAAGAATGACTCATTCCCCATCCATAAGCCTGGCTCCCAATCACCGGCCGCTGCAACCCACCATAACGATCGTCCACACTGCTGACTCCAAGGCTTCGGGAACGAGTTCGGACGACTAGACCGGGGTGTCGGAGGCGCCTACGTGTTACAGCCTGCACTAAGCCCGCTTCATTCAAGCTAACATCATCAGCAGCGTCAGCAAAGACCAGCGTCAGCAAAGACCAGACATCTGATTAGGATATATATCCTTCCCCTTCGTTAACATTCTATCAGTCTTACCAGACACACCTTCAAAGTGAACGCGCGCGCCTTTGCGTCTACATTTACGCTACGCCCAGGACTTCCCCATTTTGTCCACGCGCTTCTCTGGACACCTCGCCCTCTTCCGCACTTACAAGAAACTAACCCGCACCTCCCGGATACAAAAGCCACCCGACCACCCAGCATGGGTTTAGCACTACACGACAGTTGTGATGCATTAGATCTCACCCAGCGGTACCTGTCCCCCGGCCCCTCGCAGGTCAGCAGGCCGCGCCCCCGCGCCCACTACAACGGCGCTTACTATCACGCCGATGGCTCCATCGTCCTCAACAGGGAGCTCGCCGAACATAAGCTCCCTCTTCTCGGTCTCGTCCTCGTTGCCAACCATCAGAAAGCAACAAGGTCGCAACGGCGAACCCGTCGTCGCCCGATTTGTCGGCCCAACCGGCAATGGAGCATCGGCGAGGCGGCCGAGGGCCGCGCTTTGGCCATGAGTAGCCAGAAACTCCCCGGTGGGCAGCGTCGTCGCACGCCGTCCCTGGAGAGGGAGGAGGCTTTCAGGGATGCTCGCACCACGAAGTCTCTCACTTACCCGCAAGATGCACGCGACATCTCCGAACTATATCGCGTCGGCCTCCTCTACGACGATGAGCACCTGCGCGGTTCCGGCTTCGGCTTCGAGGCCATCGACCGTGCTGGGCCCGAGTATACCATCCGCCCGGCCAAGAGGGCACGCAAGACCAGAGCCCCGGAAGTCTCGCACGACGACGACTTGCAACTTGCATTGGACCTTACGCTTGCAGAACTTGGACACGGCGAATCTTTCGCTCAGTTTCTCTGCTCACCCGACCTTGAAGAGTCATCCTCGGATACCGAATCCACCCCCAGTACCTACAGCGCTCGATTGGCACCCCTACACTTCGTCTCTGAAGTGTTGCATTCCCCTCCGTACTTTAGCGACGACACTCCCGACATGACGACTGACTCTGAGTCCGAATCCGAGTCCGATTCTATTTCTGACGCAGATGGATCTGCATGTAAACCACATTGTACGATGACCAGAGGAGGAATCAGCGAACCATCTTCAGCAAGCCACCAGGGCGCCAAAGCTTGGATGGTGCTGGGTGACGGCTCGTAGCAGGTCCGCATAGGAGATCCCCGCGCGCCATTCGGGTCTTGACGATATTTGGCGAGGCTGATGCGCCCCCAAACGGACTGGCCCTCACTAGCCCAGTATCATTTCCAGACGCCGGAGCACGTGGTCTCATGATTTTGTTTGCTTTTCTGGAGTTGGTGGGTAACACGGCTGTGTGCTCGTAGTCTAAGAGACACTGAGCTCGCCGTCAGAAATGAACGGAATATATTTATTTTGGAATAAAACCGCATAGATACTTTAATTGAACTTATCGCAACCCCCTTTTGCTCCAAGATCATCATCGTGCAACCCAGTTGACCTAAACATCAATATGCTTTTGTCCGACTAAGGTTCATATCAGGATCGAGGGTATTACTATTACTACTGAGGAATCCCGGTTTCATCTTGGGGCTGCCGCCGCTGACAGTGCTGTCAAGGTGTGCCTGAATGCTCCAATTGCCACACTTTGCCACCGCGCTTCGCACTGCGTTTCTCATATCTCGAGTATCATGTCGAGGAAAAGTCATTGACGGCAAGTGTAGTCGTGGTCTAAACCACATGCACCCTTACTGCGAGAACCAAACCGGCAAAATATCCGCCTGGAAGACACAACCGTTTGTAGATGTAATATCGACTTCGGCGATAGCCACAGGTCACAGTATGGTAGCAATGACCAGGATGTAACAGAGGGGTCCCGTGGTCGTCCAGACTACGTCACCCACTTTGGACTCAAAACCTAAGGTAGCCCTCAACCATGTAACGTTTAGTCGGGAATTACACAGCCCCGGGCAACTTCACACAATTCAGTATGGCTATCAACGACGAACCATCCAATACCCTTCCAAAAATGAAGGTCAGCGACCGGGCTGCCTGGCTCGAAGCGCTCGAGACGGATCGTCCCGTCCTTATCCACCTTAACGCAGACACCACATGGCTCATTCAACTGCCGTACCCGCCCTCATGCACTCCGCCATCTGGCCGGAGGCGATTCAATATCCTTCTCGACCCATGGCTCAAGGGCCCGCAAACCGACGTTGCAACCTGGGTTTCCACACAATGGCACGTTGTTGAGCCCAGCGTTCAGACACTGGATCAACTCAACTCGATTCTGGCTGGCCTGGAGCAAGGGGCAGGAGGGCCAAAGGTGACAAACAACTCGTACATCGATGTCGTCGCCATATCGCACGAGTTTACCGATCACTGCCACGAGGCAACTCTAAGAGAGCTCCTTCCGTCAACGCCAGTCTTTGCCCCCGACAAAGCCGCCCGGCTGGTCCGGTCGTGGGAGCACTTCAACTCCGTCACCACTACTCCCTGCTTTTCATCGATGACCAAGAGCTGGAAGACGGACCTGAGCATCGCAGGGTTGCCTTCTTGGATTGGAATAGGGCGCGTAGTGACGAATGGGAACGCAATGTATTTCCACTCCGCGATCATGATCGCCTTCGATCTCGGGAAGGCCGAGACGATACTCTATTCCCCGCACGGCGTCCAGGCATCCGATTTGTCGTGTGTTCGGGCCTGTGGGCTCTCAACGCTGGCACTGCTGCATGGCCTCCATGACGTTCGCATCTGGATGACAAAGCAACTGAATCTCGGTGCCATGAATGGGATCAAGGCCGTCGGCGAAACTGGCGCGCGTTATTGGATCGCGACACACGATGAGCCGAAGAAGGGCACGGGTTTTATAGCCCTCATGCTTCAACGCACACGGTACACTCTGAAGGAAGCAGTTGATGCCGAGAAAAGCCGAATCAAGTCAAAGATTCCGGAGTCTGACTTTGTGGAGTTGGGATCAGGCGATGGTGTAGTGTTACGATAAGCTACAGAACGGTTTCTCAAAGCATCATATATGAATTTTAGCGCACACACTGACCCGATACTCTCCATGAGCAATTCAGTCACATGTTCTGACTGCTGTTCTGTATGTGCTGTGACCAGCATAGAGACTTGAGACTGGCCGCGTTGGTTATAGGAGATCCACACGGTTTCACGACTTCGGATAGAGGGGGAAGGCGAATCAGGCCATTTCGGTATTTGTTTTTGCCGTAGCCACGCCTCGGCGCCTGGCCAGCCCATTCCGGCCCACTAACTTGATCGGTATTCTAGTCAACTATGTGTAGACGGAAGATCATACGAGCATTCGAAAAGCAGCTTAGAACCTCGAGTTGGCTGATAAATCTCGCCTGGGATTCGTCACAGGAGTCTGGACCCTTTCTCTTATCCCTGCTAAGCAGGTTCAACCCCAGGTTTGTATGATCCCAGTTGAGTACATCAAGGGAAACCAATGGCATGACTGTTTCCAGTTCAAAGGGAGTTGTATGCTTGACTCCCTCGGCCAGGTCTTCAGATAAACTCCTACTTCCATCCATTATCCCCCTTCGGCAACGCAACCCTCACTTTTCAGTACTAATCAACTACCATTTACGATGTGCCCCAGTGAACCAGCTACTGAGCTGACCAATCCATGGAAAGCTTTAGGTTCCTCCTTCTCAAAAAGGTCATTGGGTTCACATACGGAGAGGTTGTTGTGATAATGGGGGAGGTGAGGGTCGCTATGGGCGACCGTATATAGACTAGACTTATTATTACTTGTAAGTGATGATTTTAGTCGCGGACAGAGCTGGTCTTACATTACAGACGGGCATATTAGCTACGCCCGATAGCCTGAATCACTGGGGCACGACAGCTCAGACTCAGCTACAGCAGCATAAGGCAGCCTTGTTTAAAGTACTTTTCATCATACTCATGGGCCCCAGTCAAGAATTTCCCATTTTTAAAGTTTGCGCGCGGATTTTGATATCCACTGTGAATTCTATGACGCAAATGGAGGTGGAAAAAAGGTGTAGGGTCGAGAAGGGCCATTAAGTACGGGCAGGGGACTGGTCCAACTCCAGCATGAATTTAGAGCCAAATCTAGTAAGCTAAGCAGAAGGCTTGAACTGCCAAGTCTTTAGACTGCTTATTCGGGAATGCAGTTCGTGTCCCTGGGAAAGGCCACAGGCCTGAGAGACTCAGAATGCAGTCACTTGACTGGCTGGAATCTGCGCTCAACGGCAAGTGGAATGATTGCAAATTCTAGTTTGTCCAATGACTATAGGCAAATACAGAATGGTAGCCCAGCCGGCACATTGATAAGCTCGCAGTCGCATCTCTGCAGATAACCAAAACGAGTTCCTTGTATTGACCCGCGGGTTCTCATGTCAGCCCAGCAATACATTCAGCTGCCGTTGGACGCTGAGGTGCCTCTCTTGAAAACAGCTCGCCGGATGGTGCAAGACGGGCATTGTTACCGCCCAGTGGCGGTCTAGCAACTGCATTCGCAGCGGGGTTTCTGTTGGGCTCCTGTTTCCTGAACCAACCCCGCCAAAGCAAAAGAGTGGTACTGGATGATAAATCTGTCCACACATCCGCCAAGAGCGTGGATATGCATCCTGCAGTTGGTTTCTGTCTGATGGACCTTCCGCTTTGCCATGCCGTAAGTGGGTCAACTCTATTCGGCTGAAGACGATGGGACAATTAATTGGCTCAGAGAGACGAACTTGCAGCCACTCCTCGGCGTCTTGATCCTGGTCTGCAGGATGCAGTCTTGCATTTGAGATGGCTTAGGACGCAACTATCCCAGTATAAAGGAGGGGTTTCTCCCCCGTCGAAGTTCGAACCCTCGGTCTTTCTTCCCCCTTTTTCAGTACCCACCGCAAATCTGACGCTTTGGGTCTAATCCAAGATGTCGAGCAGTCCCGGCAACACGACGGCCCAGCTGGCGACAACTACCCCAGCAGACGCCGTGGAGTCGAACGTTGCTCAGAGCTCCAGTGCCGGCACGACACCGGCGGTGGCTGCTGCCGCACCGGCAGACACAGCCGAACAGGACGGCGATCCGGTGCCTGTGGTATGTAATCCCAAATCTAAACATAAATGCATTACCCTTGCTCACTTTTGCATTTCTTAGGATGCTGCACTCGAAGATTTTGATGAAGCTATTGACAACAGCAGGCTAGGATGTCACCTCAGAAATACAAGGACTACCAGCTAATAAATCTTAATAACAGCATATTGACATCCTCTACCACCTCTGTTACCGACAGTGTCCTCGAATATCGACAATTACATGGCCGGAGTTTTACTCAGAAGACGGATTATTGGGGGCCTAATGATGAACAGGCAAATGATGCCTTAGATTTCAAGTGGGTTTCCATTCCCGACTTCCATTTTCTTTCGGTGGCAGACCACTCGCTTACAGCCTGGGAAATGGTGTAGTCATTACTGGATCACAGATTTCTTTGACGACAAATTGTTCTTGGCTCCGATTGGCGATAGCCCACGGGTAAGGAAAGATTCGACACTGAAGGTTTATTATTGCCGACTCGCTAACAATAAATGCAGAATGTATTGGATATTGGTACCGGAACTGGTATCTGGGCTATGTGAGTTTTTCAAAGAAATCTTGCTGTTGTTAGATGACTAACTACCGGCATTGAAGCGACTTCGCCGATGAGTTTCCATCTGCCGACGTAGTTGGCATTGATGTGTCCCCTATCCAACCTCCATGGGTGCCTCCAAATTGCAGGTTCCAGATTGACGATTTCGAGAAGGAATGGACGTTTAACACAGAGTTTGACTTTATTCATGCCCGAAACCTCGAAGGGTGCATTGCCGATCTGCCAGGTCTATTGAAACAATGCTTTGCACACACAAGACCCAATGGCTGGTTTGAGATCCTCGAGGCTGATATTGAGGTTCGCTCGCAGACTCTAGGCGATATGGATGACGACCACATCTTCAAGAGGTGGCATCAGCACATGCTGGTTTCCTCAACCCGGATGGGAAAGCCCCATGGAAACGCCGTCGACCGTAAGCTTGCAAAGGCCATGATCGAGGCTGGATATGTTGACGTCGTTGAACGAAAGTGGCCTATTCCTATTGGACTTTGGCCTGCCAAGCCCGATATGAAAAAGCTTGGGCAATGCACTTTGGAATTTGTTCTGCAGTCGATCGAAGGATTTGGCCTGTTCTTGCTCAAAGAGATGTTGGGCTTCACGTATGAGGAAGTTCAGCTCACCCTTGCCGAGTTAAGGACCGCGCTGAAAAACCCTAAGAATACGCCGTTTTACTACTTGTAAGTCGTTCCATGTGGGTTCCATGACAATGAGGCTAAACCTTTATACAGACACGTGGTTTACGGTCGCAAACCAGAGGAGGAAGAGATAGCCCAGGGGAGTGCACCTACTACGGCTTGAATGCTTTATTGAGACGAGCCGAGGTCAGTTGTCTATACATGTACTTGTTGTTTAGTGTTGACAAGAAACGACCTGCGTTATTCTCCCTTGTAGGCGAGTTAGTTGTTCTGTCTGGTATAAATGGTCGACAAGAAGCTGCCTTGATTCATTCCTAGTTGCTTGTTCCACTCGCACTTGCACCAGGGTTCTCATGTCACAATTTGTAAAAAGATGCAATTATGTCTCGCTCCGATTGCCAGTTGGGATGCTATATTTCATCACTGGTTCTTCAATCAAGGGGTATCAATTTGCCATTGAATGCTATGAGCAGCTTGAAAGCAATGGTTCTTACAGCCGTGTGGTGTCATCGTAATCTATGCGAATCGGGAAAAATCCTCCAATGTTTCTAAACTACTGGCGATACGCTTAAGAGTACCAGTTGTTGGGGGTCCACTTGACCTATATATGTTGTTAGCAATCTAAATACCAGGTGAATGTATAGAAAATCACTTACGTAGCTGGCATCAATCTTCTTCAGGTCAGGGACACCGAGGTTACCGGCGTCAATGGCAATCTCGTGCTTCAGGAGCTGGATGGCCTTCTCAACACCGGGCTGGCCGAAGACGTTGGAGAACATGATGGGGCGTCCGATACCGACGGCCTTGACACCGAGAGAGAGGAGCTTGAGGACATCAGCGCCGTAGCGAACACCGCCGTCGGCGTAGACCTCGATCTTCTTGAAGATCTCGGGGTCCTTCTCGTAGATCTCCAAGGCAACCTCGAGGGAGGAGGGCGAGCCGTCGAGCTGGCGACCGCCGTGGTTGGAGAGGACGATGGCAGGGACATTGTTCTCGATGGCAGCCTCGGCATCCTCAACAGTCATGATTCCCTTGATGATGATGGGGAGGTCAGTCATGGCAGAGAGCTTCTTGTACTCATCCCAGGTGATAAGAGAGTAGTCAGAGTCGGCGGAGGTGACACCGAAGCGGGCAGCACGGTGACGGTTGCCGTCGGCGGCAGAGTCGACGGTGTAGACAATGGCCTTGGCGTCAGAGGCCTTGATGCGGTCAAAGAGGATCTTAGTGGCGGTCTCGTTGGTGGTGAGGTACACCTGCTGGAAGGCGACCTGACCATCGGCCTTGACCTCGGCAATCTGCTCAATGGTCTTGCCAGCGTACAGAGCGGGCATGTAGAGAATGTTCTCAGCAGCCGCGGCTCTCATGAGGTTGAGTTCAGCGTCGGGGTGACCGTAGTCGGCACGAGCAGCCGGGCTGATGAAGATGGGGGCCGAGAAGTTGTGTCCCAGGATGGTGGTACTAGACTTGTCAGCTTTCCCAGTTCGTTCTGACACGACGCTTGGACTTACGGAAGGGTAGACTCGATGTTGGTGATGTCAACCATGGTGCGAGGACGAAGGCGGTAGCGGCCGAAGACCTCGAGGTTGTTGCGGTATGACCATTCACCAGCAGCACCATTGCGGTAGTAGGTGTAGTTACGGGCAGGGAGGTAGTTGCGCGCAGCGTACTCGAAGTCAGGGAGACCGACCATTGACTTGAGATCAGGCAGAGCACCCACGGCGAGGTCGGGGAGGGCAAGCTCAATGCCAGTGTCGGGCTCGTTGAGGAAGGGGCGGGTGGCAGCAGCGCCAGCCGCGAGGGCGGAGATGAGAGCAGCACGCATGTTGTCAGATAAAGAATGAATAGTAGTGAGTAGAGACAATGAGCCCGTGTGCGGTGAAGAGAGATCGGCAGCCAGGCTGGGGGAACGGCGGCCCTATAAGTCCATTCTTCGACGAACCCACGATACGTCAAACCTCATCCAGCCTCCTCCAGATCTTGGCAGCCCGCCGAGCACTTCGTGCCCATGACCGCATCTGGTTCTATCAGCCGACCTAGGGGCTGCAAGGTACGGATGCCCAACGTCTGTCCAAGTGAACTCCATGACGTGCGCCAGGGGCAACTCTGAGCACCACAGACATTTGTGGATAGGTCCGGCGGCCCCGGTGAATGTTGAGATCACAGTGGGCGTGAAGCATGTTCTCATAACAGCGACAACGTTGGCAAGCCAGGAATATCGGTCTTGGCAGGCGGCAGAGGTGATTGCCCGGTACAAGTCAGGTAGTACTCGGTTGCTCCAAAAACTGGGACATGCGGGTCAATTCAGCCCCAAATCTTAAAGCTTGACTGGCTTTTGTTTGTTTTTTTCTTTTTCTTCTTTGGATGAGGGGAATGAGAGCAGCAATAGCTCAATCCAGATAGACGATGGCGACCCGCTGCCAAGCTTAATGGTGCTGCAACGCCTACCTTGTCAAGGGAGGGGGCCGTTATCAGATCCGGTAGAGTGATCCAGTGAGTGCCGTTAGCGATCCAGGTATTGACGTATCAACTTGATGGAAGTTGTCTAGATGGGGCCAGTTCCGCATTTTTATTCCAGCGCTTTTTACCCTTCCATCATTCCCCAGGCACTTCCTGGTGGCTAACCGCAGGGGTTAAGCGAATAACTGACTCGCCCTGAGAGTATGTTCCACAGCTCAATAGGTAACACAATACGTTGACACGCGAGACTTAGGTTGGGCCAAGTAATGTACCAAGCCGTCATAGGTCATGAGTGGGGATAGCTCTAGCACATGATGGCCCAGCCAGCGAAACGGGGCTTGGACAAGCGCGCGGGTGGTGACTGATGAACACAACGCTCAGAAGCGAGTCCCGATGGTCCGGATTGCAGCTGCTAGCCCGGTTCTGGGAGGGATTGCTACATCGCGGACGAACTGATTTTGCCGAAGAAATCAAGAGGTAACTCGGAGGCGGACAGTTCGGTCGACTTCCGGAACCCGTGTGCTATGTAGGCCCTGGAAGCTTCATACCTCCCGGAGTATCCGTAGAAGCCTATACGTTGATTGTGTTCTGGATTTTCATTTCAAGGGTCCATATCATGTTCCGCACAAGGCCAACCCGGTTAGAACCAGTGGCCGAAGGGCTGGAGCCTTGGCTCCTTGGCTTTTTGGCCTTCATGGCATATCATTTGTCTGTAGCCCCCCTCGTTTTGTTCGTCTGTCGTTTGAAGTTCATGTTGTACTATGTTTGAATCGTCCGGCGTGTTGAAAACGTTTTCGTCGCATTGTTCTTGATCAGCAGGGATACATGTAACTCTCGGTCGCGGGACACAACGAGTAGGTCGCATCTTGCACAACGTTCCAATGCTACCTACCAATCTCGCACATGACGTATTTGTGAAGCGAGATTTTGTTCGCTGGCCTCTTTCAAAAGCTCGAGAAAGGAATTTTACAGTTCCAAACCAAGGAATGGTCCCCACTTCTTGGTTTCTAACGCGAGAATTTCCGACCCCATTACAAGGGGTCTCCTCTCGGCACCGTCAATCATTCTGCGGGCCGACTACTGGCCTTACTTATGAAGAACCCGCTCGCTCGCACTGGGGACTCGTTGACCTTCCGGATTCATTTTGCTTCCGCTGCCAATTTTGGGATCCGTCATCAAAATTCGTGGCATGGCAGCGGGACAAGCATTCTGGCTAGAAGCACTGGAGTTTTTTTCTCCTTCAATCTCGGTCCGCCATATGAGTCGCCCCTCAATGCCAAGAAATTCTGGAATCCTCATGATAGCCGTTCTAGGCGGCCGATGGCGAGACCCAAAATCATGGGAGTGGATAGAGAGTTGACCAATATGGATACCAGTTGAACATCCTATTCAACAGTGGAGCGGAGAAGCGTACCCCAGCTCTATCCGCATCTAGACGTCAAGTGGATCCTCTCGGACTCTTGTTGGGCCGTACCAGGTTGCGTGAGTCTTCCTTGCAAGGCAATCGATGGAAGAAGTACCCACGTCATATGCATCTTGTGGCCTATGCTTTACGGATACACGCCACGACACTCATCAGCTGGGGCAGTGCAACCATGGACAACTACTCTGCAGCAATCAAGCACAATTCAAGAGAGGTGTAGCCCTTTCCAACGGAACGCTCAAGTTACATGGAAATGAGTCACACAACCTCTCTTATTGCATGTGTTATGCTCAGGGAAAGGATTGTTGGTCACTGTGGGCATGTGGTGGTGGAGTGCAACAGTGCGACTATGCGCATTTGCCGCGGCATGTTGCTACAGTTCTTGGTGGTAGGTCCGCAGCAGGCTCAGGTAATAGCTCGTGTCTGACAACTCGGGTTTATCCACCGATTCGGTCGGCGCCGGCGATATCGCTCGTCACAACTCGGGTTTATCCACCTATTCCGTCGGCACCGGCCATATCGCCTGTCACATACGGACCGAGACCGAATCCGGAAGGTCAGTGACTGCTCGGTGTCCCAGCACCTTTTATGCGTTATCAGCTCAATCTTTAATTACTCTGTATCTTCACCCTCCTTGAGGAAGGGGCTCCAATAGGCTGTCTCATACCCCCGATTAGTTGGTAAGCTCGATAGACTCAACTTCCCCTAGTCGGGACACATTTGTCCCGACAGTGTTTGCTATTGTTTGAAAGCAGGGACTTTCAGGACAACCACTGGCAAGCGCTGAAGACGAGTTGCCAGTGCGTCTTCAAACAACTTCTTAAGGAATGGTCTTGACGCTTTAAGACTCATTCATGAAAGGTCAAACTACGTCTGTAGGTAGAGGAGGATCTGGTGCCCACACCAATGAAACCTACAAGGGGGCCGAATTTCGATCTGCAGCCCAACTTAGCGCACCCTGTAATTACTCCACCGCCGTCCTTTCGCCCTAAATTACCTTGGCTGGGAAGATAGGAACACAATCCAGAAGGTTAAATCGGCCCTGTGATTTGACTGTGACCCTATGTCTAGTAGTATGTCACCATGCAATCGTGCGTGACCGGGTTCCATCCACTCCGCGACTCCCACGACTTGGCGAAATGAACCATTGGGAAAATTGGTAGCGGCGTTACGGGTTAATTCATGCGAGGCACATTCCACCCTGTTCTTATGCAACTACGTCGCCACGCAAACCCCTTAGATGCAGGCTCTATAAACTTGAAGCGTTGCCTACCCCGTTGTAACGAGAGTATTTTTGGCGAAGTTGGTCTTATGCGGCTGTATTATTCTGATCCGAAAGCCGTAATCGTCATGATGCCAGTGATAGGTTATCCTAGGTCTTGCATTAGCGAGGGGCACAGCTTTCAGTAAAGAACATCTAGCACGATTTACTTCACAGCGCTATATTAAGTATTTTAAGCGTCATATATCCGTACCGTCCAGGAAATGACTGGCTGTCCTAGGCCTTGATTGAGGTCACAGACGGCTACATCATCAATGTTGATAAAACACGTTTTCCGGTTAATAAATATCGAGACATGATATTATCAGAGCTATCCTGGAATTTTTGACTACAGAATCCCAATTGCGGCCACACAGTGGGTGAGATTGGCGCTTCTACTATAAGAAAACACGACTTTGGTGTAGTCAATTCAATCAATGACTGCGCCAAGTAGGCGGCGTCCTGGATGTCGTCTAATCTATTCTGTACTCGGTCTGGCCGCTACGCCACCTGTTGTTTCACTACTCAGACTTGGCGGTGTAGGTTCCCACCTTTTTACTATCCTTCTAACTGATTCATACATTCTTCTGACTTTTGATGCCAATCGCGGCCCAGCGTCCTGTCAACAGCTCAATTCGGGAGATTGATTCGCGGACTCAGTTGATCGGTGACCCACTCCTTCTCTCTCGCTCCTCGGCCGTCTTGCCCAGCTGTTTGTGGAGTGACGGCTTCGGCTCATTTTACAGCATCTCCGAGGTGACCGAGGCACGACCCGTACTTCAGTCACTCTTGACCCCGTCCTTGGAACTGTTACGATTGATCTCCGATGCCGGCGGTATCTCCCCTGTATGGGCAATTGGTAACGCCGTTCTCAAGATCAAGGTCTTTGATCAACCGAGAATGACACGGGAGCATGTCACACTAGCGGCGTGAAGGCTATAAAACTAGTTTCTCTATCTCGGATGTCGTCTATCATGGCGAATGGGACAGCCGACATTACCTGATTGTGATGAAATGCAGCGTCTAATCATTGGAGAGTAAAATAGTTGTCCCATTAAGAATCTATGTATGGGCCAGAGAAGTGGTAGAAATACCCATCTCAGGCGGTCTATGCGGGTGGTACGCCACATCTATGGCGGCCGCTACTGGTACTAGCCACACCAACCTATTCCAGCTTCACGACACTGATTTTATCCAAGGCACCTGGGCTGACCCTTGGCGATGTGTGCCTGACGATGGATAAGACCACAAAGCGTCACTACGTCGACTGGGCTGTGATGTTTGCAAGGAGTTAGGGAAGCTTCAAGCTGACTGAATTGGTGGCCTTGAGAGGAACGAGCTTCTTGACCCACTCCTTATCAAGCGCAACGCATAAAAGGACTTTAGTTATAAGAATCTTGTCAAGAGTTACATAAATTATATATAGAATTCTCTAGTTTTATCTTCTCTCACTGTGATTTAGGCCTAGGCAACTTAACTATAGAAAGTAGTGGCTCACTTGGTGTCATCGATTAGGAGATAGCGGGGTTTGCAATTACCTTAAGACTAGATCTAGACTAGGTCTTGCATCCCTAGCAGTCTGGATATACCTGTTGTAGGTGATAAAAGGGTTGATTGGCGACGACGTATGCAGAGACAGTTGGCTTTAGAAGGATATCCTGAGATAGCTGATGGATGAATGAGTTTGTGGAGGGGAGAATAGAATGGTTTTATTGAGCATTATCTGCGTATTCTCCAGGCACCAGTGTCACCCCTAGGCCCCGACGGATAGTACCTGTCCTGTTTTTGTCATGCTGCTCAATGGCTGTCTGGGGCCCGAGATGATGTTATGAGTGGGTGCCTGAACGAACGAGAGGAAGAACATACCGGCAGAGCCTTTATTTGACAACCTAACGGATGTCCTTGCCGCAAGGTTTGCCATCCTTGGTCCCAGAGCATTTGGTAGCTTTAGACACATTATTATACCTGAAGTTTAAATAATTGACTGCGTTAACTAGATTGAAGGAAGTGAGTACTGCTATGGTAGATGAACACAACGACCTGTTGGCCGACGTCCTCGAGGGTGAAGACAAGATGATACCCGAGTTTAAGCTCGCTGGGGCCTGGTCTTTCCCAGAGACATTACCATCTCCACCCCCGGTCAGAACACGCGCATGTTGAGGGCTCTAAATAGGCCATTATGGAGTGGGATCTTCTGGAAGTCGGGAAAAACGATACAGTCTGGGGAAAGCCTAGTGCCAACTTGCCGTCTGCGACTTCCCAAAATTCGTTCCGGTCTTGACCTCAATCCGAAATAATGGATTCAAGAAGGATGCTACCAGTACGTGGAGATTCTAGTTTGCCCATAGTCACCGAACTGAGCTAAACGGAGAGGAGGCTGAGGATGTGTGTAAGGAGTTTGAAGATTGAGACACTGAATGACAATTCAAGGCGATGATCGACAACAAGCTGAGCTGACTTGCATTGGCATTGAGGCGCAGAGGGCCTAAAGTAAGACGATGCGGGATATTATATCTGCCCATTGAATGAAAACAGGGCGAGCCAATCTGCCTTGCGGTCTTTCAGCGCGCATCAGCTGATCGTCTATGTGCATGACTTGAACCAATTCACTCGGGGCAACATGCACAATTCCTAGTTGGCGTCTTGGACGCTTGGCCCTTCATATACCGTAAGTGCCATCTGTGAGTGGCTGGTTGGGCAGCTAATTCAATCTGGGTTTAGTGGATGCAGCGGTAAGGCATACCCAGCGCCAACTTGGGCAGAATCTGCGCCGCTGTACAGACTTGGCATACCAATTCCGGTGCTCACTGGATAGATCATGCATCTCAGCTTTAAAAGTCGATATGTCTTCTTGAAGTCGTCCATAACGAGTTGTAAACGTCGACCTTTGCGAGTTACCCATCAAAGTGATTAACTCGATGCACCATGGCGCCTCCCATCACTGTTTTCGAGAATCCATGGCCGAAAGACAAGCCCAAGATATTGCTTCACGTTGCAGCCGCTGTAAGAGGCAAAGTACCGGAGCTCAAAGCATCAGGATATACTGACAGGTATGAAGAGGCACACCGAGATTATTGAGATTTTCTTAAAGCTTCTTCCGTACTTCAAACAAGACGAGAAGGGCAACATCCACGATAAAGCCCTGGCGCTTTCGGAGTGGCGCTACACGTGCTACATCCGCTTCCTCGATTTCAGCGGAACATCGCCGAATGACTTTCCGCCGCCGTGGTTCGTACTTACCCCGTTGATTAGAGTCGAAAGCGAGAACCTCACCTCGTTTTAGGGATGTTGCGATTATCTGGTATTGCCATCTGCTCTCGCCCAGTGGATTCCACCGTCATTTATGGGATAACTGCCATTCTTCCTACGGCCTAAACCACAACCAGTTTCCAATCATGCGTCTATTGCATCTCGCCAAGTCCGGAAAGTGGACGGACACGAAAGCTCAGAAGAAATGGGCGTCCTTCAACAGGAAGAAAATTGGCCCGCATCTTCCCTTTCAACTTTGGAGATCTCCGCCGTGGGAGGATAAACGAAAGCTGGGCATATTTTCTGTCCTATCTACTAAAAAGTCGAACATACAACCCGAAGAAGACCCAGGTATCGTCATGTACAATATTTCTGGAAAGCTCTGCACGACTTTCAAACAGGACAAGTGGACACTCTCCGAGTGGACGGACATCAGGACGGGCAAGAGACTGGAAACATGTCTAAAAGCCAGCATCCACAGCAGCCGCGGGCAAAGATGCGAGTTGGCCATGTGGCCGAGTCTGCAGGATCTTAGGGATACGCTGGACCGCCAGATCGGCTTTTGGAAAGCTACAATCCAAGCGCGGGACGCGCAGAAGAACTTTAATCATATTGTGGAGGAGTCAGTCAAGGATTACGAGCGCTTCATAAAGCTGCTCGGGCGACCCGCGGAAGGGACGTTCACGTCCCGCCCGCTAGAATATGACATGGACACGATAGAGAAACCAGGCTCCATGCCAGACAGGAACCGGGAGTTCGTGCCCCCGAATCTCGTCATTGACCTGCTATGGCACACGCACCGGCTGTACCCCGCGAACTACTGGACCTGGAGCTTTGCCGTCGCGAGGAGACTCATCGACTATGCACCAACGCCGTCGGCTGCCGCGGCGAGGAGAACCCTTGCGGAAACGAGAATGGAGTGGAGGAAAAAATACGACGAGGAGTGTACGGAGCAGTTTGCAATGGACGAGGATGGCGTGGAAGATTACATCCCTGATGCGGCGGTAGTTCCACCAGGTCACCCAGCCCGGGTGAAAGCGAAATGGATTCTGGGCGGTGTGAACCCGGTCAGGGAGAGAAGGACATACACCAAGGGGCAGTATTATGTTTTTGAGGGCGTATGGGTTTCTTTCGAAGGTAGCGATGCTGGCGGGGGTGACGGCGGCGGTGGTGATGGAGGCGGGGGCGGTGATGGAGGTGGCGGAGGAGGCGAATGAGGTTTGAATCTACGCCCCGCTGGCGAGCCGTGTCATCATCCACAAATTGTAAGAAGCACCAGAAACATTAATCTGAGAAAATGAGAGATAGCCCTGATATAGAAGAAGCCAGACTATCCAGCAGATCTTTTTTCTCGGCTAACACGAATTTGTCAGTGAGATGAGTGATGAGATGAGAATCAGATGAGAGCAGTCGGGTGAGTGGTCCGTGCCAAGCCAAATTAGCCACACTTGACTAGCGCCACAAAGCCCCGTAGACCCCGCCAACCGGTGTTCAGCCGAAAGGTCCCACATCTCGGCGCCGTGTCCCGCAGCCTTGCAGCTCAGGAAATTTTCTTGATCAGGGCCACCTGCGACAGGCGCTCGCGAACACTCCACCTGCACTGAGATACGGACCATGAGAACGTCCGCGATCTCAATTCGAACATGGCGACTGATACTCCCCCTCAACCGACCGACGGTGCCCCTGCGAGGCAGCCAGCCGATCTCCCGACAGGTGACAAACCGTCAGTTCCATCAGAGTCCCGCACCGAGAGCTCGGCCCAGTCCGGTTCTGCTGGGGCGGGTGGACAGGACGGCAGACGCGGAGAGAAGCGCAACGGCAAATCTCGCGGACCCAAGCGCAAGCACGACGTCGGACGCTCAGCATGGAGGTAAGTCATTTCTCTGCCCATACGAATTGGGCAGCTGTTTTTGATTGGTTGAGTGCGCACCGGTGCCAACATTGTCTAACCAGGTAACAGCCGCGAGGCCACCGACAAGCGCGGACGCAATTCCGAGTATCAAGAGTTCAAGCGCAGGAAGGTAGACAAAGACGGTAACCCCGAGGCCGTTCCCACCCCCTTCACCGCTGAGGAGATCGCTGCCGAAGGCCGCCGGCCCAAGCGCAAGGTGGCCGTCATGGTGGGCTACTCCGGCACCGGATACAAGGGAATGCAGATCAACAACGAGGAGAAGACGATCGAGGGAGACCTGTTCAAGGCCTTTGTCGCCGCCGGCGCCATCTCCAAGGCCAATGCTGACGACCACAAGAAGTCGAGCCTGGTGCGGTGCGCAAGAACCGACAAGGGCGTCCACGCTGCCGGCAACGTCATCAGCTTGAAGCTCATCATCGAGGACGAGGACATTGTCGACAAGATCAACGCCAACCTGCCCGAGCAGATCCGCGTCTGGGGCATCCAGCGCACCAACAACTCCTTCAGCTGCTACCAGACCTGCGACTCGAGATGGTATGAGTACCTCCTGCCGACCTACTGCCTTCTGCCCCCCCACCCCGACAGCTGGCTGTGGAAACAGCTGGTTGAGGTGGCCAAGGAGAAGGGATACTACGAGGAGTTCCAGAAGAAGCTGGCGGACGTTGAGGGCTACTGGAGGGAGGTTGACGAGAAAGACATCAAGCCCATTCTCGAGAGACTCGACCCCGAGACCAGAGCCAAGGTCATGGAGAGGATACACGCCGATGAGGATGCGGCTGGTGGTGGTGAGGCGGAGGAACCCAAGGCCGCAGCCGAGACCAAGGCCGAAGAGAAGCCGGCCGAGCCCGTCTCTCAGCCGACAGAGCCCGCCGCCGAGACCAAAACCCCCGCCGAGGTCCCCGAGGGCAGCGTCAAGCCCCGGAACCGTGACCTGACGCCCCTCGACTTCGCCCTGCGCGACATCAAGGCGGCCTACATCGCCGCCAAGAGGCGGTATCGCGTCACGCCCGAGCGCCTGAGCCAGCTCCAGGCGGCGCTGAGCGAGTACTGCGGCACCATCAACTTCCACAATTACACCGTGCAGAAGAGCTTCAAGGACCCCTCGGCCAAGCGCCACATCAAGTCCTTCCAGGTCAACACGCAGCCCATCCAGATCCGCGACACCGAGTGGGTGTCCCTCAAGGTCCACGGCCAGAGCTTCATGATGCACCAGATCCGCAAGATGGTCGGCATGGCCTCCCTCGTGGTGCGCTGCGCGACCCCGCTCGAGCGCATCAGGCAGAGCTACGGCCCCACGAGGATCGCCATCCCCAAGGCGCCCGGCCTGGGCCTGCTGCTCGAGCGGCCCGTGTTCGACGCCTACAACCGCAGGGCCAAGGATAACTTTGGCAAGGAGACGATCGACTTTTCCAAGTACGACGACAAGCTGCAGGCGTTCAAGGACAAGCAGATCTACCAGCGCATTTTTGAGGTGGAGGAACAGGAGAACACGTGAGTTACCCACCCATCCATCCAGGGGAAAACGCCTCTTTCGGTCGTGACACGCTTTTTTTCTTTTCTTTTGCTGACCACTCTGAACAGGTTCCACATCTTTTTCCAGCAGGTTGACAACTTCAAGTCCGACTACTTCCTGTGGCTGACGGCCGGCGGCATTGACGCCGGCGGAATCCGCACGGGCAAGGACGAGAAGGGAGCGAAGACGCTCGAGGCGGAGATTGGTGACGAGGACGAGGACCCCGAGAACGGTGACGGTTAAGGGCTCGGGGAACGATAGAACGGCCGGGGCTGGGCAGGTAGCACGGGTATAGAGATGCAGCCAACCGGCTCTCCTTCTGGCTGGCGACGTATGCGACTCGTAGAATCAAAAGCATAAAGTTCTTTTCCGACCTCTGGATACGGGTATAAGCGTGAAATCTTGTGAAACCGCACAATCTCCAGTCCATTCATTCCCAACGCCAGAAAATGCACGTCGTTATCTCCCAGAGCCTTTCGTCAAAACCTTTCCCTCTGCTTTCCACAGTTCATGCACCACGATCCTCATGCGGCACCAGCTCCATTGCCGCCACCACTGCCATTCGATGCCGCGGTATTCGCGGGTGGAGGCGCAGTTGCAGCAGCGCCCTCGACGGGAGCGGCGGCATCCGGGCGTCCCATCGGCGCCCACTTGCCGCCCGCCGCGCTCGCCAGGCCGGCGTACCGCTTCTCCTGGATAGCGTTGAGCAGCTCCGCGCAACGCACGACGTCGGCCTGGAGCTTGTCGGCCTGGATGCGGGCGTCGCCTTCGCCGCGGCCCAGCTTGCCAAAAAGCCAAAGCTCCTTCAGGCGGCGGCTCAGGGCGAGGAGGTCCTTGATCGAGGTGTGCTGAGACATTCAAGTTAGCGCGAGGGGCTCAAAATGGGGACGCGAGGAACGAGGGTTTGCTGCTGAGACAAGGGTGAAGGCGACATACCAGGCCTTCAAACTCGATCTGCATCGATATGCCCGTCACGGCGACGGTCTGAGGCTCGGCGTTCTTGCGCTCGCCTTCGGCTTGGATCGTCGCGAGCATCGTCAGCATGCGGAACCGCGAGAGGACATCTGCGATGAGACGGTTGTGCGTGTCAAGCAGGTTTGACGAGTCTCGTGATGTATCCATCTTGGCGACTTGTGACGGGCACTGCGGTAGGTGAGATGCACGGCGGTTAGTGAGTGGCTGGATTGAAGTCTGGAGGTTGAGGTTTATGTGGTGGGGGTTCCAGGTGGGGCTCGGTGAGATATGCCTGTGGTCCGAGCTCACCGACGCCAAATCTCGGTGTAGGAAGAACCCAGCGCTGTCAACACGAATACCCAAACCTGGGAAGGGTATTTTTGTTTTTACCAAATCAGAGCGGTAAGAAACTCAATACTTACTCCTATAACTGAGTATAATCATTCTATGGTTTCAATGATGAAGATCTCCTTAAAGCAAGTTTCGCCTGAGGAAGCAGGGTGGGCGGAGATCCTATGTTGACCTGGACTCAGTAATTCCATGCTCAACCCATTTGACCGGGCCGAAGTAGTTGTTTTACAGTTTACAGAGAATGAAAGACAAAGTGGGTTGGACGCTGAAAATTTCAGAAACGGCTCGAAAAAGGATGATTAAACTCAGATGCAGATTGTTCGGGGGACAGATTTTCTGATCTCGGCTAATCGATGGAATGTATAACACATTGTGTATAAAACAAGGCACCTGTGTTTCCAGCTTTCTACAAGTTGTATTGTAACTTGTAGTTGTTATAGGTGAGCCTTTGACTGGCCCAGCGCTTTGTTCTGTTGGCCCTTCATAACCAGCATCTTGAACGGACTCGAATGCGCTACCATCATCAATGGACCGTAAAAAATGAAAATCAAACAATGAAGCCTATGTATTATTTGTCCCAGAGACAATAATTGCTACTTCTTTCTATAGACTTTGCGCTGATCTCTGTCGCGTGACTGAGAGTACTTATTATACTACAAATCCGTTTTAGTAACGGCTCGATATCAATTTCACAATCCAAACGTCTTCACTCAACCACGGCCGTTGTCGTCAACGCCTACACAAATACCACAGCCAGCCCCTGACTCCAACTCTTACCTAAACTCTCAAACCATAGGCTGAAGCCAGCAAGCCTTTCACCAAAATGTCTGCAACTGCTCCAGACTGCCTTGTCCCTGACCTCACCATCCTCTCTGGGATCTCTGAGCTTGATGGGATCACGATGTGTAAATACCGCATTATCTCTAACAGCTCAACCACTTGCACCGCGGTGGCCTCCTTAGAAGAAGACCAGTCTCCTTGTGGTCTACCTACCCATCTCATCATCCGCCTGGAAAAGAGCCGGGATGGCAACCCCCTCTTCGCGACGGCTGCGTTCCAGAGGCTGGCCCACCGACGACTCCCCCATCTGGTGCCCAAGGTCTGGGGTGCTGGCCACACCCAGACCGAGAAAGGCGCCAAGATCTCGTACATGCTCTCGCAGTACTACATGGACACGTGCACACTGGAGTCGGTATGGGACGACATGGATAAGTTTTCACGACATGCGTTGGTAGAACAAGTTGTGTCCAATTTGGTCCATTTGAAGGATGTTTCTGTGGCAAATGTCAACGATGAAACCGAAATTCTACGAGGGACACCGTTTGAGCGAACCAAGACGGGGAACTCTGCTATGGTAGGTGGTCCTGCATACGGTTACTTTCGTGACTTTTCGTCGTTTTTGATGAGTACACTGAGCTCCGGCAGCAAGAGATACAGTATAGATCGAAAGCCAGATGGTACTTTGGCAATTCAGATGAAGTCTCCACAAGAAACTGGCTTCGGCTTCGCTCAGACGGATCTCGACTTGTTATTACACATGTCGGTGTTGTGTCATAACAACCTGGAGCCTCGAAACATTCTCGTCCGCAAGGTCATCACTAGCAACAACAGGGTGACGTGTCAACTGGTTTCCGTCATTGGCTGGGAAATGGCCGGCTTCTTCCCCTTCGCTTTCGAGGTGGGTTACAAGGACACATGTTTGGGCCTGCAGAATCAGTCCTGGAGCTGGTATAGTTGGTACAGGCTCAGTGCGGGTCGCATTCTCTCCGGGACAGCTCCTGCCGCGCGTCCCATCTGTTTCAAACTGATTCAATCCATGGTGCTCACCGACATTGCAAAGAAAGAAGCCAACAAGCTGAACGTGGGAAACTTGGTGCAAAAGCTTTGGCATGAAAGAGAGCAGACTATGGCCTATGTTGATGCCGAAACGGGATACGCTAAAAACCCCAACATTGTAGGTGTCAATTCCTTCAACATGACTGACAATGCTGAGCTAGAGCTGGAGGCTTTGCGCAAACTACGGTATATAGATTAAGGAAGAGGCGAATGCCCGTGAGAAGGAGCAAGTTACCTTGTAGCTCAACGTGTACATATTACCGAAAACGCATCACGTGTATTTCCTGCTGGGAAATGGCCACTCTGAATTTTATACTTTCACAGGTATCTTTCCCCGTAGTTGCCATTCGAGGTCTAAAATCTCTCTCATTCATCTCCATATCGGTCCTTTGCAGCCCCGAGCGATCTCGCGGGTCTGCTATCAGTATATTAGGTGAAAACATGCGACTCTCTACCTGTGAGCGAGATATACGGGTGCGAGGCTGATATCTGCCTTGAGTATTAGTTGGGCTCCGACTTCGAAAATATTGTGATGCTCGGCGCCACAAGGATATCGATCCTGGTATACATGCATTAATCACACTCAGGTGGAGCTCAACCAAGGACCATACGGCTAAATACTTAAAGTCATCTGCGACACCGATTGGTTAGCATTCAAAAATTGGAGATCGCACTTCACTTCTGGAGAGGGAAGAAAATGGGGATGGGAGAGCTACTCACAAGTTGGGTTCTTTGTGTCGCCGAACTCTGTTCTTAGACGGATATAGCTAGACATAGTGACACTATTCCCAGCGACCCGTTTTGATACCAGATTCAAAACGACAAAATATTAGTCTAAACTTACAGGAGACCAATGTGAAATACCAGACTTATGCTGGTTTTCGTCTTGGTTGTCCACGACGTGGCAATGCTATTCGAATGCTTGAGATGATACCCCGGAACCTAGGCTTCGAATCCGTGGCTTACAGCAAAATATGCCATACACCGAATACCCCTGTGATATTGAGACTCATCTAGTAGGTTTTTCGAAACCACGGCTCTGGAAAGATATGTAGGTAAAAAAGGATTATAGAGTCTTAGTCAGTAAGATTATGATAGCATACATGATCTCGTCTGCGAAGAAGGCCTTTGACCCGGTTAGCATATCGTACAACTCAATAAAACTTCAGGTTATCTAACAATAAGAATTCGGGAAATTTGCTCCGGAGATAGCATTCAGATATCTTGGCCAAAGCCCAGTTCGACTGCTGGTTTTTCATTAGCCCTGCGTCCAGTGAAACAGTAGGTTGCTGTTTTCGCTTACATAGCTGCGTGCATATATCAGCGATTATGAGGGCTACCTGTAGCATGTCCATGAGCAACAGAACAGTCGCATATTTTACAACGCTACAGACTTACCAAAGATACAAAGATGCACCCTTCGTCCCAAGAAACCGTAAACGCGCGGCTCACAAGAGGAGTCCGCGCAATAAGGCGAGCCATTACGGCGATTAGATTGAAGCTGAACATTGACCAAACGAGCGGAGCCTGGATAGCGTTGCGTCTTACTCTTGCTCCTCCACTGAGAGTGGTAGAGTTATACCTTCTGGTACATACGTGGCGTTGGTCTTCCTGATTTCGAGATGGACGCAAGAATTACACATCTGAAGAACTAGCACAGACACATAGGAACGTCTGCTGTGAGGTACATGCAAATCAGAGAACAAGTCAACCTTGTGTCACTGGGTTCCGTACTGCCGGATGTTGGATCATTCTCAGCGCCGATCAACCCAAGTAAATGTTGATAATTGGACCACTTACGAGTTAAATGGAGGGATATTTTATCTCCAGCATTGATGGCTTGCCAAAACAAGTAAACAATCTGAAGAATTCTCACTCATACATTTACAGGAAAAGAATTCTAACTTGAGTTCATCGTCTATTTTGAGGATAGCGCACATTCAAGAGGGCTATGATTATCACTTTGCCGCGCGTTCCTTTCCAGGCAACATGCTGATTGGATGGCTATCCTGTCTTTTCTCCTATCTACACTAAATACCTGTGCTCATTACTGTGGTGGTAATCCTTGGCTGCAGTGAAAGAGGCTCTATGTAGTGATCATCTTCAAAGGCACCCATGCAAGCGAAGCCAATCGAGGCATCAGATAACGACAGCTAGTAATACCGATAAGCGTTTAGATAACAAAGACCCACTCAACGTATCCTTGCGTACCATATTGTTGCTTAAACTGGTTAGCACCGTGACCAGCAGCGTGTCGATGGATTAGTGCTGACATGGATGAAAGCTCCAGGAAGTCTGCCTTACTGACGAAATACTCAAGACGCCAAGAGTGGCGGTGTCTCTGAGCGAGAGCCTACCAATAGAGAAGCGACCCACGCAGACAGGCGGAGATGATACAAACATGGTAAGTCCCATATAAGTTTTGAATGGCAAAATAAGGAGTAGCTAGTGGTTGCTTATTTCATTATCGCGGGTCCCTTTCTGGCCTGTTGCCTGCCACACCAGCTATCTAGGCGCGCACGCAACTCATACAGCCAGCCGCTATGATGGCGACTCCAGTGAGTACCATATCCCTGGTCGAAGAGGAACAAGACATTTCCTATCGGGGCGCACGATTTCCCTCCAAATTCCGCCGAAACTTCCCTAGATCCAAAGAGGGTTGTTTGACCTGTCGCACAAGGCGGAAAAAATGTGACGAAGTCAAGCCAGACTGCACGTTGTGTCGTCGGAGTGGGCGGGAATGCAGCTGGCCCGTTGTTGTAAAGAGCAACTCCCCCGAAGAGACGACAGCCGGCTCAAACGGCAAAGCGGGCTTGCAGAAGGAACCTGCGAAGGAGATCCCCCATAGCCGGCGACGACTAACGCAATGCGACTTCGAGACCGCCTCTCCCGCCATCGCGATCATATCCGAAGCCACAAAAGCCATGTTGCCTCTGCGGGCGTCACTTACGTTCGGTGCCTTGTCTCAACTGGACGACATTTCTCGTCCTTCGTATGAGCAGTATCTAGCCGTGACTACGGTTCTTCTTGTCCGAGGACGCACCTCGGAGGGCAACCCGTTCATCAATTATGTGCTTCCTCTGGCTGCGTCAGACAACCTGATCATGGACTGCGTCCTAGCCATTGGAGGGGCCCACATGTCCGTTCAACATGCCAAAAACCGCCAGTTGGAGGTTGTGGCTCGTGGTCATTATGCTCGGGTTTTGGCAGGGCTGCGCAAAGTCCTTGCTGGACAACCAGGCTCGACTTTCGGGAGCTCCAGAGAAGACAAACAAGTCTATGTTGTTTTGGTCCTTCTTCTTCTATGTATTCTCGAAGTACGTCATTGCCATTTGAAAATCGACGACATGTCGAACTAACAAGACGTAGGGGGTACAAGGGGACGTCAACGGCGCAGTCTACCACCATTTGGAAGCTACCCGGCAATATGTGGCTCCCTTGGCAGCCAAGTCGCGCAGGCCGTCTCCGCATAAGCTCCAGCATATTCATGGGTTCCTATTGGAGATCTACACAGTTTTCTCCCTGGAGCTCGCAATAACACCAAAGGGCACCCTGGATGATCAACCAGTGAACTTGGATCCTTTCCTCGAATCGCTAGCCTTCCTCGGCGAATACAAGTCCTGCGGTTTCATGCTTGGGTTTGGACATGGCCTTTTCGGAATGATACCCGAGATCGCCAAGCTAGTCGAAGCTCGCCGGGCAGAAAACCTTGATAAGAAAGCGCCCAGCAGTCTGTACCAGTCTTATCGGTCGCTTGTTTCGAAGCTCGATTCATGGGACGAATTCGCCGACGTTCTGGAAGGAGATGGCGTCAGCCCACGGTACGAGCAGGCGACCGCTGCCACCATCTACCGCAATGCCCTGATTATCTATCTTCACTCCGCCTTCCACGACAACCTCCTGAACAGCCCTGAGCTCGTTACGGAGATCGAGCTGCGCATAGACAAGATGCTGCCGCTTTGCTGGGCTTTTTATTCTGGCATCTCGCCCTTGCGACGAATGATGCTGTGGCCTGTGATGGTTTTGGCATCATGTTGCAGCAAGAGACATCATGTCGAAGCCTTTCGATACGGGCTGAACATTAACCCACGAGCACCGGGCGCGGTACGGGAGGCCGCGAGAGTGGTGCAGCTTCTTTGGGAAGACGAGAACCCTCGCGCCTTTGGTCCACGGGGGTTAAATTGGGTTATGAAGAAGCATGGTATCAGCATCAGTGTGTGTTGACGCAACCACGTGCTGCAATGAATCTGATAATATGAATCATTGATACGTGACACCGCCTTCCCAAACAACCTCGCTCCTAGTTACTCAATTCGCTCGGCTTGCCTCCGAGCGAGGCAATATTTAGAAGCGACTTTTGGCGCAACCACTTATAGAAAATCAAGCCACTTTCAACTCCATGAATTGCCCCCTAAGTTAGTGATAAAACATTATGGTATGTAAAAAGTGCAACAGGTGGTATTGTACACTTCGAGCGGCTTATCTGCCTCTAACCGCATTTTCTCCTTAAACCACTAACAGGGCCCATAACCAGGCGCCGTGGTCATGAGGAAGTAATGAGTACGATCTCTCTTCGTTGTCCTCGTAGAACAGGTATCATAAATACAAGTAGTCGCCCAAACCTTTTGCTCCCTCGCTATTTCCCGTCTTGGGATGCTTAGCACCCTCCGCCACCTCCGCCACCTCCGCCACCTCCGCCATCACAGCCGCCGCCACCTCCTCCTCCGCCGCCGTCATGACCACCTCCATGTCCATGACTGCCGCCACTGTCACCACCGGTGTAGCCCCAGTAAGCGGGTGTATTACTTCCGCCTGTATGACCATATCTTCTACGCCCATGACGGCCTCCGTTGTGATTGTAACTGTTGTAAGCCATGGCGGGTCGGGGTTTGTAGTCCGAACCGCTGTAATTAGTGTTCTTTGAGCGAGACGGTAAGCACATATTAGCTATGTCTGTAGGTATGAATGAGTAAAACGGAGCTAAAGTGGTGCTTCGTTTCTCAATGATATATGGCAGAAGATTTGTTTGTAGTGTTGATGTGGTTGGGCGATAAGTGTGCTTGTTCTAGGAGGTAGGGTGATTGATTCTCATGTTGTGGATGAGGACAAGGTCATTCAGGAGTAAAAAGCGTTGCGTATTTAATAAAAATGAGATAGCCCATATGATTCTGCCTTGGGAGCGAGACACAAGCTTTGGCGATGAGCCTTTGATGCCCATGATCGCCGGCAACTCCACCTTGTATAGGGCTTCTAGCGCAGGAAGGATCAGGCTGTCTTGGGATGGAGTCATAAATGCCTAGACAGGCAAATCAAAGACTCTGGAAACCAGTTGCCTTAATCGGCCCTGGCGAAGAACGCCTTGGGCATGTGCAGAAAGGGTAAGACAATGTAGAGACAACACCAAATCTGCCCATCTGACTGGAGCTGTGGATGTCTGGGGCACCGGGGGCAGTTCCGCCCGTTGTAACCTTACCTCAGTCATGCTCCAAGGAGCTTTTCACGGTAAACGGTACCTATTTGTTCACAAGCAACAGTCAGCAAGCGTCGCAGGACCGGATTGGCGTGATCGGCGTATGACGTAGCCTTAGTAGCACAGCCTGGGCGCAGCTCGCACTGCCCCACGCATTGCCCTACGCCCCAGATTGAATGCGTGATTCAGGACCTCATTCAGCCAAACGAGGTTGGTGCTACTGAACATCTATCAAGTGGGGTGAGTCAAGGGTTGGTCCGTATGCTTTGGCGCGGCAAGGTCATGTGTTGAGGAAGTGCACAATTGCGCGCTGAATGGCAGACGCAGTCTGTTTGATTGATAGAGTGACTTTGCACGATTATCCAGCCGAATATTTACCCAACGTATGGAAATCCTTTGTTTCCCTTCACAACCATTAGGGTGCAGAGCGCCAGGGCTCTTGTTGTACAATGTGATGATAAGGTGAAAGTCTGATGGCTTCGTTCTGACGTAAGTAATCTATTAAACGACTTTACCGCTACTCACATTATCGACCCCAGGGCTTTCTAGATGACGCCAGACATCCTTGCCATAGTTATGCAGTGCGTTTGAGTCCCCAAGTGACTTAATTGATAGGAACACCATCCCTATTGCGCTCAAGCATATGCTTCTTAGGCTTAAGAGACGCTTGAGATATTTGAGACACATGTGCAGACATTTGTCAATCAGCATCTGCCTCATACCTCAGACAACAAGCTGCCTTTCACCAAAAGACATGTCGGCCCCACTGAGAGCGAGTCTATTGATGAACATATCCATCCTACCCCCCAAGTTTAGGTTTTCATCTTTTTCTACACTATCAGGTTTTACAGACAACTTCCTCGCAATCCACAAGCTGTGAAAGACAGTTCAGGCTGACGTCTTCCTCAACAAGTCGGCTATTTCATACATCCCCATCTACCCCTATAAGACCAATAACGTGCCATAAAACGCCTGAATTTATAACTTCTTCAAGCACAACAACCTAGAAGCTTGAGAAGTAGAAGAATTTATATAACTTTTGTTATATATAGTACGTATATAAGGCGTTAATTACTACTTATAATTAACAGTACTGTTTTTATAATAGTTATAAGCCTAGTTTACTTTAGTATACTATAATAGCACTAGCCCTAGAGTTTAGTAGCTAAGTATTATAGACCCTATAAGTTTAAATCTTATGTAAGCTATAGACAGGAAGCGTTTTAACTCTAGTAGATACAAAAGTGTCTTAAAAAGTAAGCCTAGGGGGGTAGCTATAATAGCTTCCCTGTTAACCTAGTGATTATATAGGCAGACAGATTATAAAGATAGATCTCTACGATCTGGGGGGGGGGGTGTGTTATATGTAGTACGTACATAAGGCGTTAATTACTGCTTGCGATTAATGGCGTTATTTTTGTGACAACTTTGTACTCTATCCTAAGGCTTCTCAACAGGAAGAAGAGTCGTCCACAATTGATCTGGCTATTGAAGAAGAGTCTTAACTATCACAGACTTGTTCAGGGCGTCCCATTAGATCACCATTCAGTCAAGCTCAGCAACTTAAGACATCTCTACTTCCACAACATGTAAGAGAGGATTGGGGCCAAGGTACTGCTAGATTCAGGGGACTCTCTGCCTCATACCAAGAGCACTTCTGTACTTCCGTTGCGTTATTCTGGTAAAAGCCCTCCTCCTACTACACAAAGTTAGAGGAGTCTCCTTTGTTTGCTGCTTCTGTTATTCTCCACCCTTCACTTGGTATCTCATACCTTAAGGCAGTCTAAGATGAAGGCGTTCCGCTTGGGTGGGTCCGTGATGCAAAGAAGGGACTCAAGGACTTCTTTGACCGTTGGTATAGGTTAAAGGAAGAGTCTGACAACTCCAAGACTGTCCTTGAAATCACACTCCCATCCCACGAAGACAGTCACTTCAGGCAGTGGGCAGGGAGTGGGCACCGTTGTGAGACTTTAGGACAGTAGAATGAGCTTGCGACTTACCTGAGGCAGCCACCTAAACCCACAGAAGATCCAGTCAGATGGTGGAGTGAACACCAGTCAGTGTACCCCCTCCCCAGTAAGCTGGCTCTTGATGTCGTCGTAATACCAGCCATGGCTGCTGACTGTGAGAGCGTTTAGGACTGCGAAGTTGACCCTGACGTCACAAAGACACTCAATAAAGCCTCAGAGGGTGGGTCAGTTGCAGCTGACGAAGAATTGGCTGAAGGGGAAAGTCATGGCTATGGGGGTTGAGATTGGCTCAATTATGGCATCATGACTGGTTTCGAATAGCTTCATTCGCTTGCTATTTAGGCAGTCAGTATTTCCGCCATTGGGTCACGTGCCTAATGGATTTAACTTGTTGTATTGGCCAATAAGGCGAATCAAACAATTTTCACAAAGGGACGGTCAATTTAGTCAAATCTTGGCGTGGTTTGATTTGTTGGCTTTGGCGGCAGCGCTGACGCACCGCAAAGGCCCCTTGCTACCCTACACGCTTTCAATAGGACATATTTAATAGTCACTATGCGCTACTTTTTTCACTCTCAATTTGCAGGAAGCTACAGCATTCTCTGTAGCGGTATAAGCACATAGGGCATCTTATAGCTACAGCAGTCAGTCTTAGCTCAATACAGAGACCCGAGAAAGCAGTTATAAGGCGCAACGGCCAGTTGTTAGGTAACTTGCACCGAATAAGGTCTTGTCTTTTATTTTCTAGGTACTCAAGCTTAATCCACCGCAATTTTCAAAAGTAGTGTTCAAGCATACTCAGACAAGCTGAGCACAAAAAGAAGATAAAAATCACTCCGCTTCCCCCCAGCAAAATAAGGACACGTTACATGATAAGAGACGTATAAACCGTCTCAATAACAAGTACTAGGCCGCACCAAAACCCGAATAAACAGCTGGAGCACTCGCAATAGGATATCCAGGCAAGGCTTGAGGAGGGCGTGATAGCGGGATGCGTCCTGAAGTCACGTCTGATGTTCACAGAACGAGCCTTTCGTCGAGCTTGAATTCCTTATAGCTGGGGATGTCGTCGGCCGATGCGCCGGCCCCGATAAGCGAGACAATCTCCTCGTTGGCCTGGCCAGCCTCGGCGATGGCGGTGTAGTTGTACTGGGTGCCGTCGGCGAGATACAGGACGTCCGGCTGGGCGCACTCTTCGGTCTTCTCGACATCGCGGGCGTCCAGTGTCTCACCGCGGATCATCTTTCTGTTGTTGAAACCGTAGCCCAGCCCGCCAAAGGGCCCGTTGCCCAGGCAGACGTAGTTGCGGCCGCCGCTGTCCTGCTGCTCGCGAATGGGGCCGCAGTTGGGCCCGGCGTGACCACGGCACTGGATGTTCCAGCCGACCGGGATGGCCCTGAACGAGCCGCTGCCGAGATAGACACCCGAGTTGACGCTACAGCAAGTGTTGGGGTTGATGTTGTAGCAGATCCACCCGCCACCGCTGGAGCTACAGCCGCCCGCAATCTCGAGGTGGAGGTCGATGGCCGAGGCGGCGGTTGCGAAGAGGCCTGATACAAGGCTGGCAGCGGCAAAGAACTTCATTTTACTTGGTAAAGATGGAGAAATTGATCTCGAAAGTAAAGTTGTGCAGGTTGCTTGATGCTGGATTGGTTTCTTTGCTGGGAGGCCGAAGATGCTGAGGTGGATGGAGATGGGTTCAAGAGCTTCCACAAACAGAGACAGGAGAGAGCCTTTTATACATTTCTGGAGGACTTCCGTCACAGAGTCTTGGACATCTTGTCGTTGCATCTCGTCCTCTCGCCTAGTCTCGTCTGCAGCTACTCGTCTGCTGGCTTCTCGTGTAATCCATTGCTTCCGAGGCTTCAGGGGTTGAAAGCGAGAGTGGATGTGTGTACCAGCCTCCTTCTAATGTGTAAGATGATGCACGAAGTTGTCATACCATAAGCACGATCTTACAATGAGTTCCTCTTCTTGGGTCGCAACGCTAACTGCACCTATCGTCTCTTGGCGGAAGAAGAAAACGTAAAGCTACTGTCGTGACATAAGCCGCAATTGCGCAGTGGCAATTACGGATCCGCTTTTGTCATCACAGCTACCTTGGGTGCGGCCCTTGGCGCAGGATTATAGTGTCTTGGAGTCAGGCACTCATACGATGTACATACCACCCACCCTCTCAGTCGAGATGGCCCCGCGCGGGCCGTCCCACCTGTAGATGGATATTTTCTATTGGCTGGAATACCTTGTGGGGCCTTTTCTCTTCTGTATTGATTTTCTTGGTATTGCGAAAACTTTTCTTTTATTTATTAATTGCGCGCGCCAGATTGCAATTTTCTTTTCCTAGGCCATACCTGTTCCTTGGTCTAGTTCCCTTAAGATTAATCTTCCTTAGGTTATAATCATGAAGCCTAACTACTGTTAATTTGTGTGTGCAATCTGGCAAGCGCTTATCAAACAGGGCAAGCTTGTGGGACCCTCTTTTGTAAGACTTGCTCCTCACTTGACTACTTCTTGGCATGAATCCTTCGGTTAGCAAGCTCAGAGTACCTGCCGTTTTGGGCACTTATAGCGCTTACGCCAAGGGAATTCCTATAGGATCTCTTTTCTACCTGCCTACCTAGGTTATAAACCTAAACCACAAACCAAATGCTTCCTTTCCCTACCCTAATGAATATAGAACCATAAAAACCCGAAAATTACTATCCCATTGAGTGCCAAGTGACCTCACATAACCCAAAAATGGGTCTCTGTAAATAATTACTGACAGCCATTGGACAGTCAGCCTGGATTGCTGTAGTCTTATTGGTCTGAGGTTATGTGAAGTCACTAAGCACTCAATGGTATATAAATAAGCCACCTTAAATGCTTATAACAACATTTATGAGTATTATGTTATTTTGCCCTCTCTTGTAATAGTTTCTTTAAGTCGCTGGCGTATTTGATCCACCCACTTGTTAATAGTCTCTTGCTGTAATTTTTACTCCTAGGCCTCTCTATCTTTTGGTTGTGAGGGGTAACAATAGGGGGTAAGTGGTAACGTAACGTGTGCACTTCTCTTTTTTGCTACTCGGGTGCTGCCTAGACACATACAGGGTGACATTGCGGATGACAGATCATTAGCCTAAAATCAAACCCCACAACCACAGTTTCGCCCCTCAAGACCTGCATAGACAGTCAGTCCAGAATCTCATGTTCAGTGAGCTTATTATGGAGACTAGTTTAGTCTAATCAAGTAGTTTCTACCCACATAAATCCTACAAAGAGGGGTGTTACGGTCAGTAATCCGACAGTAGGGTTTCCGCTAATAGAATAGCTGAGGTTGATACTTGGTAACAGTAGTGTAGGCTGGCTGGCTTGTGGACCACTCGGTGATCCTTCGGGTGTTCAATAATCGTGGTGGTAGCTTGTATAGCTTCTTGTCAATAAATCACTAGAGTTAGATACTGAAAGGTATTTAGAGAATGTATCACAAAGTTGATTGCTGAAGAGCTATGGGAGTCTGTCCTTGAGTGCGTCCGAGTTCCTCCTAAATACAAGTCTGTGATTCTGTTGGTGTGCCATGGAGCGACGGCCATCCGTCGGTCCTTCCCCGTGGAGCGCTCTTGACCGGTCGGTCTTTCTTGCTATAGTTATGCAGTGCGTTTGAGTCTCCAAATGACCTAATTGATAGGAACACCATCCCTATTGCGCTTAACCCTATGCTTCTTGGGCTTGTCTGAGTTGGAACCGAGCACCTTCCCGACGATGCTGGTCTTGATAGCTTCGACAACGCTTTGGGCGAACGACGGCCCCGTTTCCTGCCTCCGACGTTCCCTCTCTGCCTCTTTCTCGGCCTTCTTGGCAGCTTTGATATCCGCCGGCCCAGGCTCAAACGCCGGACGGGGGCCGCGATGTGGAGGCCAGCCACCAGATGCCTCGCTCCCTGCGGTGAATGGAATGCCTGAAATTTTTCAGTGTGGTTTCTCACTGTTGTGAGTGGCTGTCCTAGGTACTGGTTGGTTCACTTCGGGTTGTTGCAACAAAAAGCGCTTAGGGTCCGGGTCAAAGGTTTTCAAGTTCTTAGCTTAGGCATCTTGTCTTTTGGGGAATGAGGCTGGATGAACGCATTAAGAAAGAAAAAGTTTCAAGACCTGGCAACATCGCCTATCCCATTGAGTGTCAAATGACCTCAGATAACCCAAAAATGGGTCTCTGTAAACAATTACTGACAGCTATTGGACAGTCAGCCTGGATTGCTGTAGTCTTATTGGTCTGAGGTTATGTGAGGTCACTTGGCACTCATGGGATATATTTCTCGTATGCGTATTTGGTCAGAGGCATCTTTAGGCAGAAAGATCAACAACATCTCAGCGCCGTAGTCGCACCGCCATGCTTACGCCAAGATATCAGCAGCAATTCCAGCGATTGGTGAAATCTACGTCATATTTTGCCCGCCTCATGTTTCTTCATCCACCAACGTGCTTTAACTTGAATACAAGCCAGCTGCGCATCAATTATGGTAGCGAGGCAGACCTATGATGTATATCCCGAAGTCAAGTACTCAAGATGTCAGAGGAGTGTCTCTTTATTCATGGTCCTGTTGATAGATGCTTTTGAATCGCTTGGTTATATTATCGCCAATCCGCTGACTCTTGCTGCAGATGGCTCTGTCTCATGCACCTCACCTAGCCGTCTACCCAGCCATACCCAACGGCCAGGAATAGAACGTGTATTTGTGAGAGGTAAAGATCTGTATTCTGGGTACTAAACCCCCGAAAAATTCCATCGGAGTTGTCTGAATATGCCTTTAGATATACTTGTAATTGTGCCGAGTAGCCACAGATGGCAGGCCCACTTCCTCCAGCCATCACAGTAGCGACTTACCTTCAGCCCGGCACTTGATGACTTGATTATTTTTTGTGTATTATTAACCCGAAATGTTGGAGATTCTCACTTATGAATCAGATACCATGTGATGCCATCTTTCTCGGCCAGTGGTTTCCTGAATCATCCAGAACATACCTAGGTAGAGAAGCTCACTCTTCCTTTCTAGGCGTCAGGTACACGTTTAAAGGGCCTTTCTTCCAAAGCCCAAACAGCTCTTGTTCGGTCCAGTTTCTGCTATCTTCTGCGATTTCCATGTCAAAGTTCCAGATGACTCTGGCTAGGATCACTCTCATCTCCGACATCGCAAGGCTATTTTCATTCCAGGTCAGAAGGAGACATGCCACGGGTAGGAGAGACTTCTGCACTTACTTGCGTCCGATGCAGTTACGGGGGCCAACTGAGAAGGGCTGCAGGGCGCTCTTGTAGTCGTCCGTGAACCGTGCATCTCCGAGCCATCGCTCTGGGATGAAGGACTCTGGCTGCGCAAAGTGCTTCTCGTTGTGGTACATGGGCCACTGTGATACCAATACTCTGGTCTGTTGTCGATGGTTAGTCTCAGGCTACTGATGCACATGAAGGTACCGAATGCGGTCTACTTACACCTCCCGGTACGAATCTGCCGCATATGTAGTCCCCTCCCGGCTTAACAATACGAGTAAGACCTATAGGGACAACAGGGTAGAGCCGCATGCTCTCGTCAAGGACTGCGAGCATATAACGGAGTTTCTGTACGCTGAGGACGTCAATTTCCTTCTCTGAGCTAAATGATGTCCGGACTTCTTCGACCAGTTTCGCCATGGCATCCGGGTGTGTTGTCAAGAAGAACGTGACACCTGATAGTACAGATGCTGTGGTCTCTGAACCAGCAATGATGAGGGTATTCGCAGTTTCTTCAACCTCTAATTCAGACATGGCCTGAAAGCACAACGGGTTAGCGCAGAGCCGCTTGAATGATTGTTGCAAAGGGGATTCACCAAACTGCCCTCCTTCATCATCATGGACTGGACAAAATCTGGCCTTGACTCGCCGAGAGCCATGCGCCTCTGAATCTTCTCATGACTCGTTTGATCGTGAAACTCCAGTCCTTCCTTCAGCCTTTTTGGAATGAGCCTCCTCGCAAATGATTGCGTGATCCAGTAGCGGCCAAACTGGTTTCTGTAGACAGTCGCGTGGATAGCATTGAAAATCGATGCAACCCAGGGGTGATAGTCAGACCTTTCAAGGCAGCCAAACGGCTCTCCAAGGGCCAGGTCTCCGATTATATCAAACGTCGTGTAGTTGTACCAGGCCACCATGTTTAAGGGCTTGCTTCCATTCTCACAATGCTCGTGGAGGCGCTGGACCAACATGTCGATCTGCTTTTGGATCAGGGGCTGCTGCTCCACCATGCTCTGGGCAGAGAATCCGTGCGATAGGACCCGACGTATACGAGCATGATCCTCTCTTCCGGAGTTGATGATGCTGCGCGGCCTGTTCCTCGTGTTGATGGGGTCTTTGCCGTTCTCTACCCCTCCACCGCCTTTGCTGTGGCCCATCAGGTCCTTGAACGCGCGCGGGTCGGCACAGTCAATGGTATTCGGGCCGAGCCGAACGAAAGGGCCGTGCTGTTTATGCAGTTCTGCGAGCCTTTTGTGCGACTTGCCGCTGATGATCATTCTCGAGAATGGAATATGTGTGGCGGCGAAGAGCTTCGGCCCTGGATAATCACGGAGGGGGTGAAAGTACACATTGTAGACAACATTCCAAAGTAGTCGAATAATTACCTGTTGAGTTTGTCAGCCTGTATTCTGCCATGACGCTTTTCTTTTGGAGTCTACCAGAGCAAGCAGGAAGGTAGGCAAAGCCACTGCCAGCTGCACGCTGCTGAGCATTGAAATATCGTATGGAATGATCATGATGAAGGTGGTATTTTCAATCCCAACACCGATTTTTGGGCTCTCTTTAGGCGGTGTTGGAGCTTTGGTATCATTGTCGTATCTTAGCAGGGGACCAATCCTTTATACTTTAGAGTTAATGCACACGCACAAGCTGGTTCCTGCCGGAAGCACTTCCGCTGAAGATTCAAACGAGTCGCCTGTCGAAAACGCTTACAGATTCAAGGGGCCACACAGCCAATAAAGGTTGGGAAAGCTCCCGTTCGATTGTATCTGGTGACGCCGATCTCAGCGACCACAAGCGGGGGGAGCCGTGTTTGCTGGGGGCTTGAGCGTATCGCAGCATTTCGGACGATGAATCGTGTTGTTTCATGCCACCACAACAAACCGGATCGGCCATGATTACGACGGATTTCGGGTTGTTGTAATACTCCGGGTGGTATTTTAATGATTGGCTCCTTGACACGGCTTGATTCGTGCCAAGCAAGTGGTTAAGATGCCGGATCGATAAATGCAAATGCTGGGATTTGAGCATCTCGGTGAATCTTTTGAGTTGAGTTGATGGCGCTGAGTTGATTAGATGTCATCTTTTTGCGTCGAACTTGGTCAGTAAGGGCGGCCGGATCTGCGGCGCATTTGAGCGGGAGCGGCTCCGACGTGGGGCGGAAATGTAACGGAGTTTTGGTAAATGTTCCGGTGTTGGCCGGGTTTCAAGGTTGCTGATGTTGGACAACGTTTCGGCTAATAATGCATACCTAGTTAGCTAATTGTGATGACCTCATCATTTCCAGATACGTCAGAAAGCCTCACGAGTTATGCTGCCCTAGGGTCTACACTGTCCAGCCCACCGGCTATTCTTGATGTCTGGCAATAAACCCGCCGTTGAGATGCCCGTTGGATACGGCGCACTGATTAATATATTGTCCAAGAGGTTCTGCTGCAATGACCAACGAATGGCATTCTATTGGCAAGGCTGAGAAGACAAGCACTCCACATGGTCGCATTTCCACGTCGCCCTATGTCACGGGGATAAAGAAGTGACTCACTACATGCCCAAGTAGTCCAGACATGCGGGAACGCATTGGCACCTCCACTAAACCTGTTCTCTATGCTTCTTGGACTCATGTTGCCATCCGCCACAGCTGTCCCGGCCTGGGAGTGCTTGACTTGATCAAGAGGATCAGGAACCACGAGGGAAGTGTCTCTAACTTCAGAAAGTTCCTTCGCGGGAATCTGCTTTACCACGTTATGTTGCATCGAAAGAGTACCGGGATATGAGGATGTATCCAATTACGAATCGGTTGTGTTGAGCTGGAATGAAAGCATGGATTCCTGTTCGTGCCTCATCTAGGGCTCAACTACCATTTTTATACCGAGGTACCCACGGATAGTGGCAGTTCTACGATCGAGAGGCGGGCAGAGAGACTGTGTCGACTGCAAGGCCAGCCACTAGTAATGTCGGTTTCAACTAAATCAGTAAATCCATATACGTGAGTAGGTGTCATGAAGCCGGAATAGCTCAACACCATTGACATCATTAAGCTGCTGATATCTTTAGTCAACTCAGGATCCTGAATCAACCACCCCAATACCGGATATGAGTGCGTTCAACTCAAACCCGCTGCCGCAGCAGCAGCAAGATGCCGGTGTTACGGCCACAGATGTTGAAAAGCAAGTGGAAAGCGACACCACATCATCCGGAGATGACAGCCAGCAGCCACAAATAGCATGGGACGACCCTCGCGAGATGCGAAATCCCAGGAACTGGAGCACCGCTATGCGGATCCTTCACACCGCAATCCCTTGTTTTCTTGCTTTTGAAATGTATTTGTCCCTTCTATTACCCTTCTCTCGATACCGCTCGGCCTAGCGTGGTCAATTTCCGTTAACATTACTCACGTGCAGCACCTTCGCGACGTCGATAACCGTGCCAGCGTCGACGCATATCATGCAGGAATTCTCAGTCTCTCGCACTCGCTCCATCCTCCCCTTGACCCTCTACACTCTCGGGCTCGGCTTCGGGCCCCTTTTCATGGCCCCTTTCTCCGAGGTCTTTGGCCGCAAGCCCCTCTACGCCGTCTCCTGCACGTTTCTCCTCGCGTTCCTCGGCGGCTCCTCCGCCGCGACAACGTTCTCCGCGCTCCTCGCGTGTCGTTTCCTGGCGGGGACGCTAGGCTCGGCGGGGATAGCCGTTGGCGCTGGCACGATCGCCGACGTGTGGGAGCTCGGAAAGGGCGCGGCCGCATCGTTGCTGTTCATTCTCGGCCCGTTTCTGGGACCCACACTCGGTCCGTTGGCCGGGGCGTATGTCTTGGAAGATAGGGACGGCGACTGGCGGTGGACGCAGTATGTCCTCCTCATGGTCGGTGCCCCGATTTGGGTGGGGATACTGTTGATGAGGGAGACGTCAAAGTCTTGGATCTTGCGGAAGGAGAACGGGGAACCGACGGTGACCCTCAGCCGCCTCGGGGGTCTCGCCAAGACAGCTGTCATGAGACCGACTGAAATGCTCTTTACGGAGATCATTGTCTCGTCTCTGGCCCTCTATACAGCCTACGCGTACGCGATGATCTTCAGCTACTTCGCCAGCTCCTCTTACGTTCTTCAGCGTTACTACGGATTCAACCTCCGCCAAGTAGGGTTGAGTTTCATCAGCGTCGTTATTGGGTACATATTAGCTGCCTTCGTATATAGGTTCCTCGATGCTAGATGTCGGATGCCTGCCGTGCGGGCTGGCACAGCTACACCAGAGCAGCGGCTGTATGTTGCTCTTGTGGGAAGCGTTTTAATCCCTGTTGGGTTGTTCTGGTACGTTGGTAGCTTTATGCTTTTAAGTCCAGGTCAGAAGTTTATTTGCTAATTGTGATAACAAAAGCGGATCCGTAATTACCACTACTCAATTACAGCTTATATCACAACACACACCCCTAGGTTTTTAACGCTACTTTGTTAGAAGGCTAGTAATATAGAACACACGCTTAATAACCTTCTAATCAGGTACATCTTGCTAAAGTATAGGTAGTAGCTTTAACTGCCTTAAACAGTGCTTGAACCTAGGCCCTTAGGATTGTGGGGGTCTTTAATATAGCACATGCGCATGCCGTTAAGGCACACAGAGGTCTAGGGTAGAGCGGGCTTATAACTGTGATGACAAAAGCAGATCTGTAATTGCTACTGAGCAATTACGGCTTATATTACGACACTAATTGTTGGAGTAGGTACGCCTGGGAGGCACGGGAAGGCGGTAACTGGGCTGCTCTTGTCGCGGCTGGTATTCCATTCGGGCCTGGCGCCTTTTGTCTTTTTGTAAGCCGATATCTTATGTCAACCCTGAACGAATGAAATTCTAACGGGACGGATTAGTTGTCAGTCATCACTTACATGATGGACTTTTACGGGCCCAAAGCTGCAGCGTCTGGCTCGTCACTCCACGGCCCTTGCTCGATCATGGTACTAATTGAAACATCTAGCTCTCGCCGCCAATGGTATCCTTCACTACACACTGGGCGCTGTGTTCCCACTCTTCACCATACAAATGTATGAGAAGCTCGGCATTCGCTGGGCCGGTAGTGTCTTTGCTTTTCTCTCGTTGCCTCTGCTGCCCATCCCATGGCTTTTGTTCAACCACGGCATCAAACTGATACAGCGAAGCAGATTCGTTTCCACAGTTTTGAAATAGCTCATATATTCCTATAGGGCCTTTGGTGGACCTGCCCAGAGACTGCTTTATGAATATAAAGTATCTGAGTGTTTGCCCGCACGGCGAATTATGAGTGCAAATCTTTCCAAAAGGTCAGGGTTTAATACGAAGCAGGCGATATAAACCTGACTAAAACTTGGTCAGTTCCACAGGTACTTATGCATTGCCACAAGAGAAGATTGTATTCCGCAGTAGTCGGGACTCGTTTAACTGAGAAATCAGTGCTAGAGGATGACAACATTATCTGTTGACATCCCAAGAATATCTAGCTATCCTAGCGTTTTCGTCAATCAATCTATAACTCTCCGCCATAATTCCACCTCGCCGCCTTGCTTTTGCTATGTGGGGTAGATATTTCGTAAACATGTCCCAGTTTTCTGGCTCTGCGGAGAATAGCTTCCTCAGAATTCGCTTTGCGGCTTTATGATAGCGTATTGAATCTTCCACGTCCCACACACTGTGACTGTACAGTGTAGCCTCCTGCACAAGCTGGTGCATATCAAATATTGGTTCGCCATCAGGACTTACTGCCATGTACAAAATGAAAAATCTCGGGACCGAGTGACTGCCTCTTCAGCGACGTCGTCTTTGCCGTCAGCGGTGTCATCGTCTCCGAATGACTGCACCTGGCTGTTAACGGGTGCGATACCCGCTCTTGATGACAGGCTTGCTGCTGCTTTTGCTGTGGCCTTGATGATCGCAATGGGGATATTCTGGTTGTTAATGTACGCCAGTATATGCAGAACCTTGACTGACGTTTCGTTTTCCTCCTTGAGGTGCTCGATGGTGATACTCCAGGTCTCTAATATGCTTTTGCTGATTCCCTTGCGCCGATGGCTATCAAAATTGGGTTTTCTGAGAAGGGCATATCGCTACTTGCCATCTTTGAGCCGGGACAGATATTTTTCAATTGACGTTGCTGTTCTTCTGATTTAAGCAGCCGCTTGGAACACCGGAAGCGGGATGTAGTGAAGCTCGGAAAGCAGCGCAACAGCATCTTCAATCTCTCCATCGCTTGAAGCGTTACCCCTGACCGTGGCGAATAGGTATCGTGCCTCTTCAGGGAGCATGCTGGCGACTTGAATGGCCCGCAGCGAGCCAACAAGACTACCGGCAATCCATTGATCTCGACTCGTCCATAGATAGAATCAACCCACGAGGGCCTTTGGGTATGTAGGAATACAAGCTTTTTGGTGTGGATTGCGTAGCCGATTTATTCCATGTAGACGTCGGATCGTCGGTAGGCAAACTCGAGGGCGACCTGCGTTTTCCTGGGTCTGTGAGCTCGGCCGTCCGCGAATGACTCGACGGGACACAACACTCACCCAGATCCGCTGAGTCCCCAAAGAGCAATGCTGTGGGCTTTGGAGGGGCAGCAACTCATCAAGCTGCGAGGAGATGCTCGGACGGATGACAGCGCTCTCGTTACGGGATAAGGGGCAATACCCGCACAGGCACGTCTTGGGCGCGGCCGGAGGCGTGGTGGAAGTGGACATTAGCCGTTTCGTCCGATAAGCGCATGCCAGCGACGACGCTTTGGCGCTGCAGCGGGCCGTTAAACGCCATCTGCGGATCCATCGGGCTTGAGTAAAGCTATTCGTCCAGTCGTTTGGGTGTGGTTTCGCCCAGGCTTGACAATAGACACGATGCATCCCAAGGAGTTTGGAACATGGCGCTTTCCCTTAGTCTTGAGCATGCAGCCAGCTCACGTGTTGTCAGTACAGGATCCGCCAATCAGCAGACGTCGCCCCCTCCGTCAGCGGAAATGCCTTGCCGCTATCTGTGATAGGGCATAGGGCAACACTGTCAACCCCCGTGCAGCCTCACGAGCTGAGAATACCTCTCGCTTCAATCCTTGGATTGCAGAGCGCAATTCAACGTGGACCGCATCATGGCTACCCGCCCAAGTCGTCATGATGAGTTCGAGATCGCGGTGGTTTGCGCGCGGCCATTGGAGTACGATGCTGCGGCGCTTGCTTTCGACGAGTTCTGGGACGACGACGGCGACATGTACGGGAGAGCAGCAGGCGATACGGATACCTACTGTACCGGCCGAATCGGACGGTACAACGTCGTCCTGGCGCTGCTCCCAAATATGGACAAAGCCAGTGAGGCAAGTGCCGCTGCCAGCCTGCGATCGAGCTTTACGGGACTTAGATTGGCCATTGTGATGGGGATCTGCGGCGGAGTGCCCAATCCCGGGACCGACGACGAGATCATCCTGGGCGACGTCATCATCAGCCGGACGGTCGTCCAGTACGACTACGGCCGGAAGTACCCGGACGGGTTCATCCGCAGAGACACCTTGGACGATAACCTCGGACGACCCAACCGAGACATTCGATCCCTCCTGTCGACGTTCGAGACGGACCGTGGGCGTGACGGTCTCCAGCGCGGCGCTGCGCAGGCCATGAACCAGATCCGAGAGAAGGCTGCGAAGAGGCGTCGCCGTGGGCGATACGTTCGCCCAAGTGCCTCGGAAGATAGGCTCTTCAAGCCGGACTACCAGCACGAGCATCGCAACCAATCTGATTGCGGATGCTTCGAGCAGGTGTGCGAGGCGGCCCGGGCCGCCTCGTGCGCCGAACTCGGCTGCGACACGGCAGAACTGGTACCGCGGGAGCGGCTCCAGGAGGCACACGAGGTGGGCCCCGGCGACGGATACGCCGATAACGAGTTCGAGATTTACATCGGCTGCGTCGGGTCAGGCGACACGGTGACGAAGACCGGCGAGGGCCGCGACAGGATCGCCGGCGAGCACGGCCTCATCGCGTTCGAGATGGAGGGCGCCGGGGTGTGGGACGAGGTGCCGTGCATCGTCGTCAAGGGCGTCTGCGACTACGCCGACAGCCACAAGAACAAGAAGTGGCAGACGTACGCGGCCGCGACGGCGGCGTCTGTCATGAAGGCCCTTCTGGCGCGCTACACCCAGACGGACAAGCCATCGGTGGGCAGCCACACGGGCGCGGACGCGGGCGTGGGCTTGAGAAGTTCAGGGCCTGTATTCAACGGGCCTATTACGGGAAAGAATGTGTTGGCAGGGCACCACACGAGCGGAGGGACGACCAACATAACCTTTGGCAGTTAGACTTGTTTCTCATTTGCTAGTTCTTGAATACTTTACTGAGCTGGTTGACGAATGTCTCGCATGCGAACATTCCTGAAATAATAGATGTTGCATTGACTATTCTTCTTTCGTTTTTTTTTGACCATAAGGATAATGGGGGCGGCGGACTGCCTTTCATCTTGTATAACTTTGAGTTTGAATTAACAACCCATATCAATGTCGAATCGTCGCTTTTGATAAATGAGACCCCGGAAGATCGGCCATCGCAATCAAAGCTCCAAATTGCCCATCATTTGCGGGGATTTGGCATAATGTCATCACTGGCAGAGACACTAAAACAAGGGGCGGGTGGGGGATGATGGTGAGCATTTGCATATGCATTGGTAACGCCGCTGCTCAATAATAGACAGTATTAGTCTATGTTGTCGCAAATCCTCTCTCGAATTGACATGCCTATCAAGAGAAAGCCTACGTGTAGCTGCCTGGGACCAGAACATAACTCGACAAACGGGGCGTTTCCGACTAACCAAGCCATATCGACCACTAACCAATCCAACCCAGGTTTTCCCTAATCAATATTCAATGTCCCCCAACAACTACTACCGGTAGTGGTGTACGGGTACATCGCAGGAGTCTTGGACCCTGGATCAGCGGCTCTGCGGCAGCGTTAACTCTCGGCGGGCGGGGCCGCTGACGCGTTCAGCTGCCGGTTCCCCGAGCACAGCTGACTGGGCTAAGAGAAGCTCGAGCCGGAAAGAGGTCATCGCGGGACGCGCTGTGTGCCGACGTTTCCAGGGGAGGCGAGGCGAGGGCCACATTACGCTTTCTTTTCTTTCTTTTTTCCTTTTCCTCATCCGTCGACGTGCCCATAGCAGGGCTGAAGTTCCAAGATTCCCACTACCTATCTGCCGCCTTTCCACCTCCCTTTCTCGCCGGCAACCTGTTCTTCCTGCTGCGACCCCCCGGCACTGAGATGTTGATCCACCACCCTCAAACCCACCACCCATAGCCCCCCAAACCCATCGGCTGTGCCCAAGTTCTGTTCCTCTTGTCTATCCGTACCTATTAAATAATCACCCATCACCCCCCCTCGCCTAGTCGCGAGTGGTGTTTTGGGAGGATGGGCATAATGGAGAAACTTGGGGTGTCAAACCCCTTAGCCAAACCTCCCCACACACCGCATTCCTACAACGACACATATGTCGTTGCCTACGATTTCAGTGAAGTCGGTATGCTGTCGCTGCACCATTCCAGTGTGCTGCAAAAGTTGGCTGACCCCCCCCCCCGTCCAGACTGCGAGACAGCTGTCAAGGAACTCACTACCTTGCTAAGTGACCTCCAATCTACCGGCCTTCAGACCGAGGTGAGGGCCGGCTATGACCAGACCCTGCTCGTCTTTGCCAAAGCCCCGCGACAGCTGCTCGGGAACACAGTCTACAAGGCAAGGTCAGTCGTCGTCCTCTCAAGTCTCCCTCCTCTGGGCCAGCGTAGCTAACTTCCATCAGGGTCAAAGACTGGCTCTATGGCATCATCCCGGAGCATCCCGGCGGGACCAAGGACACAGTTATTGATGGCGCCTTCGAGGCCGAGGATCTCCTCTCCGTCTACCATCTCGTCAACTGGTCAAAGTCTTTGGGTGGTGCTGGGATCACGCCGGGGTCGGGGCAATGGAAGAACGTCAAGTCCATCTTTCCCCTGCACAATGAGGGGACGAACCAGTCTCTGATGAAGCATCTAAGCAAGCGCCTGTTCTTGACATTGGACGACATCGATGACATCCGCGACCTCTGGGGCGCCAAGGTGAGTACCTCTACTCTTTCTCTCTTTCCAACCTGCCCTCTAAACCGACATCCAGGTCGCCTTCTACTTTGCCTTTATCCAAACATATCTCCTGTTCCTCACCTTCCCGGCCATCACCGGCGTCTTTGCCTGGATGTACCTCCCCAAGTACTCCCTGACCTACGGAATCGCAACCTGTGTCTGGTGCACCATCTTCCTGGAATACTGGAAGATCCAGGAGGTCGATCTCAGCATCCGCTGGAATGTCCAGGGCATCGGCAAGGTCAAGGTCAACCGGCCGCAGTTCAGGTACGAAAAGGTCATCAAGGATGTCACCGGTCGCGAGATACACTACTTCCCCAAGTGGAAGCAGATTTCCCGTCAAATGCTGCAGATTCCCTTTGTTATGGTTTCCGCCGCTTTGCTCGGCGCCATCATAGTGCTCGTCTTTGCCATCGAGGTCCTCATCTCTGAAGGCTACGACGGACCATTCAAGAACCTGATGGTGAGTCCGGGTCTTGGCATCCTCCCGGATGTGAACCTTCTCTGACGCCCCTCCACAGGAATACGTGCCAACGTGCTTGCTCGCCATCGCGCTACCCTACCTCAGCAGCGCCCTCGAAGACATCGCCACGGTACTCACAAACTTCGAAAACCATCGCACCGCCGACAACCACGAGATGTCTCTGACGCAAAAGATCTTCGTCCTCAGCATCATCACCAACTACCTTCCCATCCTAATCACCGCCTTTGTCTACGTGCCTTTTGGCGACACCTTCGTCCCCTGGCTCGAGAGCCTGACCAAGACCTTCCTGGGCGCTATCGGTCAAAAGTACATGGACGATGACCTGACCTTCCACGTGGACACGGACCGCCTCCGCGACGAGGTCATCGCCCTCGTCGTCACCGGCCAGATTACGGGCTTCTTCGACGAAAACATCATGCCCGTCCTCAAGCACAAGGCGCAGGGCATGTATCGCGAGTGGCGGCGCTCCCACTCCAAGGACACCATGCTCATGTCCATCGTCGCGGACGACCCCGAGGAGGCCCGGTTCCTGCGCAGCGCGCGCAACCAGGCGACGCTGGAACGTTACAACGTGCAGGACGACATCGCCGAGATCGTGCTGCAGTTCGGCTACCTCGCGCTCTTCTCGCCCGTCTGGCCGCTGATCCCCATCGGGTTCCTCATCAACAACGTCGTCGAGCTGCGCACGGATTTCCTCAAGATCTGCATGGAGCACCAGCGGCCTGCGCCCGTGCGGACCGACGGCATCGGCCCGTGGATCAACTCGCTTGACTTCCTCACCTGGGCCGGCAGCCTCACGACTGGCGCCATTGTGCACCTCTTCGGCGCCAACAGCATTGGCAACGGCGCGTGGTGGGCGCTGCCCCTTACCATCTTCGTCAGCGAGCACATCTTCCTCGCGCTCCGGTCCGTGGTGCGCTTCGTGCTACAGCGCATCGGGTCGGAGCAGATCCGCAAGCAGAGGCAGAAGCGGTACGCCATGCGGGCGAAACACCTGCAGGAGATCGAGGCGAACAAGCGACAGGGGTTGCTTCTCTCCGTCGCCGAGCGGGAGAGACGCAAATCGATCAGGGCCATGGGCCAAGACTCGTTCTGGACGACGCAGCTCGACGAGGGCGCGAGCGCAGCCGTTGGAATCGGTCTGATTCAGTCCGTCAAGAAGGCCGAGATCGTCAAGAACGGCCAGCCGAAGATTGACTGAGTGTGCCTGACCATTCATTTCTCTTGTAGCTTCTGCAATAGCACAAAGAACATAAAAGATGCAAAGACTTTCAAGTAGAATCACTTTACAGAAATAGATCATTTGGCTTTATTTTCTTCCACTCCCACATCTTAGCCTTTGCTATTGTGGGGGTTTGGTCGTTGGTGTAGAGTGACATGGTTTTGACATCACATCTCTGACATCATCGAACGGCGAAGCCCATCCCATCCAAATGATGAGATTCCATATCAATGCCAGAAACTCGACTTTTTTTTTTTTTTCCACAACAGAATTACAGAAATTGCACTCATAAATTCAATTCCAAGGAAAGAAAGCACTGGGCTCGTCAAAATGTCGACTCTATCCACGTCCCCATTCAACAACCCAGTCTCCTTCGCTTCCTGCTCCATCGGCCTCCCCCGCCACACCCTTGAGCAGAAGCTCGACGCCATCTCCGCTGCCGGCTTCGATGGCATAGAGCTCTCCTTCCCGGACCTTCAGTCATTTGCCAGCCGGCACCTCGACAAGGGGGAAATCGCCGATGACGACTATGCCTCCCTCTGCGAGGCCGGAAAACTCGTCCGCGAGCTTTGTGAACGGAATAAGCTGCAGATCATGGTCCTGCAGCCCTTTGCCAACTTCGAAGGCTGGCCAAAGGGCAGCAGGGAGCGCGAGGACGCTTTCGAGCGCGCCAGGGGGTGGATGGAGATCATGAGCGCCGTCGGGACGGACATGCTGCAGGTCGGGTCCTCGGATGCGCCCGGCATCACGTCGTCCATCGGGGAGCGTGTCGCAGACCTCGCCGAGCTGGCGGACCTCCTCGCCACCCGGGGCTTCCGCGTCGCCTATGAGAACTGGTGCTGGGCCACGCACGCGCCCACGTGGAAGGACGTGTGGAAGATGGTCCAGCTCGCGAACCGCCCGAACCTAGGACTGTGCCTGGACACCTTCCAGACCGCAGGCGGCGAGTGGGGGGACCCGACGACTGCGTCGGGGCGGATCGAGACGGGCGGGCTCGGGGAGAGGGAGCTGAAGATGAGCTACGAGATATCGTTGCAGGAGCTGGCGAAGACGGTGCCGCCGGAGAAGGTGTACTTCTTGCAAATCAGCGACGCGTACAAGACCGAGCCGCCGTTGGAGAACGAGCCCGATGAGAGCGGGCTGCGGCCGAGGGGGCGTTGGAGCCACGATTACAGGCCGCTGCCATATGACGGTGGGTATCTGCCCATCTTGCAGTTCTTGGAGGCGGTCATGAGTACCGGGTTCCGGGGCTGGTTGTCAGTCGAAGTGTTCGACGGCAAGTTCGAGGAGAAGTACGGCGATGATCTGGAGTCGTATGCGAAGAAGGGGAGGGAGGGAGTCGTGAGGATGTTGGGCGAGATGATTGTCGATAGAAGTGGGTTCTAGTTCAAAGAGCGTGGGTAATCTATGCCATGTATCCGTACAAACGACACCATTAATTATGGGCAATAATTAATGCATTAATATATCCCACGTGACAATTTACTTATACGAATGCGTTCGAGCCACATTTCATCAAGTACGGCTTTGATGATCAAAAACTGGATCGCTCTTCGTTTCCTTCGTAAACGACAAAGGCGTCTGGTTTTCGGGCCAAGGCAGTACAGTCAACCCCTCCCAGATCCCTAACCACCGTCTCGCTTTCGTCTCATACGCTTCTCTCACCCCGATCGTTGGGTTTGGTCTTACCACCATCCTGTAATACTCCGAGAGCCCAATCGGCGCATACACCTTCCACCGGCCATCCTCCTCGAGCCTCACCCCGATCATCGCGCTCGTCGAGATCCACGTGTCGATGCCTGCCTCGACCGACTTGTGCTGGGGGCACGGCACGCCGAACTTGGTGGGGTACCACAGGTGCACCCGCGCCTGGTTCCGGATCTCCACCTCGACAGGGATCCCCGCAAAGACCTCGCGGCCGCGGCGGATCACGGCGTCCTCGGCCTTGTAAGAGAGATCCGAGTCGTCGAAGTAGACGAGGTCGTAGTCGGAGATGCCGGTGTCGGGGGCCAGGCCGGCGACCGAGTTCCAGATCGTCTGGGAGACGGCGCCGCCGGCTAGGTACCAGTTGGGGAGCTCGAGGGTCCGCGCGAGGGTCCGCGCGAGGGTGAGGACTTTGACAAGCGTTTCATTTGTGGAAAGGGTTTTACGGAGGTGGGTGAGTTGCTCGTCTAATGGGAGCTGAGAGGTATCCATACTGTAGCGCCTGATTGCGTACTGAACGAGATTGTGCCAAAGGCGACATGTGACTTGGGTTCCGATGATTGATCAGACAAGCTGATTATGTCCCCTCCTCAACAACCCCAATTCGGGTTAGGGTTAGCGTGAACTTGGTTCGAGTATCCGTACGGAATATGGTTTTATCCGGCTATCAGAGTAGACCCACTGTCAGGTTAACTAGGGGAGCTTATGTGTACTCCGTATATCCGTACTCGGTTACGAATGTTAAGTTTCGGTTGAGGATCGCTATCTGCAAGGGGCCTTCGTTAATTACAGCTTATATAATAGAAACGTGCTGTCTGGGTTCTTTTGGGGCGTAAACTCCAATATTCTCGAACGGAGTCTGAAACATCTTTCCTCAATTATCACCCGATTTGGATTTTCTTTCTGGGTGCTACAGGGCTCTGTTCTTCGAATTGCCATCCTTCCCGTCATTCGATGAGCAGCATGTCTCTACGTTTATAACTCTCTGTGTGACGATTGTTCCGGTCGTCGGAGTGGCCACTCCGGATCTGACTGGAAGCACGAAGTCGTAAACCGTTGTCTCGATCGTATTTCTACTCTTCATGTTTGCTTCTTTCTACAAGCAGTGCTGGTATGTACACGATGGGCCCTTGATCTGGACGTGCAAGCCTTGTTAGTGAAAATGGGAGAACGGCCATTTTGGATCTACACTGCCAAAGCTTTGACCACGGGTATCAGAGTGCAGGCCATCGGGATGTGCTCTGTGGAGGCCTCAACCCGGCCGGCAAGGGCAGTCAAGTGGTTGGTCTAGGAGTGGTTAGGGAGCCCCATTATCGGAAGGTTCCGCAGATCAAGGATGCTGTCTCGAAAACGGCGCTGTTAATTGCGGACACTTTGTGTGTCATATATCACTTCGTGAGAGCATAGTCAGGTTCAAGTTGCACAAGTATATGAGCGCGCCTAATGATAGCTACCGGGGGCAGATGAGCTCCAGTTTAATTATTCAGTTCCCTAGTGCCTTCTGCCAAGTGCATAACCATCATCCAACCCACCGTTCGTATTCAAGACTCACTGTTCATATTCAAGACTGCGTTTTTATCAAAAGTTGTTTACTTATTCACAAGGTCTCAAGGGCTATCACAGTGTACTCAGACCGAGCACCAAAAAGACGCCAAAGTGGATAGACGGGTCCATACTTGATACCCATAACGGTCTAGCAAGCGAATGGGCCATTGCTTATTCATTGTGCATGACGGCTTAGCTGAGGCTCTCGCCAGTAAGGCCACTCTATAGCGGATCAAGACGGCTTGTGAGAAGTTGCTTCGTCAAATCCAGGTTGTCATATGTAGTACGTAAATAAGGCATTAATTGCTACTTATAATTAATAATATTGTTTTTATAACAGTTATAAGCCTAGTTTGCTCTAGTACTATAATAGTATAGCCCTAAAGTTTAGCGTCTAAGTGTTATAGACCCTATAGGTTTAAATCCTATACAAGCTATAGATAAGGAGCGTTTTAACTCTAGTAGATATAAAAAGTGTCTTAAAAAGTAAGCCTAGGGGGGTAGCTATAATAGCTTCCCTGTTAACCTAGTAATTATGTAGGCAGTTAGATTATAAAGATAGATCTTTGCGATCTAGGGGGTGTGTTGTATGTAGTACGTACATAAGGCGTTAATTGCTGCTTGCGATTAATGGCGTTGTTTTTACGACACAGGTATAGTCAGTAGGTTGACCATTTGGCATGCTAGAGGTATTAGAGAGATACTGTAGCTCCTGGGAATGTAATAGCCCCTGGCCCTGCGACTGCCTAGTTCACGCTACAGGACATACAAGGTGGCAAGGGCAAGCAAAATACCCCTATAATGTTGCGCACCAAAGCCAACATAATCAGAATAGCAGTACATCTTCTATGCCTTTCTATTGCCACTCAGCCTAGTTCTATATCTTTTACCTAGGTATAAAAGGTCTACTAGTCTCTTCCTTAACTATGCAATATTTAGGGCTTGTCAATACCGTTATTGAGCGGTAAGGGTAATAATAGTAATACAAGTAACAGCCATAGTAATAGTGATGGTAATAGAGGGGAAAGTTAGTGACAGCTGAGCATTAGATACCTGACAGGAGCATTTTACTTTGGCCAGATACCATAGTACATTATGTGCGAATACTAGATTGTAGCACTTTATGATGGCTTTCAGCATTTCCTATGACAGCACAGTTCGACCCTTGTAGGATGCCCTCCCAAGAACTTAGCAACCAATGTCGGGGCCACCCGTTTGAAGACACTGCCTTGCGGTCAACATGTGAAGATCCCGCACTTCCGGGAGGCACCCCTCGTCAGTGGACATGGGCTGAAACTTTTACGGTCTTGAAAGAAGCGGAAATGGTCTTTTGTAATGATAAAGAGACAGGGTTGTAGATGCCGAATCCGCAAGATCCTTTCTGGGCGTTGCTGATCATTTCCATGTCTAAGACCGGAATGCGAACCCGCGTGCCCGCCTCGCACGGCCACTGCGGACGCGCAGCAAGGATTTATCGCTTGCTATTTGCCCCTTAACTTCCAGAGGAGCCCCCATGGCCGATGATAGAATCTTCACCGGAGTTGATCTCCGAAAAAGGATTGGTCCAGACTTCGAGATCTTCCCTGACCTGTCAAAACCCCGCGGGAAAAAATGGTGGCTCCCGGCCGTATCCGGATATACCACAAGACGCAGCAGCCAATCCCGTTTCGGCAAATGACTCCGGCGACTTCAAGAAGAAAGCATAGGTTGAAGAACCCATTTTTTCTCGTCACGGTGATTAAGGCCCCTTTTCAAATGCATGGTTACGCACTGTCAATCGGGCTGGGGTTTCGGACCAGGGTCTGGAAAATGAGGCAAAACAGATTTATCTTCCCTTGGCCCAAGTACTCGGTGCCCTGTAAGTAAAAGTCTTGCTGCTCTACTACGTCGGCCGTTCGACGGCTATAAAGAATCATTGGACCTGGATCTAGCCTTCTTTAAGCCATTATAGCCCCGCGTTTCTTCCGAGTGGGATGGGAGGGTTTCTGCGTCTCAAGAACACCCGTCTCCGGATACACAACCATCGTCGCCATGACCGAGAATCGCGGGCCCGAGCTCCTGGCGGTTAATATCGTCTTCGTCTCAACGGCCGTCTTGGCCACAGCGCTGCGATGTTTTGTCCGAGCTGGTCTGGTCAGGGCTTTTGGCACTGACGACTGGCTCATGGTGTTGGCTATGGTAATATGCAGTTCGACGGCCCGTATTGAAGGACATCTTGATCTGACTCTGACAAGGCTTGCTTCGCTTGTTATTCCGCATTCTCTATATCTGGGATTACCTATGGCACTGGAAGACACCATAAGGACCTTAGCAAGGAGAACATCTCCGAAGCACTCGAAGTAAGTAACGAGGCATAACATTAAGATATATACTTGGGCCTTTACTAATATGGGGACTCCGTAGCTTTGGTGGTGGTGTTATCTCTTCTATTGTATGAGCATGGTCATCTCGAAAATGTCTATTGCATTTTTCCTGATGAGAATCACGACGCAAAAGATCCACAGATGGGTGGTCTACATCGCCATGCTCTCCACCGTCATCTCTGGGGTTCTCTTCTTCTTTGTGACCCTCTTCCAGTGCCAGCCAGTGTCTTTCTTCTGGAACAAGGACCAAGCCGGCAGCTGCATCAACATCAACATCGTCATTGGCTTGGCGTACTCGTACAGTGCGTCCAGCGTTATCTCCGACTTTGCTTTCGCCATCCTTCCGGCTTTTATTGTCTGGAACTTGCAAGTGCCGACGCAGACGAAATTCGCCCTGATTCCCCTGTTGATGATGGGCTGTGTGTAAGTTTTTGCATACTCGATGACTTACACCAATGACGCTAAACCATCATCAGTGCAAGCTCGGCTGTCCTAGTCCGGTTTGGATTCTTGATGCACCTCAAAGACCCCGACTTTCTCTGTAAGTCACACCTCAAACCATCGGGCATATGATTCAAGTTGGGTCCTTACTGTTTTGCAGGGTCTACCCTCGATATCGCCATTTGGTCATCCGTCGAGCAAGGGCTCGCGATTACTGCTGGAAGTTTAGCAACTCTCCGGCCTCTGTTAAGGATCATCGGGTATAAGATGGGCTGGTCGACGAAGTCGTACCCGATCCGTGTCACCGATAACATTCCCAGACGACCCTCCGCCTTTTCCGCCATGAACGACGCCGAAATCAGATCCCCTACTGCGACCCATAAAGACGTCTACAACATGTCCCATTTCCCTTGCACATGTTGCGAGACTCCCGTCTGCCAAAAGAAACAAAGCGAAAATTCCCGTAGAAGGAGGACGAGCGTGGCTTTTTCAATGAAAACAACGAATAAGACCAAAAGGGTCAGCAACAGCAGCGAGGGGGAACTCAGCACGAGAAGATCGACAAGGGATGGCTGGAATGATAATGAGCAGGTGGTACCAAAAAGCTTTGTAACCCCCGATGAACATAAGAATTGACGGAGGTGAGCATAATGGTTTTAATTTTGGGCTAGAATTCGATCTCCGTCTCCACGTATTACGGACAGCTCCCGGCCAGCATTCCGACATATTAATTACAATTACTTATTCGCAAACCTACACGCTTAGACATTATCAATGTCCTTTTTTCCCCGGGCTATTGATAATCTGGTTCAATATCACATCCGCAGCCTTTTCACCCACCATATATGTCGACACGGCAGTGAAGGTACCAGGAATCCGCGGATAGACGGAAGCATCGACGACTCTCAGCCCCGACACGCCACGCACCCTAAAGCTCGAATCCAATACCGCCATCGGGTCGTTGTCGGCACCAATGGGGCAAGTAGACGACGCGTGGTGGCCCCAGGCAGTGTCCTTGATGTACTGCTTCACGGCGGCGTTGCCCCTGACGCCGGCACCGGGCAACATCTCCCTGATGGGTACCAACTGACGGGCGAAGGCATCGCGGGTGAGCTCGACGGCCTCGGCCATGGCTTGAAGGTCGGCATTGTAGTCGCCCGAGCCGGTGTCGAAGTAGTTGTAGACGATGTCGGGGACGTCCAAGGGGTCAGACGAGCGGAGCGTCACGGAGCCCGCCGTGTTGCGGGGATGCGACTTCAGAATCGCCCAGCTGAACCAGTCGTGGTCGATGGTGGCATTGACGCTGTAGTTGGGCCAGTATCCTCGGAAGTTGACCGGGCCCCCAAAGGCGAACACGTCCCACTCGTTCCTCTCGGCGACGGTGCTCTTGTAAAGCATGGCCGCCGCAAAGCCTGACGACGCGTAGGTCCCCCGGTCGCTGAGGAGTGGGGGGTTACGCCATCGCTCCAGGCAAGGGTCTTGCTGGCCGTAAAACCCAAACGTGCACCCGTCGAGAGCGCTGAAATTGGCCGGCGTGCGGCCCTGGACGGTGATCTCGTAGTGATCCTGCAGATTCGTGCCCACGCCCGGCAGGTCCTTGACAACGGGGATGCCGAAGCGGCGCAGCTCGGCGGCGGGGCCGATGCCGCTCAGCTTCAGTAGCTGGGGGGAGTTGTACGCGCCGCCGGCGACAATGACCTCGCGGGATGCAGTGGCAGTGCCGCGGATGCCGGAGCCGGCGTTGCGCGAGCGGGGGCTCGCGCGGTAGAGGTACCTGCCGTCGAGGAACTCGACGCCCGTGGCCTTGGGCGGCGACGAGTTTTCAAAGAGAACTTTGGTAACGTGGCAGTTCATGCGGACATCGAGGGGGTACCGCTTGCTGCCGTTGGGTTTCTTGGCGTCGCGGACGGCGACGACGAACTCCCGCGAGCCGACGCGGTGAGCGTCGTTGGTCGTGATGGGGATCTGGTGGTATGACGGCTGCGTGTCGCGGTCTACGGTCGGGCTGTTAGCGTCGCCGGCGAGGAGGGCGGCGACGTTGAAGACTAGGTTTGTCTGATTCCCAAGAGCAAAGGCGCCTCCCGTCACCAGACTAAGGAGCTGAGGGTCTAGCAAGGCGATATTTAGCGGTGCCGTCTCGGTACTCAGCCAGCCGTTGTAGCCGTGACCTCCGTATAATAGGGGCAATAACAAGTATCGGTTGTTCTCCATGCGAACGAAGTAGTTGCGCATGTTGTCAGCCGACCACGACTTGTCTCCGGTGAGTCGGGCGATGTATTCAAAGTCGGAACGATGGGGGTATACCGCGACCAGCGCATTGTGAGCAGTACACCCTCCGAGAGTCGCGGCTCGTGGATACAGCGTCCCCTTCATCTTGGAGCCCGGGGGCGGCTGGAGACCGGTGTACTCGCCGCCGCCTGGAGTCTCGTAAGTGGTCTTGAAGTCTCGGGCTTGCCTCGCTTCGTCGGCGTAGTGGCGAACGAAGAAGTCCCAAGCCATTGCGTCGTCTTCGGTCGACTTTGCCTGGTAGGCAGGCACGGTGTAGTTATCGTTGGCGCCCTGATCGTCGCCGGCTTCGATGAGGAGGGTTTTGCGGCCGGCAAGGGCGAGGCGGGCGGCTAAAACGCCGCCTCCGGCGCCGGAGCCGACGACGATAAACTCGTACCCTGTGAGGTCAACGGCTCCAACGAGCGACACCGATGTGGCCAATAGGCCCAGCACTCGTGAGAATCTCATAGCACTAGTTGATGATTTCTTGTTGTTCGACCCAGCGAGTATCTAGTCATAACAAAAGTTCTCCAAATCTGACCAAAAGTCACAAGTAGGTGCTAAGTCTAATAGACCTAGGAAGCGGTTTGTCGACTTGATATGCTCATGGAGGAAGGACGAAACCCCAGGTCTTATAAGCAACAGTCGACGGTACGGGTGCACGTGGTAACCATCTCAGGCAATCTGTAGCAACTCGGCATGACACCAGGTTTCTTTCTGATTGACGTACTCCGTACACTACATGACATTGTGTCAGCACCCATGATCGGCATACGCCGGGCGTATCTTCTTAAGCAGCCCCGGCTCGATTTCGGTGCTTCTGGGTGGAGGGCTTGCTGGGTTGGCCCGCCAATATACTTACTGGCATTTCCCGAGTCTGATCAAGTTTTGGAAACCCGTTAGTTCCTAACAAATAACTCCACAGCGGCGCTATAGCCATTTCTAGTTTTTCTAAGATTCAACAGTTCCAGAGTTTACGTATATAGCAACCCATCATAACATTAAGCCATCAATGCGAAAGATCCCACTTTCACTTTCAAAAGTGAAAGGCATATACTGTTGGCCTTTGATCTTATGGGTTTCCAAGTACTACTGAGACAAAAGCACCATTCCTCGTGGTTTAAAAGGCATTGAATTGAGAGAAAGTTCGTGATCATGTGTTGACATCCGATCTGTACTGATATTGAGAAGCATAGATTATCGAGCACAGGATAGAGAAACAACACCCCTAATCGCGGGCAACAATATTCAATTCCCCTCTCGCCTTTCCAACCCTTGTCGTCCAAGCGCTCCCTGCTTACACACCTGAAATACATCAGCGTTTTGTAGTTCACTAGACTAGATGGAACAATTCCTCGCTGGACAGAGCTTATCGTACCATTCCTTGTCAACAGTCCAACCATATTGCCGTAGGTAGGCCTCCACGAGACTCTAGGCTTGGTCAGTTTCAATAACGATCGACGCAGAAGAGCTGTGCTCAACCATGCGTCCAGACATTCAACGCACCCTCTTCCACGCTGGCGGCGAGCTAGCTTCGTCTTAGTGCCCGTCTAAGACGACGCAACGCTAGACGATAGCGGCAGGCGTTGTTTTTCTCTCAAGGCACGGAACTTGGAGAACTCCAGCGGGAGTCGGAGCTCTTTACTGAAGCATTTCACATGGTACATAGTGGGGAGGCCAAGCTCCCATGCCAAGAGTCCGGCGAATAAAGTGACGATGATGAAACGTGGGAGCGTGCAGTTCGGAAGTAAATAGTCAACTGCGCTGGTTCTTATTCTCACTCATTGACGGGGTATTAGCAGAGCGAGAAGGCTCTCCACATTCCTAATCTGTCGAAAAAAGCTATAAAAATAAAAATAAAAGCTTTTCAGCCGTCCTTTGGCATTCGATGCTAGGTAGCGCCGAAAAGTCAACGTCACGATGCAACTATTGACCGCACTAAACCCTGCAGTCATGATTATCGAGATTCTTCAATACAGATCTCATGCCTAACGTCCAAGCCGACTACGCTCGTATAATCAACAAGTGTCCCAAAAATAACCACCGAAAGTCACCTGGAAGCAGTTCTCGCATCATGTAAGTCCCCTCCTATCCATCCGCACATTCGCGCATCTGCCAACTTTGCCGCTCCAGGCCAGCTTGGGATTCGCACTCGCCTTTCGGCTTCCGGAGCACCAACATTACCGGTCAAACTAAACAGCTCAGCCTGGAGATTTGGTAAGTTTATCAAGGATTGTCTGCCTCCGTTCATTGTATAACCCCCCCCCTCCCCCCCCCCCGCGAGAGACAAGACCGGCGAGGGATGTGATTGCCGAAACATGGTTGGCCAGATCAGAGGAGAGAGCTCAAAGAAGAGGTTTCGACGCTCAGGCATCAGAATGTTGTCGATCAGCGTCTTTCTCGGCTTTGGCTCGAGACCGTTGTAGTCCGCACTTGGGTTGGCCGTCTGTAGCAATGGCCATCAGCACCTTGTATTCATAACTGGGCCGTAACAAGTTTGATGACTCGTTGAGCCCATCCGAAAACAAGGTGTTGCCTGTTGTCCCGCTTTGATACCCCCTCCCAATTCTATTCCGCCCCATCGTGAAGCGGAAACTCTAGACTGGACAACTCCACTCGCCCCAGCGACGCAAGCGAGGACGGCGTCAGCCCTAAACCCACAACATAATCATCCCCAGACCCATTCCGCAACATGGATCCGGCGGTTCACATCGTCATCCACCTGCATCTGTAGTGTAGGGGTTATCATCCCAGCCTTCCATTCCTCCGTGAACGATAGCTGGGGACTCGAGTTCGAGTCTCGACAGATGCATACTTGCGCATATCTTTTGCCATTTTTTTAGGCCATAGCCCGAACCTCTCTTACATATGCAATGAATGGGTTTACTCCTTGTCGGGAGTAGCCGCCGCTTGTTATGTGCGCTCTCTTACCATCGATTCTTTCCATTGTCTTTGCCATGTAATGGTTTGCTCTATTGGAACTGACAATAGTCCTTGTTTCAAGCCGTGCCACTATGCGTTTGTGACCTGTCTCCATTTGTTATTAAATTGATTCGTATTTGTCAGAGACATACATTCTAACCGGTCATTACCATTAGGTTTCATTGAATCGTAAACGTGCCGTTAAGTCTCAAGTCCCGACTGCTCGCTCCCACAAAGACGTCGTACTCCCCCTTCGGGAGCCGCCACTGCTGCGCGACGACATCCCACACACTCAGGTCCCGCCTTGTCAGCCGGAATTCCACTATCGCGCTTCCGCCCGCCTCGATGTACACCCTCTCGAAGCCTCTAAGCTGCCTCGCCGGGGTCCCCTCGACGGGGATGCCGACGTACAGCTGCGCGACCTCGTGGCCCGCCAAGTCACCTGTGTTCTTTACCTGCGCTGAGACAGCGTAGACATCCTCCCACAGCGCCGGATGCCCGCCCTGCACGATCGCTACGGCGGGGTCGGGGACACCGGCCACGGGTTTGCCCACGGGCGACACCGAGAGCGAGGCGTACTCGAACGTCGTGTAGGACAGACCGAAGCCAAACTCGTACCGTGGGGCGATGCCGTTGCGGTCAAAGGCGCGGTAGTCGATGAACAGTCCCTCAGAGAAGTCGTCCTGTGGGAACGGGCTCAGGTCGACGCTTGAGTTGAGGAGGGCGCCGAAGTCGGACTCGGCGTGCGCGACGGTGTAGGGGAGCCTACCGCTGGGGTTGACGTCGCCATAGAGGATGTCGGTGAGAGAGTGGCCAGACTCCTGCCCGGGAAGCCCGGCAAAGAGGATCGCAGTCACGTTGGGGTGGTCGGCCCAGGCGTCAATTACACGCGTCCCTGTATGATGTTAGTTGACTCTTCGCTACGGTCATGGGCTGGAGGGGGGGGGGGGGGGGGGGGGTAAAATACCCGCAGAGTGCAGAACAACGATGGTGTTGGAGCAGTTCGCGGCAACATTGTTGACCAAGTTGTCACTGAATTGGTCCGAGATACTGGTGCGGTCGTATCCCTCCGAAGACCACGCGTTGATGAACACCAGGCACGCCTCGGAGTTGACGTAGACTGGCTGCGGGTTCTCCGAGTAGAAATCCCATTTGACCACGCCGCCGTCTGCGATAACGCGCTCTTGGATGGCCTGGAAGGGGCTGATCACATACGGCGGGGTCGTGGTCCCGGAACCACCACCGGAAATGAGCGTACCGTTGAGCACGTTCCCTAACACGGTCCCAAAGCTAGGGCCGTAGCTGGGATCGGTCCACGGCGTACTGGGAACTGTGGCATCGTACCCGAAAACGCTGAGAAACTTGGGGCTCTTGAGCGGCAGTGTGCCGTTAACGTTCTTGACGAGCACGGTTCCAGCAGCCCCGATCTCGCGAATGATGGCCTTGTGCCCGTTCTGCACGTCGACGGGCGCGTGCTTCTGGAGGTTGGAGTAAGCGCCCACGGCGGGATAGTCATCGCCATCCTGGCCAACGTAATACCACGCGGCCAGGATGCGGGTGGTCATGTCCTCGAGCCGCTCACGGGTGACGCTGCCGTTGTTGACGGCCTCGACAAGAGAGGAACCCCAATAGGCCTCGTTGGGCATGACGAGATCGAGGCCGGCGTTTGCTGACGCAACGCCGGAATTTTGAGCGCCCCCTGTGTCGTCGTTAATACCTTGGGCATTGAGATAGTAGAAGGCAGAGCAATAACTTACAGTCACTAACTACGAAGCCCTCGAAGCCAAGCTCTGTCTTCAGTACCCCGTTGAGCAGCTTCGAGTTCTGGCAACCGTACGAGTTGTTCGCTCTGTTATAACTGCACATGATCGCGGAAGCACCATTGTGGATAGCGTCCATAAAGGGGAAGACATATAGTTCGTGTAGAGTGCGCTCATCGACGTTACTTGAGACGGACTCGCCCTGCGCGTCGGGGAGGCGGCGGTATTCCTGCTCGTTGAGCAGCCAATGCTTCGCACAGGCGATGGTGCCGGCATCCTGCATACCCTTGGTGATGCCGCCAACTCCAACAGATGCAAGGTAGGGGTCATGCGCGAGCCCTTCCCAATTGCGCCCGCCACGGGCGATGCGTCCCAAGGGACCGCCGACGGGGCCGAGGCCAACATTGATGCCCTTGCCGCGGAACTCGGCGCCGAGAGCCAACCCGTAGGCATGAGAGAGGTTGCGATCCCACGTGGCGCCGAGGTGTATGCCCGAGGGGAAGGCGGAGACGAACTCCTGGCCGCGGACGCCGTCAGGCCCATCTTGGAGGCAGATAGGCTTCACGCCGAGGCGGGGCACGGAACCGGTGTTGCCTGTGCAGAGACCTGGCCAGCCGTGGGTGAAGTTGGCCAGCTCCTCGACTGTCATTTGGGCGGCGAGTGATTTTGCGCGTTGATAGGCTGAGGCCCACGCGTCGTTGGAGGTTCCATTACCGACGGCTGCAGGCGTGTTAGTCTACGTCCATAATTATGCTGATTGACAAAGGCGAAAAGAGAGCGCAAGATGGAGAGAAACTCACGTGACGGATACACCGGGGGGCTCTGTCCATAATAGGGGTCGGGTACGTTGGCCTGAGCGGCGCAAAGCGTAAGACCTGCGAGGGCCGCAGCCAGTATGGAGATCGACGTCTGGACCATCTTTTCCGGGCTCGAAGGAGAGAATGAGCATGCGTATCTTCCATCATCGGTAGAGGGCCAAGAAAGCGGTCATTTAAACCTTTTGCCCTCCTTGACCCCTCAGATACCTCGGAAACAGATACTTCGACGGCCGAGGAACCATCCCGAACATAGCCGCATAACGTCGCACTCATTTCACGCCATGCTGTGTTTTGATGTTCCCATGACCTCGAACATGACAACGGCCCACCGCCGGAGCTCGTCATCCACTGCGAAAGGGCAAGAAAGTGAGATCATCGAGGGCGCGACGCCGACCACTTGGGTAAGCTAGGCAGTTGGAGGCTACGGGAACCCATGCAGTACGTCGTATCCCAACGGTGCGGGGGAAGGTATTGGTCATCAAGCAAGGGCGATCCGTTGATAGTTTTTTTTTTTTTTTTCGTGATTCATGGATGTTCGTCTTGTACACTAGGTAGATCAGGCTGGCGGTTTTTTCGGCGGTATTATCGCGGGGAAATCGTGGGGAAACGAAATCGAACAGGGGTGATTGAGTGGTTGGCCGGGGATTAGTCGCATGTCGACTGGCAGAAACAACGTGGATGTGGTGCCGGCATGTGGGAGAGTGCGGGGAAATTCCCAATATCGGACCGGGATAGAGTCCTGCGTTGGGTGTTTATGCCCGAAGACGGGAGAAGTGTTCGGCAGTAAGGTCGATGGTTCTTGGCCGGGGTTAGTTTGTCAGCCATGATTCATTGTTTTGTTTGTTCGCCATCATCAGCAATAACTCGGGGTGACATTCGGGGTGGCTCACCAGTTTCTTGCAATGGGCGGTGACAGCCGACGACTCGGCAATAATTCCATCGGATCTTGGTCGTATTAGCCATGACGAGTACCATATCAGGAACAGCGTCCTTTGATTGATACACAACAAGACTCTTGTCACGCCACTGGAGGCTTTCATCTCGAGCTGCGGCTTGTCCTCATTGCGGCGTATCGCCGCAGCGACTCTTTGCCCGGCAGAATCATCGCGGAAAGGTACCGTTTCCTGTCGAGTCCGAAGAGGCTGCCAACATTGAACATGTCTTCCGATATGCTTCTTCGTCTTGGCGTCGCATCAAGAGAGAGAAATGGTATTCTAGGTGGTCGTGGTGTCTGACTTTGCGGTTCTATGGATGCCGTACAGGGCCACTTGTGGAGTTGGGATCGGCCGGAGTAGTGTGGGCTTATATTTCGATAACGCCCTTCTATTGGGTAGCCAAGCCATCATGTGCCCCTGCGGAGGCTCTGCTGCTGGGAGCAGGCGAACGTCTGACGACCCACAGGGCCATGGCTATGTTCAAAAATCAGGTTGCCGGTACGGATAAAATGTCAGTATGCTTTTGGTAGTCTGCCAGTGATTTAAGCCTATTTTGGAAGGTACTGCTACCACCGCCACCGCCACAGTCCATAACGCATGCGAAAAACGCCCTTTTTGCCGCAAATCTACTATCGCCAACAGACACCCACAATGCCCAAGATAGAGCCCTTATACCCAACTTTTAAAGAGTGCCGCCGCCGCAGCTACTGCTGCCACTACAGCTGTTGTCACTACTACTATACAGGCAGTATAAGCAGTATAGGTAGTATAGGCAGAATAGATTTAGGCTATAGATAGTTATACAATATAATAAAGTTTTAAATAAATTACTACTGCTACCTCTATTTTGCATTAAATTAACTGCCTAACCTTAAATTGCTTAAAACTAAGGAGTTTTTAACTTTACGTAACTATTATGGGCTTGAAGTGAATCTAATGGTCTGATTTGGAAGGTACGGGTACGTACCAATAGGTCATAAAACAGGACCTGGTAGTCAGCACTGAAGGGGGTGTTTTTCCCTTCTGCATCATCATTAACCTCAATCAAATTGACCTTTTGTTTTGGTCCAATTCTTCTGCTCCGATCAATCTGGTCTCCCCTTCCAGAAACCCAGAAGATTAGGCCCCAGCCTGCTTCTATTCATTCAGATCAATTGATTCAGCACAGAAATCAGTCAAATTCAGCCCAAGATGGCCTCGAGAGCAATAGCTCAAAATCACCTGCGAATTACCTGCGAATTAGCAAATTCTCGCCCAAACTTACCCTCTATCTAACCCGATTAATTGGCACCCAGCGAAACCCCTGATTACGACCTAGCGGCCCTAAATGACTTAGTTAGAGAGGCTTGCTGGATCAAGGGGGGGAGTAGAATTGGTTAGTGGCTGCTTTAAGGCACACTAGACTTGGTGAGCATCAGAGCAAATAGGCAGATGGGAGGACTTGTTTGGGGCTAAGGAGTCAAGACTAAATTTGGGAGGGTTTTCAGCATTTGAGCTGTTCTTGTTGCCTGGAGGGCGATCGGGAGTTAGAACTGAAGCATCGTGGGCGATGCTTGTTGGTAGGGGACATGGAAGGTACGGGTACGTACCAATAGGTCATAAAACAGGACCTGGTAGTCAGCACTAAAGGGGGTGTTTTTCCCTTCTGCATCATCATTAACCTCAATTAAATTGACCTTTTGTTTTGGTCCAATTCTTCTGCTCCGATCAATCTTGATTGGCTGGGTAGGTCAGAATGCTGTTGTGGGCTATTTTTTGCTGGCGCTGACATAATGATTTTCCAAAATAGGCTTAAATCACTGGCAGACTACGGATACCAAAAGCACACTGGCATTTTACCGGCAACCAAAAATCAAGCTTCTTGTTTGCTGTAGGCTGATTGGCAGTCTATCAGAGCAAGGGGATCCCTCACAGACAGCATTGGTGATCACCGGGCTGTCATATGGCAAATGTCGGAAGCTTGTTCTAGCCCGAGGGTCAACCATATATGGTCCACAAAGGCGTCCGCAATGTCGAAGCATAGTAGCAAAATTGCTGATGTGTCACATGGGAAAGCCACCGGTAGCAATCCGATTATGGTTGATGTGCAGCATCGAGACTACTTGCAATGCTTTCCCGACCACACCCTCTCCGCCTATGTAACAGCTCGGTAAGGCAGTATCACTGACGACAGGATCCGTGGACCTCTCGTTGCCCACTACCTCGGGTCAAATGCGTCCCAGGCAGGGAGGCTGAGGAGCAGCCAGATATGGAGATAATAATAGGTGGAACCTTGTTCGTGGCTGGTCAGACACGGCATGTCTGGTGGCTGCCAGAGGTTGTCATGCATAAGCCAAATCCATCATTCGTAACTCCATGTGGCCAGGGCTTGTCGGATATTACAAAGCTCAAAGCTTCTGGCTGCTGCCGACGTAAGGCTGGGCTTCGTCGGTTTACAGAACCAGAGTCGGCGCGCGTAGGTAGCGCATGTCAGACTGTATCTGGTTTCATCGCATGTTGAATAAAGGAATGTTTCAGTTGATTGATTGCCCCGGCGGGTCCAGCCCCATTATTTGGCGTTTCCGGTGCAGAACGTGTTCATGGCGGGGATGAACGTATCCTAAACCGATCCGGAACTGTTTGAGACAAGGACGTCAGCTGTCTAGCTGTGCGGTGTGTGCTGATGGAGGAGGGAAAGACAGAGAGAGAAAAGTTGTAAGGTAGGTAGGTAAGGTGATGATGACATCGGGAAGGAGAGGTTCTGGTCGATGAGGTACGATTACGTTACAAGGCTGGCCGCACAGGTACACAGCCGTCAACAATGTACAGTGCATATTACTATTGGAGAAATGACACAGAGCTACGGGGGAGCTCCCAGGGCTACGGACCCATCTATATCACACCAGCCAATAACACACCACAGAACCTCGCTTGTCCAGGGGAAGGTCCCCACCTGGCCCTGCGTGACATAAGGTTGCACTGCCGCGAACGGCCAAAGCAGGGAGGGCAGAGCAGAGACTCACTCACTGTGCAGGCTGCTATCGCCCTGAGCCGATAAGGATAACACACCTGACCGAGTGAGCAAGAGAGCGAGCTCCAACCTTATCGCGACATCATCTACCTACGCTACACGCTATCCAGGTACCTTACCTACACCATCACCCCGTCCATCCCATCACTCACCACCTCGTCTCTTCCTCCTTCCTCAACTGCAACTATCGCTTCATCTTCTCTTTTCATTCAACACCTTCATTCCATTCCGTCTGTTCCTAGTATCGCGCCTAGTCTGTTTCCCCTTCCCTTTCAAATATGCATCGCTTCAATTCTTGACCTTTGCCTGTCGTGAACCACTTTCAGCATGGCCAATTCCCCATCGCACCGGAGCCCAGCCTCGTCCACCTCGGCCGGCCGAGACTCCGGCTCCCTTTCACATTCCAGAGACCGCCGTGATGTCCCATCCGCCACATCCGCCGACGCCCTCGTCGACCCCGTGCCGGTTGAGACACTGGTGGAACACCTGCTCGCCGCCAAACGCTCCTTATCGTCCATAACCGCCGTCCTCCGCGCCAACGAGATAGCCACCGATGCCCGCCAAGCCCACGAGGAGGCTGTCGTTCTCTACGCCGAGACTCAGTTCCTTCAGCGCGCCATCTCGGATCAGCTGGCCCTGCTGATCAAGGTCCGTCGTGGCCTTAAGAGGACCTACGATGCTGGCAAGCGCGACTTCAAAAACCTAGTCAAGACCATGGATGCCACCAACGAGAAGCTCCAGGACACCATGGCCATGCTCAAGAACACCACTGTTGAGCCCGTCTTCCGCCCACCTGGTGAGGGTCGACGCAACCTGATGGACTTTGTGGACGAGAAGAGCGTTCACGTCATGGTTGAGGCTCTGAAGCAGAGCCTTGGCGAGCTGCAGGTATGAATTCCTCGTGTGATTACCAGCCCTTTCCGTGCTGGCATTCCAGCTGACAGCGCGACCCCAAAGTCCATCCAGACATCCTTTGACGGCGATCTTTTGCGATTTGACGACGACCTACGGCTCCTCAAAAAGACCATCGCAGTGTCGCCACTGCCTCGCGCACCTTCCGACCCCTCTGCCTACGACCCCATCCCCGAGCACCTCGCCTCCCTCGTTGACCACTCACACAGTATGGCACAACTCTTGACGTCCTTGACGAAACACTTTGATCTTTGCGTCACGGCGGTACGCACGACGGAAGGTGGCGCCGCCCTCGCCCGTCGAAGAGCCGCCGAGGCAACGCAATCGCAAGGCGGCGACAGCGTGTCTATATCCGGCGTGATTGCCGACCAAGAGTCACACATGCCTGATCTCGATCCAATAACTTCACAGGACCGCGCAGACATGCTGGAGATTGTCGTCAGCGATGCTTCCGAGGTTGACAGCGTTATGCAGGAACTCAATGAGCGGCTGCAGGCCATGGAAGAAGAGTTTGCCGCCATGACGCAGCAGACGGAACAGATCAAGGCAGCATTCCTCGGAACGCTAGATGCATTTACTGCCCTGGAAGATATGGGCGGTCGCATGGCCAGCTACATCGCTAGCGAGGCGGAATTCCTGCAGCGGTGGGAGGACGAGCGCTACACCATTTATAACAAGCTCGGGGAGATGGACGACCTCCGAGACTTTTACGAAAAGTACTCAAACGCCTACGACAACCTGATCCTCGAGGTCGAGCGGCGCCGCATGGTGGAGGATAAAATCTCCACCATTTGGAAGAAGGCCAAGGACAGCGTCGACAAATTGATGGAGAACGACCGGCGGGAGCGTGAGGGCTTCCGCCAAGACATTGGCGAATACATCCCGACGGACCTGTGGCCCGGCATGGATGGCGGAATGAAGCGTTGGGAGCTTGTCGCAGTCGATGACGGCGCGGCCGAGGACGATGCGAGCGGCGGCCAGAGAAGCACGCCAGCTCTCGACAGGAGCATCGTGGACGCTGCTAGGGATAGATTGGACCGTAGCCAGCAGCCGTAGCGGCGATACACCTGGCTGTGCTTTGTAGCTTGGTTACTACGATCAGAGAGCCAGGGGCTTTGCCCTTTCTTTTATGTTTTTGTTTTTTGGGGGGTTATCTATTGGAGTTCAAGGACTGAGCAAAGGCAGCGAAGACCTTCGGCAAGGCGTGGAACACGGTTCGGATGACGGCAACGTCTTTCTCCAACTTTCATTTGGTTGGCCATCTCATTTCCTTCTGTGTCTTGTATTAAATTGGTACATTCTCATTTCTACCGTCAAGGTTAAGGATACTCGCAACTTATGGTTAAATTGTTACTCCCCATTGTACACAATGCATGCCGAAATCGACTGCGTGGAGCTTTCACATTTATTTAATATTTCAACTTCGTCCGCGCTACTCTACTCGTCTTCCACCCGGGCAGCAAACCGCCTGTCCCCTTTCCACCAGCTTTTCGCTTCGTTCTGGATCGGAGTACCGTTCAGTTCGACCCTCTCTTCCTCACTGGCCGCGTAGACCGTCTCCGTCACCCCAGCCTCTACAGGTACGGCCTGCTGATGAACCGGCGTTAAGCCTCTGCCGTTCAGGCTCTGGACTTCAGCTCCGCGCTCGATCAGGAAGTCTCGGACTTTTCTGTGGCCCTTGGCAACGGCGAGATTCATGGGCGTCTCCCCTCCGCCGTCCCGCGCGTCCACCACGGCGCCGTGCCGCAGCAGCACCTCGACGACCCCGACGTGCCCGAGGTGCGCCGCGATGTGCATCGCAGTCCTCTTCCGCCTCCTGGCGGCGACGGCGTGCACGTCGGCCCCGCTCCGCAGCAAGAGGTCGGCGACCTCCTCGTACCCCTGGGAGACCGCCACGTGCAGGGCCGTCATTCCCCAGCGGTCGCGGGCGTCGACGGACGCTCCTTGGTCGAGGAGCATGCCGACGACCACGAGGTTGCCCCAAGACGCCGCCTGGTGCAGCGGCGACCGCCTCTCGTCGTCCACCGCGAGCAAGAGCGCCTCCCTGGCTTCCCCGGCGTTCCAGACCAGGGCCCGGCAGACCTCCACATGCTCGCCTCGGATGGCGCAGTGGAGAGCCGTGCGTCGCTCCGAATCGACGCGTCGCAGGTCCGCGCCGTGCTCCAGCAACACTCCGATAACGGCGCTGTTGCTGTTCTCTTCCGTCGCGGCGACGTGGAGCGGTGTTTTTCCGTGCTGGTCCGCGGCGTGGACGAGGTAGTCGCCGTCTTTCCGGAGCAGCATCCGACAGACTTCCACGTCGCCGCTCGCCGCGGCGCAGTGCAGCGGCGTGCGGTTCCGGGAGTCCAGCCGCCTCGGGTCTGCCCCGTTTTCGAGGAGCAGCCAGACGACGGAACCACGCCCGGCCGAGGCGGCGAGGTGCAGCGGCGTCTGGCCATAGTCCCCCCCGGCCTGCGCATTCACGTCGGCTCCGCTCTCCAGCAGCAGCCACAGAAGACTCGTCGAGGCCTTGCCACCGCCACCGCCGTCGCCCGGGCCGCAGCAATCCTTCACCGCAGCGTAGAGCGGCTGGTCGCCCTGGTTGTCCGGCCTGTTGACGTCCGCCCGGGCCTGGATCAGCAGCCTCGCGGTCGTCGCACGGCGGTAGCGCATCGCCCACCTCAGGGCCGTGAGGCCGTCGGCGTCCGCTGCGTCAGGGTCCGCCCGGCGTTTGACGAGGAACCGCACCATGTCGTCCTGGCCCTCTTGTGCCGCCCACTTGAGCAGCGTCCAGCCGTCGCGACCCGAGGCCCCGACGGAGGCCCCGCTGTGGACGAGAGCCTTAATGTTGGGCTTGTAACCCTCGTGCGCCGCCCATCGCAGCGCCGTGTAGCCGTCCCGGTCGGCCGCGTCCGCGTCCGCCCCGGCACTCAGCAGCGCCTCCACCGTTCTCAACTGCCCGTATCGCGCCGCCCACCGCAGGCAGGTGTAGCCCTCGGCGTCCTCGAGCTCGAGGTTGAGGCCGCTGGCGGCCAAGATGGTGTCCACCAGCGCCCCGTCGCCGCCGCCCATGATGGCCTTGTGCAGGGCCGTCCGCCTGTCGGCGTTGGGGACGTTGAGCTCGACGCCCTCGCGGACGAGGAACTCGGCGAAGGCTCGGCGCCCGTGGGTCGCCGCCCAGTGCAGCGGCGTCTCGCCGCGCCGCGTCTGCGCGTTGAGGTTGATGTCCCTGCCGTTGGCGATGGCCTTGCGGACCAGCTTCTCGAGGCCGAAGAAGGCGGCGACGTGCACGCTCGATGCGTTGGCCTCGTGCGCGACCCGCGGGTCCGTCATGGCGCGCACCGCGGCGTCGAGCCGGGGCCTGTCCGAGACGAAGCGCCAGGCCAGCTTGTACAGGTCCCCTCCCTTGGGCCCCGTCGCCTTGTCCAGGTGAAGGCCCCAGAAATTGGCGGCGTAGCCGTAGAGGGGGTACTCTCGGCAGACGTCGTCTGTACGCGGCTCGGTCGGCCTTTCGGTGCTGACCGGTAGCCCCGCGAGACAGTACAGGCAGGTTCTCGTCAGCAGCGACGGCGACATTGAGTCTTCGTCCGGGAACACGGCCGCCTGGTTCCTCTTTATGTATTCCTCGGCGGTCCCGTGGGTCAGACGGACGATCCTCTTCTTGTCCGCGTCGGTGAGGACGACCACGATGCCGACGCATGCTGATATAAGCGCGTCTTCGATGCCGGCGATGTCTGAGGCCCTGGGCAGTTGCCACGCCGGAGACCTAGACTCCTCGGCGCCGTTGTGGATGGCCAAGGCATGCGTCAGCTCATCGACAGAGAGCTGCCTCTCGGTGTTCACCAGCCAGTTCAGCGCCTTCAGCGCCAACTCCCTCCGGGGCCTGTCCTGCTTCTTGATCCGATCCAAGGCCGTCGCGTATACGTCATCCGGACTTGTGGACAGCTGGGTCAATCCGCTCTTTAACCCGGCCAGGCTGTGAGTGGAAGCCAGGGATTTGATGTGTAAATGCGCGAGGAGGAACCTGAATCGGGGGCGAAGGAGGGTTCGACGGTCAGCAGGAGTGTACAAGGGTATGCGCGACGGGGAACACTTGCATTCCGTGGGACTTGTCCGTGATGGTCGCCAAAGTCTTGGCCCTGAACGACGGGTCCGCTTTGCACCCCTTCTCAACTATCCCGTTCAGCTGGGGGCGGCTTTCGATAAACCTATGGAGGTATGCACTGATATCGTCGTCGTGGGCGGCGATGGGCAGTTCGCAGCCGGGGTCGGTCAGGGTCTTGAACTTGCTGACGGGCCGCGACGTGAACAGCAGCCGGAAGCTGTCGGGGAGCTCGCGGCACACGCCCAGGAAGCCGTTGAGGGTGTTTGTCTCCAGCTCGTCGTCGAGGCACTCGTCCAGCGCGTCCACGACGAAGAAGATTCTCTTGAAGCCTTTCGCCTGGGACTTTAGCATCTTGAGGTAGTCGCGCTCGGCCGGCATCTGCTGGGTGCTTTTCCAAGCGCCGTGCGCCTCTTGGATCTTGGCGGATAGGTGCTTTGCGCCGCGCGATAGTTGGAGTATCATGCTGCATAGCAGCTTCGTCAGGCAGTGGTCTTGGTGCTGTCTGTGGTCAAAGTAGATGAAGACGCAGGCTATCTCGGGGTTCGACGAGAAGCGAGCCCGGAGGTGGTTTATGATTATGGACCTGGACACGACCTCGGTCAGCTTTTGCTCACTAGACGACGGCAGGTGGTAGAGAGATGATGATCCCCTTACGACAACACAGTCTTGCCCGTGCCCGCTGGAGACGCGTCAGTGTGTTATAGCCACAGGATATCGCCTGTATGGCTTTGTGGTGTGTGCTTACGAATCCCATGACACCACAGCTTCCGCAAGCCGCCGTCGCGCCACTGTTCCTCAAACTCGGTGGACTTCAGAAACCACCGGCCGGCCTTGGGGGTCCTCTGGGCAATCCGGAACGATTCGGCATGGGTCTTTTCGAAATCAAGCGGCTTCGAGACGTGCCTCAGCCACTCTACCGGGCTGGACTTGGGATCGCACTCTTTTTTGTCTACATGTGAACGACTATCCAGGAAACCGGGGGGGTTCTTATAAATTGAACTAACCGGCCCGGGTTGTGTCATGACCGTAATACGCTAGAATATCCTCAGCTCGCGCGTCAGCTCTCCGATGATGGCGCAGCCCCCTCTCCTCCCCTCAGTCGTCGTCTCTGCTCTGCGATTTCAAGTATGCCATACCAAAGTTCATGTCGCCCGCCGCGTTGTATTTCGTCATGTTCCCCATGGTGATCTTGGAGTGTTCGCCGTTCGAGACGACGCCCCGCCCGCGGTCGGAGATGTGCAGCGTGGTGTTCCTGCCGGGCCCGCCGTCGAACTCCGAGTCCGGGAGGGACGGCTCGACCTCGGCGAGGGCCTTGATGGCGCCCTCCAGCTTCTCCATCTGCCCGAGGGACTCGGCGTGCGCCTTGAAGACGTGGTGGATCGCCAGCACCTTCAGCCTGCTCAGGATGCCCCGCATCAGGACCTCGACCTTGTGCGCCTTGCCGAGCGGCACGACCTTCGTCCGGTAGAAGCGGACGAAGACGGACCACTCCTTTGCGCCGCTGCCGTCCTCATTTTGGCTATTGGGATCAATCTCGCTAAAGATGCCCTTGATGGTATTTGCCCGTTTCAGACACTCGGCGAGGGCGGGCTGGATCACACTCTGGACATCCTCGTCGGTCTTGTCGGCTTTGAAGGTCTGCTGCGCGAGGTCGAGAGTCTCCTTGACCAGGGGGAGGTTGCGTCCCACCTCGGCAAAGGCCTTGGGGAGGTCTTTGATGTGCTTGATCGTGTCGTAGGCCGCTATGAGCGCCTGGACCACGGTGATGGTCGACGCGGTGATGCTGAGGGGGTCCATTGTGTCCAATGCGACTGTCGTCCTCTGCGCAGTGCGATCACCATCAAGAGATGATGGTTTCTGAAAGGCCGGGGTTCGAAAATGAGTGACTTGTCTGGCAATATGGTAACTGTTCAGAAGGTGAAAGCGACGACGGTAACCCAACGAGATGATGGCCGACTGGGTTCCAATCAGGAGGGTTAAAAGGGACATGGATGAACATATAAATGCGAGAATATCTCGGAATGCTACATGGCGAAGTAGAACGAACGATTCTCCACACAAACGTCTTATCGTACATAAGCGGACAGCAGCTAATGCACATCATCAACTCGTCTTTCTGCATTTCGGTCAGCAGGAGGCTCTTGACAGGCCAATTGACATCTCGCTTAATGCCAAAACGACTATCACTGGTCCGACAGCCTCATTTGGGGGACCGGTTCGCGATGCGCAGCATGCATTGCCTCGCTGTGGGCTGGGCAAGACAACTGCTGTTGGGATCCACCGTATGCATGTCTTCTGCGCAGCAATCGGCCCAAGTTCAAGTGCACCAGTGGATTTAGAACCCCTAGATCGTCCCATCGTGGTCCATCATATACTACCGAAACGACCCACCTTAATGCTGTAGGCGGTGTTTTCTGTAAGTCTTCCCGCAACGCCCAAAACAGCTCAGCTCTCTACGAACAACCAGCAAACCATCAAAATGTCCTTATCAACCAAACAAGAGATGAACCCCCCATCCCCTCTGAGCCTGGTTGCTCTAGAACTCAGATGATGGGTTCCGAAAACGTGGCTGCATTTTGATTGCTGCGCAGCAAAGCTGACATGGCGCCATACATCCTCTAGCGCCGATTTGCAACGCCCTGAACAGGAAAGCTAGGCTAATTTCTGCATCCCCAGAAGCAGGCTGTGGCTAGGCAGACACTGCGCCCCCCGCAAGGCAACCTAAGGCAGAGGCAGCCCAGAAATTTGCTGAGGATGGTGGGAAAGAGTGCAATGGGGAAGCGGGTTGGCAGACTACCCTCCTCTACGCTGTCGGCATCCATCCTGGGGGCCGAGGCTCGTATCACAGAGAGCCGATATGGCAATATGCACCGCCAGCAGGACAAATGTGGCATGGGCGGACGGTTGACGGATTGAGCGCTGACAACGCCGAAGTGCCTTTATCATGGACCGCGCATCCGACTAGTACGTTCTCTCTTTCAAAATCCGACGGCGCCCGTCTGGTCCACGTCAGAGAACCGATCCAGTCCATGATCCCATCCAGCCCCTATCCGCTGATGATCCACGGCTTCACAGCTTAACAAATCCTTCACGAGAACCGGCTGTAGGACGTCGAGCTGCGCAGGAGACACGCTGCGCGAACATGTACCAGACCGCACCGTCGCGGCATCACCTTCAACTGGCCGCGCCGCCCCCGTACCCTGGTATTAAAGAGAGCCGTAACGCAACATCTCATCAGAGCCTCTTTGCAGACAGCGACAACGGCAGCGATTGGAACGACTCGGAGCCCGAGCAGACCACCCACCGAGACGATAGGGCCAGCACGGGCGACCGCGTCAAAGTCACAACCCGCCAGCGTATGCCGCTTCCCCGCAGGAAGCCGGTGGTCGTCGAACCTGACACCGACCAAGGCAGCTGGGACGACGGCCAATATCAGGGACGGTCAGGCGGTCAAGCTGTTCCATACGCGCACTACGGCCTTCCGAACAATCCCTTCCCTCCTCCAGCGGGAGACCCGTATGTGCAGCCGCAGCCTCCACTTGGCCCCCATCCCCAGGTCCAGTATCACCCACCCCAGAGTGGCCCTTTACCGCCAGGTCAGCAAGGCATGGCATACGAAAATCCGTTCGCGCCGTCCGTGATGCCCTGGCACGGCCAGCAGGCTGGGCCGTACGGCAGTAACCCACCGGCTCCCTTATACGAACCCCATCCAGCGTGGTATCCAGCGGCTGGGTATGGCAATGTCCCACCGAATCCGGCGCACTTGTCCACAGTCCCACCGGAACCGTATCCTTATCCCGACCCAGTGACCGATTACCGTAGGGGCCATGTGCCCATTCAAGATCCGCCTAATCCGTCTCCCACGTTCGAGCCCGCCCCGCCCCCCCGACGACGCCGGCGGTCGCCGCCGGCGGCCGAGGCCCCCCCGCCAGAGCACGACCTGGACCATCTCCAGCGGCGGCTCAGAGCTGTCGAGATAGACAGCCAGAATGCGGAGGCCCTGCGGCAGGCCGAGAAGGAGCGGGCTCGGGTGGGACGGCAAAAGCGGGAGATGGACCGGCTGCGGCATGACTTCAACGCTAGCCTCAGGGAAGCGGTCGACGACATCCGCCGGGAGATCCAGATGGGCCAGTCCGAGTCGCACTCGGAGCCCGGCAGAACGCCGTCACGAATGGACAGCGGCGGAGGCAGGAGGGCGGGGGGATTGGCGGCACCCGAGCGGGCCATCTACGGCGATCGGGACGTCTGGGCGGAGAGGGGGGAAAGCGGCGGCGGCGGCGGCGGCGAGCAGGATGTGCTGATGCGGGAGATTGCGCAGTTCATCGAGGGTAAGAGGAGGCTCCAACCGCAGGACCATGCACCGGGGGCGGCGTTCCGCACGGGGTTGCAGACGGGTCCCGGATCGGCGCGGGGATCACGAATGGACCCCGAATTGAGGAGCGAGGTCGAGATGATCGTCTACGACATGCTAGGGGGATCTGACGTAGGGCCGAGGCGGCACCGGCGAGCGTCGTCGCGGTTCCGCGGAGGAGCAGCTTCGGACAGCTTTAACCCCCGCATCGCGGCGCAGGTCGATCCTCGAAACTGGCCCCAAGAGGCGTACGATGTGGGGGTGAGCCCTGCGCCGGTGAATCGTCTAGCCGACGAGAGGGAGTGGCTGGGCGTACCGCGTAAAGCGAGGAGACCGCGGCCCCGACAAGAGGACACAGGCGGAGCGGGTGCTCCTCAGACACAGGGACCCGGTTCCCATCAACAGCAACCGCCGCCGCCTCAAGCAAACACTTCAAGACACCAGGCAGGCGCGAGTGCGTTGAGCCCCAGGGCGTGGGGCGCGGGAGGCGGCGGCGGCGGCGGCGAGGAGGAGGCCGCCCCCAGTACCAGAGCAATGGTCTACCAGAACAGCATCGCCAACAACGGGGCGCGGGGGCCGGGTCACCCGGGCGGGCTTGCGAGGCAGGGCGGCGCGTACGTGGGCGCCGCCGGGTACGAGAACGAGGACGCAGCGGGGTTCTTCACGGACGACGAGTCGGACGACCCGGAGGTGTTTCGCAAGCGCGACGCCAGCTACCCCGAGTTCCGAGCGGAGCGGGTGCAGCTGCCTCGTGCTCCGAAGCCTCCGCACCTGCGACAGGCCGGGATGTAGCAGCCGTGATTCGATGTGGGTCAGGGAGGGAACAGAAAAGAGGCTACCGGGACGGTGCCGTGCTGTAACTATGAAAAACGAAGAGAGAGACATGGCAAGATGGCCAGTTGCTTTGATAGTAGTTCGAGTTCCGTCTGGGAGCTTCGACAAGTTTGCGCAGATGTGCGACGCCGGGTGCTAAGCCTCGTTGCTATTGGTTTCTCTGTTGCGCGTATTGAGGAGGTTTCCTACACCTTCGACGGCCTTAGCATTCTGTTTGTTCGATGGAGTTCCCTGCAAGCTGAGCGGCCCCACAATCTCCAAGACGTGTAAAACATTGTTCAATCTAGGCAGGGCAGAAAGAAAGTGGGCGGTTGGGCCCGGTTGGCAGGGTGGTGTTTGGATCTTGATCTTGGCTGAGGTGACTGGTGCCGATATCCGAGAAGTCACCTGGTATGCAGTCGTAGGGAAGTACTCCGTAGTCCTGTATGTACGGATACGGAGGTGGGTACATTGTGTCTCGTTATTGTGACATTTCGCGTTGCACTTGCAGGCAGCATCGCCAGCGGGTCTGTGTGCGTCAGGTCAGTCTTTGCATTACAGTCGGGTGGTTCTCGGACTGTACTGGACAGGACTGAATATTGTTCAGTCAGTTTGGTTCATGCAGTCGTGTACCTAGCGTTGATGGTCGGGCTAGAGAGTAAGAAGCGATCTCGAGAACATTGGGAGAATCTGGACTATCTTAGTACAGAGAGTATTTGTAGGTATCCGTAGAAGTGTGGATACCTATTTAGGGGGAACGTATACGTACCGCAGTCTCTCGGGTGTTACATAAGCCAAGTGTTGTGGAAAGAAAGTGGAGGATGGCCAAGGCCAGACATGCCTTGGCACGTGACTCTCGGCAATTGGACGCGTAACGTAACCCCTACGCAGCTGATAGACGCAGCAACCCTGCGGCGATGCCCGGTTCCTGTCTGGACCTGCCCAATGACGTTACCATGTGCAGCGCACGGGCGAGAGACTAAATAAACTAGGTAGGTACCTACCTATTCAAGGTACGGATAGGTAGGCAAGGTATCCGTGAAGCTAGGTAGGTATCTAATGCAGATAGTTTGCGTGCAAGCTCAGGGCCGATAGGGGAGGGAGGAGGGGGAGAGACACGCCTGAGCTGCTGTACCAGCAGGTCTCAAGATACACTACGGAGTACAGACCGCACGGACTGACTGTCCCCTGGACTACCTACAGAGCTCAGACCAGGAGGGAACCAAAGAGGGAAGAGCCTAATGAGGGCAGGGGAGGGAAAGGCGCCTGCTCCCGTCATTAGTTTAATTATTTATGAAATGGCGCCGTCAACGTCATGGATCAAAACCAAACCGCCGATTCCACCCCTACGCCGTCGTCCCATCGTAACTAAACCAGGACCTCCTTCTTTTCTCCATTTCATCTCCAGTCTTTATTAGCTTTCCAGTCGCGACTCTTCCTCCATCATCCTCATCGTCGTTGACCTCCCTCCCAGACGACAATGTCGCAACAATACGGCCAGTCGGCCGGTTACTACGGCGGTGGCCCGCCTCCCCAGCAGCCGCCTTACGATCCCAAGAACGACCAACAATATAACAACTACCAGCAGGGCTACCCTCCGCCGCCGCCCCAGGGATACGACAATGGCAGCAATGGCTACGGGTACAATGCGCCGCCCCACGGTTACGATCCCGAGAAGTACACATTCGAGCAGGCCTTCAAGGTCGACAAGCCCAAATACAACGATCTATGGGCTGCTATTCTGGTGCGCTGCTTCCCTCTGTCGTGATGACGCCAACCCGTGCGACGGCCAATACTAACCCGACACCAGTTCATCGCAGTCTTCCTTGGCTTCGCCGCCGTCTCGGGCCTGACGATATCGGGCTACTCCGCGACCAAGAACCTCAATGGCGGCGGCATCTACGACGGCGCCAACAACTTCGGCCTCAGCACACACACCATTGTCCTCTTCGCCTTCGTCCTCGTCGTCGCCATCGTCCTGAGCTACGCCTACGTCTGGATCGCCCGCCTGTTCCCCAAGGCCTTTATCTGGGTCACTGGCATCCTCAACATCGTCTTCGCCTTCGTCACCGCAATCTACATGCTCTCGCGCCGCTATTACTCGGGCGGTATCGTCTTCCTCATCTTTGCCGTCTTTCTCGTCTTCGCCTTCATCAGCTGGATCCCTCGCATCCCATTCTCCGCCCTCATGCTCAAGACCGCCATCAAGGTGTCCAAGAAGTACGGCCACGTCTACCTCGTCTCCTTCCTCGGTGGCATCCTGGGTGCCGCCCTCGCCGCTTGGTACTCCGTCACCCTCGTCGCCACCTACTCAAAGTACCAGCCCTCGCAGAGCAACCCGCAGTGCAGGAGCGGCCAGTGTAGCCAGGGCAAGGTCATCGGTCTCATCGTCTTCATCACTTTTGCCATGTACTGGATCTCCGAGGTCCTCAAAAACGTCATTCACGTCACCATCTCGGGCGTCTACGGCTCTTGGTACTTCTGCGTCAACAACTTCCCCAAGGGCGCCACCCGCGGCGCCCTCAAGCGCTCCTTGACCCACAGCTTCGGCTCCATCAGCTTCGGCAGCCTGATCGTCGCCATCATCAACTTCCTGCGCCACCTCTGCTCCGTCGCCCGCAGCCAGGCTGCCGGAGACGGCAACATTGTCGGCTATGTCCTTTTCTGCATCCTGGGCTGCCTCATCTCCCTGCTGGATTGGGCCGTCAGCTTCCTCAACAGATACGCCTTTTCCCACATTGCCCTCTACGGCAAGGCCTACATCCCCGCCGCCAAGGACACCTGGAAGATGATCAAGGACCGCGGTATTGATGCTCTTATTAACGTGAGTAATCCCTGTCTCCTCCCCCGCCCCCCTACGTGTCGACAGACTCGGTAGCTGACCGTTGTACAGGAATGCCTCATCGGCCCCGTCCTCTCGTTCGGTGCCACCTTTATCGGCTACGCCTGCGCCCTCCTTGCCTACCTCTACATGGTCTTCACCAACCCCGCCTACAACCAGAGCGGCAACTACACGCCCATCGTCGTCGCGTTTTCCTTCCTCATCGGCCTGCAGATTGCCAATGTCTTCACGACGCCCATCTCCAGCGGCATCGATACCATCTTTGTTGCCTCGGCTTGGGACCCCCAGGTGTTGATGCGCGACCACCCCCAGCTCTACGACGAGATGGTGCGCGTGTATCCCCACGTCCAGGAGGCCATCCACGCCTAAAGGTATGGCCGGGTGTGATTGGTGTTGTCTAAGGTTGCTATCGGGGTGAGTCCTGGGCAACGGCGTACGAGATTGTGTACCCAAGGCGCGTTCGATTTTAGTTAGTACACAGCACTAATGTAATCATCTATAATTCAGACAGTTTGAGACTGCGTGTATGTCGAGTGAGTGAAGTTAAAATGACAACAACAGTGCCCTGTTTAGAAGATTAACATAAGAGACCAATTGTGGCATGACATATAGGGTGGATTGATTGGTGGGAGGGAGGGCGAGGAGCAAAAGAAACTAAAAGTCACGACGACAAACGAAACAAAAGAATTGACCAGCCTGGGGGTCGAACCCAGAATCTCCTGATTACACAACCTCTGATCACTAACTTGAGATCTTAAGTCGTAGTCAGACGCCTTGCCATTGGGCCAACCGGCCGGGTTGGAGCGAGTTCTGAATGTGGAACCGCTGTTGGAAGATCCGAGAGAAACTAGTGCTCAAGAATGGTTCGGACTACGGGATGGGCGGGATTCATGGAGGGCCTTGCCTGGGTCGCATCGACACAAGAGGTTTTTTTTTGCAGAGTTTTCATGATGGGCTTTGCGGGTCGTGTGTTGGGGGTAATCCCGGGGCGGGGGGGCGGATGACCGGGTCGGGGACGAGCACGGGCCGCCGGTATGGGGAGGTTAGGGACGTCCCGGAGGTCCGCCGAGGAGGTTCGCCGATTTGGCGGTTGGGCGGTGCAGTCTAGGCGAACTACCTTTGACGGGGCCCGTCTAGAACGCTGGAACTACTGCGGCGGCGTTCATGGGCCATTCAAGGATGGCAAGAACCAAAGACACTTGTTAGCCACACATCGCCTCGGCCGACAGGACACACGCAGTGTATACCAATGTTCCGAACACAAGCGCTTTTAGTCTATTCTGTTGATTACAATATAATAAAACATACTTTTGCCACAATGCTCGCTGGCTGAAGTCGAACTCGAAACTCAAAATACCCGGCCAGGTTGCCACCGCCCGGCATTTACGCGCGCGCATCCACACACATACACATATACACACACATACACATATACACACATGCCGGCCTCACCTCGGGATCCAGAGCCCCCCGTTCCCAAACGCCCGGTCCCTCAACGCGGCCCCCTCGGTCCTGACCCCCGCCAGGTGCAGCGGCACCCGGTCGACCTGCTTCTGCACGCGGTCCCTCGCCTCGACGTACCGGTCCGCCAGGCTCATCTCGCTCCGCGTCGCCCGCAGCCTCTCCCGCGTCTCCTCGGGCCCCCAGTTCTCGCGGCTCAGGCTGGCCACTGCGAGCAGCACGTCGGCGCCGTAGGCCGCCAGCGCGGCGTCCGAACCGTCCGCCGGCGGCGCCGACGCCCGCAGCTGGCCCATGACGAGCACCTTGAGCCGCGCGCCGAGGAACTGCGCCCCGCCGAACTCGTGGATCAGGTGCACCGTCGCCACGTTCTTGGCCGCTACCCGCGGCGTCGCGTACGGCGCCGGGCCGACCGTCACGAGGCTCTCGTGCCAGTCGGCCGACACCGTCGTCGCCATCGCCTCGGGCAACACAACGCGCGCCCAGCCGAAGTAGACGCCCCGCATCCGCACCCTGACGTCCCCGGGCACGTCCGTCAGGTTGGCCGTGGGCACGCCTAGCTCGGCCCCGCCGCGGCCGGTGCCCCGCGCGACCCTCCCGTCGAACTTGATCGGGAACGGCTCGCTCGGCCCGTCGTCCGAGCCGACGACCTCGGGGGGCGCCTCCTGGAACCCGGCGCCCGCGGCGTCGCCCGACTGCCACGCGTCGTAGCCCGCGCCGCGCGCGGCCGCGTACCGGTCCTCGAAGGCCGCGACGTGCGTCCTGATGCCGGACTTGTCGATGCCGCCCTTGACCTGCGCGACGTGCGCGATGTTGGCGGCGTGCGCCGCGTGCTTGGTCACGACCTTGGCCTTGGAGAGGGTCTTGGCGCGCGCCTGCACGACGGCGGCGGCCGGGCCGATGTACTTGTTCACGACGGTCGCCGCGACGACGGAGCCGGCCTTGATGCCGATCTCGAGGGGCATGCTCGCGAGGCTGGCGCCGCGGACGACGCTGGCGTCCGTCGAGGTGCTGGCGACGCGGAATACGGGGCTTGGGCAGAGGACCTTCCGCTTCGTGCCGTCGCCGCCGCCACCCGAGCAGAGGACGAGGCGGAAGTAGCCGTCGTCGGCGGCAGCGGGGATGCGGACGACGTGGGTCTCCCTGGGCGCGTGGGCGGCGAGGTTCTTGGGCGCCTTCCTGAGGAACTTTCTGATGTCGCGCTGGCAGCCCCTCTCGTCGGCGTCGGCGAGGTCGGCGGGCGCCGCGCGCGTCGACGGCGTGACGTCGAGCCACGACGTCGTGGCGCCGACGAGCGACTTGAGGTTCATGCCCATGTTGCCCGAGAAGCCCTTCTGCTGGAGCCAGACGGTGCGCGTCGGCGGCAGCGGCGCGTCCGAGAAGACGGTGACGGTGACGGAGGTGGACGGGCCGCGGTACCAGACGAGCGCGCCCGAGTGCCGGAGGATGGAGTGGTGCTTGGTGTACTCGAACGGGTGGCTGACGAGCCCGCCGGCGAAGTATTTCGTCTCCTCGAGGGCCGTCTGCCAGAAGGACTTTTCCGCCGTGGCCTGGGAGTCCGTCGTCGCCGTCGTCGTGGGCGCTTCCGAGGGGTGTACGTGTTTGGTGAGATGGGGGGGCGAGGGCCGGCGAGGGGGAAGGTTTCCGACGTCGGCAGAGAGCCGCCGGGGGAGAAGGGCGCGGTGTTCGGGGAGGTGGGTGAAGGGGAGGGGCGGTACGCGGCCACGGGGAATGTCTGCGCGGTTGGCGGACCGGGGAAGTAGGGACCGGGACTGGGCGGCGCGAGCGACTGCTTCCCAGAATTAAACGTCGAGGACGGCTGGAGCTGGTAAGGCGACTTTTCAGGGGGAGCGGTCACGGGGGGCCCGGGGAAGTATCCTTCATAGTCTGACGGTGCAGGCGACGGCCGGCCGCCAGGGCCGAAGTTCGATGAAGGCTGCGGCGGCCGGTACGGCAGTATCTCGGGACGCGCAGACTTGGCAGGCTCGGCTGGGTACCCTCCAAAAGCCGACGGTGCCGGCGAGGGCAAGGGAAAGGACGCCGATTGCTCTCCGCGACCGGAAGACGGCGGTGCTTGCGGCCGATACGGCCGATACTCTTGCCGCGGCGACGGCGACGGCGACGGCGCCCTCCCGGACCTGGGACCAGGACCAATGGGGGGGTCGACGGCGAGCCGGCCGCGGGAATTTACGCCCGGGAACTCCTCGTATGCCGGGGGCGGGTCGTAGATGGACGGCGTGGCAGACTGCCGAAGATTCGGCGTCGACCGGGCGCCGCGGAGGGGCTGGTGGCGTTGGGGAAAGGGGTCGAAATCCGGCGGCGGCGGCGGCGGGCCCGGGGGAGGACCCGGCAGGGGTTTGCGCCTGAAAGTGGCAGCATCTGGGGCGTACATGACTCTTCCTCTCTCTCTCTCTCTCTCTCTCCTGCAGGTCTTCGCCGGGCGTCCCTATCACGCGGCTCCTGTTTGTTGGTTCTCTTCTGTTGGGGGGGGGGGGCTGCCCTTGTTGTGTTGTTTACCTCGTTCAGCGGGCTCGCGCGCGGCCCAATGTTCACCAAAGGAGTTTTGTAGGAGGGTTAGATGGAAGATCAGAAGAAAAGGGTAAATAATCGGCAATTTTGTTGGGAGTTTTTTTTTTTCACCTCCCCCCTTCCCCCAAGAATTGCGAGCCCCCTACCCTGAAATTACGGGCGACCTGAATCTGGAAGTGTCTCATCACGTGTCGCCAAGCTGGGCGGCTGGGTGTGTTGAGGGGAGTTATGTAGCATCTATCAAGGGGTCCTGAGGACGTGTGGTGTGGTATGTAAGCGACATTCCATCGGTGAAAGTTGGCCAAAGCGTTTTTTTGTCTATCATCCGGCGAGACTAAAATAATATTGGCAATAAAGGGGTATTGCGAACAACATCAACAGAGTTTGTCTATTCGGCACAGAGTCGCGAAGACACGGGGAGAGGGGGGGTTCCTGTTCTTTTGGATTCTGGGTTCACACCTTAATCAATAGAGGATGCAACCGAGAGTTGCCAACTCAGTCAGCCCGCCCTCAAGAAACACCCAGCAATTCACAAGCCGACTGTTTTCGCTGACTGCACCACCCAATCATCGTCGGCGGAATTGTCACTGATGAGAGCACACACAGTAATCCAGCTTGCAAAACCGGGAGAGCAGTACCCGTCTGAAGCCACATCGTGAGAGGGCTGTGGAAAAGGTGAGGATCAAATCAGCAAGTCACTGAAAAGACACAGCACAAGCAGGCCGCGACGAAAATGTCACCGCAGCTAGCATCCGGTGTGGAAGTGAATATATCTATGTGTGTATAACTCAAGCTGCTTTTCACTCACACGAGGCGCGCGTGAGGTCGAATCAAGGCATCCCTCAACCGCCCAGAATTCATTACAAATACTCATTAACCAATACTACCCCCTCCCTCCATCAAATGCGTATAGTCTCAAGAGGAGTGTCCCCCGCAAATCGAGGTCGAGGTCCTTTTCGCCATGCCTCACCTCCCCCACCGCATCCACAGGACGCACCCGGCGACGAAGGCAAAGCCCATCAGGATCAGGTTCGTCAGCGCCCCCTCCACCCACCGCTTCGTCGCCATCTCCTCCCTCGCCTTCCACCCGCCGCCCGGCCCGACGGCGTTGGCGTGCGGGAACGGCGCGTCCGGCACCTCCTTCCCCAGGAACTTGCACAGCGGCTCCCACCCCTCGTCCGCCGACCACTCGAGCAGCCGGTCGGGGGGCACCATACCCCGGATCATGTCGCAGTGTTCTGTTTCCCCCTCCGGGCCTTGGTTAGCATACAGTCCCCCGGGCTAACAGAATGAAGAAGAACGAGGCAAGACGTAGAACATGACCAAGTACCAAAAGAAAAAGAAACAAAAAAAAAGAGAAAAACTCACCCCGGTAGATCCACTTCCCGTTCCTCTTGATCGCCCTCGCCATGTCACCGTCCGGCGCGCGGAAGAAGAGCGCCCAGAGGAAGCGATGGTAGACGTGCCACGCCCAGAACGCCTCCCGGTCCAGCAGGCTCGCCACCCAGAAGCTCCAGCTCTCGTTGACGTGCACCAGCGTCTTGACCGCGCTCCGGTGCCACGCGTCCAGGTCCCGCCGCACGTTGAGCACCACCTTGGCCTCCGGGTACGCCCGGATCATCTCCGTCGCGAAGCAGCTCGCCGCCGCGTCCGTCACCGCCACGCAGTGGCCCAGCAGCTCGTCGAACTCGGCCGCCGAGATGCTGCAGTCGCCCGTCTCCCTTTCTCCTTTGTTTCCCTTATCGCCGCCGCCACCGCCGCCGCCATTCCCGCCGTACCACTTCTTCCGCGCGAGCCTCACCCACCCCGTCGCCGGGATCGGTGGGTCTTCGTAAACAATGTCCCACCCGTGGTACGTGTGGTCGTACCCGAGCGTCAACAGCGCCTGCTGCAGGGACTCGGTCGCGCTGCGCGGCGGGCCGACGCAGAGCACCTGCATCGGCCTCGTGCGCGTGCGCTTCTGCGGCGGCGGGATGCGGTAGACATGGTTCTCGAGGAAGTGCCACCACCAGTGGTTCATGCTCGATATCGAGGACATCATGGCTGTGGCGGTGCGGCGATGCTCAACCGACGAGGAAATTGGGGGCACTTCCGTCGTGGCGCAGGAGTGAGCTTCTCGGGGCTCCCGATCCGTCTTTTTTTTTTTCGAAATTCTCGAAAATCTGTCCCCCAGTTGTTGACCTTTGCTCGTCCTTCAACTGTTCTGTAAGTTCTGCTAGTGACCGAAAGATGAGTTGAGCTGCAGACTGGAAATCACCGAGCGTGCATACGACTGCGTTACAAGTCAAAAACGTGCAACGGCTGTCTGTTATATATCAAATTGAGGGAAGCCCCCCTCCGCCCCCCGCCCGATGAACCTCCAAACCCATGTGCCCAAATCCATGTGCCCTAAGACGTTTGGAAACCGTATGCCGTCATGGCGTTGGAGCTGGCTTGGCCATTCCCAGTAGCCGCAGCGAGCAAATGGCATAAAGAATCCCTGCAAACCCCTGAGAACGATGGGAAACTCGCAAAGCTGGCACTGTCTGTTATGTGGCATATCATCGGACGAGGGGGGAGGCATAAAGGACGGCCTCAGCACAGCGCAGGGCTCGGCCGCGGTGCAACCTCTTCTCCACACCCGCTTAACCGCATGTGAAGGGATAGCGAATGAAAAGCTTCGCGGCGAGCTTGCTTGAACATGAGGGGCCACTGTACAGACACCTGTTTGAACTGAAAATGCCTTGAATATATGCGATGCGGCCGTTTGCTTCGGCTTCAACCATGCTTGCAGACCCAGTACCCCGCCTTGCCACTCTCTGCCGTCTCTAACGAACGCCAAAACTTTGTCCACCCCGGGCGGCCGTCGCTTCGCAGGTGCTCAACCTCCTTGACCTCGCCCCTTTGGCTCTCTGCAGTCAGCAGCGCCGTATACAGTGACTGGTAGAACAGAATTTGCTTCTCAATATCTCTGGGCATGGCATCTATAGGACCCAGCACGAGCGACTCGAGCTCGTCCGCGTCCACCTCACCGAGGGTGGAGATGAGAAGCGTCGTAACGTTCGGCCGCGGCACAGGGACCCGGCGGACAGAGCCCTCAAAAGAGATGTGTAGTCGGCGCAGGGCAGGGAAGGTGGCCGTGATGCTGCCGACGATGCGCAGATACTGGTCGCGAGGGCTCAAGGCGCGGAGGTCTTTGATCAGAGGCGCACCGGCGGACGGTCGCGGCGCGCTGTCGAGAGACCGGTCAATGAGAGACTCGTCGCGATCCGGTATCCGAAACTCGAGCGACGTGATCCAGTTCAGCTGCGGCGTAGCGATGGCGAATGGAAAGTACATGGCTTCGAGCCTCTGCTCAAACTTGAACGTGTTGCTCGCGTACAAGACCTTGATCGTCTCTTCGTACCTGCGAGACTTGTCAGTTACTGGTCGTCCGATGCTGCCGAAACACGGCAGTTGGTCTCATCTCATGCGGCATGGAAAGATGTGTACGGAAAGAACTCACGCCTGCCGACACGACAGCAGCCAGGGCAAGATGCCGAGATACGTCTCCTTGGGGCCGCATGTCTGGAAGAAACCTCTAGGACACTGATCAGACAGCTTTGACTCGAGACGCCGGTCGTCCGGGCCGCACACGCAGCTCCACCAATACCACTGCGGCACCACGCTGGCGTCCGCGAAAGGCGGGTCCATGGGCGACACGCCCGGTGAGTGCGGATACCAGGCGGGCACAGGCTGATGACCTTTCCGCCATCGCACGTCGGGCTGAAGGCTGCGTCGGTACAGTAGGTAGAGATGAAGGATTTTGCGGCCGAAAGCGAGCCGGTAGATGTAGTACCGCAGGTCGGGTGTGAGGACGTCAAAGAAGGGGCTCTGTGAAACGAGCTTGCGAGTCTCCACGACCTCGCCGGACGCTGGCCGCGTCCGAAGGGTAAGCGAGGTTGTCAGAGAGCCAGTTCTGATGTCGTCCCCTTTGACCGCTGATGCCGAGGCTGCGTCCGCATCCGGGGCGGTGTGAGCCGCGTTGCGCGGCTTAAGGCGCGACGGCAATTCGTCATCCGGGCTTGGTACTCGGAGGAGTGATTCCGACATGGCTCTTGGGAGGGGCAGCTGTTGGGCGCCGCGCTGGGCCGACGGACTGCGCAGATTGGGGGGGAGGGGGAGGCGGGCAATGCCGGAGTTGCCGGCCAAAAGAGGGAGAGAAAACTGTTATCTGCGGGGGGTTTAAAGAGGATAAGACGAGTTTGAATGTGTGAGAAATGTCGTTGGAAAAATAAAATCGTCGTGGTAAATAGTTCGTTCTGCAGACAATGAAAATGAGACATGTATCGTACGTAGTAGCTATACCTATCCAAGCACTTAGATACCTTAGGTGGCAGGTACCTACCCGCGAATGGAAGTCTGGCGTGATACCGATTGCCGAGTATCGGCAGCTACAGTGCGCCTGCCGTGGAATTGGTGACAAAGGCGCGGGAGGGTACGTTAAGCGTGGCAGGTGCGGATTCGATCTTTCCCTTGGCGCTTAGTTGCGATCAAGGGATTGTTGTTGGTTGTTCTTGCCGGGATGCTCCTTGAGAGGACAAAGGGTGTGCCTAGATGGGCTCGCCAGCTGCTGCCAGCTGGTCCCACGGCAATTCTACACTTGCCATTTCCATATGCCGTGAAGAGCTCAATCAGATCATATTCCTTAGCTCCTTCCTAAAGAAATTCAATAGGAGGGAGAGCTGCGACCAAGGGCGACGACACTGTACCTGACCCCTATATTCAATTGTTGCGATAGCCGTATCTACCTACTTGAATGTCTCGCCGACATTCTTAACGCCACACACCCCCTTTTCCCACGATGAAAATCTCGTTCTGGTGGAACGCCAAGTTGACGGGATTGTTGCCGCCTCCGCCAACGCGGATCGAGCCAAGCGTCCACCCGGACTCCGGGTCCAGGACGTCGACCACCTCGCCGCCCGCGCCAAAGATCAAGCCGGAGTTGCTCACGCGCACACCGTCGTAAATGTACTGCATGGGGTGGCTGAGCAGCCTCTGGTTCGTCAGCAGCGGGAGACGTGCCCCCGACGAGGACACGGCAAAGTCGAACGCCCAAAGGTCGCAGTCGCCCAGGGGGTTCCGCCGCGACGGCTTGACCTCGAGGGCACCCGTGTTCGACAGATAGAGCGCTTTGCCGTCGGGCGACGGGGACACGCCGTTGGTGTTGCCTTCCAGTAACGCCACTTCCTTGATGCGGAGTGTGGTGCCGTTGACGAAGTAAAGCGTAGGCAGCGTTGGTCGCCGGAAGGGGTTCAAGTCCCGGCCCTGCCATGCAGTGTCAATAACTAGAGGCACACAAGAGAAAGAATATATGTCGAGGAGTAATCAGGGCACATACTCAACCAGAGTCCGAGTCCGTCAGGTAGTAGTTCCCCTCGCAATCCATTTCAATTTCATTGAAGCTCATGAATGGCCGCTCGTAGAAGTTGTTCAGCACAGTCTTACGCTCCCACGTGTTGGGGTCGACGGTGGCCAGATAGGCCGTTTCATCCGGGCCTCCATCCGTAACGACGTGCAGCTTGCCATTTTGATACATGCAGCCGTGGACGTTGTAGGTGGGTGGATTGGTGCGGATCTTGGTCAAGTTATTGGTCCGCACGTCCAATATACTGCCAGTCAGTCGTGCGTGCCGTTGCCGCCTTCAGGCGGCGGCCCCCATTCCACGAAAAACAGGAGCGACTGCTCGGGAATATAGCACGCGGCCTCGTGTACCTGGAACGGGAGAACCTGCAACTGCTCAACCGTTGCATTTGGTCCGATAATTTCGAAAAAGCGTTCGTCATAGGCGATAAAGCTCGTTTGGTCAATGTGCTAGTTGCTGGATTACACATCATTGCATGTTAATCGACGCACTTGTCCCCACGTCATGTCGGGGTGATGAGAGAAACTAACATGGCGGCGACACCCGAGTCCGAGACTTGGGCGGCGGAAGGCGTGTCGAACACGGAGCGGTTAAACTGCCCCGAGATCACGGCAAGAAGAGGCTCCTCGTTGGAAACCCACGCCCAACGATCCGTATTGAAGCCGGTGGGCACGGCATCGAGCTGACAAAGCGTCGGGCCCACAAGGCCGAGGAGGATACTGGCAGCGGATTTGGTAAGCATCCTATTAAGATTAAATAACAAGTCTTGGTATACAGCGTTATACCTAGTCATTTTGTGAATATAGGTTGGAGGCTGCACCAGGCCTTTATTTATCCTCGCTCAAGAACCAAAAAGCTGGAAAGCCATGTCATCGGACTCTGTCCGTCATCGGTGCTCTGTCGTAGTCTCCACCCCCGCAAATACCAAACCAGTGCCTCCCCGCATTTCTCCAAGACTTCGGACTCCACTCCGTGATTACGGATAATCTCCGAGATGCTCATTGATGCAATGGCCATGACACGGCCGTCTTGGCATAAGGGCGTGTTATACCAAGACGTAAAAGTAAAGCCTTGGAAATTGAAGAGCCATACTTTGAGCTTATAATCTATACCACATTGATTAGAGAGAATGATCCAAGGCGGATTGGCCATGGCAACATGTATAGAGTAACTTGGGCGGCGACTCTAGGCAGGCTAGGTGCGTTACGTAGATGAAGAAAAGCTGATTGTTGGAATTTATATACAGCCAAGAAGTGGGGTGGGTGGTCGCAGAATACATACCATGACCTATTAGCTAAGATAAAACAAGAAAAGTAACGCCTGCAGCAAGACGTCCTGGCGGCTCCTTTACGCGGTCCCATAGACGATATCCGCCTCTCTCGACGCAGGAGTGACTTTCAAATCGCTCAAGGCGGGACCCGTGATGTTGGCCTCCACCGTCGTCTGGAACGGAGCTAGAAGCTTGAAGTACCCCGTCCATTCCGACGGCCAGGCAGGCAGAAGACGGATCTGTGTGTTGTTCTTGGCGAACGTCTGCATGAGCATCTCTTGAAGCCCAATCGACGCGCTGCCGTAGTGGTTCATGTCCGGGGACCAGTCGTAGTTTGGCCCCTTGAAGGTCGGGAACCGGTACTTGGTGCTGTCCGAGAACCTGTCGATGGTGTTGCTGGCGGCGCGTTCCGTCAGTCCCATGCGAGCGAACCAGATCTGGTCCTGCCTCCAGCCGCTAAGAAAACTTGGTTAGCCATCACGCTTCTGACCCAACGAGAGAGAGAGAGAGAGAGAGAGAGGTGCAGGAGAATGCTCACTATGTGCCATTGTAGCTTGCGGACTGGCTGTCGTTGAAGTACGCATGCATGGCGTAGCTCAAGTTGGTAGGCTGCCCAAGGCCGTATTCTCCCCATGGAAATACCACGTACATCGCCGTGGGCTCGTTGTTCTCCGTGAAGGAGTAGTTCGTAGCCGGCGCAACACACACGAGGTCTACTCCCCAGTCAGATCACACCGGAACGCTACTTGCTGCAGGAAATAACTCACCTGGTGAACCGGGACACGAATGAAGCGGTGTTTCCGGGACTCGGGCAAAGTAACTCTCGTAGTACGAGGCGTTTCCTTTGACGAGGCTGGGGTTGATCTGCAAGAGATCGCGAATCGTTTTGCGCAGTCCCGACACGGTCGACGCGGGATTCAGGGCCAGCTTGTAAGTCTCGGCCCCTGAAGCGGGGTAGATGATCAATGTGCCGTTCTCTTCCAGCCCGTTCCGCTTCTGGTAGTACTCGTCGAACCACGCGAGCTGATACTCGATGAAGGAGATCCAGGGGGCCACGTCGATACCGCCATACATGTTCGCCTGCAGCACCATGTCGGCGAACTCGTTTGCCGCATCGCTGAGCCAGCTTAGCCAGTCATTGAAGAGGACGCCTGGCGGATAGAGGGAGGTCCGCGTGTTGCCGTCGTACGCGTTAGCATCGTACTCGTACACATTGGGCAACCCCGTGTTGTCAATCTGCTCTGACGTGAACCCGACGTCCAGGCCGAAGTACAGCTGCCCCAGCTTGCGGCTGGTCGGCGAGATATTGCTGTAGAAATTGAATTGTTCTGCGTCCGCGTTAAAACCGAATCCGGCCCGCTGGTGGTGAACAATGGGGGGGCTGACTTACGAGCCATGATGTCGAAATCTCCGGTTTTGAGAAGCGGCCAGTATAGAAGCCTCTGGTTCTGGGCCGTGAACGTACCGCCAGACCATTTTCTGTAGTCAGGCGTGAAGCTCTCCCGGCCGCGTACAAGGATGGGATCAAACGTGAACAGCCCGCCGTTGAATCTAGTCGGGTATTTGCCCTTGGCGTTGCATGCCATCATATACCGAAAGTACTGATAGTTCTTCCCGACCTGGAAACCCGAGTCCGTCGCCGGGGCATCTGGGTTGATGATGATGTAAGACCGGTCCCAAAACGAGTGCCACCATTCGATTGTGTCGGTCTGGCTGGCTGTTGGAATTTGCGAAGCGCTGTTGATCAACTCCGAAGCCCAATCCTCTACATTTGTTGTCTGCTCCTGTCCTGTAGCGATGTAAAGCTGGAATGATCTAGAAGCTGAAGTCGACGCCAGGTTGTAGGACGTGTAGCTGGTGTTTATGTATTTTCCGGTAGTGATTGAGTCAGGTTGAAGTTGGGGGGACACCATAAAGGTACCAAACTATGTCGACCAGTCAGCGTCACAAGCGTAGCTTGTAAATCAGATTGAATGGTACCGTATTGTTTCTCATTGGATTGAACAGAGACTCGGGTCCAATTGACGTCAGATTCTGCTGGACAACCTGGAAGTCAAATAGAGGTGTCTCTCCGTTATGGTGGTAATTGAGTACACCTCCGGACGTATAGCTGATGTTGTCTGGGCGTTGATAGGGAAGCGGAAGTTCCGGGACGCTGTTCACTCCCCAGGACGTTTGCTCTGTAGTTGGCCTTTTTTAGCTGGAATCCCAGTAGGTACGTCAATGGCCAAAGGAGCAAAGAAGGAACCTACGTTGTTCATCAACGACCATTTGATGGCCCTCCGTACGCCATGTCTCAAACCCAGCAGTCAGGTTGAGGGGCACTGCGCTTGTGACCTCTGTGTGGATGGCGGAGGTGTCCATGTCGACCCAGATCTTAATCTCGGTGGAATCGTCGCCCCTGATGGTCGCATAACCGTCATTGATGTTGAGGCGCTGTTCAAACACAGACGCGTTTGCCGAAAACGGGTTCGGGGTAAACGACAGCCGCACGCGACCCAGCTTCAGCAGAGAATTGTTCTCGTCAAACGCACCGCTTTTTGCGATGTAGAAGAGAACCTCGCCTGCTCAGCCCCGTTAGCAACACCGTCGGGGACACAATGACCAGCAGCAGCAACTGAGCTTACCCGACTCAACCCACAAGTTCAGTCCAACATCCCCTCCACCGACCGGCATCGAGCCCGAGGCATCGGCGCTCTGCGTTGTCCATACCGTGTCGTAGCTGCGTGGGAGTTGGATTGACTGGGCGCATTGTATCAAGCATAACACTTGATAGCCACGCACAAGGCGTTTCAAGAAAGTCGACGCCATGTTGGGGAACAGAGCTTTGGCCACACGCTTGCGAGCGAAAGTGCCATTGTGACAAGCCCGTCTGGGGTATCCGCAGATCTATTATACCAGTCCACTGCCCCGCCAACCCCGCGATGAGCAAGGTACTCAATGCCATCAGCTTTTCCGTCTACGTTATCACTGATACTACCTTCCCTAATTTACTGTAAGTTTGGCGGGGGAAACTCCATTTTGCGACAGTGGCCCGAGGAAATTAGGAGTGGGGATGTCAAATAACGTCAGGTGAGCAGCGTCCGCGGGACACTATGCCGATCAGTATGATATTACCGGTACCGTGATCTGGGGTATGCAATCCTTGGCCGCTGAACCGGGCATTCTCTAAGACCGGAGAAAGCATTAAACGGCCCGGGTTTCCCGGCCGCCTCGCAGCTTGAACGACTGATTGCCGACATTGCCGGGTTGCCCGGGTTGGAGGTTGCCAATTTCTTGCCATGTGCCTGCATATCTCTGCTATTTCCACTATATCCGCTATTATTGTTTTTCAATCAATTCTTTTATTCAGGCATCAGAACTATTGACGCCTGAGTAAGGGGCTGCAGGGATTCTGTTCCTTATCAACCTAGCCCAGGCCAATTCGCTTCCTGTTCACACAACACAAGCAACCGCACCCGATCAATGTCCAAGAACTTCATGCGCACGATAAGTGCGCTGCGTTCTGCCTGACCGAAAGCCAGCCCCACTCAGCTTTGACAGAGGGTGCCGCCTTCCCGAGGAACTCTTCAAGGCGACCTCACTTCTATTGACTGACACACATGTCTCGTGGCCAGAACTGCCATCTCATGGCCTGACTTCTTTGTGGATGTCACAATTGATTCTTTTGTACTTTCGACGTGGCAAAAGCCCACACTATGTTCTACAGAATCTGCTTGCAAGCTCTCCCGTCATCAGAGCCCCTAGGCCGATGGTTCCCGTAATTATCAGGTCTCCCGACCTCCAAAATTCGCCCAAAGCAAGGAAATGATAATGAAGTCAGCGTTCCGAGTATGTCTTTAAAAGTCCTTCTCGCCCTTTCAAATACCCGCAGCGATTAGGAAAGCAGCCACGACGCCTGCAGCGCCGCCGGCGTCAAGTTTGGTGCGAAGGGCCGGGCTCTTCGTGACAACGGCAGGGGTGAATGTAGCGGTTATCGCAGAAGGGTCGTCCGGCATGATCAGTGTTTGGAACATGGGCTCTTCAGGAGTGGAGGTGACAACAAGAATGGTGGTGTTGGTTGGAACATTAACCCCTGGAATAGGGTCGTACGGGACCAGGTTGGTAAGGCTGAGACTGCCTGAAGTTGGTTGCGAAGCCATGACAGGCGTATCGGCTGGCGGTACAGTGGCCACGGTAGGGTTCAGCTGCACGCTGCCGTACGACTGCAATCCAGATACACTGGCACTCTTCGGCGGCACATGGACGACCACGGTCTGAACGACAATGGTGCGGCTGGAAGGAGTGACTTCAGTCAGAGTGGCGGGGGGCGTGTCATAATCCGAGTTGCATGGGGTGTTAGAGGCTCCACCACCTGGCGTAACGGTGTGAATGACAATAGTGGACTTGGTGGCCAGCTTCCGTGTGCGAGTGATGGTTGGGAGTTGAATAGTTGTGAAGGTAATAGAAGGGGCTGTCTCGGTGGATTCTGGGCCTCCTGGAAGCAAGGAAGAGGATGAAAGAAGTGTCTTCTCGTCGCATGCCTTGTACATGTTGGCATAGCTGCATCCCTCAGAGTTGGAATAGCCGCAGAAGCCGAACTTGGCGTCACTGATGCAAGCCATGCTGCAGAGAGACTCATCAACCCGGGGGAAGTTGACCAAACTGCTACCGCAACGGCAGCCGCTATATAAAGGATCTCGTGTCAGTGTTTGTGTGCCTCTGGCGGGGAGGGTAAGACCTACTCGGGAAAGGCGGCGGCGTAGTTGCGACCAGTGCAAGCAGACTGGCACTCTTCAGGAGTGTAAGCTCTGCCAAAGTCGACAAAGGCGTTGAACTTGTCCGACGTGACGCTGAAGCAGCCAACGTACTCGAAGCCGTGGATGACGTGGCTGACCTGAGCCGAGACCATGGTGGCCAGCAGCAGGGTAATGACAAGAATCGACATTGTGCTTGGAAATGTAAGGAGGGAATGAGAGTTTGTCTGGGTGGCTTAGCCTCTGGGGACGACAATTCTTGATAACGGGAACGAGTGACGATGGATATCAGGACGTTGAAAACACGGCCTGTTGATGAGGAGTTTCTTCGAGGAGGATGTCGGATGATGGAATGTTCAGGAACAGGAACGGGGACGCACCTTGAGCCTATGGCAAAAAGAATAGCTTGTGGGCAGAGCGAAAAGAAGTCACGGCAGTTGGCTAAAGTGGAAGAAGGAAGAAGGAACAACCAGGCAAGGCAGGCAGGTGCCCAAGTAGCCTCAGTCCTGCCTTCCTTCGATGAATGTAGGTAGGTGTCTGTCTGCCTGGCACATACATAGGTACATAGGGAGCAGTGCATTGGAAGTCATGGGTGGCCGTTCGTGCCTGCTGAGCCTCGGACAGGCCAAGGTAAGAAGCCATCATCATCACGGCATTCTCGGTGTGGAAAAGGCTAAGAGTAGCGAAGAAGACGCTTTTGATATTCTACTGGGTCTATGTCGCTGCAAGATGGGTGAGTGTGACGTTCCAGGTCGCGGTCCGTCCTCTTTCAGTCCCAAAATTCAACACCACAGCAGTGATGCAGCAATCGTCAGAGCTCTCTTTGATCATCATTGCGCCCCTTAAGAGGTGCGTTCTAGAGCCAGGATGACGAGCCAACAGCGGTTAAGCCCGTGGGCTAAACACTGCATGTCGACCTTGTCTTAGGCCGATCGAGTCTTCATCACCCGATTGCACACGTATCAACCGCCCCCAAACCTTTCCTCGCAGGGTATCCTATCATGCAAAGCGAAAGAGAGAGAGAAAGCTGCTTAGTGCTTCTTCCTAGATGAAGCAGACACCAGCTTCTTCTTGACGCTCTTGGGGATCTTCTCTTTGCGCTTTTCGCGCTTGGCCTCCTTGACGGCCATTTTGTGTTGCTACGGGTTGTCAGCGGCGGTTCATCATAATGTTAATTGTTCGTTCTCACCTTCTTCTCCTCCTTGTCTTCATGCTTACGTCCTCTAGGCCGGGCCTTGTCAAACTTGGACTCGTCTTCATCACCGCTGGCCAAGGACGCCCCACTGCCCGACTCGTCCTCGGAAGACTCGCTCTCCTCCTCCTGGTCCTCGCCCTCCTTTACGACAGTGTCGGCTAGAAGGTTCTTGTAGACAAGCTTGTCGCCCTCACCCTGTCCAATCTTCGCGGCATCCTTCTCGATGTCGTAGACCTGTTCGAGGGTCTGCGGGATGTACTGCTTTCGGAAGACCTCGTTATCTACCTCCTGCTCGGCGGCGGCCTCCTCATTGTCGGCAGGTCTAGTCTCATACAGCTTCTCAAGTGCTTCCACTAGAGCGGGCTCCTCGACCGGACCCTCGGTCGCCGAAACAAAGTCGAAGATGGCACGGTCACTGAGCGTGTCGACACCCTTCCTCCTGAAGAAGTCCCCGACGTTCTTGATATCCATGCGCAGGAACTCCAACGCGCGGGGATGGTCAGGCTCGACGCTCTGGGAGACATCGATGATGTACAGTTTTTTGTCGTTGTACAGGATGTTGTACTCGCTCAGGTCGGCGTGGACCAGGCGGCAGACCTGGTATATCCGGCGCATGAGACCCAAAAGCTGGACGTACAGGTTCCTCCACTGCTGATCCACATCGTCGCCAGTGAGGTTGGCGTCTCGCAGCCGGGGGTAGGCCCAGCCTTTCTTGTCGCCGAGGAAGCCCATGGCCAGGACGTGCAGCTTCAGGCTGATGGGCTCTGGGCACGGGATGCCGGCGGCATGTATTCTCCTGAGGTTGCGGAACTCCTTCTCGGCCCACAGCTTGACCATTTTCCTGTTGCTGCTTTTGTCGAAACCCTTCTGGAAGCGGTGTTCGCCCGTGATGTAGCGCTCGCGGTCCTTGAAGACCAGGATCGAAGTCTTGTACACCTTGATGGCCCGCTGGATGTTGGGGCCGTCACCCTCAGGATGCAAGATGGCGTGGTAAACGTTGGCCTCCTTGCCGGTGCTGATGGCGCCGTGGATCTCGCTGACGATGCCACGATTGATCATCTGGAGCAGGATCATGCGCGTGCGCTGGTCCAACACCTGCTCGCTCGTTGCGCGGTCCGCCTTGTCCTTGCTCTTCTCGTCATTCTCCTTGACGCCGTCCAGGCGGATCTTGGCAGCATGCTTGGAGAGGGCAGTGATTTGATCGTCGACGCTCGCCTTGGTGTTTGAGGTCGGCCTTTGGGCATTGGAGCGCGGAAGAGCGGCATCATTGGAGTTGAACATGCGCTGGCGGTTGTAAGACTTGGTCAAGTTGCCAGAGTCGGCGCTCCATTCCTCGTCATCGATATCCTCGTCCTCGCCAAAAATGTCCTCGAGATCACCGTCATCCTCGGCTTCGTCGTCGTGTTGGACGTGGGCAGAAGCATCGTTGGCCACGGTTCTCAGCTCGACAGGGATAGACTCGGTCTGCTCGTAGCCCTGGTTGGGGAGGTATGTGTAGGGGGGCTCATGGGGAGCAGCGGGAGATTCGTTGGAAGCCATGATGGACGCTGAGAGCTGTCAACCAGATTGTCTTTGACAATTGCGATCCGTCGTGTGTTGGTGAAGGCTCAATCTGGTGTTGTTCACTCGAAGAGGACGCTTCTCTACTCGAGGCGTGGATGTTGTGCACCCCGCTGCCCCTCCATCGTGGCCGGGCTTTTTGAATTTTTTATCTTATCAGCGGTGGCGGGCGTGGCGGGGTCCTTGGACTCACAACACAGGGGGAAACGGGCCCGTGCACAATGATGAGTCAACAAGTCGTCGAATGACTGGACTGGTAGGCACACTGCACACTGCGCCGAGACTTTTTTCTTTGGTGAGTCGAAGTGAATCATTGCTGGGAATTGGGGGAGATGAGCACTAAAGAAGCTCGCTAACGAGAATAAGCGAGAAATCAGCGATGAGTGGGGCTCCCGCTGCCTTCCAAGATGACCTAAGCAGGCAGTCCAGAACTCACTGCCGGCTACGACACTACCACCTTGCTTCACCTCTCCAATAGCACAACACGATATTGCCCTGGCCTTGGCGGACGCTCCATTCCACATGGGACCTCTTTCGAAATCGCCGTATGCGTCTGTATGACACGAACACAATACAGAGTGAGATCAACGACAGCCGCGCTACACTGGAGAAATGCTGCCTTTCGAGTGCCATACCCCAATCCTCTTTCGTGCTCGCTCGCCTCTCGGAGAATAGGCGTGTGGTCTGAACCTAGGACAGATTCGTCAAAGTCCTGTTCCATTGATTGGAGATGACTGCGTCACAGCACTGGCTGGAGAATAAGATGTTCGTCATCTTCGTTCATGAGCAGCAGAGAATTTTGACCGCCAAGTCTTGCCCTCGGTCGCCCTCGGTCGCCCTCGGACGAGCAGTGTCTGGATGCCAACAAGCAGGACTGGAATTGCAGCGCATGTCTCATCAAGCTGTTGCTGCAAGTGCAGGTCCATCTGAGATGACAAGCTGTCGCCCATGCCGTCTTCCCGCTTTGCCTGTCCGCAACTACTTGGGATGTCGTTGGTGCTTTGTTCTCCAGGGCGAATATCAAAGCGTTGTTTCTCTTTCCAGTTTGCCCACCGCAAACTCCCCAAGTACGCCTGTTGCGTATCTGCGCTTCACATTACCGATGCCATATTTACGCTCGAGCGGATCGAGAGACAACACCCATTACCCGCCCCGAGCGACTAGTGTATAATCACCGAGCGAGCATTAGTACGAGCGCACCCGGGTTGGACAAGCCGTACAGCGCTGTATTCGTTCGAACAGCATAATCATCTCACCGTTCCAGGCTCGCCACTGAAGCCTGCTGCGTTATTGGTGTCCATTGAGATGGTCCGACTACAGTATCCAACTTCAAAACCAATGGCAAAACATCAGTCACTTCCTCCTCGAAACACCCCAAACCCCAACTGGCGGGTTCGAGATGGGATAGCGTGGATTCTGCTCCGGATTTGGAATCGAGTATCAAGATAGCTGTATAGGAAAGAGGGATAGTAATACTTGGCCACTCGGACTCTATTTCCTGCGAGGTACGCCGCCAGGACCATCATGCAGACAACCCTTCGAGGCGGGCTGTCATTCCCAGTCCCTCGGACAGCCGAGGACCGATGAAGTCTGACAATCATAGCCCGTTCATTGGCCGAGAACACGCAAGGGCCAATGATGTTCTTCGACGACCAGGGCAAGTGTCGTTTCGCTCGGTCTGTGCAGTGGGCCTCAGACTCTGTCAGAGTCGAACAGAGTTGGATTGTTTTGTTTCCCAACGTCGCTGGCGACCAATGGTGGTCGTTCTACGGAACAAGCCAGCCACTGTCAGGTGGGACGAGCTCATCCCCCATCAAAGCAGAAATAACCTCTGTCTCAGGGTCAATCAGTTGGCTACCGATACTTTCACCAGCCTGTGGGCCGTGGCTAATGAAACCTGTTGACAGCATGGACCTACGTCTCCATCTCTTAAATGAGCAGATCCTCGCCTCCTGGTCGTAAAGACACGGGGATCAGTGAAATCGGATCTCTCCCCCATTATTTATAACGAAATTTGCTTTGTAACCCTTCGTAATCTCGGCGCCATGGCTCGATGGTCGCGACGGGGATGGATTCTGGTAATCGTCGTTGTCCTACTCACGCTCGTTTCGCCTACCGAAGGTCATCATAAGAAGAAATCGAAACAGCCGGAGGAAACTCCCGCACCGGCTCCGGTGCCACCAGTCGTGCCAGTTCCGCCTCCTGCTGCCCCTCCGGCTCCTGCTCCTCAACCTGCTCCTCCAGCACCGCCGCCACCGGCTCCTCCGCCACCGGCTCCTCCGCCACCGGCTCCTCCGCCACCGGCTCCTCCGGCACCTCCAGCACCGCCACCGCCGCCACCGGCACCACCACCGCCGCCTCCTGCACCACCGCCATCACCACCTGCACCGATACCAAAGCCCGAGTTCACTGAGGAGGAAATCAATGATGGGAGGGCGTTGGCAAAGCTGAACAGGAGGGCACTGGAGAATGCTCACAAGACGAACGACCCGCAAACACATCTCGGAGACAACAACTACTGCCAAGGCGCATTCATACCGGTGCGGAAGGAATGGTTAGTCGCGCGCCGACCGTGGGCTGCATTGTTGGAGGAGTTCACAGACCGTTTCTGATACTAACGCTTCATAATCTAGGCGCACTCTGTCAGTTCCCCAGCGTAAGGAATTCATCGCAGCTGTCCAGTGTATGATGAAGCAGCCTGCGTTGTCCGATCCGAAGAGAGTTCCGATGGCGAAATCCCTCTATGACGACTTCGTTGCCGTTCACTACAACAGTTTTAAGAACATCCAATTCACGGTCAGCCTCTTTGTCCTTTATTTCAGGAGTAAGCGGGAAAATTGCGTTGGACTCGGAGCTGATAAGCACTCTAGGCTTCCTTCTTTACCTGGTACCGGTACTACCTCGCTAGCTTTGAACAGAGGTTGCGTACGCAATGCGGATATCAAGGTGACTATAGATTCCAACACAATCGCGAATAGACTCCAATTAACAACTCAACAGGTACTCTGCCATACTGGGAGTGGGGCCTTGACATCAACAATCCGGCTCTTTCGCCAGTTTTCGACGGATCTGAGACGTCATTGGGAAGCGATGGCGAGTTCGTTCCCCACGATGGCCTTCAACTGCGCCAGGCCTTCTCGAACAACCTAATCACCCTCAAATCCGGCTCCGGCGGCGGCTGCCTCACATCAGGCCCGTTCAAGGACATGCGGGTGCATATCGGGCCCGCCGCACTGGCCCAGTACGCCACAGATAAACCCTTTAGCGTCCCGAACCCGCTCGAGGACCTTCCGCGGTGCCTCAAGCGCGACCTGAACAAGGACGTTGCTAGTCGCTTCAACTCCTTCCGGAGCACGACGCTGCTCATCCTAGAGCAGACGACGATCCAGAACTTCTCGTCCCTGCTCCAGGGCGACGACCGCTTCTTCCCCAACACGCTTGGCGTCCACGGCGGAGGTCACTTCATCATCGGGGGCGACCCCGGCGCAGACGTGTCCATCTCGCCCGGCGACCCCGCGTTCTGGCTGCACCAGGCGCAGATCGATAGGCTGTACTGGATATGGCAGAACCTCGACTTCAAGAACCGGCAGGGGGTATTCGGCACCCTGACGTCGCAGGACAACCCAAAAAGCCCAAATGGCAGCGTCGAGGACTCCATCGACCTGACGCCCATCAGCTCGCCGGTCAGGATCAAGAACTTGATGAATACGGCGTCCGGGGCACCCCTGTGCTACGTGTATGAGTAGGCGTAAAGTAATGTTGGAGACAAAACATGATAGATACCCCATGGACGCTTTTTAGAACTTGTGGCGTGTTCTCTACCAAGAGTTCATATTTAGAAATCAGTTTCATTTTCAAAAGCGTGCATTTGTATTGCCTATACTTGCCGACAGTAAAGCTGCCCATTATCAAATGGTTTCTGTAATTCTTGGGCGTTTTTCAATTACTATCTTTAGCTCAGACCACACGGATGTTTCCAGTTTATCCCGGCTCTGTATGTCTGGGTCATGTTGCCAGCCGTTCGTCATGACGAGAATCGGTACACATGGGATCCATGGCAATCAACAGCCGCAACAGCCTGGGCGCGGCCCTCTTCAAGATCTCCCTTCCCCGCCTTTCGATTGATCCCTTGGCTTACATGTCACTTTCCAGCCAAATAGTGCCGACCAATATCGGGAGAGGGGCCACGTGATGTCGCTCCGAGGTCGTCCATCTGCGCGACTCGGTGCAATGGCCATGCCGCCAGAGAGTTTACTGCACCGGTAGGATCATCCTGGCCGAGTCGTGCGCGGCGATATAAACTCTGCATAGAAATAAATGTACAGTAAAAGCAGATGCAGATGCCTCTGTCGTCCTATTCGAGATCCTCCGAGGAAAGGACTGTGCACACTGCTTATTCATTCAGTTTCATCAGTAATCAGCGCGCCGTCGATCTGTATTAGGTATGCCATAGATTCTACTAAATTTTGCATCCGATATACTCCCTTCCAAGCATGCTGGTGTTTTTGGTGGGTGTTGACGGTCATCCGCCTGTTCGGACGCTAGTTTTGCGTAGCTTTGCGTGATGCTTCGGAAAAGGTAGATTCACGATCCCGTTCCGATTTGTCAAGGAGTTCTCAACTTGTTGGCACGCTGTCTGTTGTAAAGCGCCACGCCATTGGAAGCTGGAGCAGTCATGGTTGCAGGAAAGGCATGCCAGTTTGATTCGAGTGATGTGCATCTATCCCATCGAGGAGAACTGTCCCTTGCATAAGGATGAGAGCCTCATGACACTTCTAATATTGAAATTCCACTAACCAAGGGATGACAGGATGCGCCCGAGTAACCTTCTCACCTTGTGTATGCATGAGCCACATGCCCACTTTGTCAGTAAGCGTGTGGCGATGCCCATGCATCCCAACTAAACCGAGATAATCACCATACCTACAATCAACAACTAACGCCATCCTTTTCCAGTCCCTGCAGCACTAGTGCTACAAATTACTTTCGACATACCTACAGAAATCGTCCAACCGCTTCGGCAAGTGGGCCTTATTCAATCGACAACCAACGCCTCTTTTCAAGGCATGTCGCGGTGCTAAGGACTGACAGTCCAGGGAAGATCCTCAGCCCCAGATGAGTGGATCAGTTAATTGTCCCACGTGGGGACGGATTATCCGCTCCGATCGTTGTCAATCACCTTGCCAAGGACAACCTAGCGTAGGTGCATAGCGGTAGTCAGTACGGATATACAGAGTAGTTCTATTGATAAGTCAAGTTTTTCTGAGATCAGACGGAATCGCCCCCCCCCAGTTCGGGACCCCACCGTACACTAGACCTCCCCCCTTCATCCCTGGACTAGGTGCCCGGGATGATTGGGCCGGTCAGAGCACGCCAAACTCAGTGCCCACAGCGGGGGGTGGGGGGCGGGGATGATCGGCACGCAACAGCCGCATGGCTCTGGCGTTGTGAAACATGTCGACATCCTCCGCCATCAAGGAGGGCAGAAACCTTAGCATTGTGTGTATGAGATGGGAGGTGCGTGGGTGATGATGGCGACGTCGGTGCTGATGACTTTGGCTCACTTAAGGTCTGACGCCTGAAGGCTGTTGTGTCGCAGACGATGCGCCCGGGGAAAAGTTGTAGTTTCAGCCGTTCTCGCCTCCCCCAGGAAACCTTCGGGGGGGCTGGCCTTCATCATGTAAACATGTTTCTGGTTTCTCCTTCGTCCCAATGGTGGAATGACGCTGATGATGCTGTCTCAACTTTTGGCTCCAACGGCATCCCATCAGAGGCGGTTCGCTGAGACACACGAATACTTCAGCAAATTTAGTCATTTCTCAACAAAAGCGGCGAGCCCACGTTGTTTATTCATTGACATTTGGAGGGGTTTCCATCATATTTCAAGAAGAAGCACATTGATCTGGTACCGAATGTGGTCCGGACAACAACCTACTGTGCAACACTTGAGTGGAAAAATAACGGGGTAAAAACACACGATCGCCCAGTTTTCGTGCGGGAAATAGAATTAATGTGTTACTGTTTTGCTCTCACATTGACGACGTCACTGGATTAAAACAGCGCTGTCTCGTCCCAACCGTGGACCAAGAGTCCGCCCTGGTTTGCTTTTTCTGGTTCGGTAGCGCTGTTCCCTTGGACAACGCAACACACACGTCACGTCACCAGTGCGTCGCCGTTTTCAATCTCGACCGACGTGCCGACTAGCGACAAACGGCTTTTTCGGGTCTGGCGCAAATCGTCGTCTCCCCCCTATCCCCATATTTCGCTCTCTTTCACATGTCCTTCCATTCTTCATTCAACAAATTACGCGACTGAGATTTGACCATGTTGTCGCTGCCAGCACCCCGACTGCACTCGGTGAAGACATCTCGATCACGACAACAGTCCCCAATCGTATATCTACTCGTCGCCGCCGGCCTCCTCATCTTCTTCCTGCATAACCGATATGGGAACCAAGCCGTTGTCGAGGTCGTCGCCGACACCAGCTCACTCGACACCGAGAGCCCTGTTACATCGACTCCAGCGAAGCCCAAGATCACAAAGAAGCCAAAGTACAAACCACAGCCAACATGGACTCCGCCTCCGATCACAGATCCTTTCCCGCTGCTGTCGTCCGGGATGCCACCGCCAGTTCCCGCTTGGAACAAGCCTGCGAAGCCCAATGTCTGTTTCAACTATTCCCTGTCCACCCCGCCTCCGCTACTCATTGGCTTCACGCGGAGTTGGCCGTTGCTGCTCCAGACGGTCGTTGGATACGTGACGGCCGGGTGGCCGGCGGACCAGATATACGTCGTGGAGAACACGGGGGTGCATGACGCAAACGCCAGAGGTCGGCTGTCGCTGCAGAACCCCCTCTATCTCAACTACACTCAGTTGCACATGCTGGGCGTTCATGTCATGCGCACGCCGGTTCTGATGAGTTTTGCTCAGCTGCAGAACTACTTCGTCACCGTGGCGAAGGAGAAGCCGTGGTCGTACTACTTCTGGAGTCATATGGATTCCTTTGTTATGTCGTACGAAGAGGGTATGGAGGGAATCTCGGGACCCGTAAACACGCCCGAATACCAGACGATTTACGAGCTAGCCGTCAAAGAGCTGAACCACACCATGCGATCCGACCACAAATGGGGAGCCCGGTTCTTCGCCTACGACCACCTGACGCTCGTTAACCCGCGGGCATACGGCGCTGTCGGCGGCTTCGACACATTCATCCCTTACTACATGACGGACTGCGACATGCATTGGCGACTCGAGGAAGCGGGGTGGAGCGTCAAGGAGGCGAAGGCAGGCATAATCCAAGACGTCGCGACAGTCCTTGACGACTTGCGCGTTCTGTACCGAGAGGGGGAAATTCCTGAGGGATTCGGCTACACGGACCCGAACCCACCGCCAACGAACAAAGACGCGATCACGACAAGGAAAAGAAAACGAAGTCTGCCCGTCCCCGAACTTGACATCTCCGGCGCCCCCGTCGACCCCCCCGTGGAGAGCTCCGGGGAGCAGTCCCCGGGGACCGTCGATCCCTTGGTGTCTTTCCGAGCCCTTCACCGCATCTCCCAAGACATGTTCAATCACAAGCACGCGGACCGGGAAAGGAATACCTGGCAACTGGGACAAAGGGGAGGAGACTACGAGCCGTACTATTACGACCCCCTTGGGTTTCAAGAAGCTATAGACGTCATGACCGAGGCAGGTAGAGAAGTCTTTCGTAGAAAATGGGGGCACCGTGACTGCGACTTCGGCGCAGCTGGGTTACAACCCAGCGATGCCTGGAGGGTGGAGAAGGACTGGGAAACATAAAACTCAATCGGTGAAAAGTTCTGCATACAGAGTAATCAGCTGTAATGAGGACAATCTTATTGGCATTCCTCCGCACGACCAACCGTGTCTTCTTCATGTAGTAAGCCATGCGGAAGGGCGATTACTTTCTTACTAGTCGCCACCGCCTGGGTCTTGTATCGCACCAGGCACGCGCTCCATTCGATGACTATTTCCCCTACACCGTCTCAGAATGCAATATAACGTTGGAACAGGAAAGATGGAATAGTGCGGTTCCGGGTTAGTGCCCTACAGGATCAGAGGTGTACTGCTATACGTGAGAATTCCACAAGGACCTTCCCTGGCGAATACCTCAGCCGAAGGCCCAGACATGGAAGATTTTGGTGCGCATCAAACGGGATAATACTAGCAGTTGTAAGCAAGCCTCAGGTGGGAAGGACTGCAGCCCAGTGAGAGCAGACAGATTGCTTTTCTTTCAACCGGACATGGGAAGCGTTTTATGATAAACTCCAGGACGCCGCCATCTTCGATGAAACAAACTCTTGGTTTTCAGTATCAGCGGTATCGGGAGTTCTGAGGCAGGAACAGGTAAGGGTCATGGTGTAAATGAAGGTTTCGTTGTTGCTAGGGACAGGTTCATACCAGTGCGCAGCCTCCTGGCCAACGCCTATAAAGTTCTTTCTAGATACCCGCGGCATAGTGAGCGTGTGTAACTCTTGACCCTTACTGGCCAGGGCAGTATGGAAGCGATAGACTGACTGCTGATTTATCCGTATTTCTGGAAGTTGACTGGAGTCTTGGTATTACATGAAATGGAAAATAGCAAAGGGAGACGGATATTTAAACAGATCTGTGAATGATTAGAGCTGTTGGCTTTGTATTATAGAAACCCGAAAGTGGATAGACCAGTCAGCCCTGCGGCAACTTTCAAGATTGACCGCGCATTGGCGGTATGTAAGTCCGGACCAAGCACCGATAACTGCAATCTGTATTTCGACATTGCCTCTATATGTTCAGCCCCCTCATCTTTCGCTAATTGCATTGCCCAAACAACTGAATCGTAGGGTTGGCTGCAGCCAGATAACCACGACCCGAGACCCGACAACCCATATTAGCATTCACTCCAGTTGGCAAGTGGACTGCCGAAACAGGCTCAGCATATCTCACAACCGTACCGTTTGAAATCCTCAAATAGCTATCCCTTTTGACGCGTACGACGAATACCCAAAAGCCTTCTGTCTCTTGAGGTTCCCAGGCGATTCCGATCTACCACTCTCTCAGCAGCACCCCCGCAATATGCGAAGCCTGTAGTTTTGGAACTTCTCGAATGTCCAGAGGACGCTCTAAAGGTCTGAAGACCGCGAAGCCGTTGCTACAGGGGCTCGGGAAACGTCTTCAGGTATGGATCCAAAGCCTCAACGCGTCTCTTCTTCACTCGACGTTTTCAATAATGTGCTAGGACGCTGCTGCACCTTGAAGACTCCAGTCTGCGATTCATGGCGATCAGGACAACCGGGGTTAAATAGCTCACATCTATCCGTGTACTTGGCCTGCATCCAAGCGTCTTGGCAAATCATCCAGCCCGAAACAGATGGCTCAACATGTATGATGGTGTGATTTTTCCAAAAAAAAAAAAGAAGAAGAAGAAAGCCCTCGCTCACATACTACCGCCAAAGCGAGTTGTGTGGGGGACTTTCGGTCATGGACCAGTGTTGCATCGCCGTGAGGGGTGGCACTTGGCAGGTGGTGACCAGAGTGAGTGACCAGGCCTTCCAGATTCGGCTCAGTACCAGTACAAAAGGCAGTAACCAATGACAGGGAGCTGACAGCACTTTTAAGCTTAAACCTTAACGGCAGGTGAGAAGGATTTCGAAGGGGCTGCGTGCGAGTTGCGCGCCTGCCCAACCTCCATGAACGCGACGGCTGGTTAACCCGCCTTCCTCATTTTGTATGTCTGCATCAAGTGGGGAGCTCGCCAAGGCGCTGGACGAGCTATATAGGTAGAGGGAGTTTGCCTGGCCCTGATGCGCCATGAAGTATCGCGTCTTGGCTTTACGCAACCTTGGCCTGCGTGCCATTATCGACGAAGTCCGTTTAAGGAAGGTCCCAAGACAAGATGGAGGGAGACTCGAGCTCGCATATGGCCCATTGGGGGTCCCCTTCGCCAGTCTATTACCTCAGTCACTCTTGAGCTATCCAAACTGACCGAGCTGACCGTTCATCTTCTCCCCACGGCGGAGTTGTCGTCTCGGCAGTGGCTGGCCTAATCCCTGCCGAATGGCATTTGGCTCTCAACGGGTCAAGCTGCCGTGCGTGGCAAGGTCGATAACGCAGTCAGGTAGCATATTGCCGTCAGAACGTTCTCTGCGTGGAAGCTCTAGTCCTTATCAAAGCGCAAGGTACTGCAGCCACAATCACACCTACCGTATTCTGCTAAATCGACCAGTGACACCATTCCGAACGGTTTCCGGAGAAGCAGCCACCTGCTGACCTACTGCATGGTGCCCGACATACCATTCGAATCTTTATAAAGAGCGAAGGGTGGTCGTCGAACTGGTCTCGTTCGTCTTCTGCCCTTCAGCCTGCAGCTTCTCTTCAGGTTGGTCAACATATCACAGACGTTGCCGACCATGAAGTTCCTTGCCAGTCTCGCCCTGGTACTGCCGCTGGCCTCCGCCGCGGCCATCACCCCTCTGGAGAAGAAGATCACGTACGACGGCTTCAAGGCCTTCCGGATCGCCACGCACAACGACCCGGCCTCGATCAAGAAGAAGATTGCCAACATCGCGGCGATCCCCTTCAACCTCGACAACAGCGAGCACCTGGACGTCGCCGTCCCTGCCGAAGACGTCGCAAAGTTCGAGAAGCTTGGCCTCGAGTCGTCGGTCCTGCACGAGGACCTCGGTGCCGACATCGCCGAGGAGGGCACTTTTGCTCCCTACGAGAGTGAGTTACCAAAATACGCACCCGGCATTCGAAGGACAAGAGTTCCTGATGTTTTCTCTCATAGGCAATGGCGATGCCAGCGTTCAGGCTCTTCCTAGTCTGACATGGTTTAACTCGTACCACACCTTTGCCGACCATCAGCAGTTCATCCGTGACCTTCAGTCCAACTTCCCGTCCAACTCGGAGCTTATCAACGCTGGCAACTCTTATGGCGGACGCTCGCTCCTCGGCATCCACCTCTGGGGTAGCGGCGGCAAGGGCTCCAAGCCCGCCATCTACTGGCACGGTACCGTCCACGCTCGCGAGTGGATCACTGCTATGGCATGTCAAACATGTCCCGAACTGTATAGGATTTTGGCGAGCATTGGCTGATACCCAATAGGTTGTTGAGTACCTCACGTATCAACTCATTGATGGCTACCAGAAGAACGACGCTGCCGTCAAGGCTATCCTTGACAAGTATGACTTCTACATTCTGCCCATCGTCAACCCCGATGGTAAGCCTCGTATAACCTTTCGTATCGTGGAATGAACCAAGACTAACATCTGCCAGGCTTCGCCTACACCCAGACCAACGACCGTCTCTGGCGTAAGAACCGCCAGCCGCGATCGGGCAGCACCTGCATCGGTACCGATATCAACAGGTACTACACGCATCCCCTTGACGTGACGTGAAGAAATCCGGCTAATCATCAGTAGAAACTGGCCCTTCAACTGGCAACTCCCCGGCGGCGCCTCCACCAACTACTGCTCCGAAACCTACAAGGGCCAGGCGGCCGGCGACACTCCTGAGATGGTCGCCCTGAAGTCCTACACCGACAGGCTCGCCGCAAGCCAGGGGATCAAGCTTTACATAGACTGGCACAGCTACGGCCAGTACATCCTGCTGCCCTACGGCTACGACTGCTCCGCCCGGGCCAGCAACCACGCCCGCCAGATGACGCTGGCCACTAACACGGCAAACACCATCGCCCGGTCCTACGGCACCCGCTTCACATACGGCCCCAGCTGCTCCACCCTCTACGCCACCACTGGGAGCGCCCCTGATTACCTCACCGGCGCTGCCGGCGCCGAGGTGGCCTGGACTATCGAGCTGCGGCCTTCTGGCGCTGGCGGCGGCGGTTTCGTCCTGCCCGCAGCTCAAATCCTGCCCAGTGCCATTGAGCAGTGGAACGGGATGAAGTACCTCCTCGCCAACGTTTGAGCTACACGATGGACAGTGCCCGGGGGCGGGGAGGATTGGGATGTTCTAGAAACTCTTGATACATATCGCAGCCCAATCACTAAAGCCAGGCAATTCTTAAATACATAAGCTCGTGCACGTAAAGTCCTCGGTATCTCTCTTGCCTCCTTGTCCCTTTGACCGAGTACTCACGATAGCATCTTTGTTCATACCGGGAGCTGGTAACGGCCTGCGCGCTCTGCTCATTTACATGCGGTTCTCTGTCTGGAACGGTAGTTTGATGGAGTTGTTTCCGCACAGACTCAAAGCTTACTGGGCATATGACCTTCTTTCTCACCCTCCTCCTTTGCAAAAGTCGGCGGATTGGAATCGACCGGCGCCTGGAGCCAGCGTACGAGACGCTTCGCCGCCTTTCGCGGGTTCATCCCGTCGACTATGCTCGTGTCAACAACGCAGTGTTTTCGCGGACAAGAGCGGCCGGGGGGGGGGGGGGGGCATTGCCGTTTCAAAACCACTCACCGTACCCGATAAAGGGAATCGCGCTCCGGTAGCCCATCATGTCGGCGATCCGCTTCGGGATCTCCCCCGACAGGACCCTCCGCGGGTCGACCCCGACCATCAGGTTCTCCAGGGGCCGGATGTACGGCTGGCAGTACTGTATGGTGGCCGCGTAGCGCGGCTTCCGGGTGCGGTTGGCGCCGCCCGAGTGCCACGTCGTGCCGAGGAAGTAGACGACGCTGCCTCTCGGGCACACGGCGGAGACGGCCTCGTGCTCCTCGGCGACGCGGTCGCTCGCCCACAGGTGCGAGCCCGGGACGATGCGCGTGGCGCCGTTGGACTCGGTGTAGTCGTCGAGCACGATCATGGTCGCCGCCGTGACGGGCGGCCGGGGGCGCGGGATGTGCACGACGCCGTCGTCGTGGTGGAGCACCTGGTTGCGCTCGCCCGGGCGGATGACGATGGTCTCGGCGATGTAGAAGAGGTAGTCCGGGTCCAGGAAGTGGTCGTTGAGCGCGAGCACCGGCGGGAGCAGGCAGAACTTGTCAAAGACGCGCGTCTTGCCCAGCAGCGAGAGGATGCGGTTCGTCCGGTGACCGTCGAAGGCGGTGGCGCCCGTCAGCGGGTCGTTGCCGTGCAGCCGGTCGATCTCGGCGATGGCCTCCACGGCCTCGGCCTCGGTGAAGGCGTTCGGGATGATCACGTAGCCGTCGCGGAGGACGGTCTCGACGTAGCCGCGGAGCGTCGGGTCTTCCGGCAAGGGCCTCGCCTTCGGGTTGTAGTAGTCCTTGTCGACGGGTAGCGAAGCCTTGGGGTCACTGCTTGGGGGCGCCATGTTGAGATTGGGGAGGGGCGCTAAATCACAGACGCGTCTGCAGTAGAATGCGTCTTCTGGGAGGGAAAACGGGAATTATATCAACGATTGCAGTCTCAAAACTGCGTTCGTCGGAGCTGTTTTGCCTGACGGCGGAAAGCCGAGTTGTTCCCAAACCCCAGATACCCGGAATCAGCAGGGTCAGGGCACGCGGATTGGTTCGAATTTCGCTCGACATAAGCTGATGTCAGACAGATGAGGTTGCATCCTTCTGCTAAGAGGGGGGTAGGGGGAGAGAATCCTATGGGCTAGCGCCAAGGTTCTGGTAGACTTCAGGAGTTGGACGGAATCACTTAATATCGCCTGATGGCTCTCGCAAGTGCTTACTGGTGTGTCTCACCTCAAAGGATGTGCGCTTGGTGATACGGAGGACATGGGTAATCGCCTATCTTCGACTTGGCCTGGTCATGTTGATCTTGATGGCTTGATCAGTCATAGATACCAATCGGCGGGACAGATTTGCAATCATCCAACTTTGCTTGTATTAAGAGAAAATGCCTCCGTTGAACTGCAAGAAAACCAAGTCTATCGCATTGTCCGATCGTGTCGCCAGCTCTGTCCAGTCTGCAAACGAACCCCGTCTATTGCCCCAAGCCATAGATCAATGCCGTTTTTTCTCTCTTGGCTCATGCGAACTGAACCTGCGCCGCCTTCAAGACCTTCATCATACTTTTCCTGAACGAAGACTCCAGGCGCTGAACCGACTTCTGTCTCTCTGCCAATGCAAGCATGTAATCACCCTTCATCGTCATGACTATGGCCTCAATCTGGGCCGTCATGTGCTCATCGACCAACTTTGTTCCCTCTTTAAGGCGATGCTTAACGTCCCCAACTGCTTTGCCAAACATGGCGACCTTGCTCTTGCACACGTGGTTCTGGATCGCAGTTGCCATTCGCTTGGTTATGCCTGGTCCTAGGCCACAGATCTGTGTCAGCCGCAGCTTGCTTCATGCGAAGGGCAGGTTACTCTTACCGCTTTCACTAGCACATTTCAGGTAACCGGGAGCCATAGCATCCTCGACGGCCGGGTTCAACAACCGGTTTGCATCCTTCTGGGCTTGGTCAATATTTACTCGGCCCTGTGCTGTAAGCCGCATGATTCGGTCTTTGTGGATCTTCAGCTGTTGATCAAGCTGCGCAGCGGCCTGCAGCTCCTCGTACTCGTGACTGCCGAGCTGTTTCACGATGTTATCGTGGAACGAAGCCAATCGCTGGACAGCCTTGATCGCGAAGTTGTCCAGCACATGAGGGATGCTGAACTGGAAGAAGTTGTTCCAAGTCACAGAGATTCTGCCCTTGATAGGCTGTAAGAGCTCCTCGTTCAAGTCCCGATCATCGAACACTCCACGCCGACGGCACGTGGCTCGAAAAGAATTATAATTTATACTTTGCCACTTTTTGGCGATGATGTCTGCTCGGACGGTGGCGATGCTGCTCAGGCGAGTCATTTCCGCATAGAGATCGGTCTGTGTTTTCGAATGGAGCTGGTCCATACAGTTTTCAATATCCCCCTGGAGTTCCTGGAAGCGATAGTTAGTACCTATGTTATAATCGATGGGAATTCCATTTTTACTCACCGCTTCAAACGTCTGCAACAAAGTCGTCAGAGTTGCTTGATCGATGGTTATGGCAGAGCTTGCAGAATCTTGAGCCCAGATGACAATCGAATTGAGAAGTTGACAGATCCCGCTAAGCACTTCTTTGTGCTTGGTGATGCGGAGCTCCTCGGTCATTTTCTGAGCATGAGCTTGAAGCTGGGGAATCTCTGTATCCTCCTCGGTCTCATAGCCGGGCGTTGCATCACCATAACTCAGGACAATGCCATGCATTTCCTGATAAAGTTTACTGCTGGTACAGAAGACCGGCGTCTGGCGAGACATATCCTCGTAATCACGCGGCGTCGCATCATCCGGCTCAAGGGCTGCATCGTTGCGATCAAGGCTGTAACTGTTAGCTACTGCAGAATGCCATTCAAATAAGACTCCACCCACTCTTTAAAGCTTTTGGCAAGATGTCGCCTGATAGCCTCTCTAGAAAGCTCGTTCCGTTTCTGGATGCACTGTGGCACAACCTCGTCCACCAGATCTTTCTTCTTGAGTTTCAGCTCGTAGAGTTCCTGCTCCTTCTCATCAGTCTCCGAGACACCTGTTATATTTTGGTCGTTCTCATTGGCGACTTCTGTGACTCCATCAGCGGCAATAGGCCGAGTGGGAGGGACTGTCCTTGCTCTCTTCGCCTGCGGGGTTTCGCCACCGTGAGAATCAGGTCCTTGAAGTGCACCGCGGCGGTTCCGACGTGTTGCAAGTTCCTTCTCCAGGGCCTTGATCTGTTTCTCACATTTCTTGGCATCATCCCATGTTTGCATGGTGTCTTTGTCAAGCTTGCCCCTCAAGCTTTCCACGGCAGAGTTGATGTTAATGTCGTCCGTCTTTGAGCAAATGATAGTCAGAGCCGAGTATGAACCATCAAGTTTGATCTGGCGCTTGATCGAGTCACCCATTAGGTCTTTGGCGGTTTTGTTATCGACAGCTCTGTTAATGGGAGCCACAATCCAAATGCCCGAGCAAGCTTTGAGATACTGGGAAGCAACGGCCGCTCGGGCTGCATCCCAATCTTGATGACCAGGCTATGAGGATACAATTTAGTCACAGTTGTGCGTTTCAAGGGGCGCTAGCAGAGAAACATACCAGATCAACAATTGTAAGGCCGTTGGACAGAACCTGGGCCTTCGTGAAGATCCTGACAACTTTCACTAGAGGCCAATGAGCTGGGGTATCATCATCCTTGTCCATGGAGTCTATGAAGGGCTCAACATGTTCTCGCATTTCGGATGCAGTCGGGGCCTTGATCGTCTTGGTCGTGCCCAAAACCTGCTGCACGTTTGGGTGGTCCGCAAGTTGAGAAGAAGTAGTCGAGGCCAGCATCTCGCAATTCAACGATGGATAAACTGCTTGAATCTTTGCTAGCGCTTTGGCTGCTTCACTGCTTGGATCCATGCCATCCGCTGTCATGTCGTCGACCGTGGTAAGGTCTCTGAGAAGAATGCTAACTTCGCGCACCCATTCGTTACGGGAGACGAACACTATCTCGGCTCGGTATGGGTTCTTCACGTCGTCGTCATGATTGTATGACACCTCGGTGGCGACAGCTGTGCAGGCGCGCATGCAGTTTGTGGGTAGGAGGCTAGTCATAATCAGCTTATTATAGTCTTAAGCCAGAGGACCAGAAGATATGTTACTTCTCTTCGTTCAAAATAGCGTTAATTGTCGAGCTTTTTCCATCGCCAGTATTGCCAACAACGCCGACACGTGTTTCCCTTCTACGCTCAGCTTCTGCACGGATGCCATGAATCTGTTGCATCCAGTTGTTTGCGGTGACTAGTAGTGCAGGCTGGAGCTTTCGAGAGGAGGCGATCTTTTCGCAGACCGACTCAAGGTCATCGAGAATCGGAAGAAGACGCAGTGTAAACTGCTCCCAGATCTCAGGGTCCTTGACACGCCTCATCTTGCTGAGGTGGGAGAAGACCAGACGAGGTAGGGGTCCAGAGTTCTCATCGGGCTCGGTCTTGACAGCCCCCAAAACGTTTGCGTAATCCATTGTCTGACTTGTGAGGATTGAAAGGCGCGAGTCGCGATGATTTGTCACAGTCAAATCTGCGTCTGTTAGCAATGCCCTCGGAAAACCTAGGTTTCGGATATTGTTAGTAATTACTGAGCTAAGAAAGCGAGAGGTTTGTTTGGTGAGAGGGAAGAACGATGGCTAACGCTTTCTTGAGGAGATGAGAGGAAAGTTGGAAATAGGACTGCGGGGACAGTTCCAAACCTTGCTTGACCTTAGACAAGATCTGCTATGAGCCAACGATGAGATCAGGGCAGTAGATGAACTGACCCTGTGTGATAGAACTTGAAGTTGATGCGAAATGCCGATAAGATCATGAAAAAGCAGAAAAGAAAAGATCATTCAAGATATCAAAATGTGAAATCATGAGAGCGGAGAAGCGTCAACCACTTTCCATTACGGATATGGAAAGGTGTTGGTGTAGGGAAAGGACGGTGGTACGATGGAATTGGTGTGTGCCAGATGGGGGGTTGAAGGACGTGAAGAAAGAAGAAGATAAGGTTGGAGGGTGAGAGGGGAAGTTTGCTTTTAATCAGAGAGCGAATGAGGGAAGGCGTCTACGGAGGCATGAGGAAAGAACTCGAAACTGCACAAAGGATACGAAATAGGGAAGAAGCTCATGGGTACTTTCCACACCTACTACTTTCCAGGAACCGGCGGAACAAGAAAGCAATGCAGGAGTTTCTAATCTAATATATGATTTTGTTTAAATGCAAGACAATAATATCTAGGTAGTTGAAGAAATATCTATCAATTTGTATGACCATCCCTAACTTGCCACCCCGCCTAGGATTGAGCAAAAATCAACAACTGCGCACCGAATACCTGCTGCACACCTACCATCTCAGGCATATGACCGGCGTCTGCTCTGGCGAGTATATCCTATCTTCCAATCCTCGCCACCTCCAAACGCTCTTCCTATTCCTTCGCTGTGCTAGGACATCTATCTCGGACATTTATCTCCTGTCTTGAAGTTCTGGGCACCTGGTCCGCAGACCAGAGGTCACTCGTCTCAAAATGCATTACATAGGGACCAGACACCCGGACCTTTGTATCTATCTCTCATAGCTCAGTTTATTCCATGAGTATATCCTCGTGTAAGGCAATAAGCCATGAGTGAATGATACCCACAGTCATTGCTAAGGTTGAAATGGTTCTTCTCATGTGCTTGAGTGGATGTCCAGCTTCGGCGCCAGGGTGAAACAGAGCAGGGCCGGAAAAAGCAAAGGTGACTCAAGGCTTTTGAATAAACGAAAGGGCACCAGGTACATATCGGTGTCTGTCTTAAGTCTCCGGTCTCGGGCGCAAGGCGTTGCGTTACGTCTTTTGGTTCCTCACTTAATCATTTGGCATGCTATTTTAGCATCCATGCACCCTCAACACATCCTTGCAAGCTCTTCATCGCCATGCCTTGCGTCAAGATAAACGCCGTCTTACTTTTAACCAGGAATTTACGACAAACAACATGACCGATAGAGCAAGGGAAAGCAGGAACCCAATCGACATCCGCTTTTGCTTGGTAGTTAGAGACAGGGTGAGCCCGGGTTCCTCCCATATATCTTACCTACTTGGCAGGCACCTTAGGTAATTAAGGTAGGTACGTGGTACCTGGCGTACCCCCACCATGCGAACCCCGCGGACCGTAGTCGGGCGCCGCCCGTCAATCAGAGCCGACCACGTCCTTCGCAGCGCCCGAGTCAAGAACGACACATCTCATCGAGCTTTTTAAAAGGTAGGTTGTGAGAGTTGAACTAGGTTTTCACTCACAAACTAACTTGGGGTGTCCAGGACCTCGAGAAAGCACACGCAAACATATACCTCAGCAAATCATGGCGACAACCACAAACCCTGTGGCGGGCCCCGGCGAGCTCTTCGTCAATGGGCGCATCTTCCTCCACAACGCCGCAGCTGGCCTCGACACTCAGCCGTCTTTCGCAGAGAGTATGTTCGTTGCTGACGGCCTCATCCGGGACATCGGCATGGCGGCGGACCTCACGGCAAAGCACGCATCGAACAAGGTCACGACGCACGACCTCCGGGGCAGGACGGTCCTCCCCGGCTTCGTCGACGGCCATGTCCACCTGCTCCTCCTGGGCCAGTCACTGCGCAAGCTGAGCCTCGAGCACTGCCGCTCCCTCGAGGACATCCGCGGCGCCGTTCGGGCCTACGCCGCCGCCAACCCAGACCTCCCGCGCATCATGTGCAAACTGTGGACGCACTCCATGACCCCCGACGGCGTCGACAAGACCATGCTGGACGACATTGACCCTCGGCCCATCTTCATCGACACCAAGGACCTGCACTCAACCTGGTGCAACACGGCCGGCATAAAGGAGCTAGGTATCGAGAACACACCCGACCCCTCAGGAGGCAAGATCCACCGCGACGCCGAGGGCAGGGCCACAGGTCTGCTCAGCGAGGCCGCCGTGCTCACCATCGTGTGGCCCCATCTCGCCCAGGTGGCGCCCAAGCGAGATCGGATGGACGCCATCAGGGCTGCCATCGAGACGTACAACGCCTCCGGCTACACTGGTCTGGTCGAGATGGCCATGGACGAACCCGCGTGGGACGCCGTCTGCTCTCTACGAGCCGAGGTACCAGACCTGCCGATGCGCATCCACGCCTACTGGCTCATCAGGCCATCCGAATCCGAGGAGGATCGCTTCAGGCAGGTGGACCGGGCTATCGAGCTGCACGCTGAGCTCAATCAGACGACGTCCCCCGACCTGCGCATCGTGGGCATCAAGATCATCACCGACGGTATCATCGACGCCTGCACCGCCCACCTGTCCGAACCCTATGCCGAGGTTGGCTCACCTCTGCCCTTCTGGACCCCCGAACAGCTCGGCCCCGTCGTCAGAAGGGCTGATTCGGCCGGATTGCAAATCGCCTTGCACGCCATTGGCGACGCGGCCATAAGGAACGCCGTCAACGCGCTTGCTGACCACGCCACCCCCGGCCGCCGGCACCGCCTCGAGCACATCGAGATGGCCTCCCCCGAAGACGCCAGGCGCCTCGGCGAGCTGGGGCTGACAGCCTCGGTCCAGCCCGTCCACGCGGACCCTGCCATCCTCCGTGCCTGGCCACGCCTCCTCGGCGCCCACCGCTGCGGCCGCGCCTTCCCCTACCGTGAGTTCGCCGATCACGGCGCTCTCCTCTCGCTGGGCAGCGACAGTCCCACCGCCCCTTGGGCGCCGCTGCAGAACGCCTACGTGGCGACCACGCGACGCTCGGCGAGGGAGCCCACCTTCGACGTCGTCGTCAACGAGCACTTCAGACTGGGCGTGTGCGAGGCCCTCACGGCCGCCGCATTCGGAACTGCAAAGAGCGTATTCGCTGAAGATCGGATAGGGTCGCTGCAGGTCGGCAAGCGCGCGGACTTTGTTGTCACCGACGTGGACTGGACGCCGCAGGGTCTTTTAAAGGGCGAGATCGAGGCCACCTGGTTTGACGGGAGGAGGGTTTGGGCGTCTTCTTCCGACGTATGATGGGACTTGCACAGTAGCAGAGAAGGTCATTGGTCGACCGCCTGTACGTGTAGAAGCATTTCTTGACCTCGTCGTCTGTGCGGCTTTCTGTAAATAAATGTTCTTCCGTCGATAAGGCGCGCGCGCGCGCGAGAGAGAGAGAGAGAGAGAGAGAGAGAGAGAGAGAGAGAGAGATGGAGGGCCCCTAGGGGGGGCACCGGGGGGTAGAGAGGGACACAGAGTTTTCCGCCCTTAGTTTCATCCAATCTAGTCAAATGTTTCCGGGTTCGCGGCAGTCAAGCACTGGCCGCTCCCATGCCCCCAAGGCCCATGCTTTCCATACACCTCGCCTCTTTGGTATGGCCGAATTGCAACTTCCTATTTGGGGCAATGTCGCGCTGGCGAGACTAAGCCTCAAGGGCGGCCGTAACTTGGGCTGGGGTACCATGCCTTACTTAGGGTTCTCGGCCATCTTTGTGGAAAGACGGACATACCGAGGTCACCCAAGCCAGAGGGGACGAGGACATGGTTCCGACCTGGCGGTGCCAACAGAGGCGATCCGAAAGAGGCTCTGGCAGCGGCCACCGCCAATATACGTCGCACACGGGAACGTTAGTTGCCGCGGCTCGTGCCATCCATGTCATCCCACGCGATGGATGATCAGTACAAGAAGAGATATGGCCCCCGTAACCTTGGTAGATCAGGCCAGCCACAACCTTTTTTACCCTCTCTTAAGATCGAGCAGATCTCAACGACGCAGACATCTTCAGGCAACAGCACATCAGAGCTTCCTCACTTCCAAGATGCATCACCACGTGAGCCTGTCGACCATCGCCGCCGCCCTCGTCCCTCTGGCGCTCGTGCAGGCGCAGCAGCCATGCGCCCCTGTCAATATCATCGTCGCCCGCGGCAGCGTCGAGGCACAGGGTACTGGCCTGTTGGGTAACATTGCGAAGAACGCGTCGGCCCAGATCCCCGGGTCCATCATCACGCCGCTGGTTTACCCTGCGGAACTCGACCCGTACCCCCCCTCGGTGGCGGCGGGTGTGGCCAACATGACGACTCTCCTGAACCAGCAGACGACGCAATGCCCCGGAACGAAGCTCGTGTTGATGGGATACTCTCAGGCAAGTTTCCATGATTCAAAGGGGACACAATCATACTAATTCATCCCAGGGTGCGCAAGTGTCTCTCGACACCCTCTGCGGCACGTCGGACGGCCCCAACTTCAACACCACGGTAGCCCAGGCGCCCGCGGTCGGAAGCAAGAGTAAGTCGTGATTCTGAGTCGAGGTTTCGAGGCGGGATGGCGCGCTGACTTTGATCCGATGTAGTCGCCGCCATTGTCTTGTTCGGTGACCCAACCTTTGTCGCCAACCAGCCCTTCGACAAGGGCACCAGCAAAAAGGACGGCGTAGGTCACCCCCCCTCACCTTGAAATGATCGGAAGGCTGACAGTACCGCGTAGATCTTCCCGCGCCAAGACTTCTCGCAGTGCCAGAGTCTCACGAACCGGATCGCGTCCTTCTGCGACGACACGGACCTCTTCTGCGCGTCGGGCCAGAACCTAACCGTCCACCTGGGCTACTTCCAGAACCAGCAGTACGTTGCCATGGCGTCGTCATTCATCGTCCAGAACGTTCAGTAAGCTCGGCAAGAGGCTGGCGACGGTGCGGTTCGACCCTGTACTGGAGACTAGGCGAGCGGCGTGGTTACGCTACGTTTTTTAATGATTGGGGCGAAAAAGGGAGGCTTTCATATGTTTTTTTGCCTCCCCAAAGCATTCGGTCTTGAGGATCGACGCGAGCAGTTTTGCGGTTCATGATATGCTGGATGTAGCGTTTTGGTTTCTCTCTGTCGTGACTTCGGGCCGCTGAGCCATTAAGCCGTTATGAATAAAATAAGCATTCAAGGCTCACTACTCCGTATGGTGTACAAGGAAGGACGTTGGACGATTTGTTACAAGTTTTTCCGTCATCAAACACCCGGAGGCTGCGAGCGTGATGACGTAATAATCCCTCCGAGACGAAGTGGGTCTGGAAGGGCCGTGCACTCTGGGTTGTCTTCACTGAAGGCTTACCTTACCTAGCACCTAGATATCCGTATCTAACAAACAACAACATAGACACCGTCCGCAAACGAGTACCGGTATGAGGGACCCGTTTCTAGTACTCTGGGATTATTATCTAAGCCATGAATCCATCTTCCACCTCCTGATGACTTCTCCCCATCCCGAGGCTTGTTGTTTCTCTTCTTGTCTATTTCCGTCGGCGTCGTCATCCCACTCAGATTTGCTACCTTCTTCCATTCTGACACTGACACCATCATTTCTCAGGGACCACGAGAATGTCATCCACATTGACAACTTGCCCCGTGGCGATGGATCTGTTGGCAGCGATACCGGTCAGAATAGATGCCGCGCCGTCGATGTGACTGGCCGCGCGCATGTACTCGTCCGACACCGGCTCTCCAAATAGGTCCCTCAACAAGACGAGATCGCCCCCGCCGTGAGCACCCTTGGCCTCGCCCAGGTCGATCTCCTGAGGCGGGCCGAACAGCGGCCGCAGGAGCATGGTCCTCTTCTCAATTGCCCCTTCCAGCGCCTGGCTGCCCCCCGAGTTGACGTAGCTCTTCTCGACGACCTCGACCTCGAGCCGGCCTCCGGTGCCGTTGAAGTTGACGCGGAAGCCCTCCCACGGCGCGTACGCCGTCAGCGAGTACGTCATGACGGCGCCGTTGCGGTACCGGATGAGCAGGTTCATCGTGTCCTCGATGCTGATGCCGTCGCCGAACACGCTCTGGTCGCGGTGGTAGCCGTCCTCGTGCTCCGCGTCCAGGTACATGGCCTTGAGCTGCGGGTTCGCCTCGAGGTGCAGCGCAAACGGGTCGTCCTTGGCCGCCTCGCTCTCGTGGGCGCGCGTGTAGAACCTAGTCACCCCCCTCGCCTCGGCGTTTTCGCGCCCATAGAACTTGAGGTCGCCCTGCGCGTACACTGTCCGCGGCCGCGTCTGCAGCCAGAAGTTGACGAGGTCGAAGTGGTGCGTGGACTTGTGCACGAGGAGGCCGCCTGAGTTGCGCTTATCGCGGTGCCACCGGCGGAAGTAGTCGGCGCCGTGGTTCTCGTTGAGCATCCACTCAAAGTGCACGCTCGTCACGGTGCCGATGGCCCCCGACCGGATCACCTCGAATATCTTTGTGTTGTGCGGCGCGTATCGGTAGTTGAACGTCACCCGCACCTTTTGCCCCGTCCGCTCGACCGCCGAGAAGATATCCTGGCATCGTGGCCCGTCGATGGTCATGGGCTTCTCAGTCACGACGTTGCAGCCCAGCTCCATGGCGCGCACGATGTAGATGTTATGCGTCCGGTCCACGGTCGTGACGATGACCTCGTCCGGCTTCGTGTCCCTGATCATCCGGTCGAATTCGGCGGCGAGGAAGGTCGGGACTTCCCCGTGGCCGAGCTCCTCGAGCTTTGAGTTGGCATAGTTCATGCGCGTCTGGTTGGTGTCGCAAAGCCCGACGATGATCGACGTGCTGTTGTAGTCCTGCGCGATGGCCGTGTAGAAGAAGCTTGAGCGGCCACCAGTGCCGACGATGGCGTAGCGCTTCTTCTGTGATATGTCGCCCATTGTATTGCGGTTTGCCGTCTGCGATGTGTCTCTCGGTACTGGTGTCGAGGTCTGGGCGAGCGTGAAGCGTTCAGCCTACGTTATACGAAACTTTGGTATAGTTGGCCGTAGCAATACCAAGTCTGGATCCAGTTCTCCCGAATAGAATGGGATACGGCAAGGTTTGTTGATAGAATGCCCTTTCGTACCACCACCTCATGACTTCGGCAAGCTTCATGTTCGCCGCGGCTTTCTCGTGCACATGGCAACCCCGCTACAATCCTTACTCGGGCTGAATTACCCCAGCACCCGAGGTTAGCTGAAAGAATAGCATGCTGGTGACACGATGGCTCAAAGCCTCCAGCTTAGGATCCTTCTCACCGCATCACTTATGCCCCTAATGCGGGGAATCCAATGCCAACAGAGGAGGGGAAGGATTGAGGGGGTCCACGAAAAGTCGGGGATGTCCGGGACTACTGACGGACAATTGCGGAGAGAGTCTGGGGAAGACGTTGCAACGTCAGCCGCTCAGACACAACCCCCCGGTTTGGCTGCTCAACTTGGCACACGGCGCTAGGTACTGACTCGCCGACACGAGGACATTTCTCTTGGGAGGTTTACAAGGCGTCGTCGGAAAGATCCCCGCGCTTGGCATGGCAGAGAGTATGGTAGAGAGTATGTGGGCCAATACAAGCTGCTTCGACGAACATTGATTCGGTAGAAACCCTGCAAGTCCCAGCCCTGCACCCAGTCTGGAGTTTTTCCTCCAATGGCGGGGGTTAATAGGAGACCAGGTACATCTTATCACGTCTTGGTTTTCGTTGAGCGGCCGGCAAACGACAGGCAAACCGCGTGATGTTTGAGCCAGGGCTGCTAGCATGTTTCCCGGGTGTTAAGAAGTAGACCATGCCACGCGATGGCGATGTGACGTATGGACCAGGTATTGCTATTGATCAATGGTAAGCTTAAGGCTCCATGTTTTTCTTCTTTCGTCTGCCCCCCCCTCTCCAGCTGAGATGGCCTCGGATATAGGAGTGGAAACAGGGGCCTCTCGCTTTTAAGTGATAAGAGAAACCGGTCCCAATGTCCTTTGCGAGTGGTCTGTTCTTCATCTGCTGGAGACAGCTTTCCTGCTTGTAATCCATACCAAAATCTGGGGCGGACGACTGGACTCCCAAGCATCGACTGTATCGATTCCAAGGATCGTTCCTGACGGCATCTGTCATCATGGCCTCCGCAACCCCGGCGGCAAAGCAAGCCGGCGGTCTCAACTCCGACACAATCGAATCCGTGCCCAAGACCGAACCAGCACCTGCTGGCGCATTGAAAGAGAAGGCGGCTCAGTTTCTAGCAGCCCACGGAGGCGGCGATACCTCGTTCACCTACGAAGAGGAGAAGGCTGTCTTGAAGAGAATCAACCTCCGGGTCCTGCCCCTCGTTCTTGGGGCGTACTTCTTCCAGCAGCTCGACAAGAGTACTCTGAGGTACATACAGCCCCTGTTTCCTTACTCGTCCCTCGGTCCAGCAACCAACTGACCGTTCCGTCACACTAGTTATGTCTCCGTCTTCGGGTTTCAGGAAGACGCGAACCTTCACGGCCGGCAGTACAGCTGGCTCGGCTCCATCCTGTACATCGCGCAACTTGTCTGGCAGCCCGCCGCCGCCTACATCCTCGTCAAGCTGCCCAACGGAAAGGTCATCGCCGCCGCCATCTTCCTGTGGGGGTCCTCGCTGGCGATCATGACTTCCTGCACCAACTTCGGCGCCCTCCTCGGGCTTCGCTTCATGCTTGGCACATTTGAAGCCATGATTGCGCCGTCGTGCCTCGCCGTGACGACCACGTGGTGGAGGCGGAGCGAGCAGACGCTGGTGACCAGCTCCTGGAACGCCATGAACGGCGTCACCTTCATCATCGGCAGCCTCTTCACCTACGGTCTCGGTCACATTGAGAGCGACAAGCTCTACAAGTACCAAATTATCTTTCTGTAAGTCGTACGCGGGCTATGCAGGGGAACCGTTGCCAGTCCGGGCTAGTGATACTGATACCATCGCTAGGTTCTGCGGGCTGCTCACGGTGTCGTACGCGTTCGTCGTTCTTGTGTTGATGCCTGACTCGCCCATGTCAGCCAAGTATTTGACAGAGAGGGAAAAGGTCATCGCTGTCGAGCGGCTCCGGGCCAACCAGATGGGCATCCAGTCCGGGGTCTGGCGTTGGGATCACGTCTGGGAGACATTCGTCGACCTGAAGACGTGGTGTTGGTTCGTTATAGTCATCGCCATTTCGTAGGTACTTACCATGCCAACGGTTTATCAAGATATTGACGTATTATGTTTAGCATTGCCAGCGGCGGCATCTCGACCTTTGGTAACTTGATAGTCAAGTCTTTCGGCTACAGCAGCTTTCAGACTATTCTATTCAACATACCCTTTGGCGTCATCCAGATCATCGCCATCATGGGCAGCGGCTGGATTGCCACGCGGACTCAGAGGAAGGGTCTCGTCATTGCTGGGATTGCTATCATCCCCGCCATCGGCACGGTCATCATGCTCACGGTGCCACGTCAGCATAAGGGCGTTTTGCTCTTTGGATACTACCTCGTAAGGAGTCTTCGGTTTCGGCCATTACCTATAATCTGCTGACATTGGTTCCTATCAGGTTTCTGCTCTTGCGGCCATCACCCCTCTCATTTATACATGGCAAGCGCAGAACACTGCGGGCGACACCAAGAAGAAAACCACGTCTGCCGTTGTCTTCATCGGCATGTGCACTGGCAACATCATAGGCCCACTCCTATACTCCGTCGATGATGCTCCGGTGTACCGTCCCGGCTTGATTTCCAATCTAGTCATGTTCATTCTCGTCGCCTTCATGGGAGCGTAAGTCGTCTTTCCACTCAATTTTCATAGGCATACCGTTGTACTGATAAGCCTCACCTGTCTAGCCTTCTTCCGTTGTATCTCAAGTACCTTAATGTCCAGCATGCCAAACGCCGCGAGGCCCTCGGGAAGAGCAGCGACATTGTAGACGAGTCGATGATGCGCAACAAGGACGGGAAGGATAGCAAGGAGGTGGAGTTGGAAGAGGACCCCCAGAGGCAGCAACGCAAAGCTATCGAGGAAGACCATGGTTTACAGGATATGACCGACCTCAAGAATGAGGACTTCATCTTTGTTTACTAATAATTGACCTTGCTCATATGGAATGCCATAGAGGATGATTGCCCGTCGTCAGTATGTAGTCAATGTCCAATCCATATTGGCCATGTGCTACGTTATCTTTCATGTCTTTTTGAACAATGGACTTCATCGTATTCCTAATTGGCAGATGACGGCCACCTCCTGCAGTTCCCCAAAACAACCAGTAACGCTATTACAGCTCTACGGCCAATTCTGCAATCTGTTGGAATGTTTCCATTCCGATCATCAAAGGGAGCGTTGATAGCGATTTTGCAAGGCCTTCAACTTTCTCGACTACCCGGGGGTGTTATTCATCGAGCTGAGCTAAACACCCTCCTCACGGAGGGTGCGAAAAAAGGGGTTGCCACGTTCAAAATGGGGTTGCCACTCGTCCTAGCCCGGTCCTACTTTTTGTTACATTCTCACCAAGAACAATTGATTATTAGGACACATTATCGACAGATATCAATAGCAACCAAACTGCCTACCTACTTTAACCCATTCATCATGCCCCGCTAATGTGATAAGAACATGACCACTGCCAAACAGGTCGCCAAAATGCCCTTTGTTGCCCGTCAACAGGCGACCAGCGGCCACCCGGGCAAGACGGCAATTAATATACTGCCTATAAGCTGGGCTGCCTGGGACTACGGCGTATCTCATATGGCGGTTCAGAAGCACCTCCAGGCCCTTCAGGAGGGCCGTAACCTCCGCGCAAGCCCGAATGAACCCGGCCGTCCCCAGTTGCTTACGGAGGCTGAAGATACAGCTCTTGGCGCCTTTGTTATATGGTAAAACGGGATAGATCAGACTGAAGGCAGGGGTATTCTTATGAGCCTACATATATGGGGTATTTATGTGCATTTGGCATATAAGATACTCCATGACAGATCTAGAAGAAATAACGCACACTCGGCCTAGTATGTGATGCCTATAGCCTTGTGACATATGAGTATACGATAAAAGGTACTATTGTAGAGCCCTTGATCGGGGCTATTTATTGATACTATCTTTATGAGTATACGACGTTTCGGTTGTTATTGCTTTAAGCAATTGAAAGTTGATTATACTATATAACCCACGCAAAAGTGATACTATTCGTGATGTGGGTTGGCAACCCCTTTTTTGCGTGGCAACCCTATTTTTTCGCCTCCTGCGTAAGCAAAGGGTTGTAAGCGTAGCAAAATGCTGACTGAAACCCCTAGGTAGGAGGCCTCGAAGTGTTTTATTATTTTTCATCATTCTTTTCTGTTTGCCTTTGTTACTCTTTAATCTGCTGTTTGGATACATCTCACAAACTGTACCATTCTTATCTTTACAGATTTACCAAGTCTGAAGAAGTTGGCGAGTTCTCCCGGTTACACTTCTGGTCCATGCCGCGAATTATCCTCGTAATAGAAAGCATACCTTCGTCGCCTTCCGACAGGTCTCCTTCAATCTTTAATAATAGTGTCATAAGACAGAAAAGTGACTGATAAGCCATCGTTAATTATACCGCTACTGAGCCTCTGACATCCATAGACACTAAGCGGTTTGTAATCACTTCCCTAAAACAATCCAGTCGTCACTTTCCTCCTCAGCCTCCAAATCTACAAGAGTAGAAGGCTTTTGCAGGATTCCAGTAGGTTTCAATTGATATTGATCACTCCATGCCCAGGCTCCAGCTATCGTGTCAATGTCAGCATATACCCAAACGCCGAATCGAGTCTAATACTTACTTCTCCACATATCAGGCCTGCAACCGGAGACACAGCCTTTCAGGTGGACGTCCCCAAACGAATTATATCGGTATCCAAAAGCGATAATGGTGATGCCGTGTTTTCCAGCTTCAAACTCTCCGAGGGCTAGGGTTCTCGGCTGCAGGGCGATGTGTCCGCTCTTCTTTCCCCATTCAACTTTTACAACTGGCGTGGCGAACTGCGGAACCGATAGCGTGACGTTCGATCGGGATTTTGTCACAAAACTGCAATGGTAAGTGATGTTCCCGGCATAAAACGGGTGTCCTTGCGCTACGATATCACCCCAGCCTAGGCTCTGGCGTCGTTCGCAGAGGATTGGCAAATTGTTCTTCAGCTCGACGCTGAAGCTGCCAAGAAGGTAAATCCTTTCCAAATTCGTCAAGATGCCAAACGGCATACTGAGTTCAATGACATTCTTGCCCTTCCGGATCGTCCCCTTTGGCAGCGGGACCGTTCTGATATCTTCGTCCGCCCACCAGGACGAGCTCCTCTCGTCAACAAGCAGCTTGTGACCGTTGATGGTGATCCTTGCATTCTCCGGGTTACCCATGGCGAGAAACGAGGGCGTTTTGACGATGGTCTGTGACTCGAACTCGAAGCATAGATCAATGTATACCCTTGAAACTCGTTCTGATGATGGTACACCACATGGCTGCTTCCATGCTGAGCCGTTCGGAGGAAGACGGAGGCGAGCTCGGATCTCGTCATCAATTTTCGAGACTTCTTGACGCGTAGCATCCTCCCACGGGCCATCGTCGATCCTGTATAGCGCATAATCAAGCATCAGGACGTTTGGTTCAGAAAGAATGACCTCGTCTAGTTTGAGCTCAACGGTCTGCTGTTTAGGCGGCTTTGGGGCTACTTCTTCCGAAATTTCAACGAAAGATAGATCCTCGGCCGGGGCGGGGTAAAGTCTGAGCAACAAGCTTGCGCAGCCCTCAAACCGGTGCTCAAAAATTGTCCATCCGCTGCTGTATTTGGACCTTTGGCGGTGTGTTTCACCTGTGAAGGTGTCCAGAATCATAACATCCCAGTCGCCCTTGATGTTTACCAATGTATCGTATGGGTTGTTTCGGTCCGTATTGCAGATGAAGAGAAACATTTCATCGCCATCCTGGCGCATCTGATACAGAAGAGTCTCCGTCGGCTGTCCTCCCTTCAAGTTAACTTGCAGATCGCGACTCTCAGAGACGGCTGAGAGGATGTCGCTTTTACTCCAGGAAACCCTGGTGCTTGGTTTGATGTTTATGTCGACATCAGGCGGCGTGACTTGGCCATCATATAGCACTGGTCCTTCACCAGCAATGATGACCTTGCCCCCTGCTGCTGCAAACTCCTGGATGACTGAAAGGGCATATGAACAGATAGTCCGAAGATTCGGTAAGATGATGAAGTCGTACTCGCAGTGTCCTACCTTGAGAGGCGTTGAGATTTTTTTGCCAATCTGGCCAGACAAAAGATTCTCGGCGATGAAGTCAAAGTCCACCAGTCCATGAAGCAGCCAATCTGTGAGCTCCGCAAACTTGTTTTCGCGACGAAGGGTCTCGTCGTGGCCGTTGTTATTCGGACTAAAGCAGAGCCAAAAGCTGTGGATGGGATGGACCACACCGACACGCGTAACAGCTTTTCCGCGAGTCAAGGCCACCCCAACACGGGCAAAGTGGTCTTCGATGTAGCTGTACTCCTTGTGACATGGGCTTCGATAGCCGAAGCTCGCGGGGTAGCCACGCTTTCCCTCGTCAGCCATGCTGACCCAACCGAGGTGCGGGACACGGAACGTGATGCCTAGAGCAGCCTGCCAGTCGCCATATCGTTTGTGGCCTTCGAAGGTAAAGTACGAGTGTGCGTATCCGTAAATCTCACCCATAGCGCCGCGTATACCATTTTGACGGGCCACACTAGTACACTGCTTGGCTGCATTATAGTCAACCCAGTCGTTCAGGAGAGACACGCCGGGTGATGTCTGTTTTTGATAATACACCATTGCTTCTCCATGAGCGGTGGTCTGAGAGTGCAGACTTGACTGTTTCATCATGTTTCCGTTGAGCATGGCCTTATTCCTCCAACACCAGCTTACGGGGAGGTCCAGAAAGGACATGACTAACATTTCACTGACATGTTCGTAGAAATCGTATCGAGCCTCGCTGGGCGTATCTCCCGGAAGGTCCCAACATAATTCCGGGATACTGCTGATGATATCGACATCATAGCCGTAGGTATCCCGGAACATATTGGGAAGATCTGCACCCCACGGCAGAAAGACGTCTTCGACGCCATCCGGACTCGAGAGCTGAGTCTTGATCGTGACTTGAGGCTCATCAGTAGAAATGCAAGGCGCCGTCGTCCCGAACTCGTCGCCTGTCTTTTTCTTGCAGATCTCATGAGTACTTTCCAGGAATCGCGTCATAGCCTCGATGCTCATTGTGTCGATGGGGGTCTGCCCGTTAAACCAAGACGACGGAGCGTTGTTCTCAACGTATGCATACCACACTCGTCCGCCGCGCTCCGCGTCTTCACCTTCCTGCAGCCTCCTGCTGGACTGCAGACGGCCATTCTCATCTAGGGTGATAGCGAATCGAGCAAGCAGATAACCCGGTTCACTTCGACGTGCTTGTGCAGAGCTGGGCGCGCAATCACTGTAATTGGTATGAGTAGAAAGATGGGGATGTTGTTCATGGTCACCTACCCTCCAAATTCTCCACGCGGGTGCGGCGTGAACAAAATGCGTTTAGTCTTGTGCTCGCGATGCTGGTTCACAAGCCTGTCGCAAGCAACTCCCGAGGGCCAGCGGTCATCGTCATAGCTGATAAACGTCAGGATAGAATCGGTTATTCCGTAGGTATGAATGGTCCACTTACAAGCGAGCGAGCATGCCCTTGCTCTGCGCATACTCCATGCAATCCTGGACACGATCCACGAACTCCGTACCCATGGGCCCGGTATCCAATCCGGGTCGGACATGCATGTGGAACCCGCCCATTCCCATATCCTTGAGATGATCGATTTGCCGGAGTAGCCTGTTCTTCTCCAGCTTCGGATTGCATGACCACAGCGGACATCCTCGGTACTCCGATGTTGGGCTTTTGAAGAGGTTTGCATTGAAGGGCTCGCTGGCCTTGGGGTACGTAAGCGGGCCCCCCGAGCTCTGTCCATTGCCTGCGCCTGGCTTTACAGGACACTCTTTCTCAATGGCAACAAAAGATGAGTCCATCGTGTTTGGGCATACCCTGGTGTAATGACGAGGTTGCTGAAAAGCAACTCATGCTGCAGAAGTTCCGGCACGTAGAGAGGCTTTGTGGTCTCATGACTTGTTTCGACTTTAGCGCATGTCCCCCCACACGCAAAGACATACCCAAAGGTATCGGCTGAAAACGGCGCTGGGCGACTCTGATTGAAAGCGAAACTTTTTGCCAAACTTTTTGCGTATGAGTACAGATGCAATGAACGGGCTATTTCTGAGAACAATGAAAGGGTGTCCCCTGTTCCTCCATAGGGAGTTTGACGTTGTCAATATCGAACAGCTTTGTACCCTTTCTTTCACATGTGCTCCAAGCTCCGAGACTCTTCCTCCCCGCCAAGCACTCACGCCACCATAGCCCAGACACCTTTGTGCTTCTCAGCGGTATCTCGAAACTTTCTTGGCTGCTTCCCCGTCAGTGCGAGGACGACGCTATTCGTCCTGTTCTCGCTGCCATTCTTGATGGCCGTGTCCAGGCCAGCCATCATCTCCGCATAATCTCGGGGCATGCCCTGGCTGGCGAATCGCTCTACGAGCTCCAACGCCGAGAGGCTTTTATGTACGATCTTCCGGCCAAGAATATCGGAAAGAATATCGGCAATCTGTATATCGACCATCAGCATCTAGTCGTAGGGTTCAAACGGGAAGATGAAACTGACATCATCGTAGCTGAGCAACTCAGGCCCAAGGATGACGTATTCATCGTTCGGCGCATCCTCTTGGATAAGGAGCTGGTATGCGACCGCTGCAATGTCCTCGGCCGCAACCCAAGGTATCTTCCCGTCCCCCGTAGCAGAGTATATCGTGCTCTCGTTTACAATCGACTTGCGATGGTTATCTTGCGCGGCAAAATTCTCTGCGAGGTTGTTAGCTACTGCTTCATTGAAATGCGGGGGATGTACTCGCGCTGAAACCATGTTGGTCTTAATGCTGCCCATTCCACTTCACCCTTGTCGCCAAGCCCCTTCAGATACGCATGCGGCCGACCCATCGCGAAGCCGATGAGGTCTGGCTCGATAGAACTTGAGCTCAACAGGACGAATCTCTTGGTGCGTCCCTTGATTCGCGCCTGGTCGATGAAAGACTGCATCGGCGGCAGCATGTCCAAGATGGGCGGGGCAACAAGGAAGACGCTTGTCGCGCCGACGTCCAAAGCCGCCGCCCACGTCTTCTCATCCTCCCAGTCGAAGACAATGGGTTTGATGTTGCTGGCACCTGGTTCTGTGGATGCCCCGCTTCTGGAGGCTTGGTAGGTTGGAATCGAAGTTGCCGCGAAGAGCCTTGCGATCTGACTGCCGACCTTGCCAGTCCCGCCGAGAATCAATATTTTAGGGTGATGTTTTTCCATTGTGATTTCAGTCCAGTTCAGTTCAGTTTTGGATCATCCTGTGGCTAATAGAGAAGCTTAACAGAAGATAATGTCGTTGTACTTAAAAGGATAGCTTGTTTGCCGATTTGTAGGTGGAGATTGACGGACTTAAGGACCAACAGTTGCTATGGACTTAAGGGCGAGATAGAACAAAAGGCAGGTAATCAAGTCCTTGGAACCTCCTAGCAACTACCAGCAGAACTTGGCGATTCGCAGGCTTACATGATCGTGGCTTGGCCCTGGAAGCAGATGAAGATTTGAACGGGCAGATATGGCACCAAAGACAGCGAGGAGGAGGGGGTATTGCATAGTTATTGATCCCATCTCCAATTATGTAGACACCGACAAACTGATATTTAATTATTACTGGTCAACATCCACCTCTTCATGCCTTGTCATGCCTAAATTGGAGGGCAATTATCACGTCATACACCATCGTTACGTATATGCCATCGTATGATGTCGCTTTCTTTAATAAAACATGGCCTCTCCTAACGATGCGGCCATTTGCCGGCTGACATTGTATTTGCACATAATAATCCCGCTCGTCTCCCACTCCCTGCAGTCTACCAACTCCAGTTTTATTCCGCCAAGCGGTGCAAGCGCGGACTCCCCCACCAGGCTTGCCCCCTCCCCTAGTATCATCGGCATAATTGCTGTCTCTACCGAGTCTAGTATTCCCGCATCGAGGCACGGTCCCACCAGCTGCCCGCCCATAAGCCAGATGTCCCGGCCGTCGGTGTTTTTGAGGTTCGCGATGTATCCGATGAAGTCCTTGGAGACAATTGTTACCCTTGGATGGTGCTCTCTCTTGAGGGTTTTGCTGGCGACCACCAGGCTTTCCTTGGAATATTTCTGAAGTGGATTATGCTCGCCCATGCTGAGCATGCATTCATATGTTTTCCGGCCCATGACGAATGTGTCGCATTGTGCGTAAAGCGCATCGAAGGAAATTCTATTGTCGTGCACCATCCAGCCTGTTCTTCCGTCTGAGGGAACGATGAAGCCATTAAGTGATATGGCCACGTTGTATCGGAGACGCCTTGGCCGTTCTGTCATGTTGTAAAGGGACTCGTGCTCCAGGACCGGACATCCACCATTCAGCCGATTGGTAGCAAAGAGTGGACTTTATAGGAATGAATCCATCATCTGAATTCAGTATTTACTTAGGGCGAGCTTCCAACTCAGAATGGAGGCCTGACCACACTGGGCAATAGATGCTTTGCGGCGTGATGTCGGACTTCCGAGCACTTTGCTCCCATGTGATCATTTCTTCCACTGTTCGTGCGTACCTAGTCCGTCGCCTCTCATTAATGCTTATTTGCAGTGACACGCCCACCGTTCCTGGCTGGGAGGTACCGTACTCAGAGTTGAGGGGAAACAGTACTCGCAGTCTTTCTAGAAGTGCGATGGAAGGAACTTAGGACAAGCTCAATTGCGACAGCCAGTACATACTGACGGGTAATGAGCCGTTTCGTTTAGTGCTTGGAACTGCCTGAAAAACTAGACCGGAGACGCGACATCACAAGCTCGATCATCGGCCCAGATTCATGGCTAGTGAAGATTTCTATACATTAAAGCAACACAGATACCATGCCTGCTCAGCTGTTGCATTTCTCGGGATGCCACCATCGCAGGCTGAATGCAGTTTTTTGAAAGGGGAAAGGGGAATGCCTTCAGCAACGGGTTCGGCACTCAGAAGAGCAGTGTGGCCCGAGACTAGAATTGGAGACAAGATACGGAGTATACATTGAGCTATCTGGTATGTCTGCCCAAACTCGACCAGCTTCGTTAGAGATCAGAAGCATTTGCAATAAGCAGACGCCACCATCACCTAACCTGAGACTTCGAAAAAATGCTGGCCTGCAAGCAAACCTGTGCCGCCGTGGTCCTATCTTGTTGACATAGCTTTCGCAGTGACCGTTGGGTGCCCTCCCTTGACGTAGAATACTCAAAAATAAAAGAAAACAAGATGATTCAGAATAGTCTGCCAATTATTGCCAAGGGACGGATTTGGAACGGTCACAAGGCTTGAACTAGCGAGCAAAAGCAACGATCATGCGGCTCTGATTTGGTGCGAGGCGAAACGGACGGGTTATTGACAGCCACCGGTTGTTGGCATTTTCTCCACCACACCTACTGAGTGGCTTGATTAGCTCGTTTCAAGTTTGGTGATGGTTGTGCCGTAGATATCGCGTCTCGGGTAGGACATGCTATATCTATACGGGTATTGCAAAGCCCAGTGCCGCGCAGAAGGGCTGATCTTACCCCGAAGTGTGTCTCATCAGGGATAAGGCTTGGCATTACTACCAAACTCATATAAGTACTTTCACATGCTGCCATACGGTGACACATTTATTGCGCATGGTTTCTTCTGTCAAAAGACAATTACATTGAGCTCATCGACAGTTTCAATTTCAACTATAGTAACGTTTCACACGATACGTTGGTCGTCTTCATCGAAGCACGCCCCAAGTCATAGTTCTCCTACACCATGACTTTGAATCGTATCGCTGTCTACGGGCATCGCGGTTAGGGCAGTTCGAGTATTTGTGAGGCATTGATTGCTTCAGGTGCGGTTGCCAAGGTTCTGCACCGTGCCAGCTCAGACATCTCGAATCTCCCCACCCACATAACCAAGGTTGAGATAGATGTCAACGATGAACCTTGCCTGATTGAAGCTCTACAAGATATCGACATTGTAGTGTGAGTGTTGCTGCAAGACTAATGGTCACTCAGACTTATCTTTTCTTTACAGATCGCTTGTCGGACACGAAGGCGTGCAAAGACAACATGGGTTTGTGAGAGCTATCCCCAAGACGAACGTGAAGCTATTCTCTCCGTCTGATCTTGCTGGACGGTACGATGAGCAAGGCTTGAAGATCGGTGTCAACAAAGAGAAGCACGAGCTTGAGACAGCTGCCCCGGCCGCTGGGATCCCAACGACTGTTGTGTTGATTGGCAACTTTGCCGAGTTCGCGCTTAACACTATGTGAGTTGGTACCCTGTTACCAAGCTGAAACTCCTACTAATCATAGAATTCGGCATTGGTAGGGGTATGGTTGTGGACCTGGCAGGCAACAAGATTACGTACTCTGGTAACAGTGCTGATGAGAAGCTAAACATTTGGTGAGTTGCTGCAATGATGAAAGAAAAATAGTAGAGATCTATCTATGTTCAAGGGCTTATGCGGCATTGTTACCAGCACAAGGAAATACGTAGCCGCCGCGTACGTATCCATCTTTTCTACGACGCCCATATCACAGCTCAAGAACCGGGCCATCGCCCTCTGCGAGCTAGTACCAACAGGAAAGGACATTGCAGCTATGATGGAAACAAAACATGGCATTGCGCCGCAAACCTCATCTCATGGTCTCGAGAAGGTCAATGGTGAGGTTGAAAAAGGGCTCGAGTCTGGCAGCCTGTTCACTCTGGCTTGGTACTGTAGAAAAATCTGGGGCGCTGGCCAACAAGTTCAGATGATTGGTTCTGACCTTTGGGAGGTCGACGGTTATAAGAAGGCGACACTTGAAGATCTGATACTCGGAGGGGAGCTGGGGGCTTATCGCGAGATGCCAGCACAGGTTGTCGAATACTTCAGGCATTGCTTCCAACATTGACGTTGATCAGACTTTCAACAACCAGTTGCAATTCATTCCGAGCCCATTGTCAGCCCTAACGGCATTATGACCAGGTGTCTCTAATGGTAAAGTAAAATTAAAAGCCTGGAGGTCTTATCAGGTGAAGATCCCACAATATCATCACACAGAAAGGCGAGTAAGAATATTCGAACAATTATACTCAAGATTCGATTTTATTTCATAATGTCTCTTTTTAACTTCTTTCTGGGGAGCTCAGACCGTCACGATAATCCCGACTATATTAATCAGGGTTAAAATTGTTTATATGATGGTTGCTGCAAGCCTGACCCCTGTTGAATTGATGCATGTGCTAACTCGGTGTCCTCCTCCATATCCTCCACCAGCCTATCAATTGTCGATTCCGCAGCAATGTTCAAAATAGATGTCACATCTCTCATCAATACCGAGTGATCTTCACTTTTTTCTATTTGTCTTCAGGCCTTCTTGAACTGCTTTTTGTTGATCGTAGGCAGGACGACGTCGAAGTCGATATGCATGTCACCGGTCAACAAAGGCCTCTTTGAATCGGGTTATGATACCACTAAGCATATGCCTAAATTGCTAATACCAGACATAAAGGCTAAAAAAAAGCTTATACATAGGGTTCTTTTCGGCCAAAGGTTACAATGATACTATGATTGACTCATGTCCAGCTCCACATAAGACAGTGCTTAACTCCAGATGCATCATGGTTCATGGATAGTATATAGAGGGGACTAGAACCAGACAATTCGACACTAATCATGTATTTCTCGCTGGAATCAATATTTTCATCGAGAAACATTGTAAATGAATGAAATGCGCTTGGGCCCCTACGCAGCAATGACTCGTGGGGGAGAGGTTTCTTTTCTGCTCGCGCGCAACAGTACCAAGAATGATCAAGAAGTCATTCCGCAATGGCGGTAACTGACGGATCCTGGTCAAGCATCAAATCAGTGGTTCTCAGCTTTTGAACTCCGCATCCATCATACTGCGTAGACATCCCAGCCTCGATAGATCGCCAAGCTTTCCTGAAGCCCCGGTGGACCTCAATAACAAGAACATCCACCTTCTGCTCCTTGAATAGGAGATCCAATGTCAAAATAGAAGGTCACTTCTGCGCGCAATACCCACGTGTTCCTCTACCCCGCGATCAGCAACTACCTATCACAGAGTTGGATCCCCTAAAGTGGTGGACATCCCCGAGAGGCAAGGTTACATCGGCTTTGCCACGATGCAGGCCCACGTAATCTTCCATCAACCACAAGGCCATAAGGTCCGATAACAGGCAGGTGGCTATTTGCTGCAAGATTTACCCCCCCCAATGCCGGGCCTATGAGGTCCCAGGGATGATGACACGGGTCCCTTACAAGATCGTGATGATCATTTTCACTTTCTGCGTCTCAATTACTGCCTTATCACCTGTGCAGGCTGCGTCGGCCCCAATATACCAACTCGTCGACGAATGAATCCCAGCCGCACCTCCGCACGTTGCAGCGGGCCGAGATGCTGTAGCGGGCTAGTCGACCTGCAGGATTGCATCAATAAACCTGCTACGCAATAGCAGCTTCCTTTTTGAAGTCAAAATGCTTGGACAGGTGTCGCATGTGGCTTGTGAATGAGATGACAGGAGTCAGAAATGCAGGCACAGCCCGATATGGCCCCCCTCCCGCCCAGGATTCGGACTGGGATGTCAACACCCGTGTGAAAACAAAGCATATTGACGCCGGACCCTGGTCCTAGTCCCCATACCCCTATATCAGCGGGGACATCAACACAAACGGCAATAGCCCAGCTTTTGCCTAGAGAGAGAAAACACGAGAGACGGATTCACTGGGACTATGGTGTCTAGAAGCGGTCAATAACACTCGCGACCTTCCAGTATATAAGTCATCGTCGCTCCCCAAGTTTGACTATCGAAAGGAATCGTTAGAGCCTCAGACTCCCATCCCCGACAAGCCACATCCTGCTTCTGCTTCTACAAGAGCCCCCAGTCAAGCAGCCGACCCTCCCACATCGTCACAATGAAGGCCAGCCTCTTCTTCCTTGCGGCCTCCACGGCTCTCGCCGCTCCCCTCGAGAGCAGCCCCGTTGTTCGCGACGTGGCATCGACTTTCCCCCTCGCGGAGCTCGAGGCCTACTACACCACCGCCTTTGCCTCCGAGGGCGCGGAGACCGAAGCTCTGAACACCGCCATCTCCAAGCGTCAGTACCAGAGTGACACCTCCAACCAGCTTACCGACGGTACACCTTGCCGCCCCGTCACTCTGATCTGGGCCCGTGGCACCACTCAGCCCGGCAACACCGGCGAGGCAGGCTCCGAAGGCCCCACCTTCTTCAACGCCCTTGCCTCGATGATTGGGACCGAGAACCTGGCTGTTCAGGGCGTCAACTACGCAGCTAACATCCTCGGCTTCCTCCTTGGCGGTGACCCGGCTGGCAGCACCACCATGGCCAATTTGGTCGCTCAGGCGAGTACCACGATCTCCAGAGTGGCCATTGATGTTCTCCGCTAACAGCTCAATTGCAGGCCATAGCCCAGTGCCCGGACACCAAGATCGTTCTCTCTGGCTACAGTCAGGGTGGTCAGCTCGTCCACAACGCGGCGAACAAGCTGACTGCGGCTCAGATTGCCCGCATTTCTGCCGGTATGTCCATGCTTCTCAGCATTCGAACTGATGTGACTCAAGACTGTTTACTGATCTGACCCCCCTGTAGTTCTCATCTTCGGCGACCCATTCAACGGTCAGCCCGTTGGCCTTGTTCCCGCTTCCAAGGTCAAGGTCATCTGCCACACCGGCGACAACATCTGCGAGGGTGGCATCATCATCACCGCGCAGCACAGGAACTACGAGCAAGACGCTATCTTGGCCGCTGCTTTTGTTGCTGGTCTGGTTCAGTAAATATTCTTAAGTGGGCTACAGTAATATGGAGGAATGTACGCGTACCTTGGTTTATGGTGCTGGCTCCTGATATCTATGGGGTTATAATGTGAATATCATGAGTAATGGAAATAATTCATCTACGCTGACTCGAAACCCTCGCCTAACCTGCTCGCGGGACGAAATGACAATTTTGAGGCTTCGAGACCATGTCCGCAGGGATCGGCTCCTCAGCTAAAAGCAACGATGAGCGTGAAAGCTCGAATCATGAACCAGGCGGGGCTACCCAGTGGAAAATAAGGGCAGCCCGAGTCAGCAAAGTGGCCATCGCCCAGCAACCGGGGCCAGAACGTTGGGGGGAAAACAATAGGGATGACAGTCTAGATGGGCCTATCATTCAAATGAGCAGGTGAGAAATAGACAAGTTTTTTATTATAATCAGATGCAGCCCTCTCTGATCATTACGCTAGTTGAACACGACCGTCTTCGTCTTGTTGAGAAACACGCGTCCCTCGGCGGTCCATTTCACAGCGGCAGCCAGAACCTGGCTCTCGATGTTGGATCCCTCTTCCACGAGGTCCTTGGGGCTCATGCCATGATCGACTCTGGCGATGCGTTGCTCGATGATGGGGCCCTCGTCCAGGTCGGCCGTGACAAAGTGGGCCGTTGCGCCGATGATCTTGACACCGCGCTCGTACGCCTGGTGGTAGGGCTTGGCACCCTTGAAAGAAGGCAAGAAGGAGTGGTGGATGTTAATGATCTTGCCGGACATGGCCTCGCACAGCTTAGGTGAGAGGACCTGCATGTAACGGGCCAGAACGATGAGCTCAATGTCGTTCTCCTTGACCAGGCGCAGGATCTCCTCCTCCTGCTGGGTCTTGGTGTCCTTGGTGACGGGCAGGTGATGGAAGTCGATGCCGTAGTTGCCGGCGAGGCCCTGAAACTCGTTGTGGTTGGAGACGATGAGGGGAATATCAATGGGCAGCTGGCCGGACTTTGCGCGGAAGAGAAGGTCGTTGAGGCAGTGGCCGATCTTGGAGACCATAATCAGGGTGCGCAACTTGCGGGCGACGGGGCGGATACGGTACCAGTCCAGCTGGAGGTCGGCGGCGAGGGCGTCAAACGGGGCCTTGAGGTGCTCCGTTGACTCGGTCTCAGTTGGCCCAAAGTGCACGCGCATGAAAAACTTTTCCGAGACGGGGTCTGAGAACTGCTGGAGGTCCAGGATGTTGAGCTTCTGCGCCGCAAACACCCCCGTCACGGCGTGCACGATGCCGGACTTGTCCGGGCACGAGAGCGTCAGGATATGGTCATGCGTGGCGGGCGCCATGTTGAATGTCTTATCGGCGAGAGGGCTCAATCGAGTGTGTTGAAGGTTACTTGATGTTGACTCTTCCACACTCAAAATCTTCACACTAGGTTAGTTTTCTCATTACCTCTTGGAAGAGATGAGTCAACCACTAAAAACAGCCGTGGGGAACCAGCTCCGTCGCGCCACTCTTGGTTCGGGGATGTTTCGGAGACCCGCAACTGGATCAATTGGTTCCGTCAAATAACTTTTGCAACACCATCGCGAAGGCATAAGAGTTTCGCGTAGGCTTGACTTAATCTTGTGTGACCTTGGCTAAATAAGGTGAGGTGTGAGACGAAGTCTGTCTAGGCTTGATCGCGCTTGCATGCTAGCCCTCACTCGAACCTCAGCTCCATGGATGCGAATTCCTTGCACATCTTCCATGTCCACGAGATTGATTTTTCCCCTCATCCCTTTCGAAGAACAGACAAGTGTGGCATGTTTCTTTGAATTCCAATGGCGACAATCTATTGTACGAAACATGGCCTGACCAAGGCTTGTGAGCATTATCATGAACACTGAAAGTCGACCCGCATCGTATGGTCGTGGCATTTGCGATTCACTTAGATTGGAAGCCGTTGTAGGAACATCAATGGCGCAAGCGGGCATCGCTGACTGTTTCATAGGGCCGAGTCTAGGGTGGCCTTGTGTTGCCTATTCTTTGCAAAAATGCCTGAAGACCGATTTATACGACTCACCCACTCTGTGATTGAGCCCAACGATTGATCTTCCTAGTAGAGCCATGTCACAACTTGCACCATCATTAACCAGTACAAAATCTCCAGAAAGTTAGTATCAGAAGGAGCAGTTTGGTAAAAGACACTAACATCTTTCACGATAATGGAACTTGGCCGATGGTGACTCGACAAACGTGAATACAAGCGTAGCAGTGTTTGAGGGAGGGGTTCTTTAATCTTTCGAGACAGCGCTGTTATCATCTCGTTCAAAACAATGGAAGTGCGTTTTCTGAACAGAATATCATTCCTCTTCCCTTAAATTTTATTAGCATACCGCGCATATCATTTGGACACTTGTGTCAGTTTTGTCCTTGTCAGTTTTCCCGGCTGTAAGTACTGAGTGGCCTGGACTTCGTACATATTGGAGACTAGTCGCTTCTTCTTGAAATCTCTCCCATACGTCAATTCCTCCATGGGATAGGAGAAACCGTCTTCTGAATGTTTAAAGGTAACTGTAGGACACTATTCCAGATCTCGGGGACTTTTGTCTCCACGAAACAATCCTCAAGACGAATGTTGTTGCCGTTGATCTACAACTCCTTGATGCCTTGGCAAATCGCAAGTGTATCAACTGCTGAAATAGTTATCGCCGGGCTGCCCTACCGCTTTTCAATCAGCGAAGTCGCTTGAACGGTTATTATTCCATCTTGATTCCGTTATCTCTTAGTCCTCGCCCTGGTAGTAAGATCAGCTAGCCGGCGGATAGCAGAAACCACGTTACTGTCTTTACTCTTGTTCTTGTGCGCTCGGTGCCGTATTGGAATGACCCGCATTGGTTTTGAGTATGAACCAATGTTCAAGAAACTAGAGTCAGAATAAGGTAATATAGCCATTACAACAGTGTAGATAATAAGATGATGCAGCCTCATAGACACCACCTAAAAGAGATATGGGTAAGGTATTGCCGCAGCCTGCATCAGGGAAGGATCGTGGCCAAGTCCCTTCGAGAACATGCTGCAACAAGACAGTTTCTGTGAGACGGATTCCACAACCTACCCGTTCATACCGCTGCTACGTCTACAATATCCCATCGCATGGATTCTCCTCAGCGTTTCTGGACGCGGAAGGGGAATGGACTATGATAATTCCCAGTCCCAGTTTCAGCAATGCGCGACCTTGGCGGGTGACGTAGCGGCAGCCGATTTGCGGTCTTTGACGTCGCTAATGCTGGCTTTTTATACGGGGGGTCAGGATTCTCCCAGTGCTCTGCACAATCGGGGCTAAGTGCCAGCATCCTCTAGTCCGGCGCAAGGCTTTGAGTATATTGCGACGGTAACCCATGCGGGAGGAAATATCGGATATCATCTTTGCTGCGAAGGTGGTTAAGTGCATAATCGAGGTTGAAAAGTGTGTGATTGGGGACAGCGAGATGACACAAAGCATGGACCAAATTGTCGAGTGGCAAAGGATTGAGACTGTCTCTTGGGCCATGATCAGGGGCTCTCGAAATCCGTACAGTCCTGTAACAGCCCACTATAGCCCTCGTAATATACATCCTCGGCAGAAACGTCATGTTACTAATGTACCTAAAGACACCAAGCTAAATCCAAATCAAAAGCGCTTGCAGGATATCCAAGGGAAGCCGCCCGCCATCTTGATGATACATGTACCGCCTACACTCTCGAGATCCGGATAAAGCTAATAAAGGGTCTAGGCAAAGCTAGCTAGCTGATGTCCGATAGTAGTTAGTACAGGCCCATTCCGCCAGGCCTGATATAGAAAGCGGTCAATCTACTAACCCTACCTATCCATCCTCCTAACTATCTACCCACTTACCTGTTGCCTATTAGCAACAACATTTATCTGGTACTCACACTATAACTTCTTGCTTATGTACACTACTATCCTATATTGCTACTTCTAGATCCCTGTTTCTGCCAGCATACTATACCTGTCACAGCGGCCGCGATACTCCTTGCCGTTAGCCCGATGATTAGCTTTATCCAGATATAACCAGTGGATACGGTACCGTTCTTCCCTGTGGAAATAGCATGACAGAGCGTGCACTAAGTGTAGGATTTCATATTTCTCGTTGCGAAGACCGGAAATGCCGCATAGTGTTCTGTGACGGTTATAGTGTTGACTTAGTGATAGTGTCCATCATCATTAAGTGGACATAACTCTAATAAGCAGATAAACCTGAGAGGATATTCCCGTTCCCTTTTCATTTTCTTCTCTTCTTTGAAGGCTGAAAAAGTTGGGCGCGCGCAATTATGGTTTGGTGCACATTTGTGCGTTACTCAGCGCGCATTTGGGCGGCGATGTGCGCACGACAGCGCAGAGCTGCAGGAAATAGTGTCATTTGAATGCAACGAGGCTGACTGTCCTAAGACAATTAGTAACGGGGCAAACCTCCCGCCCACCCAGCTTACGTGGCTTTCGGCAGGATGTTAAAGAGTTGAATGCTCCTCTTGAATCCGTGGCGATGCCAACTGAGGAAAAGTTATATGACGAACCGGGGGCCCTGCGCGGCCAAACCAGCACATTTCGGCCGCGGCCCATGAGATCATTGAGAGGAGAGGAAATGTGAAGGTCTGCTCAACCGTCGCCAGGGTAAATGAATCTAGGGTGGCTGTGCCTGATACTCTGCCTTCCACTCTGCCTTGGTGGTTTTTAGCTAAAGAGTAGAGCTCCCAAGTGGTTCGCGACCCCAGGAAATGGAAAAAGTAGGCTACGATGGTGAGGAAGTGCAAGGCGTCCGTTCAAGGCGGTCGAGGGAAATGGCCTGAGTGCGCCCCGTCGCCGCCCTGGTCAATGGAATCATGAACCCAAGTCACGTCTGCATGCTTTCTTCTGACTTCCTCGTTGGCAATGCCGTTCTTTAGGAAGACGTAAAGCATTCTTGCCTCCATAGCGTTACCGGATCTTCTGTAATTTCACAACCAACGATATTCAGTCGCGTGCTTCGCTACCGGTTGAGTTGTGCCGACAACGACTATGAGTCGGCTGGGTTGGCAACACTTACGGGCCCTCTCTGCAACAGCCCGGCACGACTCCAGAAAGGACCATTTCTCCCAGTTATCTGCAAACCTTCCAACTGTCTTTCATCCGTTGGACTCGGGTATTGATAGAAAAGAATACGAAGACAGTGATTGCGGTCCATCGAAGTCATCCCTATCCCTGCAGCTGGCCAGCGCCCTGGACCATGGTCAATTGACGACGATTGACCGCCTGCTCTGCATTGAGGGGCCTTTTCTTCTCATCATCAATGACACTGTCAATGGAAATCTATCGCCCATCACCCTCTTCATTTCGAGGGCCCAGGGAGATATATTGGCATTCTTATACACATCCTGGATTTCACCACACATCGTCATTGGGCAAAATCCACGTCAGCAGGTGGCCGAGTCAAGATCCTTCGCTTCGCAACCAGTGGTCCGCCGCCACCAAGTTTTCAGCAGATGGCTGGGAACTGTTCCTGCGCTGTTGCAGCTGAGCTACAGTCGCCTTCAGGGTGTCCTCGCAGCGCGCGACAGCGGCGTCAACGAGCGAAACGGCACCGAGCAAACAACCACTTCAAGTCGCACCAAGGCAGGCAGGGTTGAGAAGACTCCCTCCAGGCGCACAAAGAAATCAAAAAAGGTATCGAGTGCGCCGCGCCCAAGGAAGCCTCCAAGCGGAAACGAAAGCGACTCGTCCTTGGATCGTGAGACACAGGAATCCAAGGCGAAACCCCGGAAAGCCAAATCAAAGGGGCCTCGGTACGCCTGCCCCTATCTCAAGAGGGATCCTTTTCACCATCTGAAGTGTCTCTGCCAGCACCAGGAAAGCTCAAGACGCGTGAAGCAGCATTTGGCGCGGAACCATTTGCAGCCCATTCATTGTCCCATTTGCTACCAGGACTTCGAGACGCGGAGGGACTGCGACGAACATGTCATAGCAGGCGGCTGTATCCAGGGAGCGCATGCTCCGCCAGAGGGAATGACACAGGACCAACAGACACAGCTGGACCAAATCACCGCCACCAGCGAGGACGGGAAGTGGTTCGCCATGTGGTCCGTTCTGTTCCCCGACACCGATCCCCCGTCAAGCCCATATGCCGATGCCGATGACCTGGGCGGGTTCATGGCTGGAGAAGTGCATCGCTTGTGGAGGCCGCTGTACAGGGCGCTTCTCCGACCCTTCATGGACGACGACCAGTTCGAGCGGTACCATAACCTTCTTATGCGCACTTCGAGTTCGTACTTGTCAACTTTCTCAAGCTCGCTTGCCGGCCGTGGTCCAATTCCATACGCCGATGGGCAGCCATCGTCATTAAATCCGTCTCTCGAACATTGGGTCCAGAATATTCCTGAAGAGCTCCCGAACAATACTGGTCGGGGGTTCTCACCAGTCATGAGTCCTAGCGCCTTTCTCCCCGCGACGCCTCAGGCCGGTTCTTATACCTTGCCCGATGATGACGCTAGTCTTGATGCTAGTTCTTCCCACACAATTGACTCGACGGGTAACCTTAGTATACCACAAGGAATGCCGGATGACCCCGAGAACACGGTAGACGGACTGATGCGGCCTGAAGAGGCGCCCCATCTCATGTCGGCCTTCACAGCAGGCCAATTTCCCGTCCACAACAACCAGTATACCAACACTCTTCCTCCGGTAAACCGATACCAGGAATCCAACCCCAATCCTTCAACCAGCGGCTTCGGGTTTGGGCCAACGAATTCACCTCTGCATGCGGGCTACGTCTACGGTCCTCAGATATATGACCCCGGAGTCTTCCAAAACAGCTCATTGTCCAACTTTTACGGAACTCGCAGCCCCCAGCAGTTGCAAACTGCAGCCATCGTAGATCAGCTCATGAGCCAATATGGAGACGGCAACTACACACCACACATCACGTCCCCGGGAATGATCGGCTTCAGCCAAGTTGCAAGGCACCAATCTGGCGGCCATGCGCCAGAACCGGTCGGCGACGATGTTTCGGTCCCTCAGAGAAGGCGGCAGCATAATCAATTCGAACGTACAGGGCCGCGACACTGTTGACGCCGCGGGGAACGCGGGCTCATGTCTCACCAGATCATTACTCTTGTTCGGTGTTCTATCTCTTTCATCTTGGACAAGGTGTAGCGTTCTATACTGGATACCCCGGTCTATCGGACTTTTGTATTGCCCACTCCTTTTGATTGTCTCTTGAACAGCGCACATTGCGCATCTTTTTCGGTTATAGAAAGGCGACGGCTGGGATTTACAGGACAGCGTTTAGAAATCTGGTACCAACACAGCACTTCATCATGGCGGGCTTGCATGACACAGCGTCTGGCTTGCACACACAGTACATAGATGGCATAGAATTGTAATTGAGAGAGAAATACTCACCTCATGCTCGGAATCTTTGTTCTTGATTAACCATGGCTCGTAGTGGAGTAACTCGTCCTGTGGAGCAGAGACCTTGTCGAACGCGGCGTCCGAGCCGATGACTTAGCTTGGATTGAATGACCTTCTGAAGCAATCGACTCAAGAGCTGCTCGCGCTTCATAGGCAGCATCAGCCCATCTAATTAATCAACATTGATTTTAACCTCCTCAGTTTTAGTCGCCTTTGTTGGCAGCTATGCCCAGAAAGCAAGGTTTAGCTAATAGCTGACCTGTTCACGAACGGTAATAGATCTTTTCTGTAATTTTCAACTTCCCTTCCTTTCCATAGTCGTAGGTATGCAGAACCACTACAAGAGGTAAAAGACTTCAACGGAGCCTTTGATAAAGGTCAACTGGGTAGAAACTGCAGTCTACACAAGGGGCCAACCAAGTGCAGGTAGAGTTAGAAGAGCAAAGCTCGAAACTTAGGGACAGCTAGTCCATGTTGTGCATTAGCAAAGTAGGGCGGTTCAGATTAACGTCTTAACGCGCCGGCTGTTTGTCGAACCCCGCTATTCGGGCATAAGATCGGCTTCACGGCAGTATAGGATTAAATAAATTTATCAATCAATCCTTAGTCCTTTCTATGTTTTTACAGCAGTCGTTCGAGAACAATCACACTTCAGACCACGCTCGCGAGGCGGGAATGGTTTCGCTACTTGATATCAGCCAAAATCCCCGTGGCCGTGTATCGACGTATTCTATTGTCAAGGAACTTCATCGGGCAGCAGATCAAGGAGCTGGTTATCTCGGAACGTGGGCACCTCTTCACTTACAAAACTAGGCTCACGGCGGCCAGATGCCGGTACCGCCAGTCGTGTGTACAGGTTGCCCAGAAGCATGAACTGATTAAAGAGGGATAAGGGCCACGACAAGGGCATCGGTACGAGCTGGCCGGTTGAAGTTTACCTTTGAGATATATGAACTCTGATAGTCCTATCTGCTCCTGACTCCTCTGCTTTTTCCGAATCACCATCACGCAGTACCCGGGACTTGGGTAGCTATTGAGATATTAGTTACATTTGATTCTCTTACATAGGTACGTGATGGTTCTGTGGCGCGGAAATAGATCACTGGGTCCTAAGGCTAGTGCTTAGTAGGCGCGTGTAAGAATTGGCTGACTAAAGATACGCGGCCGCATGTCTATAAAGACATTTTTCAAAACCCATCAGTGCATGTTGAACCATGGAGATTCATAAGTGTTTCACCCACAGTCTGTACCACTATTAAGGTTAATATAGAGTTGTCGAAGAGACAAACGCGGAAACTTGTAAGACTGAGATGATCCAGAAGCTCATACGCCATTTTCGTTGTTACGTGGAATGGGTGGGGCGGCACCATGCTTGATGACTAATCAGATAGCGGCGGGCAGGGGTATCCCTCTAACATGACGCGCGCCGTTTCGGGAAGGAAAGACAGGGGAGTGTGCGCGCGGGGAAGAGGCAGCAACGTTCGAGGAGACAACTTTGGAAGGTGCGCGGGTCGGCTGTCCCCTGCGCCTCCCGAGTCCCAGGACGTGTTGGCATTTTTAGAGTTGCACTAACACGGATCACGCATGCCGAGGAAGCCGTCGAGTGTAATCCGGACTTTGGGTCGCATTTTGTAATTCTCTCCCCTCTTTCAATTGGCGTAATTACCGACGAAGCCGGGCTTCCCTTCACCTCTTCCGACACTTAAAAACAAACGCGTCGACAACCACTCCTCCTCTTCGAAAGCTGTCCTCTGCACCGCGAAAGCTCTCCCGAAACAGAGAATACCAAGCCAAGATGGTCGCGACACGATCCTCCTCCCGCGCCCTCCCCAACGGCGTCGACGCCTCCCCGTCCCACTCCCCGTCTCCTGCCCCCGCCCCCGCCGTCGCCTCCGTCGCCTCCGCCGTCCGCGACAACAAGTCCGCCGCCCCCCGCGGCTGGTCCCACGCCCCGACCACCTTCACCGCCGCCTGGCTCCTCATCTCGCTGCCCCTCGTCGCCTGGGACACGGGCTACGTCCTGCTGCGGCCTTGGACCATGCCCGGCGGCCACCTCCACTGGCCCCTCTGGGCCCCCTACGCCCTCTACGGCGAGGTCGACCACATCTACGGCTGGAAGGCATTTGAGTCCCGTAACGGCTTCACCTCGGCCCAGGGCGCCCTCAACCTCGTCGAGACCCTCATGTACCTTGCCTACGTCTGGCTGTACGTCTCGCGCGGCCAGCCCGTCGGCGGGCCCGCCGGCGCCAAGAAGACTGTCGGCGGGAGGGCTGGCGCCCTGGCCGTCGTCATCGGCTTCAGCGCCGCCGTCATGACCTTGAGCAAGACGGTGTTATACTGTGAGGGCTCCGTGACACATTCAATCCCTCCCTCACCATTTTCCCCCCTTTTCGGGAAACGCTGACATGAAGTCCAATCGGTAGGGGCCAACGAATACTTCTCCGGCTTCGACAACATCGGCCACAACACGATGGCCGATTTAATCTTGATGTGGATCATCCCCAAGTAAGTGCTCGTCCCCAGTCTGACGTGTTGACGCCCAAGTGCAGGGTTTCTCTGGTGCTGACTTGGGGCAGCGGCGCCTGGCTTGTCGGGTCAGGCTACATGGTCTTGTCCCTGGGCGGCGAAATCGTCAACGGTCTGGCCCTCGCCTCGAAGACGACTAAGACCGAGTAATTCGCGACCAGATACGTGACGGGAGCATCGAGCCTCTCCGTCGGTATGCTTTAGGCAACAAACCCATCATTTAGTAGGAATAGCAGCGTGATTTGGGGCACGCTGCGGTAAGATGAAGAGATAAAATGAGGAGCATGTTTGGTAAAAGTCGAAGAGGACCTTGAGTCGCAATACACGTGGATAATTGCTGTTCAAAAAGGTGCTTGCGCTTCGTCTACGTGGTTCCGAGGCTTGATACCAAAAGATTATGTCGTGTAACCCCCTCTTCCCGATTGCTGCGTACTGCCAAGCAAGAGGCCTGGGGCCGCCGCCAAACACAAGGTGTCCGGCGTCAGCGCTAACAGTACGGACTTAGATGAACCCCTGCATCCGGGCCCCTTCGGCATGCATGCATGTCATAGCAGTTCTGGCCTCTAATGGCTTCTGACTTATCCAGAGCATTGGGAAAGATTGACTGATGCAGATATAACATATGTTTTGCAGCAAACGATTTCCGCTTGTGTAAAGCTCAACTCCGGAGAAATGTTATCATATACGATACTATATATTGCTATGCCCACCTCCCCAAAGAAGTATCTTTCCTCATCGCCAAATACGCCTTTTCGTTCTTGTTCTCTGACCATGCCATGCCGTCCAAAGTGAAAATGAGAGGCAGAAGCGGCAGGGTATCTTATTGTATCCAAGCTAATGTGTAATAAGTGAGGGGCGCGAAAGAAACGGCGACGTCGGAGTCTCTACACCTCAAAACGACGCCGGAAAATCTTAGATGTGCAGGGGCGACAGGCTGGTCAGCCCGCCCAGGTGCTTGTATTTGTCCCATTCGCACGTGTAGTCGTCTAAGTGCCCCAAGATCGGGGATTCGGGGTACAAAGAAAGCGACGGCTTGCGGATCTGCAGCGAGGGGGGCTCCATCTCATGGCGGTTAAAATCACTCTCTTGCTCCTTGACCAGGTCGACGTAGTCCTGGGCATAGTCGCCGCCACCGATGACGGTGTGCCGTCTTGCGAAGCTTTCTTCTGCCGGGCTGACATGAGATGATGCCGGTGCAAGTACCGGGCTAACATAAGATGATACTGGTTCTGGTGCCGGGCTGACGCGAGTGGAGATCGATTCTGGTGCCGGGCTCAGGCGCGCTGGTTCGGCAAAGGATAGCACGGTCTTGACGCGCCGGCGGCCACGCAGGGGCACAGGGCTCAACATGGGCGTGCCCTGGTTCGGCCAGTTCTTAGACGACGCCTCGGGCGACGTCGGCGGGACCGTGGACTCGGCGGTCGCGAAGCTGAAGGCGCCCAGAGACTGCGCCTCAGACACGAAGCTGGATTCAGACGAGGTCGAGAGGGAACGCATCGCCGTCTTGTTCTTCGGCGAGACCTCTGCGAGGGGCACTTCAGCAGCCTTCTTGACCACAGCGTTGGTGCCGTTTCCGTAGCCTTTGACCACAATCTCGCAATAGGATCCCTTCCTCGCCATCGCGGTCGGGGCAGTTTGTTCTTCCAATTTGCGGAAGATGCTGAGGGATCGTCGGAAAGTATTGCTGCGGGGTACACTCCGGCTCCGGGACCGGGGTGGGGCCGCCGGTGATGGGGCGACAGCTATCGACTGGCGATGGGACAGTCTCTCCTTGTGACGTGCTTGAGCAGTGTAGTCAATGTCGGGTCGGATCTCAATAGAAGGGGATACCAGGGTTGGCGTTGGCAAGGCACTGCACTTCGATGCCCAGTCTGTAACCGACTGCTTGGTGTCCGATGCGGGATCAGTGTGGCTGTGGAAGAGGGAGTGCAAGTTGCGGCCCTCCTTCCAAGGCGGCAGCTTCTGGGTCGAAACGGCGAGGTGGTAGTCCGCCTTATCGACGTCGCTAGCCTCTGGGGGTGCCTCTGTGCAGCTCAGAAGAGTCTGGTAACAACAGTAAATCAGGATCCAGCGTACCTTGCGAGCATCCACTAGGCTGATCTTCTCAATCTTGTCGACACGGTTGAGCGGCGAGACTGAATCTTCCTCAAACTTGCGATAGGCGCGAACAAAGTCGTTGCGAAGCGTTTCCTGATCCCGCATATTCATAGCCTTGGTCAGCGCGCTGTGAGCGATGAGACGCTCATCGGGTTTGAGCTTGTCGCCTCGCGCAGGGCTTGCCAACCATTGGATAGACACCCGCCGGCCGGACTTGTCTCCGCCTGTCTCCGGAAGTAGCGGCAGTGGATGTTTCAAAGATGTATACTTGGATCGCCGGTCGAAATCGTTTACACTTTGAAATGTGCAGATGCCGCCCTGAGCAAGGATAGGGCTACTCTCCGCAGAGGTGAAGCTCTGGTCCACCAGCAGTTCGTATACGGCCTGGAAGTCTTTTCGCATGGTCCTAATGACCTTGGGGTTGAATATCGAACTGTTTTCCGACTCAGGCAAGAGAGGCGGCCAGTAACCAAGCTTGGTCGCATAAAATGATCGGACAAAGCTTCGGAATCGGTCGAGGTGAGCACGGTTACCAGCCGAGAGACCGAGATATGATTCAGACAGCTCATCCTCCAAGAAGGTTTTCAACATGCTGCCCGCCTTGCTTAGCCGTGTGTCCATATCATTCCGTGCCCTGCGAATGAGCGTTTTGGTGACCGAGCCGATGTGCTGGAATGTGTCAGTCTCACTTCGAAACTGTTGGTGTTGATTACGCATACCTCGAATTCAGGGTTATACGAAAGGTGCTCGCTCATTCCAACACAGTGGCTGAAGGCGTCAATATACATGTCTGTCATTTGAAAGAACTCGGCCAGATGCAAGAGCGCCACCGCATGGTGCGGTTGGCCTTTGATATCCAGATACCCTTCTTCATCCATGTAGGATATGAGCTCCGACACGTTGTCTTCGTCGTCGCCTCTGAATTCTGCCATGCTGTTCAGCAGGCCAATGAGAGCGATGCCGAGGTGCTCGCCCACCACTGAACGGCGGAAAACCCATGCCAAGAAGTTTCGCGTCGCGAGGTGGTAGGAAAACGCCTGCTCTTTGTTCGCCGTTGGCGGAGCTGGGATATAGAGCTCGACTCTCTCGTTGGGGTAGAGAGAGTTCCACCGGTCCAAGTCTTCGAACACGTCGTTGAACGGGCCCTGTGACTCGGGCGAGTCGTAAGACATGAATCTCTTGACGAAATGGTGGCATTTTGCAGTGAGCAGAGTGCTGAATGGTACTTTAAACGCAGGGCCTCGGCGAGACTGGCCTTTGCCGTAGAGATGAACAAAGCAGTTCCCACCTCGAAACCATAACTCAGGATCCTATGGTGACAGTGTTAGTGGGTTGATCAGATGCGTTGGAACGATCCTGCGACCAATCTGCCCCAATATCGAGCTCACCCTTCTCAAGTTGTCCCAGTCGGTACATGATTTTGCCGCACCATCCCACCTCTTGACTTTCGAGTTCTGAGGCACTTGTGTCTCCATAGTGACTCCCAGCTTGTTTGGTACCCAGTTGTCAACACAGTCCGATATCGTAAGCGTTGGTGGCAGAGACACACGAGAATGCCGACGACTTGTCCAGGTGGAAGCGGCAGTATAAGACAGCTTTTCAGGGGGGGCAGGAACGTTGATATGCATGGTCGCTGGATAGCGCCCGTGCCGAGAGGACCTCATCCTGAGCCGGATGCGGTGGGAGCTTCGGTGGCAATCGAAGCGCCGATGGCAGAAGAGGAGAGTGACTCAGGCTCCCAATAGACCCCCGATGATCCGTCGGGGTCCTTGACAGATCTGTCAATCACTGAGGGGGACTGGGTCGACGACTGATGCGGTCAACCAGTGCGCCCGCAAGTTGTAACAATGAGCTCGCGGGTTGTCGCCTGTCTGCAGCCCCCTAATCGAACGCGTCGAAAGCAGCAGATCTAGACGTGCAATGGGGCTACGATCGGGTGGACAGACGATGGCCGAAAGCATCACAAAACGTCGTAGGGTGGGCGGTTTGGTGGCTTTATGTCGACTGGTCTAGGATCAAAGCATCCAAACCCGACTTTCCACTTTTCAACCCACCTCTCATCCTGCCTAGACTTTCGACTCCCGCGGCCCGTGCTGTATGTGGAGAGACGCGGCGAGAGACATAGTGGGACAGCCTCAAGCCATGTTTTAGTTCGGGCCGCCACTGGGTCAGTGAACGAGCTCCCCTCTGTCTTCGTCCCCGCTCCATCTCTAGAGGAGCGAATGCGCATGCGCATGGCCATCTGCTGCAGGTGGGATGCGTTGGACGAGTTTTCCGGTTCTGCGCGGTATCCTCCTCATAATATCAGCTCTGATCCTGAAGACGCCTTGCTGCAGCTTCAGCTCCGCAACTCTGTCCCTGCAGGTGCAACGTCCGTGGGTCAGCTGACACAGGAAAACAGTATCAACGGTGATTTTGCCTCTTCACCGGCGACACATGATGTTTGGTGGTGCGAAGCCTATTTCAAGTTTACACCGACGTTATTGTGGCGGGGCCCACGACAACGTTGAAGTGGTCGGCCATGATACCCTGTGTCCACCATCATGGTGACATTTCTCTGCCGTCGTTCATCTCTCGGTCCGAGTCCTTGGATGGTGCTGCTGAGGGGCGGTGATGCAAAGTGCCGCTGCTGGCTCGATTCGCGCACAATCCAGTAGCCCACAGTCCGGGGGCTTGTTTCTTCTGGGGAGTCGCCATCCTTGATGCATCCTTCAGTGCGTGAGTCCATTCACTATGGAGCTTGCTGATTGGCCATGACAGGCTCCTATCGGCCGAAAAGATCAATGTCTCAAGTCATTTGCAGCTAAATAGCCGGGAGCTTTGGTTCCTTTTGCCCTCTGTCTTGGGTCGATTGAACACGGCCTGCGCCCATGATTCATCAAAGGTCATTTAGCAGCGGCCAATGGACCAAGTTCATCTCATCGTAACGGTCTCGATCGCATCCGGAGAGTGGTGTGATGGTGTTTGCCCGTCTTCATCGAATCGGTGGCAATCTCGACTCTGTATCCGTACCTTTTGATTCAAGAGGCCCTGTGGGCGATGGTTCAGGGCACAGGATATCGTCATTCGCGCAACGCCACGACTATTCACAATGGCGTAATCTTCCAGAATGCGGATGCTCGCCTCGAAACAAGTAGATTTCGTCGGGAAGTAGACAGCCTACCCCGGTCTTTTCCCAGAGCCGTACATGCGGTCGCAGTGTTCCCTGTTCATGACTAAGACACGACTGTGCCACCTCGTCAAGAATCAAGACTTGTGAATCACAGCAACGCTGCCAAAGTGTCTTGATTTGTGACCCGGTATCCGTACATAGAAGGAAAGGGACCCATAGGTTATGATTGCCGAGCTCATGCCGTCGGCCGAGACGAACCCACTTTCTCGGGAGCGGAGAGCAGTGGGGTTGAGTGCCCGTGCACCTCGGATCAGATAGATATTACCATCTGGTGCAGGGATCGCCAGGGACTTTGAATGGCAAAGTTTCCCTTCTCCCTATCCATATTTGACAGCGGTTACGTATTTGTAGCCCACGAGAAACGTCTGCGTTGTCGCTCTGGCAGCGCGTATACACAACACGCAGCTTGACAGTCTCGCATGTTGCGTGGAACGGTGACTCCAGGAAAAGATGCAGATACTCTGCATGGAAACTGGTAGCATCGGCCAGCGGAAGTCTGGCTCCTATCGGCGAGGTATAAAGGACCTCCGGATATATCCGAAAACTCTCGACCAGCCGTCAAACACTAGACCTTAAAGAGATAACCTGGCGTCAGATTCGGGCCTCGCTCGTTTTGGAGCTGGAGGCGCGCGCGACCCAGTCTCCCGCTGTCTTGAGGCGCCATGCGGGACCCAAGCGATCTGGAGCGCCAACGACTGGTGCAGAGCCGAGCCGCTATAAAACCGTCGAGCCCGAAAGCCAAAATCCAGCCGGGTCGCGAAATAGCATAGCAGATGGGCTATTATAAGGTGAGTCAAGTCAGCCTCACCACCCCAGGCCAGGATACAAGAAGCAAAGTTGAGAAAAGGAACGTGGGAAACAGACTGTGAAACTCAAGTCTCATGGACTAAAGAAAGGTAATCGAGACATATCCTGGCAGTCAAGGGATGACGCCCACGATAGCTTCGTCAAGGCGATACTTAGCGAGAAGGCGATTTGGTGTGGACAGGAGTCAGATATGAACCTTGTGCGTGTCTGAAAACGTGAAACTGTGCTGACCAATAACATCTATTCCGTAATTGAAGCTTTGCCTGGAAAGGCAATATGCACAATGGATCGTGCGTATCGTATCCGGAGCTAGAAGTAGCCAAGCTAGCGTAAATGGTGAATTGGGAGACAAAGCACGATGCTGGATGTGGATGGACCGAGTCTCGCCAGTGTCGGGAGGAGAAGGGTCCACTCATTCTTGCTTACATAATATAAAGGATCAAGGTATGTCCAACCGCGAATCGGCCCTCCGTCCTCCGACAGCTGCTCCCCCACACTTGCCGTCCCTTCTGTATTCTCCTAAGGAGGCACTGTCGCGTCCGGGAGACAGCTCCATGCAGATTCTCAAACAGCCTTCTTGAACCGCCTGCCCAGCACAGTCGCCTCTCCCTCACAGACTGACCTTACCGATTCCGGATTCCTCTCTGCTTACACTATGTCGGAGCAGCAATGGCGCCTCTGACCCCTTACACCTACATCCGGTGCCCTTGTTCCGAGACGCGGGACCACAACGATGGCTCATCGACGCCTGGCAGCCCGGAAGACGATGAGCGGACCTTCGACCCACGCGCCCCGCGTGCCAACTTCAGCCTGTACCCCCTGGAGCACCTGATGTACTGCGAAGACTGCCACCAGATCCGGTGCCCCCGATGCGTCAACGAGGAGATTGTCACCTACTACTGCCCCAACTGCCTGTTTGAGGTACCTAGTAGCAACCTCAAAAGCGAGGGGAACAGGTTTGAGCGAACCCTTGTCCTCTGAGACAAACCATCGGATGGCTGACTCTTTGAAAGATGCACTCGAAGCTGCTTCCAATGCCCCGTTTGCGTTGGGCCCCTCGCGGTTACGAGCATCGAGGCGCCCCCGGAAAGCAGCAACCTCCTGACTGCCGACGGTTCGGCCCCTCAAGGCGGCCCGTATGTCCTGGCCTGCTCCTATTGCACCTGGAGCTCGACCGAGATCGGCATCAAGTTCGACCGGCCCAATGGCATCCACGGCCAGCTTGCCAAGCTGCAGAACGGAGGCCAGCCCAAGCTGACGCCAAAGGAGCACAAGGAGAGGAAGAAGGAGAGCGGCGGCGACTACACGCTGGACCCGGACAACATGGACACGGATCTGCAATTCGCGCAGCTCAAGTCCTTCTACCAGAGCCAGATGGCCAGCACCAATCCGTCCGCCGGCGGCCTGTCGTCTCTGGGCGACCTCGGCCTCAACTCGCCCGGCTCACTGTCCCGCATCATGAGTCTCTACACGGGCAACAACTTTGGCAACAAACAGGCGCGTGGCAAAGTGCAAACTATGAGGGAGGCCGACAGCCCGGACGAGGGGTTGAAGACGACCGACTTAGACGAGTCAGACGCCATTGCGAAGCTCGGCCACAGCCACTTTGACGATACAGCCACTCTCGCCCAGAATATACACCAACAGGAACCTGTGCGGTTCAGAGATCAGCTGCGGCCCATTCCTTATCTGCTGCGGACGAAGCGGTCCAAGAGATGCCCCCTGTGTCGGCACATCATCAGCAAGCCGGAAGCCAAGATCTCCAACACGCGATTCCGCATTCGTCTGGTGGCCGGGAGCTACATCCCCACCATCACCATCCGGCCGCTGAACTCAGAAGTGCAGAACATCCCGTCCACTGCGCGGCCGCCGATACCACAGGAGCTGTGGCTCACGCCGCTGAAGCCCGTGCAGTACCTCCTAACCTTCAAGAACCCCATTTTCGAGACTGTCAAGGTGTCACTGGCCACCCCGTCGAGCACGCCGGGCCGCTTTGCCAGTTCGGTGACGGTGCTGTGCCCGCAGTTCGAGATCGATGCCAACACGGACATGTGGGATGACGCGCTCAAGGACGACGGCGAGAAGGAGCGACGGCGGGGCGAGGAGGGCGGGATGCAGCAGGCCGAGGTCGGCAAGATTTACGAGCGCGGCCGCAACTGGGTGAGCATCGTGCTCGAGGTCGTGCCGGCGTCCCTGCGGCTGGAGCGGGACAATGACAGTGGCGGCGGCGGCGGCGACGACGACGCGCTGAGGGAGGACGAGGAGGTGTTGGAGATACCGATGTTTGTACGGGTCGAGTGGGAGACGGAGGCTCAGGGTGATGTGGGCACGACGGCAGGCAAGGACAAGGAGGCCAGAGAGAAGAGGGAGCTGGCATACTGGTGTGTGCTGGGTGTGGGCCGCATCAACCAGGATTAGACTCGCGGCAGATGAAAATGATACCCCATACTTCGCTTCTTGATACTTGCACGCTCAGTCGCAATTCACTTCCGACATGCACCAATCACATTCAATCAAACAAGACATTGACAGAGGAGTAGGGGAGCAGCCAAGTGTGTGGTATATGCATTTTTTGGTAGGGGGCGGTCTGCAATTGAATCGCCCAAGCTACATCCTTTAGACGCCAGACCCTTTTTGACCAACCAGTCATTGCCATGCTCTCATCGCAGCAGACCAAAAATTGCCGAAAAGAACCCCATCATTGACCGACCATGATCCCTTGTTTTTTTGTTATAACTCTCAGCGAACCATCCCACAAACCTCCCGCGAACGACGAAGTGTGAGTGACGAGTCTAGTACTCGGTGGCGCCGGACTGGGGGAACTCGAAGGTGACGACGCGGCCGGTGAGCTTGCGGTAGACCTCGGAGTAGGTGTCGAGGCGGTAGTCGACGCCGCCGCGTTCCTTCTCGTCGAGGATGACCTTGAGGAGCTTGGAGCCGTCCTCCTTGGTGCGGACGCGCTTGCCGACGATCTCGACGGGGTAGACGAGGTCGGTAAGGATGGCGTCGTGGACGGCGGTGAGGGTGCGGGAGCGGGGGCGCTTCTGCTTCTGGGTGTTGCGGGAGCGGGCGGAGCGCTTGGGGCGGGGCAGGATGCGGCGGGAGGCCAGGATCAGGACGTGACGGTCGGAGAACTTCTTCTCGAGCTCACGGGTGAGGCTGGGTTGGAATCACTTGTTAGCTTTTCTCAAGCGTCATGGGGGGGAGGGGAAGGGGGATAAACATACCGCTGCTGGACGCGGTGGAAGCCCTGCAGGGAAGGGACGGGGACAAAGATGGCAATAGCCTTCTTGCCGTGGCCAACCTCGATCTGTAACAAGATCACAAGTCAGCATGCGAGCTCCAGGACGATGCCTTGGACCGCTTCCCGTCCTGTTCCTGAGAGATTATCATTCTTTTCAGCGTTCAAATCTCCGCCGCCACGGCAGCTGATGACAGCGAACACGCACACACGCCCGTTAAGACAATTTCTACGCGCGAGAGAGAGAAAGTATTGTGACGTTTCACGGTCATAATAGCTCCTCCCTGCCCAATGCACCTCCGTCTCCTGATATATTTCAATCGAGAAAAGGGGTCGAGTTCCTCATCGGCCTTGTGTGCGTGCGTGTGTGTCTCTCGCGGCCGCAGCGACTGGAACAGGATTTCGGTATCCTTTTTCGGGCGGGGGGGGGAATTGGAAAAAGGTCGCGTGTCCCATCAAGGACTTCTGTTCTCTTTCGAGCTTCAGGTAGTTCTCACCTCGCGGGCAGAGACGATCTGCAGAGGGCGAAGGGCGACCTTGAGGTCGGCGGTGTTGCTCTCGAGGTCGTACAGAGCCTGGGCAATGCTCTGCTCGAGCTCGGAGGGGCTAGCCCGCGAGGGGCTGTTGGCAGCGATCTTGTTCAACGCGGGGCCGGACATGTTGGGCGGTCTTGGGGATGGTTGACGTTGGGGGGCCGGGTTAGTTGTGTTGTTGCTCGAGCGGACGAAGTCGAAAGAAAAAAAAAAGTTCAAGAGACGGGGGAAGAATCGCGATCCGAAATTTGCGATTGAGGGAGACGGTGGGCGGGGGCCCGGTGGGCGATTGGGGTTTGCAAGCCCCTGGTGGTCTGTGCGTCTGGCGTTCTGCTCGCTTGTGTTCCTTGTGTCTCCCAATTGGTCCTTCAAGACTTGCTGGGGTCCACTCGTCTATTTCTACGCTATCCCGTTTTGGACCTCTAGCAGGCAGCGGCAGCAACTTCATCTTACATGGGTGAAGGGCGTACAAGAGATCGTTGGCACGCCTCATGTATTGTTGGTTGGCACATAAACCAAACTCTCCCTGTCATAAATCTGCATACTCTGGTTTATTTTCAGTTGTAAATCGCTCAGCAAATCTTCTGAAGTACTGATGTGAGGTAAAACGCCTATCCAAATCAAAATTGGTTAGCAATGTCACCACACGTATCAGACTAGCCTAGGGCCTGATCGGCAAAACCGATATCAGGGCGATATCGCCTGTACTCCGATATAAAAGTACATAGGGTTAGGGTTAACAAGAGTTTAATACAAGGTCAAAGATTAATTTAACGAATGTACTGCTAGGACCCCTGCGACAGCTGCCGCCAGCTGTGTCCTACTAACACTACTACTGCTAGCGCTTACCCACTGCTGCTAGCGCCTGGCTGCTAGCGCCCACCTACTATTGCCTACTGTCGCTAGTAATAGTGGGTAATAGTGGGTAGGCGCTGGTAATAGTGGCTAGTAGTAGTAGGCAACAGTAGGCAACCTGCTATATTAGTCTTTTTCTAAAGTTTAACCTAAGTCTAGAAGTAACGATTTGTATGGGGAAAGCGGGGGATTTAGCAGATTTCTAGCAAAAAAGGTCACAGTACGTGGCCTATTCTAATATCTTTAGAGTTCTGTAATATAGAACTGAAATCATGATGTACCCTCCTGTTTTTGGCCTAGTGCGGCACGATTTGAGTTTCTTGGTACTTGTGGCTGGTGCTTGGTCCGTGATATCGGTCCTTATTCGAAGTGTCAAATGATATCGGCGGTGCCGATCAGGCCCCTAGTAGATCCCCAAACTAGTTCTCGATCTGTGTTTCGGTCTAAAGACACGCTCTCAGGCTCGAATAATTCATAAATGATTTCTTCATGAGTTAATATTGCGACTCATGGTAGGCTGGCCGCATCACGGTGAGCGATCACACTCGGTTATACTGTAAGGAATAGTACATGCTGCAGTATCTGACATAATTATCTGGTCGATACGATCCCAATGTCCGGGTTACGGCATTTTGTATCAGAATCTCTAAGGGATTTACGACGAAGTTAATTGCATCAATAACAGGAAATTCCTTTACGACATTCGTCAGTTATTGTCCAGTTAGTTATGCTTGTAACCCAGAGAAATCAAAAACCAAGAGGAATCTAGTCAGCTCATTGATGCATCTACCACACTCGTTCTCAGTCATCACATGGAAGTTGTACTCCTTCCCAGCAATCGATACCGCAACCATTGTTCACAGCGCTACCATAATTAATCGTTGACTGTTGAATTCCAGCAAAGAAATTGACATGGCTCGCCCACTACTTTCAGGCGCCTTCGCCTCTTCGCTACTGTCCTTGAGTTGATCTCGCCTGGCGGAGGAGCTATATAGAGTCGCCCTTGCAGGACGTTTCGCAGAAGGAAGATGTGCAGATCTTGGGTTGACGGCTCCCTTGAAAGGCACCTAACTGTTACCCGGTAGAGAGGCTACACAACCAAGCCTCTGCCTATATTTCCAACTGACTAACGTGTTATAGATTAAACAAAGTTGTTTCTGACGTGGTAGAGTCTGTATCTGGAATAAATGTTGTGTCTGTCAGAACTCTTTTTTTTGTTCTGACCACAGGATCCAGAATAGAACGGGGCTTTGCTGAAATACAAAGAATCAACTCGTTGCTGCCAACTTCTTGGTATGGGGCTTGGAATCGGACCTCGAGCCAAAGTTTCATAGGTGGCATTTCACAAAAGGGGTATATGGCTGCCTGACCTGCAAATCTCCAGATACAATGGCGACGAAGGTTATGGTGATGTAATAACACTAGTCACGCAAGATGGATGAGCCAGACCGGTCGCCAGGCGTCGTTTCGCAGAGAATAATAAAATGATATCAGTCTCACAGGACTCATCACTTCCAACAACAAAACATCCCATTTTTACATTCAAGTCAGGCTGCCTTGGCTTTGTGTATCGCGAGTCCATCGGGCCATTCACATTCGGCCGCCTTACACCAAAGCTGGGACATAGGCAAGGCAGGCTGTTTATATTGGCACCGTGCTACCTCTGGTCTTACGCAGTTGGTCGGGGGAGCTGGCTCTTTCATGAAAGAAAAAAACCCATGGAAATTCAGTAAGGCTACGAAATTGTTAAAGTTGCCTTCAAACAATGTCTAAAGTCTTTGATCAACCTTCTCTTTGGAGATGTTTGTTTCTATGGTGGTGTCGATATAATACTTTTATTAAGATATTAGTCACTGCTCTGGTTTAAGGACATTGATCCCGACGAGCATCAGTGTTTCTCGTAGTCGTACACGTCTTTCCAACCCATACCCGAGAAGCCCCCAGTTCAAGCATGAAAGGCGCCTCACACCATGTTCTGGTGAGCCTGCTCGTTTCTCTCCTGTCTGTTCAGCTCTTTGCGGAACACGTTGTCCCCAGACAGTGTGGGCGGCTTCGGCGGTGGCGGCATCATCTCGACGCCGCGGTCGGGCGACGAGAAGGCGCCGCCGCCCAAGCCGAGCTTGGCGTCGACGGCCCGCTGGCTGCGGCTCTGGCCGATACCGTAGCCCCGCCCGCGGGAGCTGAACATGCCGCGCCGCCGGCCGTACCACCACACGAACCAGCCGATGCCGCCGAGCGCCAGCCCGCCCAAGACGAGGGGAAGGACAATGGCGAGGACGTTGGGCCCGCGACGGCCCCGGCCCCGCTCTCCGGAGTCCTTGCGCGACCGGTTGACGACACGCACGCGGGGTCCGCCGTGGCGGCCGGTGATGGTGCCGTTGTTGGCGGTGATGGCGAGGAAGAGACGCACCTCGAGCGCCTCGTTGGGGGCCATGTTGTACCCTGCGGCGGCCCAGGCGAAGTGACCCTGAGAGGCGGGCAGCAGAAGCGAGGTGAAGCCGTGGCCGGGCTCGATGGTGTCGGTCGCGTTAAAGTCGCCCTGGATCTGGATCATGGTCTTTGGGGAGGGGAAGAGGGCGGTGTCCCAGGTGACTGGGGGTAGGGGGGTTCCTTGTCAGCGAGCATACCTACACGGAACAGGGTGTAATTCAATGAGGAAGGGTGCTCACTCCAGTACGTCCTCCCGCCCTCCAGCTCGCTGTCTACCTTGGGGGAGCAAAAGGGCTCATCAAGGCCACCGGAGCCGGCGGCCTGGTTGCACAGGAGAAAGCTCCCGGCGCCCTTCGCGTCAGCCGTTGGCGTAGTCGTGCTGCCCGGAAAGGCGGACGTGGTCTTGCCGTCCTTGATGGTGGGCGTGATCGTCTGGGAGGTGCCGTCGGCGGCGACGGTCACCCAGGGGCGGAGCGCCTCGTTGGTCTGTCGAGGTTGGATCGCAGCGTCGGCCGTCTGTGACAAGGCCAGAGCGGCGATGGCGGCGAGGCCGAGGCCCTTTGGAAGCCCTCCGAAGATCATGATGGGCGGCAGAAGTCGTTTACCAGAACGATCAGGGCTTTTGCAAAATGTGCCAACTGGTGGCCGTTTGGCGCGAAGAAGAGAGAGAAGAGGAAAAAGAGGTTCGCACCAGAGGCCTCGGGAAGGGACGAACGGCTTGGCGAGTGAGGAACATACCACGGTTTTGTAACCGGGAGAACGAACCAAAGCACTGGAGGTGCGAGACGAAGGGGAGATGCGACGAACGCTTTCGCATTTGCGTGGTGGCGCTCACGGGACGCCCTTTTGTCATGACCTTTTGAAACCTTGTGGGATTCCCGTTTGCCTCCATCCTTTGGGCGGACGTACGAGCTTTGCAGGTGCCGTTTTGGCAAATACCTCTCTGCATGTGTGATAACCTGTCAGGCGGTTTGCTGGTTTCCACCGTCGCCGAATCCTCTCAGCATCTTGGTGCCGTGGGAGCCTCGGGCGCCACCCTCGGCTTCAACAAGTCTGGCGAGTCAATCTGATAGGACAGGACTGGATACCCAGCAGTAGCCGTGAGAACAGAGAGTCTGGTGGTGTCGGCCAAAGAAAGGGCGAACAAGACGTGGGTACACTGACATGACATGCAGGGGGGGGGCCTCACGACTCTCGGGGTTTCAGGAGATTTTGAAGCTCGTTTCCTGAGATGGGGGGAGAGGGGAGAGTCTGTGATCAGATGAAGCTGCGCAGAGGTACCTAGTCGTTTACGTTCCCGCTGCAGCGCCGGATAATGTGAAAACGCTGCAATGAGCACAGGTCCCGTTGGCGTCCTCGAGATGGGCTGGAAAATGGTTCGGGCTGGGTTGACGGAAGCTTGTTTCTAGCAAGGGTGAAGGGCGAAGGGCGGTACAGCGGTCGGGGCACCAGGACGCTGGGGCCTCGTGCGCTTCACTCTGACCCTCTCAGGGAAGCAACCCGTTGGCCGTCTTGAGATGGTGGCAAGTATCATCTGCAAGGCTCGGCACTTTGACAAGAGTCTATTGGGATGGTTCAGACGTCATGGAGGGCTTGAGGGGCGGGCCCGCGGTGGACCACAGTCCCGGGATGGTGTCGTGACACGCCGAGATCGGGATATATGGGGTCCTGATCCGGAGGTGTACGGGGAGGGGTGGATAACGGCGCCGGGCAGGCGGGGGGTCGACGCGGGATTTGTGAGGGCGCGGACGTAGGGTTGGGCGATTATGTCAGTGGGTATGTATAGGTACGTAGCCAAGGGGGTCCTCGTAGGTTCGAAGAGATACGGAGTACACGATATGTATTAACTATCACCCAACACGATGGAAGGTTTCGGCGATTCCGCCGTGGGCGGGCTTGGCTGACACAGCTTGGCGCTCGCGCATGGGGGGACCTGAGTTTGCCCATCTGGACAATACCTATATGTAGTGTAGGTGCCGGAAAAGAGGCCGGGTTGTGGTAGGTACTACCATTGTGTGCCTGTGTGACACTAAGAGGAACCACCTTGACAAGGTGTCTTGGAAAGAAACCGGGTTATACCTAGCTAAGACGGTCGTCAACGGCACTGCCCGTTGCATAATAATGTTTCGTTGCCTACAGGAGCTACGGCATGTACAGGCGTACAACCCTAACCCTAACCCTGAAGCTGGTTGTAGCTGTCTCTGCCGGTTCATCATCTTGCGCAAGCTCAGCTCAGCTCTCCAAGTTTACAAGCACTTGCTCCCTCACCGTTTGCCAGTCAACTTCAATCATGGCTTGATCTGTTCGAGGTGGTTTACAAATTACGAGTGAGTGTTATGTTTAGATGTCCAGGTCCAGCTCAGCCTTTTGTTCGTCCGTTTCGTTAACTTTTACACACCGCTCAGCCCCAAACTGTACACTCCACCCATCGACGACGATCTTGGCTGATTTCAGAGGAACCCAATAGAGCTCCATCCCCCCCGGTCAATGTCTCCTCAACAACCCACCCAAGGAAAGAGAAGACAATCAAGATACGGATACACAGAGAGAAAAGAGGCTGCACCGTCCCCGCCCGCCCTGTCTTGCAGCGCAGTGCGTAGTGTCTTTCCCCCGTCAATCAAATTAGCGCGTGACCGCCGGACGTTCCCAACAAATCCTCCGTCGGTTTGTGAGTACTACATCAGTGTGTATCTATACTTTGACGGATTTGTACTTTGACGCAACTATACTCGGACTTGACCGGGGGGGGGGGGAAACAGAGACATTTCTTAACTCTTGGCCTGTCATTTGCTACTCCAACAAAGCCTCCGCTTACCGACCTGCAGTAGCTTCCCTCTATCTCTCTCTCTCTCTCTCTCTCTCTCTCTCTCTCTCTCTCTCTCTCTCTCCCTTATCACTTTCCCCCGCGGACATATTGCATTCTTTCCCTCATGTTTAAAGCTCGCCCTGCCCCGCGCTTCCTTCTCTCGGCTGCGCGACATCGACATCCTCTTCCCCTCCCACGACTCATCCCATTCGGAGCTCAGCTTCAACACCACCACCAAAACAACCAACAGACGTCCGATTTCTCCCACTTCGCCCCCCGGCGCGCCTCAAACAGACCCGATCCCAAGATGGCAGGCGACGATATTGAGCGGTACCTCAAGCAGACGCATGACCGCGTCTTTGAGAACAACCGGCGCTGGGCCGAGGACAAGAAGAAGCAAGACCCCAACTTCTTCGTCAGCCTGTCGCAAGGCCAGGCCCCCGAATACCTCTGGATCGGCTGCAGCGACTCGCGCATTCCCGCCGAGCAGATCTCCGGCCTCGAGCCCGGCGAGGCCTTCATCCACCGCAACATCGCCAACATGGTCAACAACATCGACCTCAACGTTATGAGCGTCATCAACTACGCCGTCTGCCACCTGAAGGTCAAGCACATCGTCATCTGCGGCCACTACGGCTGCGGCGGCGTCAAGGCCGCCATGACCGCCAAGGACCTCGGCCTCCTCAACCCCTGGCTCCGCAACATCCGCGACGTCTACCGCCTGCACGAGGCCGAGCTCGACGCCATCAAGGACGAGGACTCCCGCTACAACCGCCTCGTCGAGCTCAACGTCATCGAGCAATGCCGCAACGTCATCAAGACCGCCGATATCCAACAGTGCTATGCGAAGAACAAGTACCCCATCGTCCACGGTTGGGTCTTTGACTTCCACGACGGCCTCCTCAAGGACCTCAAGATCGACCACGAGGCCATGCTCCACGAAATCCAGAAGCTCTACCACCTCCCCGGCGCCGACTTTTAGGTGTCCCCGCTGCCACGCGGGGGCACTGGGTGAGGGGCGCGAAGGGGAAAGGAAGCTTCACCGTGGTGACTCACCAGCACTATGGACTTCTGGGCTCTCGTTCCGCCATGGGGAAAATTTTCTTGTTGAGGGCCACTTGCATACTCACGCCCCGTCCGCCAGATCCGGAATGGGATTGAGACACTGTTTTGACCGAGACATGACTACATGACGCCAACACCGGTAACCCCCCCACAGGTAGCTCCCCATCCAGTCCGCTTTGGCTTAGTGGAAGTGACAAAAAATGCCGGGCCCCGCTTACGTGCATCTCCGCGCGCCGATACTTTTGAGAGAGAGGGGGGGTAGAGGTTCGTTATCGGGAGCTATCACCAGCGGGGCAGCTTTTTTCCTTTTCTTTTTTTGTCTTTTATTTTGTTTCACCACCGGAGTTGAGGGTTTAGTTTCTCCCCCTTACACATGGTGGTGTGGGAATGTTGGAAGAGGCGAAGCAGGCGTGGTAAAGAGGCGATGCAGGCGCAATGCCAAGGGAACGTGGTTCTTCGGTGCAAGACAAGGTTTATTTCAGCAAGACGAGTGGGTTTCACGGAAAGTAGAAGAAGAGAAAAGTAACATTTCCAATGGCCGCCGATGCCCGTTCTACTGTATGCGTTATTGTGCTGCAAGCCCCATGCATCGTCCATCGCAAACTCAAATTGTATCGCACCCAAATGCTAGAGTCATGTCAAGTTGATCGCCAATCTCCGGTCCCCTTCGTCTCCTACTCCAGCTGGATAATGTTCCTATCGCCGCGTTCAGTCAAGTATCCGGATAGCTTCTGCACCTCGTAACTCACCACGAACAGTTCCACGCATGCCTGCCATTCAGGCTCTTGCACATAGCCCGGCTGCCCACGTTGTCCGGGGCCACGTCGGCCGACGCCCACCCGTGCGGCCCATACTGGCCGGTGCCCGTCTTGAACAGCCGCGCGGCGAGGGCCTTTGCGTACCCCCTTCGGCGGTACGGCGGCTACACAGACGGTGATGAGCTAGTGCGTGAGACGACTGGGCTGTGCAGGGCCTTGGCAAGATGAAAACTAAAAAGAACGGCTTACATACCTCGCAGTGAAGGCTCGACAAGGAACCGTCGGTACCTTTGGACCATTGTTAAGTCAGCCGCTTAGCACCGTCCATGGGGATGGAGATATGTCCACTCAGGGATGGAAACACGCACCCAAAAACGACCACGCGATCGGCGTCTCGTCCGCCAGCCTGAGAACCAGACTTGGGAACGTCATGAGGGTTTCGCTTTTTCTCTACTCGTCAGCCGCGCATCCCCTTGACACATACACACACAAGTGCAAAAATCGCGAAGAAGAGTCAAAGGCTCCCTCTCACCCCTCTGGAACTTACACCTGGCGAGGGATCTCTGTCCTCGCGATCACGACCTCGCAGTCCCGCTCCGTCGCCGGCCCCCACGTCGCCCCCTCCGGCAGCGCTGCGTCGGGCTCCGGCACATCCTCAACCCGAAACAGCCACTTCTCGTACTCGTACGATGCTCGCGGCCGCACCGTCGCGCCCCGCCGAATCATCACCGCCCTTGTCGCCGTCGCCAGCGTCCCTACGAGGCAGGCCCCCGGGTAATGCGCCCGCCCGCCGTCCGACTGCTCTCTGCCGACCTGCCGCACCGCCTCGAGCGCCGCCATGATCTGCAGCTCGGCCGCCTCCCTCTCCTCCCCTCCGCAGGGGACCGCGGCACCGTCCTCGTCCTCTAGCGTCGAGTACATGAACAGCTGGGTCTCCTTGTCGCTGCCAAAGTCCAGGTACGCGACCGTGAAGTGACGCGGCTGCGGCGGCGACCCCGACGCAGCGCCAGGGCTCAGAGGGGCGTCGGAGGCGAAGATGACGCGAGCGGTCGGGCGCATCCCGCCCTTGAAGCGGGTGAACTGCAGCCGGCGGAGGACGGGAAGCGAGTTCGGGAGGTGTGTCTCCAGAAGGGGCACGAGCCCCTCGGGCACAGTCGTGTATATAGCGGCCATTGGCGGTGGGGGAGCTCAGATGCTGTTCCGTAGTGGCGAGGGGTAACAGTATGGTTTGTTGACAGTAGATAAGCTGCATCGAGGAGAGGGAAACGGAGGGGGGGGAGCATTACATCGGTTATTATAGCGCAACGCGGTGAGTCAACTCGGCCCGGCTAGGTGACTCATGCTGAATCGGGTTATAAGGAGAACAGCCTTGTTCCCCTGGCCACTGTAGAAGAATGATTTTCCCCACATCGATATCTCAATCCAGTTATACACTTGCCCAAGTCGTACTATATCAGTGTCTCGAGAAAAAGAGGCCCAAAACTCATGGGGAGTTGACCTTCGATGCGGGATCTGCATGAAAGTAATTTCCGTAAGTCTTTATTAGATGATTACCCAATACAAAAACTCATGTGAAAATGACGTTTGTAAACCTATCGGTAATCATAATCCTCGTGCCAACGCACCTCAAAACACGCGACATAAAGCATGCTTCATCTGTGAATGACTACGCTAATAAACAGTCCTACCCAAGGCGAGCTGCGTTGAATGGTGGACGTGGTTACCCAGGTGCATTTCTGATCTTCTCCTCTTCGGTAACGGAACCCATTGTGCTGAGGTCTTGTAGGCCAACCGACGGGATAAAGTATAAACTCCAGGCGTGTTCCTGCTGGCTGGTTGCGCATACTTGATGAAAATGTTTTTATGTGTGACTCTATGAAAGGGGTTTTTATATGTTTACTCTGGCCGTCGTCGTAAGACTCACTATGTGTCTCTATGTGCTGGCATGGCCTTACTATAACCCTACTTGCAGAAAACTCTCTGATTTGTGTTTAAAGGCCTCTCCAAGTGTTTCTATCATTTGAAGCAACAAGCACCGCTGCTTCTCTAGTTTCACAGTCGATTTGAGCCACGTTCCAAGGATGGCACCTACACATGATGGCGCGTGAGCCCAACAAATATTACCGCACAAGTCGACATGCAAAAAGACAACTGTGAAATAGGTTAACGGGGTCGACATACGTGGCAGCTCGAGGCCGGGGTCGAATAACAAGAGTTCAAGGCATAGTTAGCAGGTGTTGGCCATGCGGATTCAGTCATTGGCTCACTGAAGGACCACCACTGCATTTCGGCCCTCGAAAAACGACGCGCCCCACACGGGAAACCGCTCAGTGAAAATCTCAAAGCCGCTCGCTTTCCTCGCCGTCCCGACACGGCCATGAGTTGTCGCCTCATCATACCGCCCATCCCAAATTCCCCAGTGCCTCCGAAACATTCGTGCCAAACATGTCTGGATACGACCGTGACGTCGTTGTTGACTGTCTCAAGAGGCACTATGAGCTGCTGGTGCGCATGGGTTACATGGAGCCCGAGGCCGTCGAGCTCCCGCCCGCCGGCGGCTGGAGCGACGCCGAGCTTCGCGTCGATGCTCTCCGGGCCATGGGCCGGTCCGAGGCCGTCATCGACTTGCTGCGGCACATCCCATACGTCCACGAGAACGACGACGCCGACCCCGTCGAGATCTACACCGAGACCTTCCCGCTCCGGTACCTGCGCAGCGGGCGGTGGTTCGGCGGCAACCCTGGCGAGGACTTTGCCACCACGCCCCTCCTCGACCTCGGTTTCGCCCCGTTCGACGGGCCCGTGCCGGCCGACATGGTGTCGTTGACGCACGCCGACGAAGGCACCTGGTGGCTGGTCGACACCAAGGAAGGTGAGTTTCACGGCTGTGCGTTCGCAGCGGCATTCTGCTCCGAGACTGATGCCCCTCTGACGAAAAGGATGCATCTATCCGTACGGCACTGAGTTCGACAAGAACGCAGACGAGGTCCCCCACGACCAGCAGTGGCGCGCGGTCGACCCGGTGCCCATTCAGGCTTACTTTGACAAGATCCATGCCCAGGTCGGCAACTTGGAGGTGGTGCCGGCGCCCCGCTCGGGCAAGTGGGAGGCCAGAGTCGTGGAGGAGTACACCGAGGAGGGCCAGGTGAGCTGCCCGTCCCCATCTTTGTGTGACCATGTCGAACCAGTAGGGGGTATTTTGATGTTCTAACCCATTTCGCCGCCCGAAGGAGGTCAAGCGCTTGTACGCCGAGTTCGGATGGCCGGACGCGTTCCGTCGAGAGGAGTTCAGGCAGGCGGTCGAGAGAACGCGCGCGGCGGCCATCGAGGCCGGGCTGGGAAACCATGACGATGACGATGACGAGGATGAGGAAATGACCGGTTAGATTGGTACGAAAAAGAGCTGTATAGCATGACAAAAGAAGACTCGGCTGCATCAATTGGCCAATGGAAGAGCCCAATTGACCTGCTCCGAAAGCGCACTAGTAGGCTTTTCTCTTGCACCTCTTCCCAAGACAGACATATAATTTGAGAGCCATCACAAGGTAGGCATTGGGCTGAATATCGGATCGCGGAAGACGCCCACGGATACCATATTTCTATGCTATCTCATTAACCGTGTGTAGTTGGTCTTTTGTCGTCATATCTAGTATAAAGCGCAGCCAACTTCAACTCCATACCCCCAAGCCTAAAGGCGCTTTGCCAAAACAGCTGGGAGGGGATGGGGCAAAACGACGAGGAATGACATTGAGGGGGACCTTGACGAGCGGCTTGTTGATAGACCTGATTGTTTTTATCCATCTTATCAGTTTGCGTTGTTTCTGCCCTCCAACAAGATTTCCCGGCTGTCTGTGTATGCCGCGACTTTCAACGGCACTAAGCTGGCCACCAGGTACGGCAAGACCTGCGTCCAAGACCCGATCTTTGCCGACGTCGACACCCAGGACGAGGCCTGCCTTAACTTCAACGTCTTCCGCACGCGGGGTATCCCGCTGAGCCAGAAGACGCCCGTCCTGGTCTGGATACACGGCGGCGCCTTCTACGCCGGCAGCTACCGCAGCTTCGATGCCGCAGCTTCGATGCCGCAGCTTCGATGCCGCCTCTTTCGCCTCATCGTCCAAGGAGCCAATCACCGTGGTGAATTTCCATTACCGCGTCAATTCGCTCGGCTTCCTTCCGTCGGCCCTGTTCGAAGGGCAAGCCTCTCTTCGCCCGCACCATCCACCAGTCCGGCTCTGTCACCGCCCGTGCGTTCCCCAACGCCACCTATCCGCTGTACGTGAAGCAGTACAACGAGCAGTCCTTGGGGACGAATCAAAACCAGACAAGACGGAAGAGACTCCGGGTTGCCGTCAGTGTGTTTTGCGGAGTAGCCACTTGATACATTTTATTATAGCCTCTTACAACGGTGTTGCGATACGGCATTGATAGACCACATACAGTGCTTCAGGCGAAGCCCAATGAGGACGGAGTCAAAAGTCATGACTGGAAGGGAATGAACTAGGCTTACGAACTTGGGTGGCGCACATGTGAGCTACTCGGTTGGCGATCCCCCGTTCTTGATGTAAGCGCTGGCAAGGGATAATTGATCCTTAAGATGGAATGGTTCTCAATTATATTATTACACTAGCTTCTAACCCATGTCAACAGTCTTGGTGCGTGTCTTCTTGTGCAGACTTAGATGAGAAATGCAACACGTACAATGTGGAGTACAACTGGACTGGGAAAAACCGTTGTTCGAGTTGCAGGATAACGAATGCTAAAACTAAGATCAGTTGCTCAGAGTTGATGTTTTGTCTCGTGTTTGAGGCGAGTATAACAGATGACGTATACCCAAGACCGAAAGTAATTGTAACAGGCCTAATGTTGGGTTTTGTACTAGCAATGCAGGATTTATGAACCGACATGATAGCCCCAATCCATCTGCTCAAACAATTTTCAATCCTTAAACTCCGTAGGCTACCCTGATATTCCCGGACCAGTCATCAAACATACCATGCCACATCTTGATCATGGTCTCTTGCTGTACTGCTAGAGTCCGGGCGACTAGATATAGACTGTCTACTCATTTCCAACCCAGTCAGGTTCCCAGGCTCTGTAAAGTGACGACGAAGCCAAAGAGGGCGACTCAGAGTCTCCGATTGTTGCGATCGTCTCGAATCTGAATCTGCTTGGGAATCAAGTTGCGACCCCTCTCCGACTGAATGTCCTATTAGCTCCGTGATGACTTGTTCCGGTCGAGCAGTGTTTGAGCTCAAAATGTCTCGCCTGTCTGGATGTGACAGCGAAAACCGCCTGGGCCCAGTGGATCTAAACAAAGATTCGTCCTTGTTGAAATTTGCCGTAATGTCTTTGTTATCGCCCAAAGGATCCAGATGGGGGTTCATCGGGTGTGAAGCCTTGACTATTTTGGCAATAAGATCTGCCATGCCCATCTCGATATGCAGCTTAAGCAAATAGGCAAGGGGGTGGAATTGAGCGTAACTAAACCTGTTAGTGAGCGTTGTGATGTAAGCTCTAGACAAAACTTACATCAGCGTGTTGGGTAGGGACATGAGTCCTATTATAATAATCTAGAATATGAGGTGAGTTGGCGTCAGTTACACAAAGGCAAGAGAGTAGGCTCACGTCAAGAGACATCGATATCCCGATCATGGCCAGGTTGAATCTGAACAGTACAGTGTACTTTGTCAGGCCGCCTGCAATCAAGCGTGACTTGACAAGATACACAAAGGTCAAGTTTAAGCCTGCATCAACAACAAGCAAGATTCCCTTTTCAACACGATCCCATATCTCGTTAATTTGAACATAGGTTTCACTAATCTGGAGCCGTGCCGGTATCCATATGCAAAAGACGCTGATATTGACCGCGAGTAGAATGGCGAAGACGGCCCATTTCAGTCGTGTTGCATGAGAAGGGACTAGCATTAAGACCGCGATTCGATTGATGATGATTTGCATCAGGCATTGAACCTAACATACGTCAATCAGCCATAATCCAGCGAGAAATCGAGTTCACAAAGTTTGGAACAGCTTACCTGGATAGACCAAAAAACGACTACCACGACACATTGATCATCAGTTCCTTATCAAGTATCTCGTATTCGTAGCAGCACTCACGTAACAAGAAGAAGTACTCGAAACTAAGTTAACGTTAGCTCAAGTTGCCATATCGTGATGCACAAAAGAACATACCTTGGGTTGATGAGAGAGGTTAGATAGCACCATGAAACGACACCAATGATCATACTAGCCATCCATTCCGTCCAGATGAGCAAAACATATGTGTTGACTCGGTGCGTCCTCTGCCAGCTGGCCATGCTTTGTTGAGATCCCTTAAATCCACTCCAGAGTCCAACTCCAAGGCTGAAACCCCAGAGCATGCTGACGATATTTTGTTCTTCGTTGGTAGGCGTAGGTGCCTCAAACCAAGGGGGCACCAATGTTCCGGCCATCTTGATGTCAAATCCTCTTTCTCATGAGACAAGCACGTAATAGAACTCGACATTGGCGAACCGCCTTCATCCTCGATGGCAGGGAGTCGTCGACGAAAAGGAAAACTAAGAAACTTCTGACGGAACATTGGCTGGGGGGACGGACAATATGAGGAATCTGTGGCCCATCCTTTTTAGATCGTCGGAACTTCAGTGATCACACAAAAGTGTAATCTGAATGGCAGATTAGGAAAAAGAAACCATGTATGGTAGCTTCCGACAAAATTTGTTTACACAGTTGGTGTGGATGGGGAGTAGCACAGTGATAGCCAAGCCTTCCAATCACCGACTCGGGAATGTCAACGCTGGGACCTAGATTCTTTTTCTTAGCTCGTGCAGCCATCAGACAATGCCCAGTGTTTAGAACCTGCCGTTGTGGAGGGCAGCCAAACTCCGTTACCAGATGTTGCATTTGCCTTCCGGCATTTGAACGCGAACGTTTTGCTGCGGGGCAGCCGGAAAGTGTGTTCCTAGGATGCGAATACCTGTGGGAGCTCCGATCGCCACGCTGTCGCACACGAAAGGGTGGTAGCGATGATCTCCGGACAAGAACCGGGTTCCCTCCCTGTAAAAGACAAGGGAGTTTGCCGCCCAGATCATGACACGGTCTGGCAGTTGGCAGTAGCTGCGGCTATTCAGCCGTGGATTGTTTGACAGGGCGAAGTTCGGACAAAGAACTAGCTTGATCAGCTTTCTCTCGGGACCGAATAATGCCGCTATGGACAATACGATCTTTATGACTCTGTGTAAACCCTAGTGCGCTCAATATAATATATAAAGATCCCCCCATCGGCCCGAAACCACGGGCTGATGACAACGAGATAAGGACAAGAACAGCCTTCCACAGCCATAGCCACGCGACCGAGGCCGTGAGATCGGGGAAGAAGCCGATATCGGCGCTAGGCTGAAGCTGTTCGAGGATGTAGACGGACACACAGGTTTCATGAGCCCTGGTCGGCGCCTCGGTAGTTCCATGGCACAAAGTAAGCCTCAAGACGGAGCCCAATCTTCGCGAGGAGACATAAACTCTCATGTTGCAGGAACGTGCGTCACTCCAATCCAGATTGGAAAGTTTAAGTACCGAGTTCGAGTCATAATTTCCTATTGTCGTCATTGAGATGGGCCAACAAGGGTTACAAAGGGTGCGTTGCAAAGCCACCATTCGGTAGTGCGTGCGTTTAAACGAGGGGGCTCAGGGGAACAGCATGAGAAAGCTTCAACCGGTTGGTTGGAGACAGATGACATGATGTTGTGAGCCCCCCCTCTTGCAGAGGTCGGAGATGCAAGATTGCTTTGGCTACGTCGGGGTTCTGAGTAGCTACCCCATAATTTCATGTGACAAACTTGGAAGACACCTAATTTATGTGTATCTTCCTTCCGCCTTTACCCTGGATGACATCAGTAGCAAAGATGTCTGTGCCCAAGGCGTGGTTGACTCTTATGAATGAACATTGGCTATTGAGCGACAGTTTTATTGGCTCAAAAAGGGTGCGGACGGGCAAGTCAGCGTGCCATTAGAACTGGCTTGTGAGCTGTTCCAGTCAAACATGCCTCCTATATTGGCCCTCCGTTGTATTTTCGCGAGCCTCGGGGACTTTCGAATCCACCCCAGTGTCTATGCTCAAATTTCGACGAGCTAGCCTTTAAGAAAACTTAAGGAAATGGCCGGTTCGGCTTCGAAAATATTTTGCAGGGCGTTCCCCTAGACCTGGTGATGCAGGCACAGGTTAAGTCAAAGCACCCACTTTCCGATCACCCCCACATTACGATCATATATATCTACCCCCAGCCACCACTAACCACCTTATATATATTATCACTACTTTTATAGTCTATATCTAAATAACTTTATTTTTTTATAATATGTTCTTTATTACCTTATAGTTAAATATACTAAATCTAATATTACTTAGGCAGTAGATGCTATTACTACTGGCAGCAGTATACGCTAAGTATCTAAGACCTATAGTATCCCTTTTACTACCCTCTAGAACTGTCTATCTAGTACCTAAAAGAGGTTAGCTGCCTTTAAAGACCTCTAGTAACTATTAGCCACCTAGGAGGCTAATCTAGCCCTTTAGGTGACTGCCTAGGCTGACCTTAGGCTGCTACTAACCTATTAATAACTAAAGGACTTTGCCTATTATATCCTCTAAGCGATAGGGGATACCTAGCCTCTAGGCAAGAGGTAGGTAGATAGCTTTATTAGAAGAAACCTATCTATTAAGGTCTAAAGAAGTTAATCTATTAATTTAAGGCGTGTTAATAGGGTATTTACTAAGGTTATTAGGGACTAGTTTAAATATCTTACTATACCTTATATCTAGGGTATCTACCTAGCTAATAGATATAATATAGATAAAACTAGTATCCTTAAGGGTAAGAGAGATAATAGGCTAGTGCTAGGTAGGGCTATAATAAAGGTAGTAAGGAAAAAGTAGCTTAGATTAAGAGCCTAGGTATTTATTATTAAGTGTATATCTACTAAAGGTAATACTATTTATCTCTTAGTTATATATAAGGGTAAAAAGGTTTAGTAGTAGTAGTTCTTTTTAAATCTTAATCTATATAATAGATAAGAATTTATAGTAATAAAGAATAAATAGACTACTAATAATACTACTATTAAATAGTTAGAAAAGGTCTTTCTCTTTTAGACTAAGCCTTTTTAACCTAATTAAGCTAGACTACTTATTCTAAATAGGTATAAAAGCTATATAATAATAGATTTTATATAGTTATACTATACTAATAACGTTTATTTATTATTCTTACTACTATATACCTTTTATATCCTCTAGCTACTTAACTAGTTAGTCTTTAGCTTTATTAAGGTAGTATATTAAAAGGAGCTTAGATATCTTAGTTAGTAGATTAACTTTACTATTATAGGTAAAAAGAACTTTATTTCTTACTATTAAAAGGCTTACCTAGCTAGGTTATTAAAAGGTAATATTAAGAGTAGCTAGAAATACACTAGGTTATAGCCTATTAGTGTTATAAAGCTACTTATAAATAGGCTACTAGTTTAAAAGGTAAAAATAACACTATTAACACTATTAACACTACTTAATCTAGCTACTAAAGATATATCTATAGCCTAGGATACCTAAGGTATAAATAACTAGGTATTAGCCTTATTAGTAGTAAAGTAGTTTATACTAAGGAAAGTAAAGGACCTTAAGGCCTAACTATAGCTCTTTAGCTAGCTAGAATAAAATATTACTACTTAACGCTAACTATTTAGAAAGGTTAAAAAAGGCTTCTAAAAGCAGTTATATATACTAGCTGCTACCTAGTAAAAAATTAGCCTTCTAGAAGCCTAGGTTACTAATAGTAAAGTAAGGAAATAAAAGGCTGTTTATATAGATCTTAACATAAAGTTTATAACAATTAGAGAGGTATAGTAAGCCTAGATAGAGGCTAGTAACGTTAAAAGTAATATAGATAAACCTAACGTATCTAATTTACCTAGTGAGGCTAAAAGTTATATTATTATAGTATCTAGATAATATTAGTAGTTAATTAAATAAAGTAGTAGTTGTTATAATAGTAATGTTTTTAGGTGATTGTAATGTGGGGGTGATTAGAAAGTAGGTGCTTTAACTTATTATATCTGCGTGTATGAGAACAATGCTCTGGATTTCATTAGTTGTGTTAAAACAGGCATAAATTTTTGTAACTAATACATAATTGGCGTAGGCTTAGAAATCAGCTAGAAGTTAAATACCGCTAAAGAAGGCTGGAGAAAAATGCTATTTCTGCTAGGGATAGGTTAATATATAGGTGTTGGTATTACAGGGATTGCGATCGTAAAGCAGTAATAGTTTAATTAACTACTAGTTACTTATTAAGATAGATAATAGGAAAAAGAAGAAGAAGTTATTACTATAGATATTTATAGTGGTGTAAGTAAGCTGCTAGGGTAAGTCACGTAATAGTAAATCACGTGACTATAGATTAGCTTTACTATTAAACAGTTAAATATCCTAACACTAGTAACTTTCTAAAGTAAAAGAAAATTACTATAAATAGCCTAGATACTACCTAGTAGCTAAAAAGCTTAAAAACGTAATAAAAATTAAAAGCCTAAAAGTATTTAATACTTTTTATTTATATAATCTATTATATAGCTTAAGAAACTTATCCCTTTATACTAATTTAAACTATCCTATTTCTAACTAGTTATTTTAGTACCTTATTAAGTAATAATTTAGTAAATCTATTAGTAAGATTATTATTACCTTATATTTATTATACCTTATAGACCTTATATTACTTATATAACTACTAAAGGGCTATAATATTAATTATAAGCCTTTTTTTTTATAGTCTTAAGCTTAATAAGGCACTTATAAAGTAAGTATAAGTTAGTATAAAGGATTATTAGTATATATAGTAGCTTAAAGTAGTTAGTAATTATTATAATAGTTATACTAAGTATATAAGTAATATTAGTGCTAGTAACTATACTATAAATCTTAAAAGCTAGTATACTTTAGGTAACTTACTTATACTTTATTAAGCTAAAGTAAATAATATTACTAGTTATAGTAAATCTATTACTTATAGTAGTACTTATAGGTGCCTTATTAGTAAGAATAATAATAAATCCTAGCTATAAAGTAAAGTCCTTATTATTTATAAATAATTTATTTATAAAAATAAAAAGCTTTATAGATTTAAGGTTAAGTAAGTAAAATAATAGACTATAGTTAAGGTTATTTATTTACTATATAATATAATAGTTAAGTGCCTTAATTTTATTTATATTAGGTAATTAGTATTATACTATAATAAAGTAGTTAAAGTACGCTTTAGGCTAGTAGACTAATATAATATACACACTATAGGCTTATTACTTAACGTACTACTTAAGTGCTTATAGAGATTCTTTATTAATAAGTTAAAGTCTTTTACCTTAGCCTTTTTATTAGAGAAAGAGCTTCCCTTTAGTAGTT